ACGAGCAGGTAGTCAAGATGCTGCTCGACAGCAAGGTCGACGTCAACGCGCAGGGTGGAGAGTTCGGCAACGCACTGCAGGCAGCTTCATACGGAGGCCACGAGCAGGTAGTTAAGATGCTGCTCGACAGCAAGGCCAACGTCAACGCACAGGGTGGAGAGTACGGCAACGCACTGCAGACAGCTTCATACGGAGGCTACGAGCAGGTAGTCAAGATGCTGCTCGACAGCAAGGCCGACGTCAACACTTGACACCCTAATCACAAACGGTGCCACCTTGACGCTCCAAGATTACTATGGACGGACACTGCTTTGGTGGGCTGCAGCTGGCGGCAAGACCGTCACTATAGAATCACTTATTAAAAAGCATAACATCGACCCCCAAATAGCTAACAATCTTGGGCGAAAGCCTTCCTGGATAGCGGCGAAGAAAGGACATGGCGTAGTATCGAAGCTTCTAAGAGCATGATGGAGAACCCAGCACTAAGCCAACAGTGCCGTCTAACGGGAGTCATTACTAATTAGGTCTAGAATGCAATGTCTGCACCTTAGAAATTCCAACAACTATCTTTTATTACTATTACGACCTCTGCGCTAGTAGAAATTAGTATATGAATGAGGACTATAGGAAGTATAGAGCCACTTACGTCGAACGAGCTCATATTCTACTAAAATGGACGATGCTTGACGGAGTCTAGTCAGAGGTCATAACTAATCATGGTTCATCAGAAATCGTGGCAGTTATCTAATTATATCCAGTCTGCCTTACTCCCTCCTCGAGATTATATCTTGCTTATATGCTAAACTGCAGCTGCGTTTGGTCCTTATGTCAATACTATTAATTAAATAAATTATGATTGAATATTGGCGACCACCATTACAGATAGAAGTGATGTTCCCGCTGATAGAGTTGAAATGAATTCAGTTCTCCGCCTGATTATTGACAATCCGTGTCACGAGAGCAACGAGCAAGATGTCTGAGGCCCAGGTAGGCTAGATCAATATACTGCGTTCGGTATCTACGTGTAGGTACAAGACGTTGGATAAGGAGAAAAGGTCCTCTCCCCTATCCAGCGTAGATCTATCTTCTCGCTTCGTCGCACGCCCTCGCCAAGGGTGGCTAGCGCCATGCTTTGACCAATCAGCTAGCAGACGGGCCACCCATCTAATAATCTGTTGACTGGCTGCCAGCGCGCGACATCTCTAAGATATACTACTGCCAGCAGTATATCCATGCTTGTCAGGTAGCCTCTAAGGTTACCGTGACAATCCGTCAGTCAAATGATCGCTAGCTAAAATCCGGAATTGACACACATTCTTTGTTCTCCATCGCTTTGACACATTTTCTCACACTCTGTTCGGCATCCTGCTCTTCCAAGTAACTCAGTGTCATTGTCTCTACCTTTCCCTTCTCCTTGTACCCATGCAAGCTGATATCATAGAGTCCGTGTCGAACATTGAACCGAAAGTAGCGACCTTGACTCAATGGGCGTCTCCACGAATGGGCGAATTCATGTGCATCTTTTTGTGTATCGGTGACCATCTCCTTGAGCGTCGCGGAGATAAGCTTCCATGCATTGTCAAGGTGCACTGCCTTTACACCAGGATGGCCCGTGCCAATCGAGAGGAAACATTTGATGCGAGCCTGCAAATTCGGGTCTCCTCCCTCTTTGCACAAGATGTCGGAGGCTTCGTGGGCTACGTGGTTTACCGGGTTGTTCGCATCCAAGCCACCATCGAGATGTACGACGTCGCCTATATTGACTTCGTCAAACAATCTAGGGGCTGCTGATGTAGCAAGGGCTACTTGAACTACCGATGGGCGGTTCATAGATCTTGGTTTACCTGGTATATCGTAGCTTCTCAAACGTATGATACGCCTGGTATTGTTCCGATCGCATGAACAGACAAAGCTGTATCTCGACAATTAGCACAGTTCACTTCATGACTCCCACTGAGGGCTTTGAGAGTTTCTGACCATGAGCGCGTCAACCAAGAGAGGGAATAGAAGCCCGACTTCTATCGAGGCATTCCGAAATTTGTGCGGCATCACTGAAACGGCCTACTGACACTCTGCATCCACGAGATACCCCTGGCTGGCCATCGTTGAAAGCTTCATCCAACGGAATGTTTTTTTTTTCTGCAAGACGTTCTCGATGCATTCTCGCAATTTCTGAGAGGAAAACTTCGCTTCGACGTTGCCCTTGAAACCAAGACCCGTACGGATTTCTCTCTCGGTGAAGATGGCTTCGATCAACGCATTATAGGCGCTGATGCAATCATCGACATCCATACCCAATCGCCCGAGCATGATCGCAATCAATCTATCAATGACTTATACCTAGACTAAGAACACCATACGCTATAACTTCACTTACCCACCGGTGCTAGTGCCTCCAATAAGGCCGAAGACATCGCATCGCTTTACTGCAAGCAGTCCTGCCTCCTCGCGCGCATGATTGAGTGCTGCCATAATTTCTCGAAGTATGTAGAGTGTCGACAGCCCTCTCACCCCACCGCCGTCCAACGACAGAAAGCAAAGGCCATCGTAGGACATTATTCCGCCGATTCTCTGCGAGAGGCCGGTCGTTTACAGTATCTTCTCGGCTTATTTGCACGCTCTGCAAACGGCAGCGCCGTAGAAACGGTGAATGCGGTTGGAGGAAATGTGCAGTATACGGTTGGTTTCGCGCGTCCTGAGTGGCATTGGAAGCAGTTTGTCTTCTGAAAGCGCATCGTCTCCTTTCCTATCATGCCTATTTCCAAGTTCGTTACCAGTCTCATATTGTCATATTGGGGGCGCTGGGCACAACTCCTGGAGGCGCCCAACCATACTCGACCGATTTTGTGTTTATTGGTCTAGTCCAGCGCTATAATTCTTCTACGAAATTCAACGGTCGCCGCGTGGGTATCACAGCTCAACACTCAACATCCCGCATCGCCCTCTCCGACCAGGAACATGACAGCACCAAACACAACCGATGCCGCTCAAACGGCAACATCCAGGGCCCCACCTAACACCACAAACCTCAACGAATCCGCACCTTACAGTACACATCTCCCTCGACCTCTCTCGTTGCCTACATGCTATCCTCCCTCCACTTACTCTTAACCCTCTGCCACCCGTCCTTCTCCCCCTTCCCGCCCTTCTCCTCCATTCCCAACCCTCTCTCCACCCACTCCACACTCCCCATCTCACTCAACCTCGACAAAGCCCGCGCAAACGCAAACCTTTCTTCGTCTCCCGTGAACAAGTTGCTATTCTTGAGCATGCTCATGTTCATGCCAAGGTCATCCATCAGGCTACGCATAACGTCCGAGACGTCGGCGCCGTCGTCGGCGGAGCGCGGGGTTCCCTTTGGATGCTCGGTGGTGAGGGCATCTTGGAGCTCCGAGGCGGAAAGGAAGAGAGAGGTTAGCGGGACGGCGGTGGTCATTACGAGTTTGGCCTGTGCCATCTATTAATACTAGTCTTGTAAGTATGAAGTAGAGAAATGACTTACGCGGCTCTCATAGATCGCGTCGATGAAAGTGATGAACCGCCTCGCGAGATCCCTGCTCTTGTGGTTCATTCCCGGAACGTCGGTGATGATGAACGCATCGTAGTTCCGCATCAGCTCGAGATAGTCTGCCGCACCGGTCGCACGACCGATGATTTCGTCGAAGCTGAACCACGCGCAGCGCCCGCTGGCTTTCGGGACTTCGATCTCGCGGCCCCAGACGTGGTGCACGGCGCGGTGCGGAGGGTCGTTCTCGGGGTCGCCCAAGAACTTGAACCACCGCTCTGCATGGCTGGCCGCTGATTTGTCGAGCGGGTGGTGGTACACGCCTGACGGCGGACGGGGAATTTTCCTGTAATCTGTTTGCGAATCCAGATTGATAACTGAAAGTTTCGTTTTGAGGAGGTTAATGGCGGGGATGAAGGACTCGCGCTGGATGCCGTTCTTGTAGAGGTCGTTTGGATGGCGGTTCGAGGTTGTGACCAAAACGGTGCCATGGGCCATTAAGGATTCTATCAACCGCCGTAGGATCATGGCGTCTGCGACGTCTGTGCATTGAAACTCGTCGAAGCAGAGGACGCTGCTACGCTCGGCGATACCGGCAGCTACGTAGGGAATGCCATCGACCTCGTTGCCGTGATGCATCTTGATCTTGTGCAGGTCCTTGTGTACGCTTTGCATGAAGGCGTGGAAGTGGATGCGCGTCTTCTTGGTGATGTTGGGCGGAAGGGTGTCATAGAAGAGATCCATGAGCATTGTTTTACCGGAGCCAACATCGCCGTACATGTACAGACCCTTGGGTAAGGAGTCTGGAATCGGGGAGAGCGGAGGTTTTGAAGAATCCGTGGAAGAGAAGAACGACCAGAAGCGTTTTTGGGGTTTCAGGTCTTCTATCGCCGGGGGTTGGACTGGTGGTTGCTCATATCGCGACAGCTCGGCGTGAAGGTCATCTAGGAACTGGATGAGACCGCGCTGGTGCTCGTCGTTTCGCAGACGCCCGCTTTCTACGCGCAAATCGTATTCTTCCATAGGGGTGCGATCTGCACTTTTCCGGCTCTCTGATTCCCTTTCCAGTACAGCAGCCTGCACCTCTTGCGCGTGCCCTCTGTACGCCCCAGGCCTCAACCTAAGCGAGCTATGCGCAGTCGCAGCAGCTCCCCTGGGCGCATTTGCTCCATTCCACCCGTTTCTCTGCAGCTGTAGCGTGCGCAAACAGTCCGTACAGATCAACCTCCTCGTAGGAGCGCGTGTGGCAAGGCTAACGCGAGACGTGCGGCGAGTCGCAGTATTTCGAAGGAGCCCTCTGAGGGCCTCGGATGATGTCATGGTGGGAGACGCGCGAAATTGATGGTCGTTTTCGTATGCATAAATCACAGATATCTAGAACATGGCGCCCAGGGGTATCAAAAAGGCATATACAAGAAAGACTTGAGGAAGGCGTTCGATATCGGCAACTGATGTTGGGTGTCGGAACCAGAATTGCGTTCCTAGCGGGATTTAGCGCGCGGGTCAGGGTTCACCTCGGCTGTCCGACAGGATCACGTGCAGCGTGTCTCCATATGCCACTGATATCTACAGGACCCGCAGCAATTGTAGAACGTACTCGTGCAAGCTATGCCATTTCTTACCACACGCTAACTGGGGCTTCGATTCACGTATGTAGGTCCCATATCAAGCATGCACTGGTTCCAACTAAAGCGCAACAGCGACGAATCCATCGGGGATACTTCGCTTCAGTTGCTTCAACTCCGTTTGAGCACGCGCGACTCATAGACTCTTTCAAGACAGAAAACAGAGTGTCTTTGAACCAATAATGCATTAAACTCCCCCTGATGGAGTAATGTACCTACACCGAACGAACACATGCGGCCTGGCCTGCACAATATGCTCTAACGGTATGTTGTCTACATTGCAACCAACCAAACTGCCATACCATATAACGCCGCCATGCAATTCATACAATAGCCATGAATGAGTCTCACGCATGGAGCGTCAAGGCTGTTTTTCGGCCCGACAAATGAGGCCCAATTCGTCCCTTTGAAAAACACTTTCTCACCTATCCCGTTGCGGTTGCCATTTAGCCATCGCTTCTTTCTACTGACCGGGTTTCTTGGCGAACTCGACGCGTAGGATAAGGTGGCCGTAACCGACTGATATTTGTTAGCACCAATAAAATAGCGGATGTAGGAATACACTTACATCCATCCATCTTCTCGCAAGCCTTGGCTGCATCTGTTCGGTCTGCGTAGCTGACGAAAGCGAAGCCCTTTGCTCTACCTGTTTCCCTGTCCTTGGCGAGGAACACTCTGGTAACATGACCGTATCTTGAGAACATGTCGCGCAGGTCCTGCTCTTCTGCGAATTCGGAAACGTTGGTGACACGGAGCGTGGCCAAATCGTCGCGCTCGAATTTGCCGCCCATCTTTTCACCGGCACCTGCTCCACGGCCACGGAGATGAGGGGGAACGTAGCTGCCGGAGCCCATGCCAGCGCCGCCTGCTTGGGGAGCATCGTCGGGCATGTCCGCGGGCGCGACTTCGCCCTCGCCCATGGTGTCCTTGAAGGGACACTTTGTGGTGAAATGGTCTCCCTGGCAAATACGGCACTTAATCTTTGCTGACTTGAGCGCATCGGCCTTGCTCTTTTCCTCCTGGCTCTTCTCCTCGGTGTTGGCCTTCCAGCCAGCAACTGGTCGGAACACGATGTTTTCGGCGACACTGACAGTATCCGTTTGGGGTCCAGCAGGCTTGCCCTTCTCTTGCCCGAACTTCTCCCAGTGCTTGCGCTCAGCGACGCGCGGGTTTACAACGATCTTGTTGACGGTCTTCTTGATGCGGCGGGTGGTCTTGATCTTCTTGCCGTCATCGCGGATGGAGTAGGTAATGATGGTCTCGGTTCCATCCTTGTTCTTGATAATCTGCTGCTGTGGGAGCACGAGGGAGTCCTCGTCTTCCTCCTCGGCCCAGTCTGTTCGTCTGCGGGGGTCAGTAAGCGAAACGACGATGCGCGCACACGGAGATACACACCCTGCTACTCGCGACATGGTTGTTGTGTGTTGTGGAACGATAGTCGTTCTGATTGTGCGTGTCGTGTAGATATCGATATGTGTGTGTATGTGTGCTGGTCGGGCGTGAGGCGTGCGGCTGCGAAAGTTCAAGTAGTGGCGGCGTGGGGCAGGCACCGTGGGCGAAATTCGATTGTGAGCAAAGCGCGCTGGCCAGAAACGGACTAGCGTGGGCATGATAGACTCAACATCGCAACGCAGGTACGTCCCACCGTCTCCTGCAGACACCTTGCTTGGACCTGGTTCTCATATTTACCGATGTGGTTCGAAGCGAAGACTTTGCGTTTCTCCCGGGCTGCTCGCTATCAAGGCGCTTGTCTCAGTGTGACTCGTAGGACGCTGCACCGTCAGCCTTGTTCCAGTGTCCCGGTCTGGTCCATGGACGATATATGCTACTTATTCTGTATGCCCCAAGCTTCTGTATGGCTCACAAACTAGATGCTCACAACAGAGTTATTGTCCCGTCTGGTGGACCAATGTCGGTTGTGGTGTTCACGCTCCAGTCAGCGCTCGGCCGATGGGAGCAAATCCGTCGGACTTGACCTGTTCTCCGGTTGCCCCGGTCTTCTCCAGCCCAGCGCCGCAGCCTCGCGCTTTCGACCGAAGCGGCCGCACGCAGATGTCTCTCCACCGATGGCATTGTTCCTGGACCACGAGCTTAGCGCTCATCATGCTGCTGCTCCTCTGTCACCATTGGCCGAGTCAACAGCGTTTTGTTGATCTAACCGATGCTGCAGTCGAAGGAGCTGTCAGCCTGTGTCGCCAAAGAGTGCCTCCTTGCAATGTACATATAAGTCGTGCTGTACCGTGAGGTAGAGCATTCTTGCATCAAGCATCTCACCCCATCACTATCTATCAGTATCGCCTGCCTCGCTAAACTCTTGCAATCACCAATTATCTAAAGCAGCCACTTATTATTCACATACTCATACTTTCACCAACTCTCACCATGCCAAGGACCATTCTTGTAACGGGTGCGACCGGTCGCCAAGGAGGAGCGGTCGTCAAAGCATTGCGAGATACCGACTTCGAAATCCTCGCCCTCACACGCAGTTCTTCGTCACCCTCAGCCCAAAAGCTCGCAAACTCATCACCAAAAATCAAACTCATAGAAGGAGATCTGGACAACACCGAAGCCATGTTCAGAAATGCCAAAGCTGCCACCAACAACCCTATTTGGGGCGTGTACAGTGTCCAAGCCCAGGTAAAAGGCGATGTCACCATCGAAGAGACCTGGGGCAAGAATCTCATCGACTCGTCCATTGCCGCAGGCGTGGAATTCTTCGTGTACAGCTCGGTCGACCGTGGAGGTGAAAAGTCGTCTTCAACGCCGACCGATGTACCGCACTGGATGACGAAACACAACCTCGAGAAGTACCTCGAAGAGAAAGCAGCAGGTACTCAAATGAGATTTGCGGTCCTCCGCCCAGTGGCGTTCATGGAGAACGTCACCAACGACTTCGCTGGGAAGGCCATGGCCGCGACATGGCAGTATGCGCTCAAGAACAAACCTATGCAGCTCGTCGCTACGGAAGACATTGGAAACTTTGCTGCGGAGGCGTTCAAGCACCCGGAAAAATACACTGGGCGCTACCTCTCGATTGCTGGCGCAGAACTCACCTTCGAGCAGGCGAATGCCGTATTCAAGGAGAAGGTTGGAATGGATATGCCAAGGACGTTTGGCTTCGTGGCATGCATTGGTTTGGTAGCGGTCCCGGCTGTTGGCAAGATGTTCAACTACTTGAAGAAGAACGCCACTGGTGCGAGCGTCGAGGAGAGCAGGAAGATTTACCCGGGTTTAATGGATTTTGGCACGTGGTTGGAGAAGGAGAGTCAGTTCCGGAAGCAGTAGCATTGTGCGATATGTCCTTGCATTGTTAGGAGTTTGGATTGTGTTGGCGTTTACTTATGGCATAGGACAGTGCCTCAATGGCTGCATTAAATTCTTTATTCTAAATCCAATATGTTCGGAGTTTGCGTTCTCATACTGTTGACCATGTTCCAAAGTACCGGCTGATACAACACACTGCATGATCTCAACGCATCACTCCCCACAACCCTCCCTCGCCTCATTCTTCACCTTTTCATCACGCATCCAGTTATCCCACCTCTTCGCCTCGGCCAGCAAATAAATCCCCTCCGGATAGCGATCCGCCGCAACATCTCCCCGAACACGGATATCTTCCCACCCCTCAGTGAAGTCAGGTCCCCCCGCAATGCCATTCTGTCGCTCCAGCTCGACCCATGTTATGCCACTACTCTTCATCCACTGAAATTCCATCATGACCATATGACTCTGCACTGAAAACACGTCAATCTAACCAGTTACTATCGCCCCAGATACCCCACCCACAGTAGTATTTTTGTTTTGCGAGTACAGCGCGGACTGCCGCGATGGGATCTTCCATCTCTAAGTGGAAGGTGCAGCAGGTGGCGGAGAGGGCGTGCAGAGTGAAGTAGATGAGTTTGGTTTCTGGGAGGTCCTTTTGGTAGACATCCCGGTAGAACCTCCGACTACGGCAGTCGTAGTCAGCGTCTCCGTGGATGAGGGCGGGGCGGGTGAGGTGAGCATAGATGAGGAGGCGGAGCTCGAGGGGAAGGGTTAAAATGGTAGGGCCGCTGGGGGTATCAGTACCTTCCGCCATTCTGGTACCAGGCACTGAGTAGGAACACCATTCAAGACGTTCTATGTTGTAACTATACAGCAACTGTCACGATGCTTGGCGGACGGGAGGACGGGAGTGAGGGCTTGGACCGGCGACCGGTGCAACGGTAGACGAGACTAGCGCGGCACCGCCACAATCACCACCCCATGCAGGTGCAGGGGTACACTTGCTGCTTATTTCGAAGATTAAGCATGCCGCTTTCCCCGAAGCCTGTCCAGCTTCAAGCCTTCTGCTGTCTTCCCTTTCGCAAGCGTCGTCCTTCCTCCAGCGTTCTCGCTACAGCATGCGCAATTCTCCGTGAACATCTCGAGCAAGCATCATCCGAACATCACCGCACTCACCTCCGCCGCTCTGCAGCATGGCCCCAGGGAGCCCAGACGCCAACGGCCAGCCCGCCGGCGAACATGAGCTCGAGGAAATGGGCGACAAGAAGCCGAATGTGCCGCTCGAGGAGGACATCATGCAGCTGGCGCGGCTGGGAGAGATCGCGGCCATCCAGAAGTTGTTCGACAGCGGCAAGTACGATGCAACGTACAAGGACGAGCAGGGCATCACGCCGCTTCACGTGCGCACCCATCGAGACACGCGCAGGACGCGGGCTAACAGACGCAGTGGGCCGCAATTAACAACCACTACGCCCTCTGCCATTTCCTGATCCAGAACGGCGCAAACATCAACGCCAAAGGAGGAGACGCGGTCGCGACGCCAGTGCTCTGGGCCGCAAAGCGATGCCACTACTACATCGTCAACCTGCTCCTCGAGCACGGCGCAGACCCGCTGCTCACCGACGACCAGGGCTTCAACCTCCTGCACTCGGCGACGCTCGACGGCAACGTCTACCAGCTCGTCCTCCTGCTCCACCAAGATATACCCGTCGATATACCAGATGCGCAGGCGCATACGGCGCTCATGTGGGCAGCATACAAGGGGTACCCCTCGTGCGTGGACCTGTTCCTGCGATGGGGCGCAAACGTCTACGCGACAGACGACCAGGGCTTCACCGCTCTGCACTGGGCGCTGGTCAAGGGCTCGCAAGGCTCCATCCAGAAGCTCCTCGAATACGGCGCGGATCGGTTCGCAAAGAACAACGATGGGAAGACGCCCGCCGTCACCGCAGAGGAGATGAACACAGTGCGACAGTGGCACAAGGCATTGTCGCAAGCGGGCTACAACAGAGACGGCACACCCAACGAGTTTCCGGTACCCGGAGTTAAAGACACGCGATGGTTTATTTCGAGATTCATATTCTTCTGGCCTTTCCTAATTATTCTATTCGCCTTGTATTTAATCAGCAGCTATCCCGTGTACGTTGGACTGCCATTGGCGTTTGGCGTCGCATACGGCATGCAATGGAGCGCGCAGAAGCTTTTGGGGTGGGCTCCTGCCAACATGCGAAACATACAGCACACCGTAAGTTTATTACTTTTGATAATGAAAAGCACTCTGACGGTTTCAACAGCCTTTCTTGGCGGGTATCTTCGCCGGTACATTATTCTGGGTCGGCTTGCGATGGATCACGACTGTTCTGCCTTGTAAGCATGTTCTCTGGCCTGTAGACATGGCGAGACTGACGACAGCAGGGACGATACGAACGAACTTTTTCCTCAATGTACTATTCGCAGCATTTTATGGATTTACCGCATACTTCTACTTCTTCACCATGTCTTCTGACCCTGGTTTTGTGCCCAAGTCGGCGAGCAGGAGCGCGTCAAAGGCCGTCATTGATGAGCTTGTGGAGCTGCGCAGATTCGACGAGAACCACTTCTGCGTTAATTGCATGGTGCGGAAGCCACTCCGGAGCAAGCATTGCAAGCGATGCGAACGTTGTGTGGCAAGGACGGATCAGTGAGTAATTGAAGAAACTTCTTGGATCCCAACTAACGAGTGCAGCCATTGTCCGTGGGTCAACAATTGCGTCGCGAACAACAACCACCGACATTTCGTGCTCTACATTCTCAGCTTGGAGCTCGGCGTGCTTGCCTGGATTCGATTGGTTCTTTCTTGTAGGTCCACCAACCATGATACAAAATCCATCTAACAGAAGCAGATCTCGAAAGTGACCGCCTCGAGTCCCCGAAAGACGTCGAATGCAACGTCCTCTCCGACGACCTATGCAAGATCCTCCACAAAGATCCCTTCACCATCGTTCTCACCATCTGGGCCGCCTTCCAGCTCACCTGGGTCACCATGCTCCTCTGTGTGCAGCTCCTCCAGGTCGCCCGTAATCTCACGACCTACGAGAGCATGCGCGGCCATCTCCATTCCAACACCGCCGCCGACGCCCTCAACTCCTTTGTCACCACCGGCGACACCTCGCAGGACGTCGCCGGCGGCAACGCGCCCGCGCCCGGGTTTGGTTCCGGCCAGGACACTGACGACGCACCGCGCCCGCCGCACCAGCACCACTCCATTTGGGACCAGTGGAAGCGCCTTCTCGGCATTGATAGCTTCTGGGCTACCGCGCTGCAGGGCTCGCAGGCCGATCAGCGGAGACGTGTGGGTGGGAATCCCTGGAGCCGTGGGGTTGTTACCAACTGCAAGGACTTTTGGTGCGATGGGGCACCCATTCTCAAGAAGAAGGAGAGTGGATTTGCGCGGTTGGCGGGGGATAGGGTCGATTATACGCGGTTGTATGAGGTTCCGAGGATGAGGTATGCAAGGGGCGGCGGGGGTGGAGGGGGGACGTATGAGCAGGTTAGCGCGGTGGATGAGGCTGTTTAGGTGACGGTTGGGTAGGGTAGCGATGCCCTGCCAGAGTAAGGGACCGATGGCATAATGAGAATGAAATGATGTGGCTTTTTTGAGTTTGAGGGTTGGGGTTGATGCGTGCGCTGATTAAGTGATGCGTGATGAGACGAGTGGTGAAGCGTGTTGTGTGGGCTGGGTTACCGGTATTGCTCGCGCACTGAAGATTACTCTTCGCGTGTACGATTCTGCCAGCAGTAAAGGCAACACTCCGACCACGCATCGACTCGAAGCAGGTGCTCCTGGCGCATATTCATACTCTATAGCCTAGGAGCCCGCCGTAGGCAGATTTTCTTACCAACGCTCAGAGATGCTACCGGACCAATCGGGCAAAGAGCTGATTGAGTACCTACACAAGACTGAGGAGCACATCAAAAATCAGTCTCATCTACCTAAAGATTCACAGACATACAAAGGGCTGCAGTTAAAGTGAATGGCCTGTGCAGAAGCATCGCATCCTCTAATCCTTAGTCAAGACATCTTGTGCTTCGACGACTGGCGACCTGGGTCGAACTTGGATAACAGCAGCGACCCTCGGCATCGATCATATACCTTCACCACGGTGATCAACGACCCTCTGCACTTAGAACCCGTGCTCGAGATCTTGGAAGAGACCCTTCGGTTAGCGCCGAACCAACGCAACAAGGCGCGTATTCGTCCAAGCCGCAAGCCTGGAGTGACTTTACGACCTATCGCGAACTCGTCAAATTTCTACATCAAGCGATCACCGACGACATGACCAGAGGCGCGATGGACCAGATGATCGCTGCGGGGCAAGTGGAAGAGCTCTGTTCCGTCTTCACTATAGCGGTCGAGCGAACCTTCATCGTGAACGTCGACGTCTTGCACATGCTGGAGAATGCGAACGAGCATATGGTGGCAGCTTTGCAGAGCTTATACGAGAAGATTTTGTTCCAGCCAGCGATCTTGAAACTTTGGTAGAACTTGCATAGCGACATCCATGTTATGGACAATACGCTCGCCCACATGTATCAAGGCACGCTTCGTAAACCGTGTGGAGACCAATGCCGTGCTACTCCGTAAGGGCGTACATCCTTTTACCGAAGCCAAACTTCTGGAGATCATTGACATCTCACTGTCTGATTTTACTTCTCCACCTTCGGCCACCGTAGACGAAGGCTTTTGGCTTGAACACCAAATGCAGGTGTACATCTTGACCGGTTTAGAATTGCACGGCTGCCAGAAGATTCGGCGGATCTAAGTTAAGCGCTTCTGAATGCTATCAAGGCCACTGTGGTCGAGCAAATCACGTCGTTGCTTTTGGCTGGCGAGTAAAGCTCTCATCATGAGCACTCTCCTCGCAGACTTCGGGATGGAGTCGCTGTTGGCTGTGGAAGTCCAGTCAGATATGTATCGCGCTTTCAAGGTGGATGTGCCTTCCGCGATTCCTTTGGAGAGGAGGACGCAGGTTCACACCATCAGACGAGTGCTTTTGCAACAGGTCCAAAAGAGAAATAGATATTGCATGGTAGTTTTGAATCCAAAATAATAATTGTAGTCATCTCGTGATGTGTTTCGGGATGTAAGTCAGTGGCAAGCAACTGCTCGCAACACGGTAGTATTGGGCAGATTTACCCTGAACTCCATCGTCTCGACTATCAAGTCCCTCACCGCGAGCCGGGACGAAGACGAGCCTGAGCGGTCGCTACATAAAAAAAATTGAACTAGAATTTGACCCAGATGTGTAGAGAGTGTCAATCTACCATGAGCCGCCCCAACTCTTGTCTGCACCAAGCTGAAGCAACGCCATTGATACCATGATCAACACAATCTCACAACGTCTCTTCAAACATCCGTGTAACCTGGAAACCCTTTCCTCCCACCATCAAGCATACTCCAGACCCAAGCTCTTCCCGCCTCCCCACAGTACAGTCCTGCTGGATCGGACGAAGCCTCCCACTCCCCCTTCGCGACCGCACTCGGCGTCGCAAAACTCAGCAGGTGATTTCTCTCGCTCGTGTCCAGCGCCAACGCATTCCCAGTGACGCCATGACATAAACACGGTTCTTTCTTGACAATGCCTTTCTCAAATATGAGCCGCTGCCCTTTCTCGATAGCAGCCTGAATTCTGCCCGCCAGAGGCTCCCCCAGGAAATATTTCTTAATAGCGAGGAGGGAGATCACACAACCAGGGACGCCATGGCACCACTGCATATGTTCGTGCTTGCGGTCTGTTGTACTATGCCAGTTCCCATCTTCCTGCTGCAGATCCAGGAAGGTGGATAACGGGCCAGCCATAGCAGACGCGCCACCGGATAGACATACTTGCGCGATGATGCCGATGTTGCCGTGAACTACGCCTGTGAATTCTCTGCCGTGGAAGAGCCAAGAGGATGTATTGATGTGGGTGATGACGGTGTCAATGGCGTCGTCGATTTTGTCTGTAGCGCTGGGTACGTTGGCTTTGACGAAGCGGAGAAGGACTAATAAACCTGCACTTCCGAGGAGGACTTCCTGCACATGGTTGAGTTGCAGCGTTTGGACTTTATGCAGGAAAGGTGCCGCGTCCTGGGTGTGTGCTGCTTCCAACGCTAGGTGACAGTAGTATTCACTGGCGATCCCGAATGATGTTTCATCCACGTCTGGCGCTGGTGCACTATCGAAGTAGTCTTGGAACCACGCGGAGGGTGTTCTACCATGAATTTTAAGCTGCGAGTGGCTTTTCGAGAGATGAAAAAAGAGATAAGCGATCGATGTTGGTCCCTGGTAAAAGCCCATGCGGGTCACTTGCGATGCTTTTTCTGGCGGCCACGATGTGACCAGGTTCGCGAGACTTTCTTCGAGGAGCTCTCTAGGTGTTTGTTGTAGCTTTCTCAGAGGAGTGTGCTCATGAGGCGTAAAAGTAATGGCAGCATCCATCTGGTGTGTATTTAGAAGCGGCAGAGTACACTGCCTTCAGGATTTCAGCACAATTTTGACGAGATGGTAAGGGTTCTTGGAGAGGTGTGCCTAGATAGAGTGTCATTGACAAAAGGTGAAGAGCCTCGGGAGAGCGACGTAGGCAACGACCTGGCTGTTCCTTTCATGCTAAGCCCCTCGGCAGGCTAAATGGGGTTAGTGCGTTTTTGCTAGAATATTCCGAGGCTGTTATCATATCACTCGTGCGATACTTCTACACCACCAAAGTGGAAACAAAATTTCTCCCACTTGGCCAGTCGTGACTGGTGCAACACAGGGTGTATCCATGAGATGCAGAAGTCTATATTACTATCACTCTCTAATAATCGTATTTATAACACAAGAAGCCTCCGATGGTGTTCATGATATCCCTAATCTTGAGATCCGGTTTCAACCCATTCAGATAAATCGGCGTATCCATCGTGAGCTGCTTCCCATCTGGTCCCGGCCCATTAACATAATTGACCCTGTTCCCATCATCATTTTGCCAGATCCTAAAGTGCCGATCAACCATCCCGTGGTGCAGCCAGAACACCGGATCGTTAGGACTGGCAAAGAAATCATTCATCTCGCCACCCGTTCCGACATGGCCGTACGCATGCAAACCACCCTCTTCGCATTGCGCGAAAACTTGGTAGTCGTTTGCGCGCTGGCAGACCTCTACGTTGGCGGAGGTGCACTGACTGGTGAACGAAGCATCGCCGTTGCGCGTAAGACAGTGGTACTGGTTGCCGCTGCCGGGCCCGACATTCAGCGCGAGATTGGCGAATTGCCCGTCGGTGACGCATCTTCCCTGCAGATTGATCGCGCCGAGCCACTTGCTGCTGAAGATGGAGGATTGCGAGAAGCGGCCTGGATATAGCGTCTCGTCGAACCAAGGGAGACTCTCCGAATATCCGCATTCTCCACGGAGAGCCTCCTCGAATGCCCACAGATATGCGCGGTGCCAGACCAGAAACTTGGCATTAAGGCTGCCCTGGCTGTGCACGTTGAGCGCGACCTTCTGATGCACTTGCACGAAGTCCTCATATCGATTTCGCGAGCCGGGATAGTTTCCTTTGCTAGGGCGCGAGAAGAGGCATTTGACTGCGTCGACGAACTTCTGCTTGAACGCATCGTTTGTCCTGTGCCATTCTGGACGTGTGCGGATATTACTGCATGTCGCCTGGATGCCCTGAAAATCAGATTCTGGGCCGTGCTGGGTACCGTTGTCGACGATGGCCACGAGTTCTTCAGGAGAGAACATGCGGTGGGGCATGGTGTTGAATGCTGAGAGAGGGAGCGCTGGAGCCCCCGTAGGGATGTCGTTTCGGGGCAGCACATGCGCTGTTGCGCCTGCGAGAAGTGCCGCAAGAAGGGCGAGTTTAGCCATTTTGTTTTCGAAAGTAGAGGCGTACGAATTATAACTTATGTGCAACGTCCCTTTCCAGTAGTAAGTGAGAGACACGAAAAGTGTGGCGATGATGGGTGGCAGTTTTCACGACAAGGACAGTGGCTATTTAATTCACAGTCCAAGAAGGCATCGAAACGTCAGCGCAGCAATACGACGAGAAAGGTCTTCGGCATCTTGGAATATTGACACCGCGTGCGTCGGGGATCAATACGAGAGCTTGATTGTTGAGAAGTGTATAAGCTCGAGTGCGCTAGCCTTTCATGGTTCGTATATACTTCACGCTCTTACGATTCGGGAATCGCCCGGGTCAACCCCCATTTGTGCTGAGTAGTCTCAAGTCAGAACTTCACATGACCATCTCTTGGGCTTTGTCGTTCTCAGAACTTATGTCCTTCATATGGATGAACACGTGGTCAGGAAGGTGGCCGAAGCATGCCTCATCACACTTCGCTGCGCCGCTCAATTGAGTGTGCTAATCTTCACGATTCGGATCCTCGGGTCCCTCAATGGCAAAGTTTTACTCTCGCGTACTATATCCAATCTGGACCTTGGCGTCTTGGAATTCAGTAAGCTTACGATTCGTATTGGCTAATAGCTATCCAGTACAGGTGTTCGTGGCTAGAGTCGCATTGACCTGCCCCAGCTTACGGTCACTCCACGTTCGTTGTGGTGGACCGGGGTAGCCTTCGGTTGGCTGATTTCCTGCATGCCTAATTTTAGCAAGGAGGCGTACTGGCAGTCACCTCGCCTGAAGTCTTTCCTGTATGCGGTATCGTTGCTGCAATCAGCTGGACCCCGTTGTGATTTCAGAGTTGCACTCGTAAAAGCCCTGTTGAGGATCCGTGAAATTGGTGGCCACCGCGGGATCCCCAAACAATCCGTCCTTGACGGGAATTAGAACTCGTGAAGGTAGGGTTACAGTCGAACAGACTCGGAAAATGGTGTCAATGGCTTTTGATCAAACGTGGCGTACCCATAGCAAAGTCGCATGGTCTGGGTGTGCGCCGCGTGCGCAGCTGAAGGCTACCGGTGCACCCCAATGAACCTCCTTTCACCTCCAAAGATACTAATGCTCTTTGAGAACTGGTCCTCCTCATCCTGGGGCTCGTTCTTGATGAAAATACCATCCACAAACCTGCCGCGCACCATGCGCACCTCCTCGGCAGGAACAATGGTCTCGATTCCTGCAGGCGAAACCTCTTCATCTCCGTAAGGTAATGCGTCAATATCGATATCCTTTTCTCTTCCTAAGAGACACATGATGACAACCAACGCGCCCGCCTTGCTCATCACCTGGTTCGCTTGCTTGCACGCCTCATCGCAGCAACACTCCAAACATCCTTCCAAACAATGGCATGCTTCCACTCTTTTGCGGGCCTGTTCCAACAGCGTATCTATGAATTCAAAGGCCTTAGTCGAAATGCCAGAGCCTGAAGCACCGCCCTTTGCATCGTAGAAGGTGAGTCGCGCCGGTCGTTTCCGCTGCGTCTCGCGCTTTGCAAACTCCTTGATGGCAACTTTGCATTCCGTGCGCACATCGCCTGGCATGCTAACCACAAAATTGGGCATTAGCGAGAGGACCGCGTGTTCGGCGGCATGGATCGCAGCTGCTACATTCAGCCTTCTCTCGTTGAGTATGTCTAGCGCTGTCTTGGGCACATCGAGCCACATGCCTTTGCTGTACAGTATGATGGGTGGATTGTCAACTTCCACAGCATCCAGGATACGTCTTTTCTTGTCAACCTTGAAGAATCCGAAAACCACTTGCTTGATCTTGATAGGGCCATAGAACGCTCTAGAACGAGAGTTTGGGATGCGGCGGATGGCGTGTGTTTCAACGGGGTCGATGTCTGTGAAGTCGCGTTGCTGGGTAGTCCAGTCCACCTTTACATATTCTACCTTTGCGATCATACGCTCCTGGCTAAATTCCTTGATGAGATACGTGTTCCCCTGATGCAGAAAGATGCCGCCTTCGTAAATGGTGAAAAATGCGCGGGAGGCTTCAAGCTCTTCGAGCACAGTGTTCTTGCCGTGCGTGGTGTCGATAATGGCAAAGTGCGTATCCTCTGTGTCGCGAATAGCTACGTGACGCGAAGGCTGAGGGAGAAATCGGGTGTCGCAGTGGAAAAAGCCGTCGGGCCCCTTACGCATACGTTCTTGTGCGATCTTCAGGAGAAGAGAACCAAAATAGGCTTCGTCGGCTTCAGCATTTATTGGCATCTCATAAGCGGCACACTGAATGTGACCTTCAAGAACAAGTATGTTTTCTAGGTCCACTTGTAGCTCGCAATTAGGCTTCGTGAAGATCTCGTCAGGGTTCGACATGTAGAATTGATCCGTCGGGAAACAGTCGCCAACGAGCACAGACAGAGAGTCTTTGTTTCTTCGACCAGCGCGACCACTCTGCTGGCGGAGATTCGCAATAGTGTACGGGAAGCCGACTGTAACTACGGCATCGAGCGAGCCGATATCGACACCGAGCTCTAAGGCACTTGTCGCGACAATCCCTACGAGCTTTCCGTCGAACATCTCGCGCTCTATCTGCCGTCGATCTTGCGGTGTGTACCCGCCTCGATACGACATGACTCTCGCCATGACCTCTGGTCGCTCTAACTCTTGTAGCTCGGTCTTGATCGCCGCTTGCAGAACCTCGCACTGTTTCCTGATGCGACAGAAAGCGATGACTCGGACGCCTCGCAAGATAAGTTGACAGAAGAGCTTCGCCGACTCGGCCATGGTATTACCCCGTCCCGAAGTTGGATCACCAGGATCCCTAAACGGTGTGTTCCAGCACAGGAACTCTTTTCTCCCCGAAGGTGATCCGTCGAAATCCGTCAATTTCACCTCCTCGACGCCAAAGATGGTTTTCATATGGGCTTCCGGATTTGCTACAGTCGCTGAACATGAAATGAACTTGACGTGGCGGTTGCCCAGGGCAGCGCATATTCTTCGCAGACGCCTCATGATCATTGCAACATGTGCACCAAATAGGCCGTTGTAAACATGCAGCTCATCTACCACAACGAACTTCAGATTTTGCAAAAACGATCGCCATGCCTCTTCCTGTGGCAGAATGGTTATGTGGAGCATATCAGGATTCGTGAAGATAATGCGAGCCTCATCGCGGATATAGTTACGGTCTGGCATCGGTGTGTCCCCGTCGAAGGTCTCCACAACAAGGTCTTGCAAGCCATCCATGAAGTGCAACATCTCTTTCAAGCTACGTCTTTGGTCTTGCGCCAACGCTTTCGTAGGGAAGATATACATTGCTCGAGTATTGATGTCTTGCTCTAGCTGGTGCAAGACTGGAATTTGGTATATCAGCGATTTCCCAGAGCTGGTAGAGGTTGAAACGATCACGTTGTGCCCTTCGTAGAGGTTGTTAATCGCTTCAGCCTGGTGCGCATACAACTGTTCGATGTTGCGCGTGTTGTATAGTGCATTGACAAGGCTCTGTGACATCTGGAAATTCAGTTCCCCAAATATCGGCGGCTGAGGATCGAACACGCGGTGTCCGTCCGGGACGATTTGCCCGGTGTACCAGTTTAAGGTTTTGATCTCTTCAATTATCTCGGGGATGGGTTTACGTTCCGATGGTATGGTGGGAGGCAGCAGAGACCTCTCCAGGCCTGGTGTGCCTGACCTGCTCTCTGAAGGCTCTGGGATATAAGCAAGAGAGATTTGTTGCAGGTGGGTTGCCGGATCACGTCCCTCGTCGCCGCACTGGTTGAGAAAAGCATTGACTGCCGACGTGAATTTGATGTTCCGTTTTTCGATGTGCTTCAACATCTGCTTCTGACTGAAGACTGGCATCTTAAGATCTTCGTTCCTCAGCCGCTGAAATGCCTTGGTAGGTTCGCCGGTCTTCGCATGCTGCACCTGCCTTTTCAATTCGCCATCAACGAACTCGAACAGCAGCACCTCCTTGTGGTCGTGCTTGTCCAGCTCGGGATCCGGTACGAAGAAGTCTCTGGTGTTTCTGCCCTTTGCATTCTCCTCCGCACCCACCAAATTGACCTGCAGCATGGCTTCGTCGACGTAGGCGAAGTTGATGGCCTTGGGAATCAAAGCTGCCATCTGCGCCACATCCTCGACCACCAGTTCGCGCTCAATATTGGCCTCCACTGTGCTCTTCAGGTTGTCCAGCGTTGTTGCGAGGTGCTTCCGCGTACAGCAGAAGGTGTAGACGAGGTTCAGCGCGCGAAACACCTGCGCTAGCCTTGTAAAATGTTCTGGCCATGGTATCGTTGTCTCTACAATCGTCGACGAGCCCGCACGTTTCAATGATGGCTTCTCCGTCCCATCCTTGTTTTTTAGTGTTCTTCGGGGCTTCTTCCCGCCATCGTGCGTCTTTGTGGGAACCGTGGTCGTCGTGGTAGCTTCAATTACATCTCCGTCCGGCTGCGGCGATTCATTTTCGTGGACCTTTCGTTTTCGCTTTCGTATGACTTGGTTGGATACCGTTGCTGCTTTCAATTGCGGCATCGTTGGCGCATCGTGCGATGGGTCGCGCGCACGAAACGAAGCTCGAAAGTGGCGTCGATCGATGACGCCACGCGAAACAAGCGTCAAGTCAAAAGGGGATTTGGTGATGGAGCCAAAGTGTGTAGAGTGACCGGCATCTCATTCACCGAACAAAACACCGTAAAATGAATCTGCTCTTGGGGCGCGTCGTCCCAGAGTGAAAGGGCAGAGTGGCAACGGCAGGAACCATCAAGACGCGGCGTCGCGCGATCACGTGTCAAGGCCTGTGCACAGACGCCTATTCGGTTGTCATGCCCCACCTCAACCAACTTCCGTTCTACATCCTATCTCTCGCTCAATATAACTCTTCAAAGTTAGTCCGCTCTTGCACTACTACGGAACATACTTGCTCTGATTCAGACAGGCAGCGCTATTTACCTTGCTACATCTCTGCTCTATAAGGTGCCACTCACAGGGCTGAAAACTTTACCCCCACCTGTAGCGTCATTCTTGAATCATCGACTTAGCTTGTCTTCGAAAGGCGGGTAATTTCGAATATGAGAATAGCCTGTTCAGCAAGTGCCTTCTTGTTCGGGAAAGCTTGAGATCTACCTTGCTCCGACACAAACCATGTTTAGCCATACATAAGCTCTTGGAAGTACTTGGACTCTTGTGTTTGGATCGATTTGCTCACAATTATATATCTGGACATCGAAGATAATTACTACAATGCCAGTTTACTGCCTCACCGGCGCAAACCGCGGCCTCGGCCTCGAATTTGTTCGCCAACTCTCACAGCTCCCCTCAGCCACCATTATCGCGACCACCAGATCAAACGACAATGACCTCACCGACCTGAAAGCAATCAATCCAAGCGATACCAGTACCAAAATTCATATTATGGAATGTGATATCGCATCTCTTGATTCAATAAACTCATTCGTCAAGAACGCTTCTTCTCTCCTCGAATCGCAAAGTCTCAAGATAACGCATCTGATCGCCAACGCTGGCGTCAACTCTGTTTCCGGACAAAACAGTCTCACGATTGGACCTGCCGACCTCCATCGCGAAATCGATATCAATCTTATCGGTCCCGCCAAGCTGGTTGAAAACCTGGTCTCGCAGTCCCTGCTCGCCAACGATGTCCGGGTTTTGAATATGACATCGGGACTGGGCAGTATGACAAAGTCCCTCACAATTGAGCCACGGAAATGCATGACATATTAATCAGCAAAGCGGCGTTGAATATGTTGACTGTGCACCAGAGTGGGGATCTGCGAATGGAAGGGCGAGGAGGCCTGAAGGGTGCTGTTGTGATTTGTATGGATCCTGGGTGGGTTAAGACGCGGATGGGTGGGAGTGGGGCGATTTTGGAGCCTGAGGAGAGAATTAGTGGGATGTTAAAGGTGCTGCATGGGCTTACTGATGCCGAGAACGGGACGTTTTTTGAGTATTCTGGTGCTGAAATTGATTGGTAATTAATAGAATAGTTTTTATCGAGCGTAATAATCTTTCATCTCGCTCATTGTGAGTATTCTCAGTCCTGAGGGGCGTACAATGCAGCGCAGATCGGAGTCCACGTACCATGCCACAGGTCTGCTCCTTGAGAATACGACACTCATAGGGCCGAAAGCTTGGCTACGCCGCCGGACAGAGTGACGCTTGTCTTTCTGCGGAACGCACGCAACACCGATATCCGACAGTCGCGATGGATTCACGTTATTCTCTGTGTTCCATACTGATGGTGACTTGCAACGGTCTCCGTTCTTTGCCTCAAATGGCCCGAACGAGTTACTTATATACTTCTTCACCACTGCGCAAATAGCTCACATATCTCACCTTTCTTCCCTAACCAGCTGTACTATCCAATACAGACAATTGGTCTCATCCAAGTTCTACCTCAACCATATCGCCCCATTCCATCATGCGTTCCACTATTTTCGCGCTCCTGTCCTTCTTTCTCTCCACCTCCTCCGTTATTGCAGCACCGGTTTCACCTAGTGAGTATCAACTCTCATGCTGCTCAATTAACTGACACGATAGCTTGTATCATGAACAATGGCATGCTTTACTGCAATACCAAGAATGTGCCAGACGGCTACAAGTGGCCACGCTCGGAGCCACGAGGACAGAAACGAAGTAAATATATCACTTAAGCATCTCTATGCTCTTTAGCGGACTGACGTCGAATAGACTGTATCATGAGCAACGGTATGCTATACTGCAACACAGATAACGTACCGGAAGGATATCAATGGCCGCGCAAGGACTGATGAGCATGCCAAGAATGGGCATACTGAAGGAGAGTACCGACTGCTCTAGGCAACACTTTCGTGTGTCTCGAATGTGCCCTCGTCGTTTGATTCCCTATTGATGCTACTTGCGAATTGATCATTTCTCTATTATTTCTACTTTGAATCGCTAACGTTGCCCGTGACACAATGCAAGCATCGTCCAGACCCGCCAACGGCATTATCTCTTTGTCTCAGCGAGGTCATAAAACACTAGCCCCACAAAGCTATTGACGTTCTTTGTCGTTCGCAATCTCCCCGCTTTAACATATGTATCCTTGTCATCGCGATGTAACCCAATATCGCGCCCATCGCCTCCTACGCAAATACCAACAATTACATAAATTACTGCTTTGCAAATATGCAGATCACCCACCTCGCCGCCGTCGTGGCATTCTTGTTCTCCGCTTCAGCGCTCGCGGCCCCCATTAGGAAGTCTTAATCTGGGGTAACATGAACATGTGGGGAGTTGAGGGCTTACCATGTATAGAGTGTCCGAAAGGCGAAATGAGCTTCTTTCGCCGCTCGGCATGTAAAAGATCGGAAGCGATGATCGAGAAGCGTGATGCGGCGAAGAAGAAGGGGTTTGCGCTCGTGGATATAGTCTGATGGAAGTCGTTTTGTCACGAATTTGGGGGTGTTGAAGTGGGGTTGATTAGTTACTGGGTAACTTAGAAGGATAACTAGAGCTATAGATTATACACTCGTTTGTGTAACCCAAATTATGGTATTGCCTCTCTTGATATTAGCTTATGTTTGACTAAAGCTAAATGCATCTAGCCTTACACATTCATCTTTCTAAGCGGCAGTGTTCGGTATCATCGCGTCCGTGACCTTCAACGGTTTGATTGCAGGGAAGATCTCATTGAGCAACGGTCCCTTGTACACCATCTGGCCTTCCGCCATGAAGACCGCTACTCCAGCCATGATCTTCTGGAACATTGCCTTTGCATCTGCACTGTGGCTGCCAAGTAGATGAGCGTATGTCGCCTTATGGCCTGGAAGTTCGGTTATCTCCCCACGTTCCAGTTTCTCAATTGGGTCGTACGCCACACTGAACTTGACACCCTTTGCAGCCTCGGCAACCGCGACGGCCTCATTCCATGTCATCCTATCACCATATACAAAGTACTTCTTCTCCCAGTGTTCGAGCCCAAGCATAGCAGTTGTGTACTTGGCGAGGTCGGTGGTGTGAGTGAAGTAGACCGGATAATTCCCATCACCAGGAAGACCGGCCGCGTTTCCGTCCATGTCGATGGCCAGCGCAGATCTCTTTGTGTAGGATGGAATTGACAGTGTGTAGAAGTCAAGGAAGATGCCGGGGAAGATTGCTGTCCATTCGAGCTTCGTCATGCTCAAAGCGTCTAGGAGCGCTATTCTTGACGCTGCAAAAGGACTGGCTTTTCCTTGTCTGTATTTTCAACATTATATGTGATGTTTGAAGTGGCATGGGAGGCTTACCCAGTTGTGTAGTCAAATCCAGACCAGATGCTGGGAATGTAGCGACGCGTGACGCTAGCTCGCTCTGCTGCTGCGATGATGTTGAGCTCGATGTTATGACTATCGTCGTAGTTTGTGATACAGGAAACGACGGTGTCGATCTTGTGGCTCTCGAAAAGCTGAACTAGCAAATCTTGATTGGAATAATCGGCTTGCAAAACCGGGACGCCGATGTCACCTTCCAATGCTTGATTGGACTTCCCAGCATCAGTATGAGATTTCTAAGATGTTATGGAGATGCTTACCTGGCGAGCGAGAATCAAGGGCTTGTATGCGCTGTTCTTCAGCGCATCGACGAGAGTTCGACCCAAAGCACCAGAGCCACCAGCGATAGCGACGATGTGAGACATGGCTGGGACGACTTCAAAAACTTTTACTGATCTACAGAAAGAGGTTTTTGACGGGATGTATCCCTCGACGTACCGATGCCTCTTATTCTACATGGTCCACGAGTAAGAACCTTTCTGGCCTATGACGACGTCTGAGGTTTTGTTCCAGGGCATGTATGCACTCATGCCGTTCCTCGTCCGGGTGAATTATCACGTATCAGTTGCCGACTCGTTCATTGGTTCGAGCTCAGATCGCCTCGTTGTGCGGGCATGCAGGCAACTTGGATATGCGGCACGGTTTCTCTGAATTCAGGTTTAGCATGCATTATTAACCTCAGAACGAATAATGCATACAGATCTAAGATTTTGGTCAATGCGCGTGGCTACCGAATCATGTTGCGAAATAAAAACAGCTTTTCATGGCTGGTATATGTCTTGTTCGATTAACATGTCAAGCAAGGGCAGGTCCATGTTTGAAGGCTTAATGAAACTGACTGGCTTGGATCATGCCGTTAGTTATTCACAACTGGCCACCCTGTACCATTCGAGCCGATTTCAGCACCTCCATCGCTTAGGTCGTGCGGTTGTAGCAGACCGATTGTTTTCGAGCGTGAGGCTAGGACGCAACCCGGACGAAAACCGGCTTCGGTCCGCTTCTCGCAGTTCCCAAGTGGTAGCACACGACTTTGCTGGACGGAGTCTGTCTCCCAAATATTGTTCGAGTAAATGTCGACAGGCTTTGAACAAGGATGTATGCCTATACTTTGAAGGTAGATCTATTCACTTCTAGTATGGACACCGCGCTGGAAGAGCCCCAATTTGGGTGATATTGAAACCATTCAAACCGGCGCATTTATACATAAAGGATACACCAAATCAGTCCGCGTAGGCAACACCTTCCATGATTCTCCTCGCGGTACGAAACACAGTCGCATCCTTTACAGCGCCTGTTTTGTCAAAATTCGCACCAACCAAAAGCTTCCCGCTGCTGTGACCGATGGTTATTCCGTCAGCGTCAACGGGCCTCGAGCTCGTCACTTCTTTGACGATAGATCCATCCAGTCGAGATGCAACGGCAAGTGCCATCGCAACGGTTATAGGTACAGCGCGGTGCGGCTGCCCGACACTGATCGCTCTGACTAGCAGATCACATTCCTTCTCTTCGACCGTCTCACCGGAGATCAACTCATGTGTATATGGTGCAGCTACCATAGCTATCTTAGGTATCGAGCCCGGCACCAAATCCAGTGACTTGGAAATACCCATGGCTACAGCGGCCTGCTTGCGAATCGAGTCCAGGCGGCTCAGAAGATCTGGGTGTGCATCGATAGCATCTGCGAGGATACCGCCTTCAACACCGAGACTGGAAGCATGGACAAAAGCACAGGGATTTCCCACGTCTATGCATGTTACTGGAATGTTGTCAAAAGTGTCGACAACGTTTCCTGTGGGCAAAGTTTTCCCTGTCTTAGACCCGGCAGGGTTGATAAAAGCAAGCTCAATCTTTGCGCCCGTGCCAGCGACACCATCGATGGCAAACGATCCTCCTACCTTCGCTTCTCCTTCTTCCACAACGAACTTCGAGTGAATGATTTTTCCGGTGTTGGTGTTATGTATTCGTACTGTGCAGGGGCCGTCCTCCATGTATACTAGGCCGGCGTTCACAGCGAAAGGTCCAATGGCTGAACTCATGTTTCCGCAGTTGCTTGAGAAGTCTACTTCTGACGTTTTAACACCTATTGCAGCAAACGTATAGTCGACGTCTGCATCGTCCCTAGCTGAAGGACCCACGACGCAGACTTTAGAAAGGGAAGAGACGCCCCCGCCAATGCCGTCAAGTTGGCGACCATTAGGATCTGGGGAATTGATGACGCCACGGAATATCGAGGGCCATTTCTCTTCGGACGGGAGGTCTTGTTTCTTGAAAATAACGGCGCGCGATGTGCCACCGCGGTAATATGCAGCTGGGAAAGACTGTTGCTTCCGTAGACGTGATGACGCGTGAAAGGATCGCGTCTGGCTCCGGGGAAACGATGCGCAGTGTGTCTGGCGAGCGCAGATTGTGAAAGAACTCATCCTCTTAGTTCTCGTATGTTTGATGAGACGAGACACTCGATACTTGACAAGTGGTGGAGCTTGTCGGGTATGCGGATACATCCGATCATGAGCTTTACCATATAAAGTCATCACGTGTCTCCAACCAATCACACCGGCCCTTTGGGGGATATGTCCTTTCCATCACCAACACACATATCAATGGCCCCGGCATCTCAACTGTAATCCTCTTTAATGCGCACGCTCTGAAATTTTTGGAACGTTTCTGCCGCTGCCTCCCTGTCGACTTTAATTTTTTACAGAATGTTTTTGATCACTTCCGTTGGCCCCCAAGAAAGCTGCAGATGCTACCATCGCTTCTGATCTCTGAACACCGCCTTCTCACATGACAAACTACCTGAACTGATACTACTGGCTGGTTGGAATTTCTGCCAGACATGGTGTATATGGCGTTTCTTGCGCACCAGTCGTTCACGTATCAACACGTGAGCAGCGAACTTCCGCCGTCACGGCGGAATAACTTACATATTGATTTGCAATCCGTCGAACATTCCAATAGTCTGTCACAGTGTTATAAAAGCTCTCTCTCATACTCTGGGTAACTTCACATGTAAACCACACAATGCCTCGCATCCGCACCGCCATCATCGGTCTCTCTACTTCCGCCATTACCAGCTGGGCCGCTTCTGCCCATCTCCCATACCTCCTGTCCACCCGTGGTATTCAACACTATGAGGTCGTCGCTCTTCTCAACTCCAGCATACATGCCGCCGAAACCGCACGCGCGACTTTCGATCTTCCACCGTCTGTCAAAACATACAGTGACCCCAGCGCCCTAGCGCAGGACCCAAACATTGACTTAGTAGTCTGCTGCACGCGAGTGGACGTCCACTTTCGCACGATACAGCCCAGCATCCGAGCAGGGAAAGCCGTCTTCGTCGAGTGGCCACTGGCTGAGAACTTGTCTCGCGCTCTCGAATTGACGGACGACAGGCCCCTGCAGGACAGTATCATCGGACTGCAGGGACGAGTCTCGCCTGTCACACTACGAATCAAAAGTCTTCTCGATGAGGGGATCATCGGCAAAGTCCTCAGCAGCCATGTATGCTCGTATGGCGCTCTGCTCCCGCGCGATGCACTACCGGAGGGTATAGAGTATTTCGCAGAGCGGAAGTATGGTGGCAACCCCATCATTATTGAGAATGGTCATAGCCTCGATTGGGTGCATGAAGTCCTGGGCGATTTTGACGAGTTCGAGAGTAGGATGCAGATTCAACGTCCACGGGTCAAACTTCTAGGCAAGGAAGGCGAAGTGAAAGAGACGATTGTGACCGATGTTCCAGATCTGCTTACCATGCAGGGAACGCTCAAGGCAAGAGACGGTGAGGGAGGGGTCGTGGAGGGAGCGCTATTCACGCATATCTTCCGTCATGGGACCCCTTTCAAAGGGCAGCCTGGCTTGACCTGGATCATCAACGGAGAGCAAGGAGAGCTGTTGGTCACGATGGGCGAAAGGTTTTTGTTTTTGGAAGACCCTGTGGTCATTCAGTTGCATGATCACGCTACAGATGAGGTCAAAGAATTGGCGTGGGACTGGGCCGGTTGGCAGAAAGATCTGCCCGTCAAAGCAAGAGGTGTTGCGGAACTGTACGAGAGGTATGCGGAATGGATCGAAACTGGAAAGAACCATGTCGGGAGGGGCAGAAAGTGGCCTACCTTGGACGATGCTGTGCTGAGGACAAGGCAATTCGAGAAGATTTTCCACCAGTTTGAGGAAGCTAACGGAGGCTGTGTAGGCGGAAAGGTTTCTGGTAAATAAATCCTTGGCTAAATATGATCTCGCTTAGACACTTTCGGCTGGGATTTGGCGCAAGGCAATGCACCTCTCTATATTGTCTATTGAAATTTACCAAGAACAAAGCTGACGTAATTGTCCGGTGACTGCGCTTGGTACCTAGAACATAACTTTTAAAATGTGCACAGACACTCATACACTCAACTCGGGGACTGGATCCCTACGCGGTTGCCTAACGTGTGGGTAGACATGGAGGGTGGTGAACAGAAATCAGGCGACGAGAAACCTACAAACACTGCCGTGAGGCGGTCTAGTAGCAAAAGCAAGCCTATCTCTAGCGCGATAACACAACATACGTGTAAGATCTATTGGTTAGTCTCACTACGCGAGGGCGCAGGGAGTCACGAGCTGGATACTTGGCCTCCTTCAGAAGGGACGGCGATTGGACACAAATCTCGTAGGAGCCAGCCCAATAAGCCATATTCTTGGACAACACGCTATACATACAAGTACGTACCAGCGGCCCACTAGTAGTGCAGAAGCTCTTCCATGATGGCGATATACCCCGCGTTGCTCGACAGCACGACAGAGACTAGGATACTAACGCTCACTCAGATTGACCCACTCCGGGGCCGACTGGAGGTTGTCTCACTGGATGTCGTGCAGCTGGCGACATACACGGCGCTCTCGTACACATGGAAAAATCCGATGACGGTAGCGAAAGAGGAGCCTATCAATCGGCGGCCGTCCATGCCCAATACTATCGAGATAAACGAGCATTGCCTATCAATTACACGGAACCTAAGCAATGCACTCCAATATCTCTTCGAAAGAAATGAACGCCGACTCTGGATCGATGCCATATGCATCAATCAGCAGAACGACGTGGAGCGTGGCGAACAAGTCGGGCTCATGGGACGCATATACTCGTGGGCAAAGAAGGTGGTAGTGTGGCTAGGCCACCATGCAGACAGCAGCGAGTTAGCCATGGACTTTCTTAGTCTATTGGCGAGCGGTCCGGGCGATACTGACCGCCTGGAATGGCTTCTGAATCTTTGCGAGCCGGAGTACTCGCATCACTGGAAGGCGGTCTATACTCTGCTCCACCGCAATTGGTGGAAAAGGGCTTGGGTTATACAGGAGGCTGTCCTTGCGCGACAAATCGAAATGGCGTGCGGAGACCGAGTACTGTCGGAGACACAGCTTGCTGAGCTTCAGAAGCTCTTCACAGGATTCTGGTTTCATATGTTTCCTTCGCCGACCATCCGAAGCATTGGCATGACTAGCAGAGACCTGGAACGGTTGCTGAGTCCTCTTCGAATGCGCCTTTACATCCAACAAGGGCGCACGTTGGGGTGCCTTCCGAGTCTGTTCTTGACGAAAGACACCATAGCTTCTGAGCCGAAAGACTTGCTTTTCGCGAAGTATGGGTTGATCGGAGCGAAAGCAGTTCAGTTGTATTCTCCTGATTATTCGGCCTCTGTGGAGAAAGTGTGCACCGAGTTTGCTTGGGCGTACATACAGCAAGAGCAGGATCTGACCATCCTGTGCTATGCTGGAATCCCTATCAATAAGCGCAGATCGACTTTCCCAACATGGCTGCCAGATTGGGGTCCTTCGAAGCCATCATACCCGCTAAAATGTTCTTGGAGCAACAACGTTACCGACTGGCCGCACTGGAAGGCATCGGGTAATACTTTACCCTCGGTGCGACTGTTAAATGATGGACATATTTTGAATGCTGAAGGAGCCATTGTAGACGCGGTCGACGGCGTACAATTCGACCCTTGGTGCAAGCATGATTTTGAACGTCGAGAAGGCGCACAAAGCAGGTCGCGAGCCATGGTGTTCAAGTCGCATGCCGAAGCCTTCGAAGCATTGTATCGTACCGTTGTCGCAGATACACACCGAAGAGAAGCTCCACTGGAACCAGTGCAAGCTGAGCCGGCTTTTGGTCTACTATTTGCAAAAGCGTGCCACGAATGCGACGTGCTTCTCGAGGAATTGCAAGAGCGTCCAGGCTCGATGCCCGCAGCGCCACGCGAGGGCGCATCGAACATCGAGAAGCGATGGCACGGAATGAGGCATCTTCAGCTCGGGGGCTATTCGCTTCGCGAAATCGTACGGGAGGCATATCAGACTTATCGCGACCGTGGGCACGAGCTCGATGGGTTGCGCTCGGATTTTCCGGGTTGGCCAGGATGGGAGCACAGCTTTGGTCAGGCAATGTATCACCGGAGGCTCTTCACGACTGTGAATGGCTACATCGGCATAGGTCCTCGGACTTTGTTTCCTGGCGATCGGGTGTGCATACTGAAGGGGTGCGCTTTACCTCTGCTTGTCAGATCGAGTGAGGGCGAATATCATTTCCAGATTGTTGGAGAATGTTATATCCAAGGATACATGGATGGTGAACTTTCTCAGGGTTCCGGGGAGGACGGGATGAGGTGGGAGAAGATCTGTTTTCGTTGAGGCGAGGTGCAGTATGTATGCTGAGTGTGGCTGGTTAGCGCGGGGCAGTACGAGGTACAGGGGCCCATAGGCGACCCCCTTATAAACCAGCAGTCGCGTCTTTTATGGACCGCGATGTTCTCAGCCTACCACCAACGGACAACGTATCCGTCTCATAAAGCATGCCCACAAATGACTTCCCGACCCGTGTTCTTCCAGCGCTGGTAGTATTAGCTGCTGCTGGTGTGACACTGCATTTGACAACCAGTCGCCCGAAGAAGGAAGTCACCAACGAGATCAAAGCAAGTCTGAAAGACGGCTTTTGTGGGCACAATGACATTCTGATATCTCGTCTCCCCCTACCTCAAGCAAATCCCAGCTCCTGGGCTACCCTCCTACGGCTGTTCCACGAACATGACGCTCAGGTGACCGTGCGTGGTGACAGTCTTGTCTCCTCAAAGAAGAGCTGGGAAGATTTAGAGGCCAGTTTTGGCTATTCCAGAGTTCTACCAGATCTCAGACAATTCTCAAGCGATGCGCAACCTCGGAAATTGAGCAGCGCGGATGGCAGCTACGACTTCTACACAACTCAAGGACACGGCACGCACGCGGTCCAAATCAATCGGGCCACTTTAATCAATCTCCTGATTCTATCAAATGCACGTACCATATACGAATTTTCCGATTCGGGCGGCTATCGGGGCGCTTTTGGCAGCTGGACCGGTCAATGGTACATCAACTGGCGTGCGGGCCAACCAGCCGTCGTCACACTGAAGCCACACGATTCGCACTCGCCTGCGACTGACGTATACCCTCCTACGTTTCCAGCCAGAGTTGATCGGTGTGTTCAGATGATGGCTGGTGTTGTAGCCGATGCAGCAGCGCCCGAGTCCTTTAGTGTCGCTTTCCCAGGACGTTTAGCACCAGGTCATTACAGGCTTAAGCATCAAAAGAACGGTTTCGGTCTATCGCATGGAAGCAGACACATCTACAATATGAACGGTGGGAAGGTGTTCGAAATCGACTTCCTTTTCCCCCATCCAATGGATGAGTTCGATGTACAGGAGTCAGGGAAAAATGCACGAGGCGGAGAGGACGCGTTCCAATTCCTGCTGCCATCTCTGACAGGCGAGCGCAACGTGACGCTTCATGTCATTCCGCAAGATATCGCGACTCTCCGTAAGGCTTTGGACAGACTGCCTTGGGCCAATCTCTCGTGGTCAATGCATCGGGGTATGAGAGACATACTGATGCACGTGGCTGCCGAATCTATGGACCAGTATCGAGTAGAGCTCGCCCAACACCTTCGAGATGCCGCCCAGACATATCACGCAAAGTTGGTCAGCTCAGGGTGGGACAGCGATTTCGCAAAGCACCAAATGGGTGAAATGGCAGCGAGTGCCGTCCTCGCGGGTCGCGGCAACTCCGGCGACGCTGTGCGCATAGTCACGGCGCTGGCTGAGCAGATACACAGTGTACACGGCGGAACAACACAGCAGCGCGATACGACTAGCTTCTGGGGAAATATTCATGAGAGCCCCAGGTCTTCATTAGGACCTAGCGACATTGTTGCACTCGTGAAAGTCTTCGTTTTAGAATGGAGCCAGGAGTTCAACTACCAGATGTACCACCAGCTCCCTATCAACCTGCTCTTCGGTTAGCTCAAATCCACGCCTAGCCTCTCCATTGAACTATCATTTGTTGCATTAATCTCAGGACTGTGTACATTGATTTGATACCGGAACTTTGGCTCCAAAATGACTCGTAAAAGTAGAGGGACGTTATGGCTCGAACGCTAGGCGCACAGAAGCTGGGCGTACAATTCTACCGCCCAAGGATGTATAACGTGTTTTACAAGCGAGCGGCGCGTACAAGCGAGCGGCGCACCCCACCAACTTTACGCACCTATCTCATCTTAACCTACAATGGCTCCACACAACAATGCTCAATTACCTTCAAATGAAGCAGATATTCAGCTTGCTATCTTATCTATCAATACAAAACAGATTCAAGGCAATCGACCTGCTGCTGCAGTCTACAATGTACCCGAAACAACGCTCCGCCGCCGACGCGCTGGGAAGCCTGCCCGACGCGATTGCCAGCCCAACTCAAAGAAGCTCACTGAGCTAGAAGAGGAGGTGATTGTTAGATATATACTTGACCTGGATCAACGTGGATTTGCGCCTACGTACGCGGCTGTACGCGATATGGCTGATAAACTGCTGGCTGCGCGCGGCGCTGGTCAGGTCGGCGTCCACTGGCCGCGCAACTTTGTCAAGCGCACGGATAGTCTCACAACGCGTTTCAATCGAGCCTATGATAGGCAGAGAGCCCTGTGTGAGGATCCGATATTAATCAGAAGCTGGTTTGAGCTCGTAGAGCAGACAAAGACCAAGTACGGCATCTGCGATGACGATGTCTATAACTTCGACGAGGCTGGCTTTATGATGGGCAAGATTATGACTCAACTCGTTGTAACAGGATCAGAGCGGAGAGGCAGGCCAAAGGCTATCCAGCCTGGCGACCGTGGATGGGTCACAGTGATCGCTGCAATCAACGCTGCTGGCTGGTCAGTCCCACCGTTCCTTATTTTCGCTGGCCAGTATCATCTATCTGCCTGGTACGAGGAAGCAGAGATCCCACGCGACTGGGCGATTGCAGTCAGCGACAACGGCTGGACGAACAATGAGCTAGGAGTAGAGTGGCTAAAACACTTTAACGCTTATACGAAGACTCGTGTCGTTGGTGCGCGTCGCCTGCTCATCCTTGATGGCCATAAGAGCCACCACTCTCTTGAGTTTCAAGAGCTCTGCAAGGAGAATAATATCTATACTCTTTGTATGCCACCTCACTCATCTCACCTGCTACAGCCGCTTGACGTTGGCTGCTTCTCGCCGCTGAAGCGCGCGTACAGCCGTGAGATTGAGAGTCTAATCCGCCACCACATCAACCACATCACGAAGCTCGAGTTTCTGCCAGCCTTTAAGGCAGCCTTCACGCGATCATTTACGGCAGCTAATATCTGCTCAGCCTTTCGAGGCGCAGGCCTTGTTCCTCACCAGCCAGACGTTGTTCTATTAAAGCTAGATGTGCAGCTCCGTACGCCTACACCAGCTGCTCTACCAGAGGCTCTCTGGGAAGCCAAAACGCCGAGCAACGTACGTGAGCTTGAGGCTCAATCAACATTAATACGTAATCGTGTGCGGCGACATAAGAGCTCATCACTAGCCTCAATTATCCAGGCAATTGACCAGCTTAAGAAGGGAGCTGAAGTGATGATGCTCTCAGCTGAGCTGATGCGCGATCGGATCACCAGCCTTGAGAGGGCTAATGAGGCAGCAACAAAGCGTAGGCAGCGTAAAAAGAGGCGGATACAGAAGCGCGGGACCTTAACAAAAGGAGAGGGAGAGGATATACTGGCTCAAAAGGAGGCTGACCAGCAGATAGAGCGTGAACAGCGTCAAGGTGGAGAGCGATCAGGCCTCAGCCGCCAGGCTCTTGCGCGCTGCAAGAAGTGTAGAGAGACTGGGCATAACTCCCGTACGTGCAAAATAGATAGTTTAGATACTATTTAATCTACTATATTAATATCTATACATTGTTCTACACGGTTGTTAAGATATACATCTGCAGAGGTGCGCAAAGTTGGTGGGGTGCGCCGCTCGCTTGTACGCGCCGCTCGCTTGTAAAACACGTTATGACCGAAACAATCACAAACCCTCCCTACTCCGACCTAGTTCAGAAGATGAACCGGCACGGCAATTACTCACAGTCTCACACCGCTTCCCTCTTCGAATCAATAATCGCTCTCTAATCTCCCACCAGCGGTTGGGACAGACCTTTTGTCAGGTATACTCGATCCTTCAAGGGCGAAGCGTGTGCAATTGAACCGCGTGCGCAGTAAAGACTTGCTAACGATATGTATAGTTTGCATACACCACGCTTCTCACCAACAACAGGCCACACCGACGATTTCAGTTGCAGCATGATAATCGCAACACTACACATAACCAGGCCAAAGCCCCACGCAAGACCACCACCCACGTACATCCGCAAAACACCATCAACGCCTAGCCGGACCACACTCATACCCAAAGAGTCCCTGTTCAATCCATTCACCCATCCCAATCGCAACCATACCCATCCTCATAAACCATCCCAATTAAAACCAATAACTAATCCCACTTTTCGCGACCTCAAAGACGCATCCCAGCCCCTTCCCCGTCTCCGCCGCCATCCTCTCTCCCTCCCTCAGCTCCTGCAATATGAGATCACCCACCAAAGGCCCATCGCTCATCGTGTCCTTGACATGCATGACCACGACCTTGAGTCCCTTGAGCGGTGCTTCCAACCCGGCTGCCAGAAGAGCCCGACTATGCTCCGCGCTCACGCTAGCGATGTTCAAGGCGGCATGTGTGGAGGGATGCGCAGGGGTATGCGTACCGGTCGGCGCGGGCCGCGGCGAGGGCGCGTAGTCGGTCATAACGTCGTCGTCTGCTCCTCTCGGCTGGGCCTGACTCTGAGCATCAGGAACATAGGCGCGCGTGCGACTGCTCTTGCGCGCATCCGGCGTGCTCGCGCCTCCGCCGTCCAGCCCCGCCCCGTAACTCGCGCGCTTCCGCTTGCGCCCCTTGCGCGCCTCCTCCTTCTCCTTCTCGTGCTCCCGCCGGGCCTCCTTGACCATCTCCGCGAGGTTCTGCAGCTCGGCGAGCAGGTGCCGTGGCGCGAGGTGGCCGTACAGCACCGGGTCGCCCTGGCTGTTCGTGTAAGAGCACTCGATGAAGATACCCGTGAGGATGCCGGCGGCGATCTTGGGCGCGGCTTCCGCCCAAACGTGCGCGGTGCGTGGGGAGAGACTGATGCTGTCGGGCTCGACGTCGCCGAACATGAGGACTTCCTTTGTCGGGGTCGTGGGCGTGGATTCGGTGCGGATGAAGTACGCGGTGGAGTCAATGACGCAGTGGTTTTCGAGGGTGGATTGACTGACGTTGCTGTTGCGGGCGGCGTCGGGGGCCGTGTTTCCTGAGAACAGGGGCGTGCCGGGGGCGCTCTGGGTGGGATGGGAGAAGCTGAGGGAGCGGGCTTCACGGCCGTCGGGGAGGGAGTCGAGATGCTGTGATGAGATGTGGTGGGTGGACGCACGGTGGAGACCGATGCTCGAGGGCTCGAGTTGGTTGGCGTTGGAGCCACGATGGACATGGCCAGGGCCTCGCATGCAGTGGCCGTGGCTGACTTTGAAGCCGCGCACGCCGAGACCGTCGCAGACTTCGATGTAGCCACGTCCACTGCCTTCTCCGAGGGCAATGTTGCCACCTTCTTGGAGCCTTTGGAAGGTGACTAGGCCTACGCCGCCGTCTTCGTCGGTGAGGTTCGGCCATAAGATGTTGTTGAAAATGTGTGTCTTGATCGCATTAACGGTGAATGGAAGCGCTGCTAGCCGTTTAGGACGAGATGTATTGTGGAAAGCGGCCGTGTTGATCACAAAGCCAGATACGTGGTCTAAATGGGGATGCGTGATGAGGTAGGTCGAGATATGTTCCCTCACTACATGCAGCGCATTGGCCCTCGCGGTTTCGTTCGGAAATGCTACTCCAGCAAAGGGGCCATTCTCTAGTGTCGTGTAGGTGGGCATGGGTTCGATATCTGAACTTGGCGTGTCGATGTCGGACCCTTCGTCAGAGACTGATATGGGCGCCGTCCCTGGTGAGGGAGAGTCTCGCTCACGGCCATTGCCATTCCTGTTCGGCAATTTTGGCGTCACTCTTGGTGCAGGCTCTGATGCTAATGGAAAGTCATTGGCGAGTATGCGGGTTATGGCTGCCAGATGGGATCCCGCATCTACAGCCAGGACAGAGTTCTTCGCCCACTTTGCGGCTGTTGATCGTACGAGAAAGCCAGTAACATTGTCTTCACTAGGTCCGCCTCCAGAGCCCTGAGAGAGTCAGTGGACAAGTTTTGGAGCGCAATGTGCGTGGTACAGGGTGGTGTGATGGTACGATCTGCGCCTTTGCGTCATCCAACACCCAACCATATCTACTCCCAACCACATGTAATAGGGCGGAGAAATGATGAAAAACCAACCTACCAAACAGATGACCTGTAGCGCTGGCTCGTTCGAATGTCCCGACGTCCGCCTCGTCTGCCCATGCCCCTCGCCTTCCTTCATTCCAGGATCGTGGTCGAAGGCTGTTCTACCACTCAAATACTCCACTGGAACAGTTCGAGTACAAGGTCTCAGCCTTATCCACAGAAACGGGAGCCTAGATCTGTCTCAATCTGACTCAATCTGAGTCGGAGATGTTTTGCTTTTGCCGAGGATCGTTGTCTCAGCGCCACGCCTCTCTACAACCAGTTCTTAGGAGTATCGTGACCAAGCAGCCTCACGCTACTGACCTGAACTCTTCTCTCAACCGAGCTTGAGTTCGAGGCGTCGCAGCTGGATGAACTCAGTCGTGATGCGCTTCAGCGGGTGATAAACCTCTGTTGATGGACGTCCGTAACAGACGATTTTTCAGTTGTCCACGTACAGGCCAAATAGGCGAACGTATGGGGCCGGTATGTCGTGCAGAACTGGTGTCGCGATGCCGCAGCAAGCCGTCGCGCGCTGCAGGCGAGCGGAGCAGCGCGCTCTCTTCCCCAGGCGATCGTCGCCCTCGCCAAAGTCAATTCCAGCCTTCTCTTGTGACCGCTCAGCAGGGCCGTTGACTGTTGAAGCTCGTTCGTCTTTATCCTGGCGCGCCTGTTGAGCAAGTCCTGGACATCCACTTCTCTTCTTCTGACCAGGCACCCGAGTAACCCGCGGACGCAATGCGGTCCAACGCCCAGCGCGCAAAGCACCCGGCAACCTCGAATTGATGAGCGTGCTAGCCCCCTCGAGTCCGGCGCAGCTCTTATACGTATCTTCCCAATGCGCAGCGCAAAGAAAGCCAGCGCGCTCTTTGACGCTCGCTCGAGGTCAAAAGAAGAGCCGCGTTCAAGACACCCGGACCCCAGGCCCCGGCCTTCGACGCCTGCCTTGTGTGGCTGCGCTCCCAAGCCCGCTCGCTGCCGTCCAATTGCCGCGCAGCAGCGTGCCTTCCTCCGCTGCCCACCCAATCAGCGCCGCGTCACGCCGGACTCGACTCAAGCCTGGGTCCTCCCAGCCTTCCCTTCACCAGCCGCATTCCTCGAAGAGACATGGTCCATCGGCACGCTGCCTCCTACCAGGTAGTCTAGCGCTGGCAGTGCGACCCTCTGCTCCGACCGCGACCGAGGGATCTGGTTTGTAAGTTGCATACAACGTGCGCCTCAGTCCCATGGTTCACCAACGCAGGCCAACGAAGACCCGGGTTCCAGGCCTGGAAAGCGGGGGGCCGCATCGTTGCTTGTCTTGTCTGTGTACGACGAGAATACCCGTCTCAGCTAAGCCGCATGGGTGCTCTCGCCATTGGTCCCCCTCATGCGCTGTAAGACATGGATGATTGTCGTACCTTTGTCGTCAGGGTTGCTGTATAGCATGCAGTGTCAAGATGCCAAATACGCACTGCGAACGTTGCGTTTATGTCGGTACGTGCATCGGCCACCTGCTATCGCTAGGTTCATTCCAGGCAGAATTGACTATCGCGATACGATGGACATGCGTAGAAAAGAGTCAGCAGCCAGGGCATGCCAAGTTTCAGGTATAACGTGGGTCACATTGGTGAATTTGTAGTATGGGCTGGAAGCTCTTCCGATTCGGCTTTTGCGCCCAATCTAGGCAGGCAAGAGTGACTGGTATATCTCTACTAAAAGCTGCCCCACACCTCTTCGGGTCCATCTGTCATCCTTCATATGCATAGTGTCCCATCACGAAGTCGTAATATTCGTCCCATCATGATCCAATCCCTAATTCCCTCCTTTGAAAGAAAATGTTTACTTGAAGATCTTGCCATCGGCGTACTTGTACTCCTTGCCGTCAATGGTGATGGCCGGAGGCTCGTCAGCCCACTGCTGCTCGACGAAGGTGCGGTCCTCTGGCTTGGAGGGGTCGAGCTTGGTGAACTCGTAGCTCTCAAAGTCGGGAGCGACATCGAAAGCCGGGGTGGAGTCCTGGCCACGGATGACAAAGGCACCTTGAATGGCGTTGTCGTTGTTCTCACCGTACACGGAAGCGGCACCGAATATGAACTTACGGGAAGCCTCAAGACGGGCGAAGAAACCACCTGCATATTGTTAGTGTGCGCCAAAATGCCCGAAAAATGTGAGGTAACGTACCAACGAGGTTGGAGGTCATGAAGACGAGCTTGTTCTCCTTGTTGTACTTGTAGTCGACCTTCCAGATGGAGTACTCATCGAACTTGACATTCTCCCAGAACCACGGCAGGGAGACCTTCACGTCGTTGTTGGAGTACTGGCGCTTCCACTCGTCAAGGTCGAAAGTGGGGCGGTCAAGCAGGGCAAGGGGGTGCTTGGGCTTGGGCTTAGGAGCCTCCTCCTCCTCTTCGGCGGGGGTCTCCTTGGGCTTGGCCGCAGCCTTGGGCTGCTCCTTCTTGGGCTTCTCCTCCTTCTTCGGGGGAGTGTTCTTGATGGCCTCCTCGATGAACTCGAGCTTGCCTGCCACTGCGGAGTAGCTAGGAACGTTGTAGACGGTCTCGTACCAACGGGTGACGTTGGGGTTCTCCGCACGCCAGGCCTTGTCGTAGAAGTACTGGAAGCCGCGGGCGAGGATGGAGGCAGTGAAGAAGTCAGCGAGGGTGAGGCGCTCGCTAACAAGGTAGGTGTGAGTGAGGAGGTACTCCTCAAGGACGTGGACGGCCTTGGTGGCAGCAGCCTTGGAGTCCTCGATGTTCTTCTTGTTGTAGGGGTCACGGCCGACGAGGGGACGGAACCAGCCACCGAGAGGAGTGAGGATCTCAGTGTTGGCGTATGACATCCATCGCAGGATAGAGGCGTAGTCCTGCTTGGTCTTGCCAAGAAGGGCGGTCTTCTCGTTTTGCGAGGTGACTGTGATGGTCAGTTTGAGTCACAATATGAGACGGCAATATATTGCAATATAGCGGAAAAATAAATCAGAGTAGAAGATTCTCAACAAATGTGTTCAGACAGGGATAACTGAATGATAATATGCCTCATCCTTTGCGCAGGTAGAAATATGGGGAAGACGTACGGTAAACGGCGATAGCGATGGTCTCGCTGAGGACGAAGCCGTCAGCGCCCTCGAAGGTGGGAACCTTGCCGAGCTTGTTGAGCTTCAGGTACTCGGTGGAGACACCATTGGCAGGAGTGGTCTCGACAAACTCGAGGTCAAGACCATTCTCCTTCGCAACGGCGAGCAGCGAAGTGGTGCGCGGGTTGCCCTGCGGGACACGTTAGTCATCGTCGCTCAACAGCCAGCTGTACCTCGGGAGCACGAACCGAGTAGGAGTAAAGCTTGCCGAAAGACATGATTGCGATTTTCTTGGATTACAAGGAAAACAATCAGTGGTTGACAAGGCAGTAGTCGAGAAAATTGAAGTATGCGAGGGGAGGCGGGGCAAGACGAGGGAAGAGCTTTTTGTGCCGGAGAAATTGTGCGCCGACGACGCCTTCCCCAAATGAGCAACGAGGGAAGGCGCTTGGGCCGCGCCTTCCCAAGAATTTACGAACCACAGCTTGCGTGCAAGCCATCACAACCCACAACGCCATTTCGCGACAATTGAAGCCGCCATGGCGCGAGGCGAGCTTTCACGGACGCTATGGTCAGCCGCGGAGGGCCTGCGAAGCGCACCACGACCCCAATGCACGCGGACGATGCGATTACCGTACAGGAGTCTTCAGCCGGCAGCGCGCTTCATCTCGACCACGCCGTCGCGCAGCGCCGAGCTCATCAAGGAGACTCCCGAACCGACACCAGAACCATTCACTGCTGCTCCCGAATTTCAGTTCGAGGGAGAAGAGGATATCGAGGATGGAGACATGGGCCCGAGGGGTGGTAAGCGCTCGAAGGGTGGAAACAGCCAACAGAGCAACAACCAACTACTTCGCACCCTGCGCGTTATACCGGCGTCTCGATCGTATTTCAGCGCAAAGCCAACCTTCAACGACGACTACCTCCATGTTTCCGCTCTCCTCCGCAGCGTTGCCACGCTACCTACGATATCGAGCACCGAGGCTCCCAGGGTGGCATGGAAGACGATCGACCAATACCGCATCATGACCAACGAACCGGTCAAGACGCAGCGATTCCACAAGATGATGCACATTGTCAAGCGATTGAATTTGGTGCACCCATCTTTAATGCCAGAGCATATCAAAATAGCGATGCGGCGGTTCATGAAAGATAGCCAGCCAGGTGATGTCGTCCCTGAACCTCAGGTTCTGGACCAGTGGGGCCGAGCTAGAGGTGTCGGCCGCAGGAAGACTTCATCTGCCGTTGTGTGGCTGGTGGAGGGAGAAGGCGAGGTTCTTGTCAATGGCAAGTCCTTGTCGCAATTCTTCGGACGTTTACATCACCGCGAGAGCGCCGTCTGGGCCTTGAAGGCCACGCAGAGGCTGGACAAGTACAACATGTTTGGATTGGTTCAAGGCGGAGGATCAACAGGCCAAGCAGAGGCGTTGACTCTGGCTGTTGCGAAGGCCTTGTTGGTACACGAGCCGGCATTAAAGCCAGCTCTACGACGCGGTAAGCGCTCCTGCTTTCGTTCTGACGAATATTCTGAATAGAGTGCTAATGTTTTGCAGCTGGCTGCGTTACTCGGGATCCAAGGAAGGTGGAAAGGAAGAAGACCGGTCATGTCAAGGCGCGCAAGATGCCAACCTGGGTCAAGCGTTAAGCTTTTCGTGCACTGTATATTATCCCTGTGCATTAGCATACATGTCTTTTGTAACATACTCGAATGTAGGCGGTATTTTCGTCCGCATCTGCATCTTCGTAGTCACATCTTATGTTTCGATACCAACATGCACCTCATGCTGTGATTTGAAGTATCTGCAGTAAGTGAGAGCCGGCCAACCAGGTATTGGTAGACATGGTGGAGAGGAGACTGGATGACAGCTTCCGACTATAAACGTTCCATGGATTGTTCAAAGAAGCGACTGAGGATCAAAGTCGAAAGCAATGTCCCCTGTTCGCAGTGCACATACAGTCAAATGACCTTGACCATGTGCGGTATAGCCGAACGTTATATGGTTCGGTCGATCCGGAAGTGACTTCCAGCCGACCAAGATTCGCTACTGTGCTCATGGGGTTCTGCGCCTGTAACGATTGAGAATCCTGTCTGTCGCGTGTCTGTCGTCAGCAAGACAGGACATCCTTCCCATCGGGCGTTCGTGGAGGATCTGTAAGTGTGAAGAAGCGGCAAGACATGGTCGGGCATGCCTCGGTCCAAAAGGTTTCAAAGCGTTCAAGCCTGGCCAGACAAACGGGGTGGTCGTCAATCCCAACCACTCACGGCTCATTGTTTCTCCGACCCCCAGTCACTCTCTTACGCTTGCGAGATTCATCGACGCAAGAGTACCCGAGGGTTGCTGTATGAATGGCGTGTTTCTCGACTTGCTCGCCCAACACTTCTATTCTACCAGCCCTCGTCTGTGGCTTTCCCTCAGCGGCGCGTGTGGTTTCTCCTGTCTTGTGCAGCTCGACGTTGACGTTGCAACGATTCGCGACGCGCTAAGCATGGTATCCTTGTGTCGATGGCTGGTGTGCGTAATGTTCTCCAAAATAGCTGTCCTAAAGCGGTTCGCGCATCGCTATTTGGAGAGAGCCCCAAGACTAGAAAAACAAGTGTGGAAATGGATCTTGACCGGCGTGGCTGATACCTCGGTCGCAACAAAGGCCCGTTATGAGGAACGGGCAAGCGTAACCGCACGAGCACGTTGCATAGGCCATGTTCTTCTGACTCGCCGAATTGCAGGGCCATGGGCGATTGTTCGGCGCGGACCAATCAACGCGTGCGCCCTGTCGCTTCCCCAAATGCTCGCTTCTGATCTCAACGGCGATATCGCCGATATTCATGGCGGGAGCAGCCCTAACGGCTAAAAGGGTAGATGTGGTGCTTGCTACGGCACTTGGTCGGAAGCAGGACAACAGCCGAACAGGTGGTGTTTGAGGATGGAGTGCGCGCAGACAATTCATGCGATGATTTGAAAGCATGCGCCGCAGCTGTGTGTTTTGCTTTTAAGGCCGCCTGCGAGTTGCAGATTCAGCAGCACAGGCATGGCAGCTGCTGTTGAGAGAAACGAAGGAAACACGATCGTGACAGCCTTCTGGAAAGCTGTTCGTGGGACCTGTAATTTCGGATGTGTCGTGGACGGGTGAGTGCCGAATCGCTACTGCTGGGCTAAATGATGCACCAATGGCCTATTCAGACCGAGATGTAACCTGGACGCCGCCTGTTTCAAAAGACGGCAGCATGTGTGAGGGCGAGTGCAATCAGGGAGTTCTGCGCATCTTCCAGAAGACTGACACAGGCGATGATCCCGGCAGAAGGGCACGTGAGGGCAGCATCCATGGCGGTTGCGACGGCCACATGGAAGTCCGGTGGGTGCGCGTCGCGTGTTGGAGCAGCATCTTGTTGGTGCGAGTAGTGTACCATGATCCGCTCGCCGACCAGAAGAGCGTTGAGCCGTGCGCCGGAAGGAGGTTTCGCGGTGCATTAGAGGGCTCCGCGCAGGGCCAGTCAAACGTGCAGGAGCCGCGCCGATGCTCACGGTGATTTTGCTGCCAACGCTCCGCGCGCGGTGCAGTTCAAGGTTGTGATGGCATGAGTCTGGGGGGCCCTCGCCCACGCCGACGTGCCCTGTCTGTAGGCACATGTGCCCGATGCCCGCAAAGGCGCTGGCGTGCGGCGGGATCGACGAGTGAGGCTGTGTGCGGATCGGGCTGCGCGTGCACCCCTGCGCTCGGTGGCATCAGAGAGATGAGCGAGTCTTGGGCGAACCACCACCCCCTGACCATACCGCGGGCACGGGCGCTGGCCCAAGGAATGGAATGTCATGTCAGTGGCCCCAAGCAACACCACCGGATGACGCTGCAATGGTCGAAGAACCGTTTGATGATTTGGCTCGCCAGGAAACGAATCACAGCGCCGCCTCTCCACGATGCATCTTGTTCTTCGCCTGCATGAAACGCCTCTGCGACGCTGCTCGCCCAATGCTCGCCCGGCCGACGGACCAGCTCCTCCTCGCAGTGCTCAGTTTACAGTCTGTGACCGCGCAGTTGGTGGCTCCTCGCGCCGGACGCGGACGGCCCCCTTTGCTCAGCTCAGCGCGGCCAGCCCTGGGCAGGTATGCACTCGACCTCGCACCGCCAAGCGCTCGAGCAGTTCAGCGTCCTGGCCGTTGCAGCATGCACAGGCGAGAGCGTCCCTCGCGGATGCGCTAGGCGGCGCTGCTCTCCATACGCGTGCTTCTCCGCGCGCATGAAGCGTGATGCCGACAGCTGCTGTGTTCCGTTCTGCGGAAGGATGCTGACAGATGGCCTGTATGCGCGCGCGCCCGCCAAACAGCGCTGATGCCCTGCAGAAATGCCTGCCAGCCCTCTGCAGATCCTCGAGGGCGATCTGTAACCATGGCGGCAGGGCTTCATCCTAGCGCAAGCCCCACCATATCATGGTCGGATATCGGAGACCTGGCCCAGGTACGCAGCTGCTCGCCGTCATGTCATCCACAGTTTGCTGAAGGCGCTCAATTGCTCCTCTCCCTCACTCCCCCGGCCCAGCGCCACACCCACATCTCAGGTACGAGGTACCCCAAACGCGGCCTGGCTCTGCTCCCACACCCTTACCCGCACCCTTCGTCGCCCGCCCGGCCCTATTATTACACTGTCTGGCCGCCGCCGTGGCGCGTGGGCCCTTTTCTTTTGCGTCCTTCCCGCTTGATGCTCTCACACCCAAATGTGGCCGTTCCCACCCTCACTTCGTCACAACCAACCCAACCGACACCACACGCTTCCGTTAGCACTCCCGCCTGCACGCGCCCCCACTTGCACCCCAAGACTATTGTTGCATCGGACGCCGTCTGCGGTAGCGGCGAGCTTTGGCACGCAAATCTGCCCGAGCGCTTTGCTCGTGACGCAACCTGCCTTAAAGACCTCCCCACCCACTGCCCAATGAGACCACGCCCGCACGACTCTTCTCATTGAAAGGCTTTTCCACCGGACCCAATTTGAACCCGTGGGCCAGTGCAAACACGCGCGGGCAAAGCCTGGCTGTCGCACTGTCGTCTTAACGCGCACCCAACGCTTCATCTTTCACTGCACCTGCTCCATATCGTCCTGTGCGCCGTGGAGCTACTATCGTGACGGACGCCAACGCATCGTAGGGCTGGCCATCTGCCGGAACGAAGGCGTTGGGTTGTTTGAGATCCAGTAGCCTGGCTTTCTAGCCCATTGCGTTCGGGCTGTTGACCGAGTGCAAGGACAGCCCTACCTCATCCTGCTGCGTTCCTGGGGGAGCATTACACCAAGCCCAACTCTTCCAGGGTCCTCCACGTTTCTTTTGCGCGCCACGGTCCTGTCACGGTTTGGCTACGAGCCCAGGAGGTCCACCATCACCTTCGTCATCCTCAAACGTTGCCATATCGGGACACCGCCTGCCGGGTCCGCACAGAAACATCCTCGTCGCAACGGGCCGAGGATATCCTTGCGAGCGTGCCAGGCCAGCGAGGCGTTACGCCGGCTGCTTTTTCCTCTGTCAGGCTCCATTGGCTGCGCAAGTGATGCGCGAGGGTGCTGTTTATATCCATACCCATCCGTCTGAAGCCTCGAGCATCCCGCTCTTATTTGCACCGCGGACGTCACCTCCCGCGACCACCACCCGGACTCCAGGACCCCGCCCTCACCGCAGCTCAAACTCGTTCTCGTCCGACCTCTCACTCTCGTCTCTGCAACCCGCGCCCGCCTGCAGCCGCCTCGCGCCCGCCCACCGCTCGTCGGCCGACACGTCTCCAAGCTGGCAAATTACGCGACCCCGCCAGTGTCGCCCTCGGCGTATAGGGCCCTCGAACCGCCCTTTAACGTGCAGCTCAAGAGCCGGCCGGGTGGGATGGACAATGACCGCCGGCCACGGCAGAGTACCGCAGGTTACGCGAGCCAGCAAGGCACGCTGCTCCAACCACAAGCATCCTATCCTGTGGTAAGCGCATCCGACCGCTTCAGGCAGGCGCCTTTGGCCGCCCAGCCGCCCACTTCTGCGCCGTCAGCTCCAGCTGCGGCCAGTCGCGCGGGCCCGGGCACCAGCGCACAAAGTTACGGTTACGCTTACGAAGGAGGTTCACAGTTTGTCGGCTCGTCGATTCAGCAGCCCGGCGTGGCCTACGGCACCCAGGACTTTGCCGACCAACAGGCGCCGCCCCAGCGCGGCTCCCAGCAGCAGTACTCGCAGTATCCCCAGAACGTCATGTACAATGTCCCCGCCCAGGGCTCGCAGCCGGGCTCGTCACAGTACGAGCCCGTGGCACAGTATCAGCAGAACAGGGACTCGGCTATAGAGGTCCTGGGCACCAACTTTGGCGTTGCACAACCGCAATACTACAGTGGTGTGCCCAGCGAGAGTGGCCCAACAAGCGCGCCATCTTCTGCCATAGCGCCGCAGAACGTCTCCTCTCAGTACCCGTCCATAGGATATACACCGCAGCAGTCTGCGCCGGCCTACTCGACCGCCGCCATGACTGACCCGCACCCACCTACCACCCACGGCGGAGGCTACTCCCAGCCTGCATATCCCCAGCCCCAGCCCCAGTCCCAGCCTCAGCAGGACGGCAATAGCAACGAGTACGATGATTTCTACAACACCTACCAGACAGAGCTCAAGAAGACGTTTGAGCAGGTCCACGACGGGCGCCTGAGCGAGGCGGCGCCAGCACTCGACCGTCTCTCAGATTGGCTGCTGCACTGGGCCGAGACCTTGGGTGAGTTTTGTAATTACGTGTGGCGCGAACGAGCAGCTGAATTGACTATAGGTCTAGTACGCGACGATGAAGCACATTATCAGATGCGCCTCAAGCTATGGGAAGAATTCAACAACTGCTGGCTGGGTCTATTCCAAAAGCAGTTCGAGTTGGTCGAAGAGATGCGGACTACAGGCCAGCGACCGCAGGCGCCGCAATCGATCATTGAATACGATTTCATTGAGAAGATGGGCAACAAGCTCGTAAAGAACTGCGACAACATGGAGAAGCACGGGCTTGTCGACTACCAGATGGGCGTCTGGGAGGAGGAAATCACTGCTAGTGCGTGCATAACGCCGCTCTCCCCTTGCAGAGCTGACTATTTTTAGTGTTGATGAAATGCCTCGAGCAGCTCGAAAAACTAGGCGCCGGCTCCTCCTCCACTCAGCGACCCTCGGCATCCGGCTCACGACGGCGATAATACAAGCTTTTTGCGACGGCGATTCCCTTCGTGGCTTCGTATGGCGCTCGTGGTTGTTACGCTAACGACGCATCGAGCGAAGCCCCCTCGCCTATTCTCCCCTTACCTCGTGTGTTACTTGTGTACCATATTCGCAGTTGGAAGAACAGCGCCCTGGTTTCCAGCAATGTCTGGCCGTTTCCTTTTTTTCTCATTGTACATGATTCTCTCTTTGTCGTTACGCATGTCCATTTTTCACTAGTCTCGCTCTTCTCACATGGTCTTGATCTTTTCCGCCTTCCGCCTTGAGGACTATAGCAGGGACTGCGCCAGCTCGCCGAGCTCATGCAGCGACGACGTACTCCGGACTCTGGGCACGATGTTTCCTTTTCACGCCACCGGACTTATCGATTCTCCTATTAAGATACTCTGCATTAGATGGACGACACGGCGAAAGGATTAGGCATTGGGTTCACATGGGCCCCGCGACATCAATGACGCGGGGATTGGGCAGGGCTATGGGCGGACATCTGGGCTTTGGGCTTTTGCTTGCTTTTCCGGTCGAGGGCACTAATCAAAGAGGGTTGGCCGGTGCTGGCGTCGGTCGGTGTTTGGCATGGATCTTAATGAAGAGATGCGGTGTGAGGTTTTGTTGGCGCAGTCTGGGCACAGTTGGAACCAGGTTGGGAGATGGGGTACAAGCCCCAATTATCCGACGTGTCCGGTGGAGATGGAGACACAGCAAGGGGAGGTAGCCCAGAGCCGGAAGAGGCAGGCGTTTGTGCATGAGGATGGGCACCGACAGCGACAGCCGTCCGAGGCGCTGCGAGTGAGTTGGGCTGCATGGTCGGGCAGCAACAGAGCCCGCATTGTATGAGCCATGACTCTCAATTTCTCAATAGACTAGCATTGTAAATGTTTGCAGGATTTACTGAACCATGGAAAAGCGTCCCGGAAGAAATCGCATTCGTGTTAGGTGCGCGTGGATGTCCGACTCCTGCCGCGTACAGTGACCAGGGTCTCTGCTCGCCTCATTCACGCCCACGCGTCCTTTCGGACAGCCTCACGGCTCGGGCACCGCGCCTCTGCGCCATCGTTCATGCGCGGGCTTCATCTCGTTCCTCTGGCTCGGATCGAGGCGTCGAATCGTGGGCATGGCGGCTGCAGTTTCCCGCTCTTGACGTGCAGTGCTCTCCACCCTTCTCCAGGATCCTTGCGATGCAGGCTCTTTTTCGGGCAAAAACAAACCCAGGAACCACCGCCGCGGTACCACGATCGACGCGCGCTAGGCTCCGAACTGCAGAGGATGCAAAGTGACGAGATGTGCTGAATCGTCGCCGCAGTCACTTGACGCGACGGCGATCATACAGGCGATTCCTTCGCTTGCGCATGTTCGCCACGGAAACATGGTGGCGACGACCGCCTCACCATGTGAACAGGCCTCGCAACAGAGATGCACGTCTACTCGCCTTGCCGCTTGGCCCAGGGGAAGGAAGTCATCGCCCACTGGTCAGACGGAGCAGCTCGTATTCCTGCGAGCTGAGAGCTGCAGTCTAGGGCTGGAACATTGCCCAAAGTCCACCAATCATTTGATATCCTGCGCCGGGGAGACGAAGCCCACAGCCGGTCGTCTCCGCGGTCTGGGGAGTGCGCATCGGAGGTTTTGCGACATGACAGCGCCCACCCCGGCGAGCGACGCCTCACAGATGCTTCTGCACCGAAGTGCGCAGCCAGCTATTCAGCGCGGAGCCTGAAACACACACCTCATACTTTTTGCAGTCCAGGGAACAGCTCTTCCGGGCCAGCCGTGGAAGCCGTCCCCTGCGTTGCGTCGCTTTTGCGTATGCAGGAGATATTTAAGGCGATGTGGCTGGGTGGGTCGACCCCACAAGGGTTGGTGGATAGTGTGAACTATGAACTTGGATGGGCGCAACTATCGACTTCCAACCTCAACACCACATCGCCTGCCTGATTCGCTTCCAGCGAAATTGGTTCAATATCTTGGTTCTATTGAGGTAACGCGTTCGCGGGGTCGCCGAGTAGCATGTCGCCTACCAGCGGAGACTGCGTGACCGCACCTCAAACATAACGTCAGGTGACCTGACACGATGTTACTCCTACTTGACCTGGCCTACGTTTAGCTCGCAGGATGTCTACAGCATGCATCACAACTCAACCCCATGTACGAGTATACAAATAGCACGCGCACACGACGCCTCTCCCTGCACCTACTTAGGCTACACCCGTAGCACGGTATCCCAAGCGTGGCAGCCACGTCAACAAGGGTACAAGACACGACAATTGATTATCCCAACAACCATCTGCGCAGCCCCACCAGTCGCACATGGCTGCTCTGACTGAGACGACGCGTTTCAGAACGCTGACAGGCTGACGGCCACACCTTCCACATGTCTTACCACGGCACTTGCAAATACGAGGCTGGCTGTACATAGAGACTTGTGGATATGCTTGGAGTGGCGACTTCCACACTTGAAACACTACCTGGCAGCGGCATATGAGAAGAGCATAATTGCTTTTTACAGATCTAGCGCCAAGTGCCTTGATGTGGTCGTTCAGCTCCGCGACCGCTTTTTTGTCCGGCTTTGACCGACTTCTGTTCCTGGATGTTGTGGAAGCGTACTCACGTGGAAATATAAAAGAGCGTACCCTGATGCAGAAGGTGCTGTAGGTCCCGCCAGTAAGCATGTCTTGCTTTTTGCGTCAGCAGTCGCGATTCCCTGAGATGCCCGCTCCTCCAAAGCAAGGCCCGCTTCCATCGACCTGTGGTCACCAACACTCAACGCTTCTCCCTCCTCGGTCCGACTGATCCCTGCCTCACGAAGCTCTCGTCAATTGCCCGTCTTCCATATGCTAGATTCATAACGTTGCGTGAGGCCGGATCCTCCGGCCCCTCCTTCTGTCGTCCCGTCCGCGCACGTGCTCGGGGAATGTCTCCCGCGCGAGGGCCATGCGCGTGGACCCCGCGACATCGGATCGTGCCGCTTTGAACATCGTCGCTTTGCTGGGCCGTATGGGCTCTGACGCAAGGATGCGCGGTGCGGCCGCGGATATGCGAAGCCGTTTTATGGGTGATCGCAGTGTAGATCTTCATTGAAGGATGCGAAGACCGTTGGTTGGGAAGATGCTTGACGCGGAGGGACGCTAAGAGGGCACGCATACACAGTAGACATGCGAAACGTGAGACTGGAGTATGAATTCGTAGGTATTCCAGGAAATCTCTGTGTTTGTCGTCATCCCCAACGTTTGGACATTTTCTAGAAAGGCAACGTGGTGTTATGAACCTTACGCTCTTTCGCCTCTTCTTATGCCTCCTCTTTTCTTCTGTTCATTTTATCGATCTCATGCTCAGCATGACAAGAGGTTGCATGATTCTGATGCACTCCTTGTTATTTGATGCGACTTCGAGGAACACTTGCCTGTTCTTCATGTTTATCTGTGGGACATGTGCAAGTTGAAAAGTCGCTGCGTTCTTGATATATCGAGGGCGTAAAACAGGAGGCGCTATAATTGGGGCCTAACAAACATTAGGTGTTTAGGATGATACATAGCAAGGGCGTGTTTCGGATGGAGGACCTTCTCGTGTTGCAACAGCAACTTTGTGAGAGAATCGTTGTGATTGCTGTACAAGAAAGTCCGTCGGAACACTTGCCTGTCATCGACGCAGAGTACTCAGCTGGACATGTGGGGATATGGACTTCTTCTCTGCACATAGACAGTCTGATGGATCTTTCTTACTACGGACGCAGGAGCAGGGCAGTGTGAGCGGTTTTCCCGACACGCCTGTGAATGATGTACAATACAGGGCAAAAAGATAAACAACGGCACTGAGATGCAGATGAAGCATGTCGGATCTGCGATGATATCTGGAGAGCGATGATTCGCTTGTGCTTCGTGCTGCGATTATCCTTGTCAACAGACCAGGGGCACAGGCAGACGCCGTGTCATTGTCGTCAACGCTACTGCTTCAGGTATGTGCGAACAGGCCGGGAAGGAAGGCGTATATGTAGCTTCAGGTGGTCACGCTGTCAGAGATATTGGAACTCGGGGATATATAATCGCTCGTTCCGTTTGACAGGAATAAGTGGACGAGCGAGCATGGGGAGAGTGGCGACCGACAGTGGACTCCACCTTTCATCTTCGCCACCTTGCTTATTTATTGCTGGCCAAAACGGCAATAGCATATTGCATCGCGCAACACGTATGCTTCTTGCCTCTATGTCTCGACACCAACACAACGACAGCCCTTTGCCTACCGGTCAATTCATCCGCTCCTCGCCTACCTCCACACTACACAGCAATAGCCTCCCCCTAACTTCCAGCCAGAGCTTCTATTCCCCCTAATACCCTTCCCACCATGACCCAGTAAGAACGTCTCCTCTCTCTCACCCCGTATATCATGTCCTATATTCTCCCGTTCGCTCACTCTCCTCCTCCACCTCACTGCTCCTATCACTCCCCAAATCCCCAATCAGCTTCGGATAACACTTTGCACAATTCCTGCATGTCGCCCTAAGACACGGTGGCTTATATACCACAGACGTCTGGCTCCCGAAGTGGAAGTCGAAGGCGCCGCGGCCTGGCTTGAAGGTGCAGTCCTTCTGCTTGCGAGCACGCTTGCGGGGTTTGGTCGTGGGGAGATGCGAGGATGAGGACGGTGGGTGGGCGTTCCAGATGGACGCTGGGATGGTCAGGGAAAGGACTGAGTTTGGGGTGGTGTTGTTCCACGTGTGCGCTGGGAGAGTGATACGGATGGTTGGGGATAAGGCCATCTTTGGTTGGTGGATGATTGACGGGGCGGATGAAATATTCCATTTTCGGGTAGATGTTGAGAATGGAAGGCTGGCGTTTGTGAGTTGAGTTTGCTAGGGAAAGCTGACATGCTTTCTTGAATTTGATTGTCCGATGAAGATGCGGGTAAAATTCATGCTGGGACTTTGTTATGTTCTCATCATTCTGGCGCTTGGGGGGAAACTGCAAAGTCCAGATCTGGCCTTCGGTATGGACTGAGATGCAGGGATTTGAATTTAAACCCCCCAATTTCACTGTGTATAAAGGAATCAGAACGTCAGAAGAGTGGAATGCGATTACATATTAGGATCTACTTGAAGCATGTGCTTCGTTATCTTGGGTGAGCGGTGTTTCAAATCTATCCAAACCGGACCTGGTTTACCATTTGCGAATTCTTTTCCTTTCTGAACGCCACAATGCAACTCATACGTCGTCGTATCCAATATCTACACACCCTTGGTGGATTCTGCAACTGAAGTCTAATTCTCCAGCTCTTCGCTCCGTACCCTTCTAAATGAGACACACATCTCTTTATTCAACATCTCCATCCCTCCCCTGCGCCTCATCAACCGCACTCTGCCACTTCGACACCTTACAATAAGTCCCCTCAATCATCCAAATTAAGCAGCTCCCAACCAAACATCCGATCCACAGACCTTCCAGCTCCAGCTTCGGTGGCCCAAAGCAGAGCGCAAACGCGACCGGAATAGCCACGAGGTAATACACGCCCAAGTTAACGTAGCCTCCGATATCCTGGCGACCAAGACCGCGCAGAATGGCGTTGGCCAGGGCGCAGCCTGCATCAGAGAGTTGGAATAGCGCAAGGATCGGCATTACGGATGCGGCTATTCTGATGACTTCGGGGTCGGAAGTAAATGCGCGAGGTAGGATGTGTCGCATGAGGGTTAAAAACGTAGCGTCGACGATGCCGATGATAAGGAAGATAAAGATGTAGGTACGTGTGGCGATGCGAGCGGCTGGAAGTGCTCCGGCTCCGATCAGGTTGCCTAAGCGTGTGGATACGGCAACGCTGGTGCTGAAGGGGATGTGATATATCATGACGGCCGTAGACATGACCACGCTTTGGGCGGCAAGATGTTCTGTCGAGAGGTAGGAAGCAGAGAAAGTAAGGATATCGAAGGCCAGCCATTCGGCTTCTACCATGATGATTCCAGGAAGACTGAGCCTGGCCATTGGGCCCCAATTGGTGAGGGCTGCGCGGGTGAAACCAGCCCAGCATTCCAGGCTTGATGGGGCGATGAAGTATACATAGATCCAGAGGAGAATTGGCAGGAGTGTGTTCGAGAGGACAGTCGCCAGCGCGGCGCCAGGAAGATACCAGTGAAGGACGAAGACGAAAAGATAGTTGAGCAAGATGTTGACCGGTGTCGCGACAATAAGCACGAACAGCGACGCATTGAAAAGTCCTTGCGCTTGCGTGAAACGCTTCCCAGCTTCGAAGACTGCATAACCTGGGGCGCCTGCCAGCAGTATCTGAAGGTAACGTCCCGCCATATATGCCAATTCTTTCTCTGGAACCAAGGCCGCCAAAATCCATCCCGAACACCTACAGATACAGCGTCAGCGTGATTTAGGACAGGTGCTACATACTCACAACCATATCGCGCCAATGGGAATCGTAACGAGAAGCATGAAGAGCACCATGCGCTGCAGATGGAGGCCCACCTGCTCTTTCCTTCCGCCTCCATACGCTTGCGCACACAGCGTGTCCAAACTCGTGGCGAGGCCCTCATATACAGCCAATCCCGTGATATTCGCTGTCATGGTAGCTAGGGAGACAGCGGCAAGCTCATCCGTGCCGATGTGCCCGACGACAAATATCGTGATCAAGCTGAAGCTATATTGCAGAACATAGGTCACACACAGTGGCACCTAAGGCGCGGATAAGAAGTCAGTGTGAGTTAAGACAGGGTGGTGTATGTCTCAGCGCTTTTGCTTTTGGAAGGCACACCATTACACGCTGGTTTACTCACTGAGTACTTGATGAGAAGTTTGGTCTCTTTTCCCGCAGCGGTCGTGACCTCCTCTCCGACTCCTCCTACGAGGGCTTCTTCCTCCCCGGCAGAGGTGGGTATGGCGCCATAGCTGTTCCTCTTGAAATTGACGCCATCTTCGAGTATGGGCCTCACAAGCTCGCTATTATTGGAGAACCGGCGTGGTCCATGTTGCGCCTCCATGGCCTTGCAGTCGCTGGACGAACGCCCCAGTGCGCCTGAGCAGAGCCGGTCCTTACCAATCGCCGTGTTCCTTCTTCCTCGACCTAAATCTGATGTCTCTTTCTGGTCATTTAAAGAAACAAGTGTTACCGATGAAACCGTTGTGTAACCATCATCGCTGGACGTCGTTCGCGGTCGACGAAAGGTTCGTCGCGCTTGCGCTTGGTGATCGCAGAGTGGGGCGGCGGCCTGCATTTGGGCAACGGCGCGGCTAGGACGGAAGCGGGGAAAAGAGAGCGCGGATTTGCGTCCACACAAGACTGACGATCTAGTCGTAGCAATGGCATCGATTTGATGTTTGGAACCACGGCCTTAGCCGTCTACTTAAGTAGTATGTGGCCCGGGGTTTTCTTAGGGTACTCGCGATGGCTGCTTTCGGCAACAGCGATGAAGTTGACGTGGAATGCAAGCGTCGCATGGCCTCAAGAATCTGTAATCACCTCTCCCAGGAATGCTGATGATGTGCTGAGTATTTCGACCCATTTAAGAATACACCGAAATGACTCAAGAGATGGACTATTCTCGTTTGCCTACAATACGATTTGGCACTGTGAGGTATGTGTCTAATCTTCTTTAAAGACCGTAATACTAGGATTTCTCACACAAGACATTTGTCCCGTTGCTTTTACTGGCTCTGCCCATCATCTCGACGAGGGACACAGAGGGTTCCGTGTATGCACCCTGAAAATGCGATCACGACTTACTCGTTAATCTGAATGTGAAGGCACTGCCGCTCGGCGAGTGCAAGACTGAAGCGACCAAGTGCCCAGGTAAGCACAATGTCGTTTTTCTTTATTTCTAATCGTTCTTAATGCAGCCCGCGTTCAAGTTAGTATTCACGGCATTTATATCATTTTCTACCGATACGCTCGGCGAGTAAGACCGGTGAACAGCAGTTTATTTACAGTCACGACCGCAAATACGACACCAATTAGTGACGCAACTTCCCTCACAAATATTTCCTACCCACTTCGTTCCTGTCCCTGGAGCCACGTGTTCGTGGCTCAAACGAGCTTCCTGCTGCCTAGCGTATTTCGCAAAGTTGGCTCTCCTCAGCCATCCCGTACGTATATAACGCGGCGTTCCAAGAAATACCGTGAGTTACACATTTTGCCCGATCTGAGCTTTCTACCAGGCCAGCACCTTTCCCCTGATTCTCTAAAACTCGTCTGCCTTTGGGAGCACAGTATCCTACTTGGAGACCACAGTTTCCAGAGCAACCTTGAGATAACTTCCCACCCGAAATACTACTTCCTTGCCAATCAACCACACAGCAGACACAAACTGCCACCACCATCACCACTTCTTCCAACTACCTCCCAGCCAGGACCAAACTAAGATCATGGCCGCCCCCACCCCCGAACTCATCCTCTACGACCTCGCCAGCACGCAAGGCGTCTGCTTTTCCCCTGCCGTCTGGCGCATCCGCCTTCTCCTAAACTACAAGTCCATCCCGTACACGACGACCTTCCTGGAATTCCCAGACATCGCGCCCACCCTCTCCGCACTCAACATCCCCCCACACGACGCCACAACATCCAAGCATCCCTACACCGTCCCCGCAATCCACCACCTCCCCACCAACACCTTCGTCATGGATTCCCTGGCCATCGCAGCGTTCATCGAAAAGACGTACCCGGTGCCAGAAGTGGTGCTGACGTCGGACCTGGGCGCGCAGATCGAAGAGAAGGCGCGCAAAGTGGTGGGCCCTGCGTTCTACGTCTCGCTCGTGCCGCGCGAAATACGCATCCTGTCGCCCCGCAGCCAGGAGTACTTCCGCCGCACGCGCGAGGCCGCCCTGGGTCACCCGCTCGAGGACTTACTCGCTAGGGAAGACGCGGCTTGGGAAGCTATTGGAGACGAGGCGCGGGCGGCGGGGGCGCTGATGCGCACGCATAAGGAGAGCGGTCCGTTTGTGCTGGGAGAGAAGCCGTGTTTTACGGACTTCTTCATTGCGGGGGCGCTACAGAACGCGAGGGTTGTGGACGTCGGGGTGTGGGAGAGGTGTATGCGCGTGGAGGGGTTCAGGGAGGTGTATGAGGCTTGTGAGGAGTGGATGGGAAAGAAAGATTGAAGGGCTGGGGAATGGGTTGGAAAGGAGAAGCGGTAAGATGTATATCAATCTAGACCCTACGTGGGACTGCATTGCAGTGCGAGTGGAGCAGCACAATCAGAAGTGAAGGGTAGTGAAATATCCACACAAAACCAAATCTACGCTGCCTCCTCGAGGTTCAACAATCTCCCCTCGTTAATCTTGAATCCTCTGCCCGTCTTCATACAATATACCTTACCATCCGTTCCCTTACCAACCCTCAGTAAATATGCACAGGCGGCGTCGGCAGCGCAGTCGGCTTCCCCAACCCGCTTGTCCCAGTCGGAAACGGCCAGCCGGTCGGCTTACCAGTTCCCCAAGGATATCCCGTGCCATGGGGACGGTGCGGATGCGGACGCGGGTGGTGTCTCGCTTCAAACCCGCTGTCCGGAATCCGTGGTGCAAGCTTGTAGTCGATCTCCAGACCGCGTCTGTCGAAAGCAGGCGTTGGGTAGTAGGGCGTTCCAGTACCGGTGGAGATGATAGGCGGGGAGACGCCGGTACCTGTGGGGATTGCCGGGGTACTGATGCTTGGGATGACAGGTGGACCAGGGGGGATGACGGGCGGTTCTGGTGGAGAGATACCCGTGCCAGTTGGGATGGGTGGAAGGGGAGCGCCAGTACCGGTGGGTCCTGGGATTACAGGGCTGGTCGGATAGGAAGGCCAGCCGCCGGGGGGGTATGGCGTGCTGGGAGTGGGGTGAGGGTGGTAGTGCTTGTCCGCAAAGTACTTCGCGAACGGGAACGGAGCTGCACGGTGTTAGGACGGCTTTGTGGAGCACTGGAGGGCGATACGTACCAGCGACTGAAGCGCCCGCAAGAGCCAGAATCATGAAAGACCGCATGTTGGTGGTCTCAGGTAGTCGAGTCTAGTAGTAGCCACGGAAAGTTGTGGAGATACAAAAGGCTGGCGCAGTCTGGTGGTTAGATATATGTCAAGATCGTACTCAAACAGTGGCTAGGCGACCAGCCTGTGACGAAAAATAGAACGAATGTCTGGCTGTGTGAGAAAGCAACTGAGGAGCTGGTAATAGTGGTCCGTAGAGTGACTCCTGCGCTGAAACCGCAGAGCTATATACTTGGCTTCCAGTCTCCCAGCCGCATACTCAGTCCAAAACAGACCCACCACCTAATCTCTAGGAAACGGAATGATCTTCCAGCATTCGGAAGCCAGCATGAGGGACACGGGTAGTGAGGATCGGCCGCGCAATTCCCGCGTTAGCTCACTTGTCAGTGCAGGCCAAGCACTGGCGACAGCGTGGGGATTGAGCACGCCAGTGACACGACGTCATCTAGATCCAGGTCCGTGGATGGAGCTGATGCTTCATCCGGAAACGTGTTCACACAACGTGGGCTTCTGCTGACGGATTCTCGTTGCCGTCCGTGCTTGCATGCAAAGACGTAGACCTGTGAGGAAGAGCCAGGTTAGCTTTCGGAATGGTGTAGCTGCCACAATCGGAAGGAAGAACTTCACGCTTAAGCCTACGTTACACTGCTGGTTTATGCCTGTTCCATGTGAGATAAGCGTTCGCCTTATCAGCAGCCGCACGAAACGCGAGGCTCTCGATGTTTCCAGGTAGGCGATCGTCGTGTTCGGCGGACTTTGAGATGAAGGGATGTCTTGGTGCACATCGTAATGCACGACATGTAGTTGCTGTTGTTGGTTATTGGTCAATTGTCTGTCGGATTTTTCGAAACACCGTGTTGTTGGGTGCTACTTCGGGAGCTAATAGGCGGATGAGCGATTACGAACCATGCGTTGATCGACAGGTCCCTCTTCGTGTTTCAGGTTGCATCTTACCGTTCAGACGCCTACTGGTGGTCAATACGTACAAGACTAATTTAGAAATCTTGGCGAGTTACGGTTGAGATGTAGAATACTCAATACGAGACCTAAACAGAACTGGGTATACGACCTTCCTTTGATGGAAAAACGATCTAAGAGGTCATGTAGCCGCTGTACAGTGTTGCGCCCACCTCGGAAGTTATGCCGCGGCTCTAATACAACACCAAACTAAACGCTGGCTCTTTTCTTGCGAGGGAGAATCCCAGAATCGTCGCGGACAGTGCTTGAGCGATGCGATAAGTTCAGCGACTGTGGGTGGATGACGGGCTACCTTTACATGTTGTGCGTTTGTGGCGTCGACTGTTGCGCGTACCTGCGCGGTCGCGAATATTGCTCCCGACGCCCGTATGCAACACGAGGAAAGCTTCGGGATCGTTCAGCTTACAGAGCTGTCAGATTCAAGATCGACACCGGAAGCAATACGAAAGCGACTATGAGTATGTCTCAAAACCAGCCAATCTTCTTAGCAGCGTAGCTCCACCCAGAGAGCAACGCTGTGGCGCCGGTAAAAGCGATGAGCGCACCATATCCACTTCCATATGCGAATCCGGCTCTCCACGAGCCCGCGCGCAATAGGGCTTCTGATAACGGGCCGCTGCATAAGTTTGCAACGCCTTTTCCTGCTGACAGACAGGCAAATATCATGCCTAGATGCGGACGATGGTGTTAGCGTAATCGCTCCGTGATAGGGGGATGGTCGGGAAGTATCTCAGCTCGCTGCTACTGTGCGGGAATTTCTGCCATTTAGGTTCGAAAATTCGCACACTCGCGGTGTCAAGATGTTCTGGGGGTTCTGGGGGTTCCTGCATGGGCTTGGGCTTGCTCACCGGTGTCAGCTCCTCTGCGCTTCTCCTTCGTATCTCGCATGATGGCGCTCCAGCTCGACGAATTACTGCCTGCGAATGCTCCGTAGAGCAGGCAGAATACATATAGAGGCGCGAGAGAAGTAGATAGACCCCACAGCAGAAATACGGTAATTGTAGAGCCAAGTGCTGTGATTCCGATGCAGTTGACGACAGCGAATCGATCTACCGCAGCACCCATGCAGAAAGACCCTATGCAAGCGGAGCCATTCAATAAAATGATTGTGGCGGTGCTTTGGAGATTCGATGCCCCCAAAGATCGTGCAAAAGTCGGCAGGTAGATGGCCGGGAGGAAGTATCCTAGGCCTTGGAGTATGTTGCCCGACTGGAAGATCAGGAAGTTTGAACATGTCCAAAATGACAGATCAAAATCCCGAGACTGCGTTGTCTGCGATAAGGGGAGCCGAGGCTTGAAGAAGAACAAGATCGGAAGATTCAGGGCAACGACCGATAACGCACATACACGTAGCGTTGTTCTGAAGCCATAGCTATCCAGCAGCCACTGGAGGACGACGGGCATGATTGCCCCTGAGAGACCGAGCCCCGCCATGGTGGCGCCGTATGCAAAGCCTCGACGGAGAACCCACCACTCTTCGATATAAAAGAGGATGGGCGTCCAGGCAAGACCCCCACCAATTGCATACATGATTCCTTGGCTGATGATCAGATGCGTCACGTTGGTTGCAAGGGATCCCCTAAAGAGTAGATGCAAAATCAGTGCGATTCAAGACAGGCCACTTTCACGTCCTCTCTGAAGGCAGTTGTTTACGTACAGGCCGAGAGACAGACACATGATGGTCAGGCCGACTGGAGCTGCCCATGTGCGCAGTCTAGGGTAGATCTTCAAAAGTACGAACATTGGAATGATCCACATGTACATGATGCCCTGCGTGCCGTCAATTACAGCTGCTTGATTCGTGTGGAAGAGTCACCATTGCGCAAGCGCCCACAACGGCAATGTTGGATGATCCGGCGAAAGGCTCATGTGTGCTGTAGTATTCCTGAAAGATGCCATATGAGGAGCCGAAACCTGCCCTTTTTGCATCAATAGTGATTCTCCGCCCGCGTTTGCAAGCCGCGCCAGTCAATGCGCTGGTAGAAGATTATTGACGCACCCCAGATGATGCCCTCGAGCATGAAGCAGGAGAAAAGCAGCAACCAGGCATGCTTCCCGCCGTCAGTTGGTGGCAGAGAGAATCCCCCATCAAGCTCGTGGGTGCCATCTCCCTGCGTGGGCAAGTCGGCTTCCGGAGATGATGCAGGTTGCGGATAGCGGATCAGTTCAGATTCTGTAGGGTGCGCCGAAGCCATTGTGACGAACGTCTCGTACACTCAACTCGTATGCAGCATGTCTGCCTCAACGGTGAATTTGAGGCTTTCTTAAGGTGGCCAGTGGCTCCTCTGGTGGGCACGATCAGCCCCCATGGTCATCATCCATAGGGCGTAGCGATGCGTAGCGATAGCGGAGCAACGGGTACACGCGGAGCAAAAGCGTGGGGGAAGGCCAACACAAAGTCGCAGTGTGGCTTGTGGGCGTGTTAGTCAGCAAACACGTGGCTGTGCGTGGGGAAAGTGAAGCCGCGACAACACGAATCTGAGTGCACAAGCGCGAGCAGCGTGCACCGCCAGCAACAATGGCGACTTTCTCTTGTGCTGCTATGCTCCAATAGCGACCAAAACCACGTCCCCGCATCGGCTTCACTGCGACTCACCATGGACGGCTCTTCCCGAGCTTCGAAAAGGAGGAAGCTCGACACGCCCACCCGCAACGCGTCCAGCCCGCTCGCGAAGCCTTCTACGGTCCGGAAATCTGCACGATCAGTTGCGCCAACGACATACAAAGCGGACGGCTCGCCCAAGGAACAAGAAGCGCCTCCGAAAGCGCCCAAATCCTCCAAGAAAAAGGCCAATGGAGCCGCACGCCAGCCGCCAGTGGTCGAGGACGCCGACGTATGGGACGATATAGAGGGCGCACTAGGCGAGAGTCGGACGAAGCGAGCGCCCCCAGCGCCGTCGTCTACGAAGAAACGCGTGACGAGAAAGACGGTCGTGCCAGATACTGGGAACGAAACCACCAGCACCGACGAGCTGCAGAAGGCAACACCGAGCACGCGCAGAGCAAAGAAGGCCACTAATGGGAACCGCGAGGATCTGCCCGAAGAAGTCGCAACGCCCTCCCGACGCGTATCCAAGCGGGCCGCACCAGCCAAATCGAACGACACGCCGAACGACCACATCGATCCCAAACCAGGCTCGCTCCGGAAACCACGAAGCACTGCGCGAGCACAACGAAAACTACAATTCGAAGATGCCATGCTCGTGGAAACACCTTCTTCCCGGCTCAAACGGCAGCCGCGCTTTCGAGACGACGACATGATACCGGAGACGGATGATGAGCCTGTAGGGAACGGGGCAACTGCAGCCACACCAGCAAAAGCGAAGCAGAGAATGCGTCAGGCTGACAAGGACAATGATCAGAGCGCGCATATACCAGGCACTGCCCAAGATCAGGTCGATGCCGACGTTCAGGACGAGGATGACGACGCGATGAGTGTCGATGGCAACAGTGCGTTGGGAAGTGTGCTCGACCCGACAGAGCCGAGTCCTTTCAATAAGCCTTCTTCCGCCCAGAAAGAAATCGTCCACCAAGAAAAGCTAGACATTCCTCTTCTTTCCAGCACCGTAGAACCAGGACGCGAGCTCGATCTTCTCAAGACCATCGTGTTGGACCGCATAACTGGGAAACGGCCCGTGCCCCTGGTCGGGCTCGACGCTGCCTATAAGTCTGTCCATCAGCTCATTGAGCACACGGTCACAGCTGGCGAAGGTAACTCGATGCTCCTCATCGGCGCACGCGGCAGTGGAAAGACAGCACTTGTGAACAGGGCGTTGTCGGAAGTTTCCAAGGACAACAGCCAGCTCTACCACGTCATTCGTCTAAATGGCTTCATACACACAGACGACAAGATTGCTGTGCGTGACATTTGGCGCCAGCTCGGCAAAGAGATGATGCTTGCGGAAGAGAATGGAGGCGTAGGCAAAAGCTATGCCGATGCTCTACAAACCTTGCTTGCTTTGCTGCAACATCCTTCCGAGAGGATAGGCGAGTGGACGGAAGAAACTTCCACGTCAGTCATCTTCGTCATGGATGAGTTCGACTTGTTCGCTCAACATCCGCGACAGACGCTTCTCTACAACCTCTTCGACATTGCCCAATCACGCAAAGCGCCAATCGCCGTGTTGGGCCTCACTACGAACCTAGAGGTGGTTAATTTCCTAGAAAAACGTGTCAAGAGCCGCTTCAGCCAGCGCTACGTGCATATCCCCTTGGCGAAGACCTTTACGGCCTTCCAAGAAATGTGCAAAGCCAACCTGCTCGTCCAGCCAGACCTTCTCACTGTAGAAGAACGCAGCATCCTTGAATCCGCACCCAAGAAGAAGACAAGCAAGCAAGCAAAGACCAGCACACCCGAGAACGCCCTCTCACAATGGAACTCTTCCATCAACGTAAGCACACCCCACAACCTCACACCCCCATCAAACCGACTAACCCAACCGCCCCAGACCCTCTTTGCCTCAAAATCCTTCCTAACAACCCACCTCGCCCGCCTCTACTACCGCTCCAAATCCATCCCGGCGACCCTAACCTCCTTCCTCCTCCCCACCGCCTCCCTCACGACCGCCCTCCCCCTCCCCTCCCTCGCCCTCAGCCACCCCCCCGACAACAAACTCGCTCTCGTCCGCCACCTCTCCACCCTCGCCCTCTCTCTCCTCATCGCCGCGTGTCGCCTAGACATCATCCACGACAGTGACACGTGCAACTTCCACATGGCGTACGACGAGTACGTGACGCTGGCAAGCAAGGCGCGGATCCAGAGTGCCGCGGGGGGCAACAGTGCAAGCGGGGGCGTGAGTAAGGTCTGGGGGAAAGATGTGGCGAGGCGGGAGTGGGAGGGGCTGCTGGAGTTGGAATTGATCCTGCCGGTTGTGGGTGGGCTGACAGGGGGTTTCGGGATGGTCAAGTGCGATGTCAGTCTTGAGGAGGTAGGAGGCGTGATTGTGGGGGTGAAGGAGGTGGACAAGGGGTTGGAGCGGTGGTGTCGGCAGATTTGAGCTGTTGGATTGCGCTTCGGAAAGGACGCCATCCGGTTGAAGCTCAAATATCGAGTATCGTACTTCACACGCGTTAGCCACGAAGACCAACGCTGGCATGCCATCGCGCAGCCACGAACACTATGAAATGCATAAAAGCGCCGTCATTCCTTTTGCAAAGTTATCATACAAAAACGCCATCCGCTCCCCGCCCCTTCACTATACTATAGCTTGCTCCCACCGCCCAGCAACTCCGCTCCCGCCCCGGAAATGCACAGCTTCCCCGTCTCCTTGACCTTCGTCTGGAACACAACCGTGTTCCCAACCTTCCACATCTCCGTCTGCAGCGTCTGCCCCGGCAACACCGTGCCCGCGAACCTCACCTTGATATTCTTAAACTGCCCGTACGTCTGGAGCACGTGCTTGCCGCTGATGCCAAAGAAGCACAGCCCGTGCAGAATCGGGACCTTGAAGCCGCCGACCTTGCTGAACTCGGGGTCGATGTGCAGCGGGTTGCGGTCGCCGCTGAGGCGGTAGATGGCGGCCTGTTCCTCGGTGGTGGCTTCCTCGACGACGGCGTCGGGGGCGCGCTGCGGCGGCTTGTGGATTGCGGTTGCGGCGCCGCGGTTGCCGCCCTTGGGGTTGCCGCCGAATTTGCCGGAGCCCCGGATGAAGATTGTGGACTCGTTGTAGAAAATTTCCTCGCCGGTGTTGGCGTCGACGGTCGTCGTGGACTGGACTACCACACCCGCGGCGCCTTTGTCCATGACCTCGACGAGCTTCGGGTATGTGATGAGCTTGGCTTCGGTGGGAATGGGGTATTTCCGGATCTCGAGGAATTGCTCGCCATGTAGAAGCATCATAGGGCTGAAGTTGGGGACAATGTCGTCAAGATTGTAGGGGAGGACAACGTTGAAAGGGGGAATGACGCCGAAGGTGGGGTAGACTTGGAAGTTTTCGTTGTTTTCGAAGACGAAGGGGAGATCGGTACGTTTGGCGCCGATTCCGAGGTCTGAATAGTGTTAGGTCATGCGGCTTGGAAGGTGTGATGGTGTAGGGAGGAGAGGGCTTACTGTAGAGAATCACGTCCTTCTCGTCGTACTGGAACTCCGTGCCTGGCGCCTTTGCCGCCTTTGCCTGCTCAATGTTCTTGAGATAGTCAACCTTCTCGCCGTCATCCTTGCTGCCCTTGCTTGTGTTCTCCATGTTTGCCATGATGCTCTTGAGCCCGCTGGCGTTGTCGTAGGGGTTGTCCGCGCGACCGTCCGCAAAGTTGTTGATCCTGTCCCACTTCTCCAATACAGCTTCAGGTGTGAGCTTGACATCGATCGGGAAGCCGTTGCCACCGGTACGCTGCCATCTTGTAGCAGCGATCCAACCCTGACCCGCCTCGTAAAGACCACCAGTTGGCTCGGGCGCTTTGTCAGAGGAGAGCAGCACCACGAGGGGAGCCACATAGTCAGGCTTGAGCGCCTGAACCATCTCCTCAGGCATGATTGTGCGGGTCATGCCAGTGCCGGCGCTGGGTGCGATGGTGTTGACAAAGATGTTGTTCTTCTTGCCTTCAAGAGCAAGAGACTTGGAGAAACCGAGGATGCCGCACTTGGCTGAAGCGTAGTTTGCTTGACCAAAGTTTCCGTAGATCCCGCTGGTCGATGTAGTGTTGATGACACGACCATACTTCTGCTTGAGGAAGTAGGGCCAAGCGGCCTTGCTGCAGGAGTATGTGCCGAAAAGATGCACCTGGTGAATGACCTCCCACTGCTCATCGGACATGTTGGTGAATGCCTTGTCGCGCAGAATACCCGCATTGTTGACCAGCACATCGATACGGCCGTAGGTATCGATGGCGGTTTTGATCACTGCCTCGCCGTCACAGACGTTGGCCTTGTTTCCAACAGCCTCTCCACCGAGCTTCTGGATTTCTTGTACCACGGCATCCGGGTTTACGAGATCGTTGACAACAACCTTGGCGCCGAGTTTGGAGAAGAGGAGAGCGTATGCGCGGCCGAGACTAAACTCATTAGCAGACATCCTTCTTGTGGCAATGTGAAACTTACCCGCCACCAGCGCCAGTGACCAACACCACCTTGCCCTTGAAGTTGGGCTGCTCAGTCTTGGGACTCGGGGCTTGTTGGGTCGCAGCCTCAAGAACACCAAGAGCATCTATCGGGCCCTCGGGGTGCTCTGCGTCGGTGAAGTCTACGATCTGCTTCCACTTCGCCGCGACAGCGCCGGGTGTGAAAGAGTCGTCGGGCTTGAAGAGGGCACCCTTGGACCGTTCCCACCGCAGTCTCGCGATGTGGCCGCCGCCCGCCTCGAATATCGCGCCTGTCTCGGTGTTGGACTTGTGTGTGAGTACGGCAACAAGCGGCACGATCCACTCGGGCTTGAGCTTCTCGAGGACATCGGGCGGCATGACTGTCTCCGTCATACGGCTCGCAGCAATGGGCGCAATGACATTGCAAAGAATGTTGTACTTGAAGCCCTCCTTTGCAAGTGTCTCAGTGAAGCCAACAAGTGCAAGCTTCGCGGCCGAGTAGTTGGTCTGGCCGAAGGAGCCAAACAGACCAGCAGCGGAGGCGGTGCTAATCAGCCGTCCGTACTTCTGCTTCCGGAAATACGGCCATGCGGCGCGCGCGCACTTGAAGGCTCCCTTGACGTGGACCTTGTAGATGAGGTCCCAGTCGGCCTGCTTCATGTTTTTGAAAGAGACATCGCGCAGGATGCCTGCGTTGTTGATGAGCACATCGATGCGCCCAAAGTTGTCGATGGCCGTCTTGATGATGGCCTCGCCGTTCTCGACGGAGTCGTAGTTGGCAACGGCCTTGCCGCCAGCGGCGCGGATCTCGTTGACGACCTTGTCTGCGGCCTGTGCCCGTCAGCATGTGTGTTGAGCAGGAGGTGTCCAAGACTGTGGGGCCCAAATGATGCTCCACCACAAGGTGCTATAGCACGCTGGTGTCTTCGGAGCGATGAAAGTGAACATGAAACATACCGCTGATCCCGCGCCCTCGCCCTTGAAGCTTCCTCCAAGGTCGTTGACCACAACGTTGGCGCCGCGGCTACCGAAGAAGATGGCGTACTCGCGACCGAGGCCACCACCCGCACCCGTCACCACCACCGTCTGACCGTCATATCTCAGCTCTGCCGGTGCCATGATGCGTTGAATACTGCGACTCAGCCCAGGTACCATGCAAATGTGTAAGGAGTCGGGGGGAAGTGTCCACCGCTATGAAGCGAAGTCACAAGCTATCGCGACGCAAACGGTGTTTGGCGAAGCTCGCTCGTCTGTTTGAGATGTAATCTAAGGCGTTACCCGAAGATTACTCAAAGAAGAAATGTACAGTCGCTGAAGAGGGTGAGAGAGGGGAGATCGCACGGCACAGTCGCAGTTGTGACAGACGGCGTGGTTTTGAGCGTGCTCAAGCTCCGGGCATCGAGGTCATCGCTCCCGCCGACTTGCCGAGGTCCATGGCAGCGGCCGAATCTGGGGCTCTGAACTGTGGGGGTACACGTGACGGCCCATCTTCACATGCGAGGTCCCCGGCAAACCAGGGCAGAGCCTCGACATCACCTGCCAGACCATTGCGCCGCTGCCGAGCTGTCGCTACCGGAGCGTCAGCCAAAGCCGTTCTTGCGACTTGCGCTGTGTGCTTGTGAAAGTGTACCACAAATCGAACCCTCTTGGAGGGAGCTGTAAGTCCGCCATGTGGGGCTTTCAGATACCAGCGTATGCACAGGTGTTGGAACATAAATCTTGGTAGTATCGGGCGAGACAAGTGCGTAATGAAGTGAAAAAGTAGGCGTTTCTTACTGCATGCCAGATCATAGCTGGGAATGCAACTGGTCGTGCAGCTTCAATCGAAAGGCGTTACGTAAGCCACAAGTCGTAGAGCCAAGCGAACGTGTTGAGAGGGCACCCAGAGGCTTCTCGTGAACACGACCACTACCAACATGTCTCAATGCAGACATCACGTTCTGAGCTATTGCCGTTTCTGTGATACATTCCAAGCGAGCATTTAACAGTTTATAGGCTGTCCTGATCTACCGCCACTCCATCGCACCCTCGCGATGCAAATTCTACCGACGCCGGACTGAGGAGCCTTGCCATTAGCTGCGGCCCTAGACACTTTGTTTGGCGTACCCCGACCTCCGAGCACGACGACGTGGCGTAGAGATGAGGCTATCTCGAGAACATACAACGAGCCAGGGAAACTGGTGCATAATGTCTGCCTAGGACGCGTCGAGTAGAACAGCACTGGATAGCACTTACAGAAAGCTCTGCGTTGGATTGGGTATCGACTCGCCATATGATATCATGTACAACTGAGAAGATCGTGAGGGCTACAAAGTACATCTGGTGGCCGTGCGCTGTGTCGTGCGTGCCTTGCGTATCGAACAAAACTATCACTTGGTGTGAGGTCAGTGCAAGATCGGTGTGGCGGATTGCCGCACCTATTGCCCCTCATAGCTGGGTCCGAAGGTGCGAGTGCGGAGGAACATTGTGCCAATGGATTTGGCCAGTACAGAAAGCTGTGATCCCCGGGGAGGCAACTACCCTGTTCCCGCGGTGGCGTATGTAACAATCGCTTTGCTGCGGGTGCATGTCTTGGATCAGTCCGATGGGGCGGCGCCCATAACGCGTTGTACAGCGTAGCAGCCGAAAAGGTGCAGGTTGGTTGCCTTCTGGTATTAAGTGCCCTGGAGCAGTGGCCAGTGCACCGAGTCAAGCTATCGCTACCAACTGTAACGTGTATGCACAGTTTTGGCTGGGTGCGGCCGCCGAGTAGTACGGTGATGATCTTGCTCTCTTCTTAAGTCTGAAAAGGCCCGAAGGTTTCCAGGGGCTGGTGCATTCCATGCAGGAACTACTTGCAAGCGTTGACGGCGGATTACCTGAGATCCGAAGGCCCCGCTCGCGATGCTCGACACGATGTTCGTCATGCATGTAGACTTCTCGCCTCCATGACGGGTAAATCGAAAGACGCCTTGAAGACGCTTCGCACCCAAATCGGTCCGTGGTGTTACGTGGCGCTGTCCAGGATGGTACGCGCTTCGAGACATGTCCGACATGTTGCAGGCGAACCGCTAGTAAGCGTGGAAAGCGTGGAAAGCAGTTGGTCCATTGGCCTATCGATATCAATGGGCGTCCACTGTTCCACTTTCCGCATCAGCACAAGTCTACAGCTGGTCTCAGCAGTGAGTGCAGAGACCCTAGGCATCACCGTAATGCAATCTGTATGACGATAATGCTGCCGTAACATACGCGGGAGGAGCAGAGCAAAGCAACTGGTTGGGTGAGCTACCAGCTCGGCCATTTAGATTGCCCATCGGTTGTACGAGTGAGCGACTTTGGGGTCATCGTGGAATCAAATAACGATCGGAGTGACGGCTCCGGATGAACTCCGCTTTGATGATTTATCCAGGATGTTGCAGTCAGTCGTGGGCGTGATGGCGGGAGAGCAGATAGTGTGAGTCGTATGCATGCGAGAGACCTAGACTAATGCATATACGTACCCGTCGAGTCGTGTCTCGTGGGAATCTTCCCGATGCTGTGCGACGGTACAGCCACTGTAATTTTGCGGTTGCTGATCGACAAGACGTTCTCATTTTGCAGCCAAAGTAATGGGAGGGCAACAAGAATTAGAATGGCCCCTAGTAAGCTTGCATCCGTGCGGGTAGGTAGCTGCAGCTTGTACAGGGAATTGGGCCGCAGTGCGGCAGAAGAGTACCCATACGTTGTTGGCCAGGGTGTCCGACATGTACGCACTTTTCGAGACGAGCAGTGGCGTGAGCTTCCGACGATGCTCAACGTGCGTCTGTCCTAGGCAGGACCTGCGTGGGAGGTAGGTTTGGTCCATGCCCTAATGTAGGACGTTGTACGCATATAACGCAGAAAATAAGGCTCTCCGTCCCATGGATATCGTGCAAATGGAGCTTGTAAAGTGCAGTGGTAGATGTTCCCGCGGCTGTGGTGCCCTAGTCCTTTGTTGTCTCAAAACAGCGGCTGTGGCCTCTGCAACGACCCGCCATACCAGGGCCATGTCAACGGTATTGTGGGCAACGCGAGCCTTATCTTTGGTTTTGTCGTTACTCAGAACAGCTGTCAAACTGTCAAATGCCAGTGCACATCGGTAAACTGGTTAGCGCTGCGCGACAAGCCCTCGCTCGAGTTTGAGCCCAACTGACACGTTCATGACCAACACCTGAGACGACCGATTTTCAATTCGCAAACCACCTCGAGCTCCTCGATGTGGTTAGAAGTTTTCGTGCCACAATGCGCACGTTCCCAATATCGCCGTTACGCTGTGTACATGTATGGTGGAGTCATTACAGCCACCCCACCTAGCACTCAGACTAATGCATTCACGATTCTTCGATGACGATCGACGACCTTATTGGTCGGCAGAGTGCTCGATGGCTCCGCGTTCGGGAGAGCGGTGTTCTTCATGCAGCGAATGTTCTGTTCCTGGGTGGGGAGCATGACCTCGCTGGATCCACGCACGTTTTCAATCTGCCAGGTCTCTTCCCGCCAATTTCCCTAGGCGTTGGTTATCGCGGCAATGGCCAACTCATCGCCGCACGCCGCCGTCACCAGTTGTCGCAAGCCAGGAACTCCCTGTAGCACCAGTCGATACCGCAGAAACCTAGTAGTCCCGGTTACTCAAGGTCATGTGGCTCTGATCTCCTTTCAGTTTAGGATAGCCGCAACACACTTTTTCCGAGTTCCTGATTGGGCTTCAGCAAATGTCGCAGTATGGCCCATGGCTTGCAGCATGTCCCAGTAGCAATTTCCATCTCTTCTTTACTTCGATGCTATTACTGAAGTGCTCACATCGTTTTTTCGAACCCGCGTGTTGGTTTCCTCTCAGAGGTGAGAGCCCAATGTGGCTTAGCTGTCCTAGATCGCTAACAGATTGCGAAGAGCTGTACAAGCTGAACCAAGAACCTGCTTCCTCCTTTGTATATCGACATAAGACCGTATTAAACCAGATTAAGGGTTGCTTACATGGCGAACGTACGTGATCTAGTGGTGATACACGAGCGGGATTTCCAGAAGTATTCGGTGGACAGGAGGATTTATTGCGTTCCAGTGTGCGTAACGATTCGGTATAATGCGGATTCGCCTAGCGGCAAGCAGACAGCTCGTCAGTCGCTAGTACCCTGCCTCGCTATGGCCTCCTCTTCGTATGCTGTGTTGAGCTATGCTGACTTTTCACTCGGGATGTAGAGACGAGGTGCGAGCCCGACAATCAGACGTTGTTCCGGATTTTCTTCCTCAGGTCCGGCTAACGCGGTATAGCGCGAGGAGATTCGCCTGGAGGTCCAACACGATATAATCTACCGGTTCTTTGGAGAGAGACTCTTCTTTCCTAGTATTCCCAATCCTCGCTCAATCCTCGAATGCGGGTATGGAAGAGGGCAATGGGCGGTCCAGGTGGCCGAGGACTATGAACAGTGCGAGGTCAGTCGACACGAGGAAGACCATTACACCTTCCGTCTTTCCGCACCAATTGAGCTGTCTTCTGATTCTGACAGGTGACCGGCCTTGACAGTACGTAACGTGAGCTCGCGGAAGAGAGAAGGCTTTTAGCTGACCCTGTCAAACTGCAATTAGTCTATCCGGAACCCCTTCCAGATCAACCCGACAACCTCTGCTTATACGGCTACAATCTCAATGACCGATTTGATGTGCCAGATGTATTCGAGTACAAGCCTTACGACCTGATACATTCTCGTTTCGTTGGTACGCTCTCCATAATCAAGCAATGACACAATCCGTCGGCTGACAACATTTAGCTCAAGGTATCAAGAGCACCAGATGGCCGACCTACGTTCAAGACATGAAGAGACTCTTGAAGCCAACTGGTTGGGTTCAGATGACAGAGTACTATCTCAACATCCAGTCAAACTCCGGAAGACTGGGAATAGACTCTGCTCTACGAAAATGGTGGGGGAAATATGCCGAGGCGATGGAAAGTTCGAGACGCGATCCTCGTGTCGGACCGCAGCGACTGGGGCGATTGCTTTCCGATGCTGGCTACAAGCACATCAACCTCAACACATTCCAATTACCTATAGGCGGATGGCGTTCAGGTAAGTTTTGTCTTCGCAGATAAGTCAGTGAGGTGAAAGTCTACCGAGCCGCTAGCTTATGCGAGGATTTTGACGGTGCGATAGAGCCACACATGATCAGGATTGGGCGTGATAGCGTGGAAATGGTCAGCGAGCTGTTGGAGTCGGCAAGCCTGTGGCTGTTCACAGACCGTCTCGGTATGTCTGCTGCGGAGGTGGAGACGCTCAATAACGATGCGAAGAGAGAGTTACGAGACACGACCCTGCAGCTATACCTTCCAATGTAAGCCGCTTCTTCAGGCAACTCTGGTACAAGTATTGACAGAAACACAGATATGTAGCTTGGGCTCGCAGGGGCTAACGATGGGTTTCTGTGGTAGGGTAATGCTTGCTTTCCAATCAGGCGGTAAGAGTGCGTGCTGCACCAATGCCGGTACCAAAGCGGCGTCAATACGATGTTTCCTCTTGCGTAGTATCCTTTTGGTGTTGGTGAAATCATTGGACTCGTGTTCTTGCAGTAACGGCGGCCAGCAGTGACCTGTATCGTGTGTCTCAACATGAAGTCGATTGTCGGGGCACAAGTAAAGCACTGCTGGAGTCGCAGCTGCCTCGTGAAGTTCTCGATGTCGACGTCGAGCCTCTTGGAGGCACAGTGAGGTGCCTGCTCACCACTCGTCCAGTACAACAAACGTCTCGAACATTAAAGACCCCAGTTTATTCGGACTCATTCAGGCTCGATGGTCGCCGTGGAGAGAGCCGTCCGCGGCTCGGGGTGCTGTTTATCTGGACACACAGTGCGCCAGCGCTGCCCACCATCCGACTGGTGCCATATCGACTGGAGCGCTCGCAGACATGAAAGAAGTAGGAGCGGGAGAGATTGTCGAGGGCCTAGGTGAGTGGAAACACTGGAGAAGGACGTTGCCGGTTTAACACTAAATTAGGGTTCCAGGGAATCGAGCCTGCACCGACTGCGCTTCCTCCGGCCGTCATCATCGAACGCAAGCACCGTGAAACACCATGCCACTTCAACATGCACCAAATCTTATTTCTTGCACAGGGAACAGCATCACTGCGCTTGATTGGCTGCCATGAACGCCTTGACGCCTCCGTCACCGACTGCATGGAACCGAAGGACCAGCGCAAAGCAATGGGCCCCGTAGCGTATCGCCTGAGGCTGGCCTGGGAACCTTGTTGACAGAGCCCAGCGTCCATCAGAATTACGCTTTTTGTGCAACACAACATTATACAACCAAGGGTCCCGGTGCTTGACGCACCCCAGCGCCGCTGCGAACGCATCAACGTCCTCAGGCAGATGTACACGCCCTCTCTCAGATCTCATCAGACCATCGGCCCCAGTATCCAATGCGGACGAGCCTGCATAAAGCACACGCACGTATGGTGATAACGATCCACAAACCGAGACCATCCGACATCGTGCTAAAAAGACAGTGCGTACCGCGGGGAAGCGGGAACAGCCCTACGGATGCATTCAGCAGCAAGCACGTGAGTGTGACCACCATTGAATACGTGGCAATAATGCATCACAGCCGCTTGTCGCGCTTCGCAAGTTTTCGCGACAATTTTCGAAAATTTGGTGCGCGTCAGAGGATTGTGGCTACTTTGCTGGGCAGTAGAAGAGACTTTGAAGCTCAGAACTTTGAAACCCTGGCACGAACAGCCGTGGGTCTCAGAAGACTTCCAAGCTCAAGACCCCATGCACATCCAAGCATCACCCAAACCGAAAGCCCATGCACGGTGCGGGGTCTTGGTATGACGGCATTGTGATTCAGGAGCAGCATGCGCAATAATTTTTGCCGTCCCTATGTTCAAGTGCGTTTGAATGGCTCGCAACCATAGCTCCAGCCTCAGGGTCTTTGATGCAACACCTGAGCAACCAGCGCGCGTCAGTCGGCGATGGAAGGTTTTGTATTTTTCTGCCAGCGAACTGACCGTCTTGACAATTGCACATCCACTCAATGGCTGCGAAATCGCCCTCCCACTGTTTATGGCAATCTGCGGGACATTGTCCCCTGTCACGAGCCCGCTGATTGGCCGACTCTTTATCAGATGGGAAAGTGTCAGCTACCCACAACAACATACCTTGGCGGCAAACGATGGAGAATTCACATGACCCGTTGAATTAGACGTGTCCATGCCGAGCGCTCGACACTGTCGTCATAATTGTATCCGAGAGCACAACATCTGATCGTCCCGGTAACAAGCATTTTAGGCTGATACCACATTCGACCAGGCTAGATTGCGTTAACCAAGTACATCTAGTCAGGTAACCCCGCTGCTTCTCCGCAGAATCCTGACCTCAATATGTAGTTGCCGCGTTTTCGGAGAAATGGATTGAAGGTGCGGCCCACTAGAGCCCGCGGGAGACGGCACCGAATATATATTGCCTGGACTAACCGCCGACCCGGTTGCGGCATGCTTGAGAATTTACATCGTGACTGCTATATCTTTACGCCCCGAGCGATCATAAATTAGGGAATGCTTATCGAGTTCCACCATGCGCTGGTTTACCTTTTCTAGCATCGCGCTCGGTGCAGCGTCCGCTGAATACATCACAAATTCGTGGCAAACGCAAGATTTTAAGACATTGGTGACCTTTGGAGACAGCTACACGGACGAAAACCGTTTGGGATATTTCATAAACCATAATGGTTCTGCGCCGCCAGTCGGAGTGGATCTAGGAGTGGTATGACAAGAACATTTTACCCTTGGAAACAAAAACACCAACATCCTCACGAATCCGTCCTACATGTTCTTGAACGTCCGCAAATCTTCTGAAGAATTGGACTGACGACAATCGCAGAGCTACAAGGCCTCTACCGGCGGCCTCGTCTGGCCCCGTTATGCCTCCATATACGCCAATAGCACCCTCTACAACTACGCCGTCTCCGGCGCCGTCTGCTCCAACCAAATCACCCCGCGCACATTCGCCGCCATCAACGCCCCTTTCCCGGACATCCTTGGCTACGAACTTCCAGCCTATCTCGCAGACTCCAAATACGTCTCGCCCAATGGCACCGCCTTCTTCACAGGCACCCCCGACACCACCGTCTACGCCATCTGGATCGGCACCAACGACGTCGGCAACAACGCCTTCCTCACCGACAGCCAGGTCGCAGGCAAAGTGCTGACCGACTATGTCGACTGCGTGTACGACGTCGTGGACGGGCTGTACGCATCCGGGGCCCGCTACTTCGTGCTGCTCAACCTCGCGCCCCTCAACCTCGTCCCGCAGTACGCAACCCCGGCCCAGGGCGGCCTCAACAGCTCCCAGTTCTTCACCGACAAGCAAAATTTCTCGGGCGGCAACATCACCGAGATCAGCTACCGCATGCTCGAGACGGTCGACACAGTCAACGGGATTTACCAGTACCGCACGCCCTTTGAGACGCGCGTGAATAACACCTGGCCCGGTGCGAATATTGCGAATTTCGATGTCAATGCGCTGATCACGGATATGTATGCGCATCCCGCCGAGTATCTGAATGGGACCGCACCGCTGAACACAACGGGCTATGTGATTGGCGCGGGAAATATCAGCAGGAGCGATAGGGATAGCTTCTTGTGGTATGATGAGCTGCATCCGAGCGAGCAGCTGGATCGAGTGGTGGCGAGGGAGTTTGTGGGCGTGCTTGGGGGGGAGAGCAAGTGGGCGAAGTATTGGTAGAACATGTAAAACAAGTAGTCTGGCTTCAATTTGTAAAGGATGGTACTTGTATTTTGGGAAGGACACCAAATAGACAGTGTACCTATCTCACACTACCTTTACTTCACTCTTAAAAGCACTAATGCGAATGCACATCCCTCCTCTTCCTCGCCGCATCCGGCCCCGCGACCCAGCTCCCATTCACCGCCCGCAGCTTCGCAGTCGTCGCATCCATATCCAGCTTCAGCACTTTCTCAATGTACCTCGGCAGCTCAGTGTTATCGTGGTTTCCCGCCATGTCCCCTTTGAACTCCCTCCACTTCTTCCCCGCCGCGTAGCCATGTAGCGTGACATCCGTCGCCGTGTGCCCGCCCGTAGACCAGTTCACACCCGCCTTCGTCGCAATCATCTTTTTCATCTCCGCCCAGGGACTGCTGGCGCCGAGGAGCTTGTCGATCTGCGCGTCCGTCACGTCGGACAGGCCAGCAGCGGGTAGGACAGTAGAAGTGAAGTAGCCCCGCGCGTCGGTGCCGTTGTAGGCCTCCCACACCGTCTTGAGGTACTCAAAGGAATGCTGGACATTGACCAGCGGGGCGGGATCGAAAGCGTTTGTCGTCAGGCCGCCGCATTCGTGGTCCGCGGCGCTCATGAGCATGGTGTCGGGATGGGCGTTGATCCACTCCTGAACGAAGCCAAGGACCTCGTTGTACATGACCGTATCGTGGACGTGGGCAGCGGCGTCATTCGCGTGGCCCGCGTGGTCGATGCGTGAGGCCTCAATCATGATGAAGTACCCCTTTTTCGACGCGCGCGTTGCCTGATCCAGCGTCCCCAGCGCTGCTTTGGACATCTCAAGCAGCGAGGGCTCTTTCTCGGGTGCCTTGGAGCGGTCGATCTCGTACATCATCTGGTCGTCGTTGAAGAGGCCGATGTAGGGGAGACTGGCATTGGTGGTGTAGTCGCCAAGGTAGGCATCGAAGGCGGCGCGGTCTTGCATTACGTGGTAGCCCTTCTTCTGGGCGAAGCTGAAGAGATCGAGGTCATCACTGCGGCATGATGTTGGGTCCGACTGCGGCTTGAAGTAGCAGCGGCCACCGCCCAGGAGTATGTCGACCACGGGGCCGAAGGGGTGGGAGTAGCCGATTTGCTGGGCAGCGATTGCTTCGTAGGAGTCGCGGTTTGCTACGTGAGCCGAGTAGACCGCTGGAGTGGCGTGATTGATGGTTGAGGTGACGACCAGCGCGGTCTTGAATCCATCCAGCTTGGCGGCCTCGAGGATGGAGCCTACAGGTTGACCATCCGGAGTCACTGAGATAGCATCATTGTATGTTTTGTGACCACAAGAAAAGGCTGTTCCAGAAGCAGCTGAGTCGGTGACTAAGTTGTCGCTCGCGTGCGTTCGGACTGTTCCGAGGACCTGTCTTCAGTCAGGGGTGGTCTTCCAGTGACCGGTATTCTCTACACACCAATCGGTCTCCAGCAAGCTCCTGGATAATTGGCGCACTAGCATTCGAGCCGGTCTTCTGCAGTGACACGTAATCACGTGCCATTGTTTGAGAGGCCTGTCCATAGCCATCGGGCACAATGTAGATGAAGTTTTTGGCCTGCGGTGCCGCCCATGTTAGGCCTGTCTGGGCCACGAGCCCTGCCGCCAAAAGAGTGAGTGAGTACTGCATCTTGACTGCCAATTGACGATGGAAAAGCGTGGCCTGAGCGGGGTACAGAGCCTAAGCATATCTCCAGCACCGTTGTATTTATACCACTTAAGATTGTCTCACGTAGCTCCGTCGTATCCTTACCATATCTGGTAGGTGTTATCCATAGACTGAAAGTGGGTGTAGCACGCGACACGTGCGCGATACCGATATTGCTGTTCGCATGCTTTCCTCCATTGGCAGGATGCAGCCAAGATGCTGTGACCTTGGCACCGAGTATACTCCGCTAACATCATCAGTCTGAAAACACGTGCGGCTCTTGGACATCTTGGCGAACGGGCCGCGTCGTCATGGTTCATCGGAGGAAGGCATGTTTCCATCACAAAATCTTCGGAGGTGGAAGCCGTCGAATATGTTGTATCGGGATCGCATTCCGTACTTTCACACTCACATCACCTCCGTAATACGTCAGGAACACCTCCTGGCTTGCTTTCGTGTTTGCCCTCCACTCAATTATCATTGCCAGACTTGGCTGTGTTGGTGCTATCCCATCTTGTCCGTCTCTTTAGGAAATCGACAACGTCTCGCAGCATATCCCCCGAATACCAGTGGCCTGACCCTTCATACTCGTTCCATTCAAGATCTATATCAATGGCCCGCAAGAAATCGGCAGCCTGTTTGCCGTGCTTACAATAAATCAGTGGGTCCCCCGTTCCGTGTCCCATGAAGATAGGTATCGTTTGCATGGGCATCGGCCCAGTCCGTACGTCTTTCATGTCTATTGCCAGCTCTGTACGTAGCCATGCAACAGCTTTATTAAACTTGGTGTCGTTCCCAGGCTCTTCAGTTTCCTGCTCGATTATTCCCTTCACTTCGTCCTCCGTTTCTGCGAACGGATTTTCTTCATCTTCTTCGTCTCTCACAACATCGGCCATTGCTTCTCCAAATGGGAGATAACCGCACATTCCCACCACTGCCCCAAAAGGCTCCCCCTCCCACAATAGCGTCGCTACGAGGCTAGACGCACAGCCCTGACTGAGGCCAGCAAGGACGAAATTGGGTGCACCGATGATGTCAATTTCCTGTTGTATGATTTTATGCAAGTAAGTGCTTGTCTCGCGTATTCCAGGTATTTGAAGATGCTGCTTCAATTCAGGATGCTGCGGTGACCAATGGTCGAACCACTGGTGGGTAAGGCTTCGATTGAATGCCACTGCCCGGCGCAGCGGCGCAGTAGGGAAAACGAACTTGGTGCTGGGGAAGTAATCCTGGAAGACCATGCTGTCCTCTGCGTTTGCTTCTGAAGTTTCTGAGGCTGTGGGCTTCGACACTGGACTCGTCAAGAAGGGTTCCGCGAACCGATCAGCGGTGGAGCCACGGCCGTGGAGGACTATCATGGTTGTCCTGTGCGGTCCCGTTGGCTCGATGACGAGAGAGCCTTTGTGAACTGGAGTCTTATTTGTAGACGCTGACATGACGAGCGAGGTGGTCCAAAGCTAACGTGTGTGGTGAGGATGGTTCATGGAAAGATGGACCCCTTCTCCATTGTAGGATCTGTTGACGGAAGGAGACTCCGCAGGCACCTGGCAGGTGCAACCGACTGGCCTAACTCTATATAGGCAGGTTTTCCCGCCTGAGCAATACAATACACTTACACTCAACTTCATACTTTTATCAGGATCCATGGATTGTAAGCGCGCACCCGCCAGGCAGCAACGTTCCACAGAATCCTCGCGGCTCCACAAGCAAAGACTCGCGTGCATCGTCGAGTCTGGTTACTGCTGTTGATATACTGTTACCGCGTGGGTCTATATTCGAGGATGGCTGCGAGAGACGGGAGAGGACGTGTACGATAGGACATGTGAAGATAGGCTGGCGCTAACGCAGGAACGTCCCGCACGGTTGGGGCAGGAGCGCGGGACCGCTGTAGTGAGCCGTCCGAGCTTCCTCGAGACCACCACGCCACCACGCCAGCCGCCCGCCGCCAGCCCACCGTAAGTAGACTCTCGCACACTCCACGCGCCCGTCGCAGCCTTCCGTTCACCTTGTTGGTTTATTGTCTGCGTTTCGGCACTTTTGTCTTCGCGCGCGCCCGCAATTGCTCACGCTGCGCAGCTTCCATCTTCTGAGCTCTGGCAACAGCTCTAGTCCGCTTCGCGCGCCCCCTTCGTCCACGAATTGCCGGGCAGCTTTAGAGCTATGGCGGATACTGAGGACCAGACGCCCATCGAAGAGACGCCGGCCGACGATATCGAAATGGACGAGGGCGCCGACGCTGGTGCGGGCGCGGATGAGGAGGCCAACCTCACCGAGCTCGAGCCGGAGACACCCAAGCTGGTGCTGTTCTCCGAGTAAGCCTCATGCCCCTGGGGGTCTCTATTTCCAGCGTCCACGAGCGAAGCGACGGCAGTAGGCCGCCATTTGGCCCTATGGGATTGTTCGGGGTGGACCAAGAAAGCTTACGACTCCACCACACCAATTGGCGTCGAAACATGCTGTAGAGGAACGAGACCCTACTTGGACAGCTGCTGAGTATGTCCCAGCTTGATGAAGAGCCCGATCATCGAGATCCTCGTCGGGTCCGGAGCTGAACAAACCACATACTCTGCGCACGAAGCAGTCCTGGTCAAGTCCCCAGCGTTCGCGGCCAAAGTCGAACAGTTCGCAGCAGGAGGCGTACGCAGCATACCACGGACCCCGGCTCAAGCAAAAACTGACTTGGACTGCAGCCCCGTCAGATCACTATGAGCGATGTCGACGTGGATGCCATGGGCTCTGCCGTCGAATACCTGTACACTGGCGAATACTTCCCTAAGAAGACCTCTTCTGGTCGCGATGCTCCTCTCGAGAAAGACCCGCGCCAGCCCACCCCCGACGACGACGGCCTCGGGCTTCTTGTGCACGCCCGCATCTATACCCTCGCCGACCGCCTCCAGCTCCCCAGCCTCAAGTCCCTTGCACACAGCAAGATCCACCGCACCGCCTCGACCGCCAAGGGCGAGCTTGCCTATGCCCGCTACGTCTACAAGGAGTCCAATCCCGAAGACCACACCATCCGCAAGCCTGTCGCTGCTTTCTGGGCAACGCGCTCCTTCAGCCTGCGCCACGAGGCAGAGCCAGAGTTCCGCGCCATGTGTCTCGAGTTCCCGCAATTCTCGTACGATGTGCTGCAGTTGGTCCTTGATAACCAGGAGAAGGGCAAGGGCCGCGGTGGCGATGGCGAGAGCTCGCACAGGGGTCCGGCCGTCGTGCCTGGTAGCAGCAGGAAGAGGGCTAGAGTGAGTCAGGCTGCATAGATGCATCGCACTGCATTCCTGAACTCTACTCTGTTGTTTCTTGGACTGTGCGGTCGCAACCGAGCTTGTCTGATCCGTGATCCAGAAATCAAAACTCTCGAGCGACGTGTAATCAGCTCTGTACCTGGGCCAATCGCATGAGTTGGCGTCTCCCATTTCGAAGCTATCTGCATTGCTCTCTAAGATCGCATGTACCGGCATGCCATCTATGCCGTGCACCTCGAGGGTGTTTCATATGTATGTATGGTGGAGGAAGGCCACGAATGGCTGATGCCCATATCTGCGGCATTTCAATTGTGCTCTATCCATATCTGTAATAATGACGCAAAATCACACTCGAACGGTTGCTGCCATCGGGCATCATATGAATTCATCCCGCACTCTCCATCACAGTGGCAGTCACAGAAACCTGTATCTCAGGAGCACCCCTGGTAAGTTATCCTGTAGGAACTCACCATGTGATACGGTTCCAAGACTATTATTAGATAGCGTATCCTGAAACCTCACAGCGGCTCAAGTTCAGTTTGTACGGTCGGCCACTGTGCACCGTTACAGTATTCCCATCTCCTTCAACGCAGGCACAACCGCACTTTCCACCACCCCCTGCACATCCCCCGTGCTCTCCCTCACACCTAGCCCGCTCCCCGGAACCTGGAATCCCACCTCCACGCCCTCGATGCGCGCCCGCACATCCGCATGCTCGTACCCGTCCGGCCCTACATTGCCCAGATAGTCGAGGAAGGTAAGCCACCGCGGGAGATAGTAGTCCCCGACCAGCCCGCCCCACGACTTGCTCGCGTAGTCGTTGATCTCGCCGTCGGGGCCCCACCGCGTGATCTGGTTGCGCGCGGTGTACTCGTAGTAGTCCGCGATTGTTGCGTTGGTCGTGTTGGACGGGGCAAGAGCGCGCGCAGAGGCGAGCCAGGGCGCGAGATTGAACTGCGCGAGGGTGGACAGGAGGGGGTCGAGGGTGCGGAGGAGGAGGATCAACTTGTCGGCGTGGGCGTTGAAATCGGCGCCTGTGCCATTCGTGGTATTCCACGCTGCGATGCACGCTGCGTAGCTGGATGCAAAGGCGTCCGAGTACACTTGGCGCGTGACGTCGACGAAGTCGTGCTTGTACGCGGCGTTTGCCCAGAGAGTGGGCTCGGTGGACGCAGCAGCGTACATTTCCTTCCACGCGTGCACTACGACGGCGGGATCGTAGTTTATCGTAGTCGGGTGGTGCCCGGTCCGGTTCGTGAGGCGCGTGATGTTGGGCGCGAGTTCGAAGATGGCCTTGGACACGGCGTTGGAGGTGAGATTGGTGTTGTTGTAGGCGCTTGTGCGGAGGAGTTCCCACGCGGTGTAGAGCTGCGGGGGGGCGCTGTTGTTGCCGCCTGTATACCGCGTGCGGACCCAGGACGCGAAGTACGCTGCTGTATCAATAGGGCTGGGTGACCACGCCTGGTCTAGCAGCAACGCGTACATGATCTCGTTGCCCTCCTGGCCCTCCGGCGTAAGTCCGAAACCGACGAGCGAGGAGGAGTTGGCGAGGGCGGCGATGGGGTTGATGGTCACGTTGTCGATCTGGCCGTAGAGGCCCTGGTTGCCGCCGTAGTCGTGGAGCTGGTTCCAGATCCAGGGCTTACCGTAGTAGGACTCAGTGCGCTGCCATTGGGGCTGGCTCTCGGAGAACAGATCCAGCACGAGCATATCGTCGTCGACCTCCACGCCCGAGAGATACGCCTTGATGCGCTCGTTGGTCCAGAAGTCGGCGTTGGAGGTAAATAGCCAGCCTTGCATTACCCACACTGCGCCCGGATTCGCGGCTTTGAGGGACTGCCAGGTGCCGCGGGTCACGTTACGCAGGTAATCGAGATCACCGGAGTAAGGGTCATTCTCGTTGTACTGGTCGAGGGTGTAAAATTGGGTGATGTTGCCGTAGTAGTCGAGTTGCTTGGTCATGACGATGTTTTGGAGCTCGGAGAAGAGCGGGTCGGAGGGCTCGAGGAAAGTCGTGTTTGTGAATTCGGGCGGGAAGTCCTCCCACTGGCTTCCATTGACGACAGTCGCATTTGGGTACACATCTACAAGTGCTCTAGGCACGAAGCCAGTAAAGGCGGGAAGGATGGGAGTCATGCCCAGCTCTAGCATCCGTGACAGGATCTTCTGTTGCAGCTCGAATTGCTGATCGATCCATTGCAGGGGAAGTTGTCCGCCCCAAGAGCCCTGGGTGTTGCCAAATCGGTTCCACGCTTGGAACGCCGGGCTAGAAAAGAAAGGCAAGATCTGAGAAGTCGTGAGATTGACCTCTTGAAAGGCATCTAGCAGGATCTTCTCGAAGCCGACCCACGCGAGGGGCAGATTGACTCCGTGGAGGGCCAGCCAATCCAGCTCAAGCTCCCAATCCGGCCAGCTCCAGAAGGGTGTCGTGTACGAAAAGGTCACCGTGTTGAAGAAGTATCTCCATGGCACAATGCTTGCTCCCGTGATGGTACTGTTGGGTCGCGGCAGCGTGGGGGATATTTGATCAAGTCGGCTTCCGATGAACCAGTACAAGTCGACGTGAGCAATGTCGACAAAGTATCTCCGCAAGCCCGTTGCCAGAGCGCTCACGCTGCTGCCGGAGATGGCAATGGATCCGTTGGAGGCGGTGCTGATGGTATAATGGTCGTTCTGGGGTATGCTCGCGTTGACATGCACCGTCTCGATCAGCTCAAATGCGAAATCTTGACTTCGTCCTGGGAGCCGCCGTTCCACCAAGTCGTAGAGACCGTGCGTTGATGCGGCGGCCACGACTGTGCATATCGAGCCGAGCGCGATTGCGACGGAAGTGAATCGCATCGTGACTGCGATGGAGCTCTCGCGATTTCTGTGGGAGTCGAGACTGATGCTGGACGAAGGTATCCGTCCCAGCCGTTTGGGTTACATTTTCGAGATCGTCTTGGCCCCATCCATGTTGGTGCAGGCGCTGACTGACGTCAACAGCGGTACGGAAACTTGCAACAGTAGCATTGCGAGATTGAACAACGTGGTCGTAGTAGTAAGCCTATGTTGTGGGGTCTAGTGCTGCTTTCACAAAAAGACTGATAAGGCTCGAAAGGACCCTGTGCGGCTGGGCGCACATTGCACTGTTGCCGCGAGCTGTTGGTCGAGGACTTCCGAGGGGCTGCGGAGCCAGCCTCGCGTGCTCGTCGCGTCTGCTGGCAGCCGCATGTGCATGGTTGTCTACGCCAATCGAATTGGTGGTGCGCTGGTCTTTCCTGCTACAAGTGAGATGCAGAGAAGCTTCCTAGTGCTGTCGTAGGGCACGGTTGCGAAGCAATGCGCCTTCTATTGGATGCCTAGGCCGTGATTTGGAGATGTGCGTGCGAACCGTCGGCTGCGGCAGAGTAGTGAGAGGCTAAATCGCAGGACAAAGGACGCGACGACCCGGTGAATGATATATGCGCGGGTCAATCTAGTCAATCTTTGACTTCATCAAAGACGCGGTGGCCATGAACCGTTTACGCGACTGGGCATGCTCGGCAAACGGTGAGCCAGGCGGGAGCTGATGGCGCACGTCACGCAGGCCCTCGGCTTCTCCTCCGGCTCCGCGGTGCAGGTGGTGTGGTGTGGTGCGGCGACGCCTGAGGTGAGGGCACGCTGAGGCACTTGACTGTACGCCATGCGGCAGCCAGCTTCCCCTTCGGCCGCAGCCCACATGTAGCCAAGTGCGAGGGCCGTCGCTCGATAGGCTCCAGGCGCTGAGGGCGCCGTCGCAGCAGCACATGCAAGAGGCATCGTGTGCCGCGGGGCATACCGAGAGAGCCACGGCGGCCTGCTTATAGCAGCTGGTGTCGCCCTCCAGGCCTCATCCGACTCACCACCACTCACATCCACCACCTCGCCGCCCGCGCGGACCACCCCGCGGCCGTGGTTGCTTTTTGGGTCCTCTGCGCCCTGCATCGGCGGATCGCGCTCTTCCCCGCAATACCGCCAAACCCTCGTCGCCGTCCCTGTCTCAGCGCTGCACGGCGTATTAAAGAGAGGCCTCGCCAACCACCCTGGCCAACCGCGCCCGACGTCCTCGCAAGTCCCACTGTGTCGCTAGGCACCTGGATGCGCAGCCTTCCAGAAGCCTAGGGGCGCTCGCCTCCCACTGTCGGCCCGCCGGCCCATGCTCTAGGCCAGATTCTGCACTGCACGAGACTCTCCATCCGCCTCAACTGGCTCTTCCGAGGCTACCTCCTGCCCTGCTCGTGACCTGCCAGCGCATTTGCAATTTCCCTCTTCGACCCGCCTCATCCCCCCGGCTGTCCCAGTCTCCACAGCGCTCCACGTATGGCCACGATCCCGAGTCCGGCTCTACGCTGCAGCGTGACAATTAATCCGGGCCTCTTGTGCTCGCAGTACATAGTTCCCCACTAGCGTTCTGTTCCTGTCAACAAGAACTTCACTCGACCAGTCCCTCCGCCACGCACTCATCACATCATCATCATCATCATCATCATCATCATCATCATCATCATCATCATCACCACCACCATCACAGCACAAGACCTGTCCCGAGCTCGTTCCCGCCTCCCGCCGCAGCCTCGCTTACAACATCTCAATCCGCCCTCGACCATTCTCGCATCCCCGTTTAGGAAATACTCGACCTCCGTTGCATCGGCCCCTCTGCACTTTCTCCACCCCCGGACTTCGCACTGGTCACGAGATACAAGTCGTGTGCTTCTATTGCTTGAGCATTGCCTCTTGATAAACCATCACCAAACCACCAATTCACGTTGTTTCTCTGTTTGCGCAATCAAGTCGTCGGTCAAACTCGGCTCTATTCCGTCATCAGCTCCAATGCTCCAAGTCTGCCACCCAACCCCTCCAGCAACTGTCCTTCCTGGGCACTTTGCTGCCCCAGTGAGGCGAACACCCAGAGCGATGAATCCGCCGTCAGCACCAAACCCAGCGGGGGATGCTGGTGTTCTCCCAGAATTCGGCAGCCTCAGCATTCGGGATGCGCCATCACCACCAGGCGAGGAAGAGCTCGATGTCACCAACATGTCCCGCGAAACCGCCATGAAGATACTGGTGCGGTCCGTACTTGCGCTTGCCAATGCTGCTGGCGAGATCCCTGCTACACCACCTCTATCACGACCCCATACCCCTTCCGGAAAAGAGAACGTCCCAGGTACGCGTCCGCATAGACGAACGGCGTCCCGGCCAGCAACGCCCATACCGGCAGACAGAGCACAAACTTCAAGAACAGATCTGGAGCAGCCCGAAGCGCATCACGACGAACCCATCATCGACATTGGCGCAGGAGCAGAGCCCGAGTATGTGCAGCGAGCGAACATGGCCCGCAAGTTCTTTTCGAAATCGGTCCCAAAAGTCAGCTTGGAGGAATACTGCAACCGCATCCAGCAGTACTGCCCGCTGTCGACCGGAGTCTGGCTGGCAGCTGGCTCGTACATTCTCCGCTTGAGTCTGGTTGACAAGTACGTCCCGCTCACCCACCGCACGATGCATCGGTTAGTGCTTGCGTGCTTGACCACGGCGATGAAGACGCTCGAGGACCACCGGTGGCCACAGAAGAGGCTGGCAGCAGTGGGCGGTGTGGACGAGATGGCCCTTGGCCGGCTAGAGCTCTGCGTTGAATTCCTGCTGTCGTTCGATCTGCAGTTCCTGGCAGAGAACCGGTTGAAGGACTCGACGGTCGCGCTGCAAAAGGCGGGCCAGGCTGCGGTGATGACAGCCAGACTGCCGTCGTCGTTCAAATTGAGTATTCCACGGACACGGCACTAGCATCCAGTTTTTCTTTTTCTTGAATGGTCGGTTCAGTAGAGACCGACATAGGGCTGGCGTTCTGGAACAGCATACAGCCTTGGCTAGGGCTCGTGTACGATATGTCGGAGCCGTATTACAGTTTGATGGGCACGGCTTGCAGAGGGACTCTGGGCCATTTTGAGATACCACGTAGCACACAAGAAAAGTCCAATTGAATTTCCTCGCTCCGCCAGATCCAATCTTGGGTTCCCTGCACGACTGCCGTCTGGCGAATACGAGAAGTGTTGATGGAATGCACGGCGGGTGGCCAGAACGCGGCTTAGCGGCGGCAGCGGCGATCGTTAGCTCCTCGGTGCCCCTGGCGCGTAATCGATATGCGGCGCCACTCATGAAATCAAGCTCGGACGCAGGTCAACGTCGTGCCATCTTCAAAGCACGCCCGCCCGCCGACGTCCGCAATCCTTCGCGCATACCTTGCTACCCCACGCTCGCTACCCCACCAAGCATTGCCTCGCAGAACCGCTCGCTCTCCTCCTCTGTCGCTACCTTGGCCGAGCTGCAACCATGGGCCGAATACTGGTGCCGCTGGCGATGCTCACCACGCTCGCGTCGCTGGTGAGCGCTGGGATCGAGATCTCAAAACCCGCAAAGGGAGCCGTGCTCACGGCCGGCGATGCAATTGAAGTAAAGTGGGACTTTGCTGGCAGCGGGCCCGGCGAGACCGACCTTACCACGTACCAAGTCTTCCTCTGTGCAGGCCCCAACGACCCCGGAAACGCCAACACAATCGTCAGTCGACGACCCCGCTCGCGAGGCTGGAGGCGCTGATACTGTGAACAGACGTACCCGATCACAACGTCTGGCAATTTCGCACAGGGAGGAACTTCGGTACAGGGCAAGATCCCCACCACGGTGGGTGGAAACACACCGTCAAATGCATAGTCCGTATCCCAGAACAGCGCCTGCTCTCTTTTGCTAACGCAAGGTGCTCAGCTACGTCAAGATCATCGCAGCAGGGTCAAAGGGCGGCACCTATACAGTCTTCTCAGACCGCTTCTCCTACAAGGGCATGACGGGCTCCTTTTCCGCCGCCTTTACCTCCGCCATGAGCAGCGTGAAGGACACCACCGGGCCCTCCGCAGTCGACACGACCGTCAAAGATCAGGCCGATGTCTCCAATGTGGCAGACGCCGAATATGAAGTGGAATATACCATGCAGACCGGCGCCACGCGATATGCGCCGATGCAACCCGTCCCGCCGACCAAGATCACGGCCAAACAGGCAAAGCCACTGTACCCGACGAGCTCCGTGAAGATTGCGACAGCAGCCCTGCCGATCCCGAGCGTGCAGACGACGCTTACCCAGAGTCAGACGCACAAGGTCACCAGCATGGAGAATACGGTACGCGAGAAACTTCCTTTATGGCTGTAGCCATGGCTTTGGCATATACTAATACAAGGAGCAGGTCGCGGCAGCTCCCATGCCTTCAGATGACATGGCCAAATTTTTGAGGCGTTGGGAAGACTAATTTGGTTCGGTCAATCGATCAGATGGAATATCGTATGGCGTTATTGGTGACGGCGTTGGTGAGTATAATCTGGCGGCATGTTGCACGTTTGCCATGCCATATCAGGGAAAGCTGTTTTAAGCATGTCGGTTTATGTAGTGAAAAGGCGCAGCATGCATGGATTAGATGTGATAGAACATTATGTGGGAGAGCACCGCCATTGACAATTATTAAGAGTTAGCATTTGGGGCTGTTACAAATGTTTTCTAAGCAGCAGGCTTCTATTCTTTTCATTCGTTCCCGGAGATCCCAGCACTACGATTCCTAACCCTTGACACTGACAAAAACCTGCTTTCTATGACCCTCGATATGGGCCGGAAAAAATCTTGCAACCATCGCAGGTCCTTGGATTTCATTCTCACCAGCGATTCGTGGGGCAGATAGCCGCTAGAGAAGTACACAATTACACCCACCACAACATGAGAACATGAACTCTCCCATGCCAAAAGCGGTCTGTACAAATGTGTAAGAGGTCTCATGGGAAGGACGAAGAGAATGACTTATCGCAACGACGTGATTGGCCGACCATCAAGGTTCTCAAATCCATTAGCGACTCTTGGTATTACAGTATCTTTTCGACAGTGGCTGTAACTACACCAGCAGCTTGATTAGCTGTGCCCCTCAAACCTAGCCCTGCAGGGATCGCGGTTTTTCTTCACCTGGCCTGCAATGGTTTTATATTCTTCTTTGATCCATTCGATACCATTACAGCATCCACATTAAGACTACACCTGGCCCCAGGTCTTAGGTTCACAGCAGAAAAGATGAGAGAACCACGGGAACCCCGCGTCATGCAGATCGTGAATGCAGACAAGAGGAAATGGTACCAGAAGCCAAACTTGCGGTTCTTGTACTTCATCCTCGTGCCGACGTGCATCGGCACCGAGTGGACCCTCGGCTTCGACGGCTCCATGATGAATAACCTCCAGGCGGTTCCGTCGTGGGTGGACTGTACGTCCCTCTCCCTGTACTGATTTCTTCCCAAAGCCGCCGTCTTCCTCTCCTTTTTTTTTTTTTTTTGACTTGCCTTGGCTAGATTGCTGATGTGATTTCTATGGACTAATAGATTTTGATAATCCCTCCAGCGCCAAGCTCGGATTGCTGAATGCCATACATTCCCTTGGGATGGTCTGTGCCGTACCCATCGAGCCAACTGTGAGCGGGCTCTGCGGGCGGCGCTGGACTATCGCGCTGGGGTCGTGTGTTATGTGGCTGGGCGCGGGACTGCAGGCGGGCGCGATGAGTGCGGATATGTTTATTGCCTCACGCTGGCTTTTGGGGTTGTAAGTCTCGCTCCTTCTTCACATGCTCCTCCGAGGCTGGTAGGCAATGCTCGGACTAAATGGCATTTAGTGGCGTTCTGTTTGTTGTCTGTGAGGCTTCTGCGCTCATTGGGGAGTTGGCATATGCAAAGGAGAGAGCGACGATGACGAGCTTTTTCAGCGCGAACTACTTTATTGGTAGTATTATTGCGAGCGGCGTGACGACGGCGACCTTTGCTATGGACTCGACCTGGGGGTGGCGCATCCCGAGTCTGCTGCAGGCCGTCTTCAGTGCAATTCAAGTCGTGTTTCTCCCCTTTTGTCCCGAGTCCCCGCGGTGGCTGATCGCGAATCAGAAGGGCGAGCAGGCGTACAAAGTGTTGTTGAAGTACCACGGTGAGGGGGAGGAAGGGGAGGAATATGTGCGAAGGGAGTACGAGCAGATCCAGGCGTCTATCGCGCTGGAGAAAGAGTTGGCCAGGAGGTTCATGTGGGCGGATGTGGTCCGCTCGCGGGCAATGTTTCATCGCTTCGCTGTCTCCGGCCTTACCGGCATCTTCGGGCAGGTCTCTGGGAATGGGTTCGTCTGCCCCCCTCCCTTCTCTGGGATCGTGTGAGTTGGAAGCTAAGAAAATCTGTCAACAGCCTCATAACATACTACTTTGCCAAAGTACTCCGCATCGTCGGCGTCTCCTCAAACGTCACTATCCAGCGCATCATCCTCGCCCACAACTGCTGGGCCCTCCTCAACAGCGTCCCGCTCTCCATCCTCGCCCCACGGTACCCACGGCGCCACATGTTCATCCTCGGCGCGCTCGGCATGGCCGCGTGCTTCACCGCGTGGACAGTGGCGTCGGCCAGATACGCAATCACAGGCTCGGAAGCAGCGGCTGCGACCAGCATTGCATTTATCTTCCTGTACAATCCGTACGTCGCCTGCCTTGTCCCCTCATGTACCCCTCATGCTGACCCAGCCCCCCAAGGTTCCTCAACATCGGCCTCAACTCCCTGGCGTATACCTACATCGTGGAGCTGTTCCCCTTCACGCAGCGCTCGCAGGGCCTGGCGTTTAAGCAGCTCGTCGGCCGCCTCGGTAACTTCTTCAATGCGTACGTCAACCCCATTGCGCTGGATGCCATCGGCTGGCGGTACTACGTAATGTACTGCGTGTGGCTGGTCGCCGAGGCGGGCATCGTCTGGGCTGTCTTCCCCGAGACGCACGGCCGGACGTTGGAGGATTTGAGTTTTCTGCTGGAGACAAAGGGGGATTAGGGTTCCTCGTGTGGGAACGATTGGGGAAGGGCCTGAAGGCGACGTGGATCCGTGGTCTCGGCTGCACGGCTGCGATCTTGCTGACCAGACGCTGGCGATCTAGGGTTTAGAAGATGTCAAACCCCGGGTTCATCGTCACGCTGATCGGCTCAATCTGCGAAAACGTCGAGTACATCTCGCTCGACATGTCGAGCAGATTGAACCCCAGTCCGTCGTCCATCTCGCCGCCCAGATATGGATTATCCAAACTAGCGGTAGGTCCCGGTCGATTGGATGGTCCATGGGCTGTTGGAAACGTGTTCAACGTCGTTGAGGCGTCCATGGGGAGAGGTAGGCCCGGGTGTGTGTGGGCCGAAGGGTTTTCGCCTGCGCTGGGGTTCGATGGAGAGGAAAGCATAGGCATGGTATGGATGCCAAGGGCGGTGAGCTCGCGCGCTATGAGGTCGGAGGCTGTTGCGATGACTTCGATATGGTCAGCAAAATATCTTTGGGCCTTCGGACTGTGGATAGACATACCAGGACTCGTGACTCTCAGGCGATCCAGCGCTCCCACACAGAACGCAAGCCGCTCCAGCGTGCTGGGCGCCGCCTGGCCCAGCGCCTGCACTTCGAGCAGAAAGATCGACGCTGCGGTGTAGACGCTGTAGGCTAGGCTCAAAACTACGTGGCCGTCGCCGAAGGTGCGCGTGTACAGGTTGAACAGGGTGATTATGGATGTCGCGGAGGACATGCACTGGACTAGTGGATTGTCTTCTGCCGTCTGACCCGCCAGGCCTGGCTCGCGACTCAACTTTAGCTTTGCGCGGTTCGTCAGGATGTTGATGGTGTGGAAGAGGCAGCTGTTTCTGTTAACCAAGCCACTTCCTCGATCGAAGCTATACGTACTTCAGCGTCACGATGTGACTCGGTGGACACTCCAGCTCGGCGTCCGAAACATTGATCTTCAAGTGCTCTGGCAGATCTCTCCACCAATCTCTCAGCTTCCCGCTTTGCGCGTCCGCGCACTTGTACGCCTGCGACCGGGGCAGCTCCCTCGAGGGGTTGTGCAAGTTTATCAAGATCTCATTCAGGATCTCAGCGAGCGCGCACATCTGAATGAAGCAGGAGATGGAGTGTGCTTGCTTGGGGCGGTAGGTTGTCGAGGGGAGGCCGTGGGGCGTCCAGGGCTCGATTTCCGCCGTGTCGTCCACTGCATGCACAGTCAAAACCACGAAACAGCGAGATGAGGAAAGGCGTACTCAACACCCTCGGCGGACTGATCTCCGAGTTCTGCAGTATAGGCGAGCGCCCAAAATACAGACTAATCAACTTGTCCCAGAAATAACAGCTCCAGAACAGCCGATTCCGGATCTCGATATCTTCCGCTGAGAGATGGCCTGCACTTGCATATTTCTTGCCATCCACACAAATGCCCATGTCATCTATCAATCGAAACGCCATTCCGCTGTACAGCCATGCTTGCGTTCTGTTCCCGCTGCCGCACTGCTGCGCGCTGAGGAGGAGCAGGGCTTGCACCGTGGGGATCTTGCTGTGGCCGTGTTGCACGTCTGAAAAGAGGTCTCGGACGGCGTTTTTGGCGAAGATGGCGCCGTTTTCGAAGGGAGTTAGGAGGGCGGACATGCCGGGTTCGCCGCGGCACCAGCGGACGGAGTGGGAGAGGACGGCGTTCAAAAGGGCCTGGGAGAAGTAGGGTCCTCCCGACTTCATGTCACCTGGACGCTGGTATCAGCTGCCGATGCTTCAAGCGCGAGGGGTACACACGAGTGAAAGCTGGTCTGTATACGAAGTTGAACAGCGGCTGGACCCAGCAGAAGTGCGAGTCTAGAAGCCATCGAAACGGGTCCTGCGTATCCGTTAGCATCACGTGAAGCAGCCCACAGCGTAGTTACATACCGGGATATCCGCAAGTCTTTCGTAAGCTCTTTCTCGCCAAGCATTGTTCACGAGGCTTTCCTTGTCGGACTCATTTTGATAGTCTGCGTGGGTCCGATTGATTGCTTGAAGATGTGTGCTATCGGGTAGTTGGAACAGGCTTGTGGAGCCGTGGTATGAGAGCCGTCCATCTGCTTCGATTCTCAATGCTTCAACTGCCCGAGGCGGACTAGGACTGGGATGGCTTTCAGATGCTGAGGTTGGAGCCTCTGGAGTATCGGTTTTCACAAGTTTTGTTTGGTTTTGGTTTTGCTGTGCTTCCAGCAAGGCGGCTTGGAGCTGTTCAACTCGTTGTTCGAGCCGCTGTGTGTACGACAGCGTTGGGGATCTACAACCATAAGCCTCTTATAACTAGATCATCACAATGTAGATATTGCGCGTAAGCGGCTACGACGCATACCAGCAGTGAGCGCCACATGCGATCGCACCCGCCCTGGATCAATGAGAACCTAATTCACTTCTCTTACAATTTGTAGACACACGTATCCTCTCTCGCTTTGCATCGATTGCAAATCGGGTGATTAGCATCGCATTTCACCTGCAACAACTCATGAGCTTCAAGAAACACCTCTGCACGGAAATTACTCGCCTTTCGTTTCCGACATGCCTCACACGAGAAAGCACTCTTCTTCGGGTTCCGCTTCTGAACAGCCGCGCTCTCCATGGCTCATCAACTTTCTCGCGGAATTTCTTTCGCTTGCGAGTAAGTCTCGGACATGTTCCGTGGTCGATGGTTCCCCATGTGGGGAGATTGGGGCTGGGAGGACAATTTGTCGAGCACGTGCGGAGAAGTCCGTTGCCTCTTTAAGTTACCGGTAGCCGGTCAAAGTCCGAGACTTCCCCCACTCTACTTTACCCCATGGCCTTCGGCAACATTTCACATTGTCGCATCGAATTTCCAAGACTTTGAGCGAAAATAAAAACTAGACTTTCTGGGGCTATCGAATTTCATGATAGGCTTTTGATTATACCCTATATAGGGAGTGCCCACAGGATGAGGTTTTCAATAGTCCAGATTCTGGTGGCAGCCACTGCATACGGTCCACTTCATGCTGGCTCTACGAGTGGGCTTTCTTGCGATTCGATTTCCAATAATTGTCAATCGACGACAATCTGCACTGACGTGTTGACTCTCTCGCGTTGGTGCATGTTGCAGCATAACAGGATAGCGACTATTATGAACAACAATTTTTGGATTACTATCGGAATCTACGCACGAGGATCACTCTCGCGTTGCTCAACACTGTACTTGACCTCAGCTTTCCCCTCATACGACTCCCTAAAGTCGTTGCGCGGGTCCAACTTTGACTTCCAGCACTTGTACCATGCGTGATCGAAAAGTTCGGGCATGCGCTCCAACGGCACACCCTTGGTCTCCGGTGCCCACAAGCCCAGCACGACAACTCCAATCGCACAGATCATGGCCCAGAACACGTACGCGCCCCATTTATCAAGCGCCGTCAACATGACCGGTGTCACTCGCACAACAGCGAATTGGTAGAACCAGTGAAGTGCCATGGTGGTTGCGTATGCGAAACTGCGGGCCTTGGTGGGGAAGATTTCCGTCCCGTAGATGTATGGGATCGTACAAAGACCGACAGACCAGCCCGTCGCATAGATGAACACCGATGCGATTGCAGCATCGGAAGCAGGTTGGTTTCCTTGGCCGATAGCACCGAAGTAAATGGCCATGTAAATGTGAGTGATGCCTTGAAGAGTCAAGCCGGCCAGCATGCAGCGTCTGCGACCGAGCCTATCGATGAGACCCCAGGCGAAGACCATTGTCACGAACAGCTTTACGAGACCGTAGGCTCCAGATGTAATGAGCGAGGTTTCAGATCCCTTGACACCAGCGTACTGGAAAATGTCGGAGATATAGTAGGTAATTCCATTGCCACCTGGGGAAGTACAAAATCAGCAAAGCCAGTTCTACCACGAACCAATGTTCCGTCTTACCTGTCCATTGGGCAATGGTATGCAGTGCAACCGCGAGGAAATATCGGTTACGCAGGTTGGGGTCTGTAAAGCATTCCTTCGCAATCTGCGGCATAGAGGTTTTGGACATCTCGATGAGTGCGTTCGCCTCCAGTTCGGTTCGTTCATACTCGCCCATCAGGGCGGGGTCATCGTGAGACATTCCTCGAAGACGAGCAAGCGCGGCGATGCAGTCCTCTCGGCGGCCTCGCGAGGCTAACCACCGGGGACTTTCTGGAAGCAACCACGAGGCGAAGAAGCAGAAGCCCATTGGGATCAACGGAATCATCTGTACGATCTGCCACTGTGCCCTGCTTTGAGCCATGTGCTTGCTGACCCCGTAATTGATGAAAAAGCCCAGCGACAGGAAGGACAGCAAGACTACCATGTACATGCTGGTCACCATCCCCCTGGACTTCGTCGGCGCAATCTCGGATAGGAAGAGCGGTGAAATGACTGTGAGGCCACCTGCGCCGAGACCTCCCCAGATCCTAGCAAAGAGAAGAAATCCAAAGATTCCGGAGGAGAAGACCTGCATTAGGATGCCGCTAGCCCACACCAGTACTGCAATTCTATACGACCATAGTCTTCCGACCTTGTCGTTGAGAAAGTATGCAATGATCGCGCCAAATGCAGCCCCGAGAACACCAAAGGAGCTGATATTGGCAGTGCGATTGGCAAGTCCAGTTGCGTTGCCGACCCAGAGGTTTTTGTTGAGGCCATAATCAGCCTTAAACGCCGGCAAGGTTACACTTGCACTGAAACCTCCCTCGTCGTAACCTGAATCCACTGGTGAGGACAAATCGAACCTTTGCGAGGTGACGCATACCTTTTGGGATACCACCGGACGCCAGTATAACGACAGCAAGCAGATAGAACGGGGACATCTTCGGGGCCATCTTGGTGGTAGTGGGGAAGAGATGACGATCAAAGTTGCTGGCACGACTGCAGCGGAAGACGACAATATATGCACTGCGCACGCTCCATTACATCTGGGGAACACTTCCGGGGTATGGGGACCACCAGGGCATGGAGAAAAACTGGTGTCGTGTGGAACTGGGTATGTGCTTCCCTGATTAGCGCCTCACGTGGTGCAAAATCGGTCATCTCCGCCGATCCCTCGGTCAACTTCCGTGGGACCACCTTCACAATAAACCTGACGATGGATTTTCCCGATAAATTAGTTGCGCTGTACGCGTTTATGTTTATCCCGACATGTAGGAACAGGCCCACCGCAGATATCCACAATGATATGCCGAGCGGCTCGTAGAGAGGTCTTATATGCTCGCTGGGTTGGCCACACGTGGTATTGGTAGGTCACCTTGCACCCTCTCTTCGTGCTCAGTATGCCTGATCAGAGGACGGGTCTTATCTACTCTCTTAGATCTTTGATCAATCACGTCCTGACTCGTTTCTTCAGGCCTGCAAAATCCTACCTTCAACCACTACGTCAGTCAGCTCAACTTCACGACAATGTTTCGCCATTTTCAACACTGTCCCGGAGAATGCCTGCAGGCGCATGGGACTGCCATATGCACGTCACTTCCCCGGAGTATCCGCTCGTTGCCAATGCAGCGTACGTTCCTTCGCTGCACAACTTCCAGCACGCGATGAAATTCGAAAGTACGATTGGGATTTCCAAGATTGTGCTGGTACAGCCCTCGATCTACGGCGATGACAACTCTTGCCTCCTGGATGCCCTCAAGGAAATAGGGCCTGCCAACGGTCGCGGCGTCGTCGGCATCGATCCCAACGCAGTTGATATGTCCACGCTTCAAGCATGGCATAAGTTGGGCGTTCGAGGAGTGCGCCTAAATCTCAAATCAACCAATGTGCAGTTTACCGAAGAGTCGCTCAATGATCTGCTGAAAAGCTACGCAGATGTCATAAGACCTCTCGGCTGGGTCCTTGAGCTCTACATCGGCATGGAGTCGATACCAATCCTTGAACGCGCCGCCGGAAGTCTTGGTGTACGAATAGTCATTGCGCACTGCGGTGCCCCGAAATTACCCTCGGTTGACGACAAAGCGTACCCATTGGATCCTTACAAGTTATACGGATTTCGATCGCTTGTCAACTTGCTACAGGACGGGAATACGTGGATTAAATTCTCAGCGGCATATCGTTTTGACCCGGACCCAGAGATGCGCGGCATCGAGGTCATTGCACGCGAGCTGTTGAAGAAAGCCGGCAATAGAGTAGTCTTTGCATCAGACTGGCCGCACACACGATTCGACGGGCTCGACGTACGGCCATTTGTCGAGCGATGCATAGAATGGACCGACGCCGCTGCTTTGACAGAAGAAGTCTTTTCTCTAAACGCGCAAGAGCTTTGGAAATGATACAGCCAGCTTTCCTCCAGACCCTTCACCATTTGTCGCTCGGCAACTTGATTCGATACTCCGCAAACCCTGACTCTCCGAATGTGTCGTAGAGCTTCCTTGCGACTTTATTCTCGTGCTGCGTCAGCCAGTAGTACTTGGAGCAGCCTTTCTCCTGGGCAGCCTTGCCGCACGCCACGATCAGCTTCCTCCCATAGCCTTTTCCACGGATATCAGGATTGACGAATAGATCTATTAATCTCAGCAAAATATCATCAAGACAGACGCGGGACAAGGTACCGTTCAGATAGCAAACAGGCTTATCCGACCAAGAGGTTGTATGGAAGAGATAGTGCGCAATGGCATTCAGCGTCCCGTCTTCCTCGCGAATAGCAAACGCATGCAGATCTCCTTGCGGATCGATAATTCGATTGAAGGTGTTCTCATATTGCGCCTCCGGAATGGAGGTCTTGTAGAAGGCGATGTATTGGCGAAAGAGATTCTGCCACTGGGACCAGTCGGCTTTGCTGAGGGTAGACACAGACATGCTGGTAGCTGAGAGTAAAGAATGAGAAAATGATACTGCACGTCCTTCTGTAGTGAAGAGAACATGTACTGCCCACTAGCTTTGTATAGTGATGCGTCACGGCGTGTAGGGCGCCAGTCGCTCAGCTTCCCCAGTTTGACTAAGCCGTTTTTGATAAGCAGTCGCCTCGCAGATCCGCACCGGCTACACACGGGCGGTACAACATGTGACATAACTATCTAAGCTATTTTGCGGGAGGCAACATGTCACCAGCAAAGGATCTTTTGGGTTTGAATCTGGTGGCTAATGCTTCCAAACGTTACTGTATCTCTAGGAGTCACAAAGCGAACATATAGCTTATGAAACCTGGATGAACAAAGTACTAGGCTTAGAAATTCAGATTCATTCAAATTATGTATAGATTTATAACTTAGCTATGTATGATTCCATTTCGCCCGCCTTCAATGCACTGTCGATCGCCACCATGGCCTCGCATAGTCTTCTCTCTTCCAATTTGGGCGCTACGACTTGTACACACAAGGGCGTACCGATGTACACTGACCGATCTACTCGCGACCCTAAGTTCAGTTAGCCAAATGATGCTTTCGGAAAAGGTTTAACTCACATAATTCTCGATTTCGCTTATCCCAGCTTCCAAGCACTGGGAACTTCGTCATATCACCTTGTTCATCCTTCTTTTCGAACAAACGAACTGGAACTGTGCCCGCGGGATAATCCAACAGCACGAAAGAACTGGTGTAGCTCGCAGCATTGTACTTGTCGATCTCTGGCACGGGATGAGGCGCAACGGGACAGATGAAAGCATCGACTCGTTTCCAGATCTGGAGGGCCTCTGTCTGCAGTTTCAACCTCTGTGCATGGAGCTCTCGGAGCTTTTCGAAGGCCACAGGCTCCTTGCGACGCATGCGTGGCTGTATCCATGGCGAGAGCGGCTCGTCAAATGATTCGAGCAGGTCGAACATAGAACTATATTCGCGGGCACGAAGTCAGCTAAGTCACAAAAGTGGGTTCATGTACAAGTTGGTTCCGTCTAAGACATAGCGACTTTGTACCGGGGACTGTCGTACTTTCCTCCCTCGACGCCCATGAGAGCGTTAATAAGCGACTGGCACTTCGAGAAGATAGGTGTGATGTCGAGCTCCACGACTTCAATGCCCGATTTTCGCATTTTGAGCGCGACCTCTTCTATGAGCCTCATAATCGGCGGAAGTGGCTCCACGACGCCATCTCGTCTTACGACGCCAACGCGTAGCTTTCTCCCAGCTAGAGAGGAAAGTGAGTTCCAAGGACCAGGTATTACATCGGGATCTAGTTCCCACGGCTTCTGGTCTGATACGACTTTGAAGAACAGCTCAATGTCGCGCATCGAATGTGCCATCGGCCCGGCGCTCGCACTTACGCCCAACTTCGCGACCGCTGGTTTGCTCCCGCCTTCTTGGCCGGCGTAAGGGACACGTCCGTCGCTGGGTTTTGCACCATAAAGACCCTCGCACATAGCTGGGACGCGTATCGAACCGCCGACGTCTGTGCCCACGCCTAAGACGGAGCCTCTCATTCCTAGGAGCGCTGCCTCGCCGCCGGAACTGCCACCAGCCGTCACGGCTGTGTTCAGTGGGTTGAGTGTGCGTCCGAAGATATTGTTGTGTGAGTCTAGCGCTGCAAGCGTTTGCGGCACATTGGTCTTGCAGTACAGCACAGCGCCACCGCTCAGCAAGATGTCGACCAGTACGGAGTTGTCCTGGGAAGGCTTGAAACATAACGCAGCGATGCCTATGGACGCATCGTACCCTTTGACCTTGAAAGTGTCTTTCAAAGACACAGGTACGCCGTGCAGCGGTCCTAACGGAGGCTTTCCTGACTCCAGATGATCGTCTAGCTCTTTCGCCCTCTTCAAAGCATCTTCAAAGAATATCTCCGTCAAGCAATTGGTCAGTTGGTGTGCTACAGCAGCTCTCTTGATTCACCGTCAGCGCCGATTGTTTCATAGTAAAAGCGAACGTCTTGGAGGAATTTCCATACCTTACAAAAAGCTCGCGCAACATCCACGCTCTTGAGTTTCCTTGCTCTGATTGCCTCTGCCAATGCAGTCGCATCGTACTCCTCTGTTATTTTCAACTCTTCGTCGCTCAATATGCCACATTTTCTTGGTATGTCCAAGAAATTAGTCGCATTGGGTGCGGGATGCCGATCATGAGATATACGCCAATCGGGAGGTATGCGTGCGAATTGCTCGTCTTTCTTCTGCCAGGCAACGAACTGCCATCGAGCCGGCAGTTGTGGTTGAGCGGCCATCACGATAAGATATGAGTAGGATCAGAAGAAGAAGATAGACTGGGAGAAGGTGGAAGTTGGACTGATCCCGTAGATGAAGGTTGGGGTAAACGTGGAGCCGAGGTTGGCCAGATGCCGTTAGCGTGGTGACAGCGCGGGGGATGTTGAGGGGCACAACATTGTCTATGCTCGCCATGGTGCAAGGATTCTGAGAATCTTCTTTGTATTGTAGTGTTGAGCGAGCAGGTCATTGTGTGAACCCCCGGTTGCTGGAGAAAAGAAATGCTCAGTGCCCAAGCAATGCGCATCTTACCATCACATCTTCATTGGCTCGTATGCTTGAATACTCTAACGTGTTTTACAAGCGAGCGGCGCGTACAAGCGAGCGGCGCACCCCACCAACTTTGCGCACCTCTGCAGATGTATATCTTAACAACCGTGTAGAACAATGTATAGATATTAATATAGTAGATTAAATAGTATCTAAACTATCTATTTTGCACGTACGGGAGTTATGCCCAGTCTCTCTACACTTCTTGCAGCGCGCAAGAGCCTGGCGGCTGAGGCCTGATCGCTCTCCACCTTGACGCTGTTCACGCTCTATCTGCTGGTCAGCCTCCTTTTGAGCCAGTATATCCTCTCCCTCTCCTTTTGTTAAGGTCCCGCGCTTCTGTATCCGCCTCTTTTTACGCTGCCTACGCTTTGTTGCTGCCTCATTAGCCCTCTCAAGGCTGGTGATCCGATCGCGCATCAGCTCAGCTGAGAGCATCATCACTTCAGCTCCCTTCTTAAGCTGGTCAATTGCCTGGATAATTGAGGCTAGTGATGAGCTCTTATGTCGCCGCACACGATTACGTATTAATGTTGATTGAGCCTCAAGCTCACGTACGTTGCTCGGCGTTTTGGCTTCCCAGAGAGCCTCTGGTAGAGCAGCTGGTGTAGGCGTACGGAGCTGCACATCTAGCTTTAATAGAACAACGTCTGGCTGGTGAGGAACAAGGCCTGCGCCTCGAAAGGCTGAGCAGATATTAGCTGCCGTAAATGATCGCGTGAAGGCTGCCTTAAAGGCTGGCAGAAACTCGAGCTTCGTGATGTGGTTGATGTGGTGGCGGATTAGACTCTCAATCTCACGGCTGTACGCGCGCTTCAGCGGCGAGAAGCAGCCAACGTCAAGCGGCTGTAGCAGGTGAGATGAGTGAGGTGGCATACAAAGAGTATAGATATTATTCTCCTTGCAGAGCTCTTGAAACTCAAGAGAGTGGTGGCTCTTATGGCCATCAAGGATGAGCAGGCGACGCGCACCAACGACACGAGTCTTCGTATAAGCGTTAAAGTGTTTTAGCCACTCTACTCCTAGCTCATTGTTCGTCCAGCCGTTGTCGCTGACTGCAATCGCCCAGTCGCGTGGGATCTCTGCTTCCTCGTACCAGGCAGATAGATGATACTGGCCAGCGAAAATAAGGAACGGTGGGACTGACCAGCCAGCAGCGTTGATTGCAGCGATCACTGTGACCCATCCACGGTCGCCAGGCTGGATAGCCTTTGGCCTGCCTCTCCGCTCTGATCCTGTTACAACGAGTTGAGTCATAATCTTGCCCATCATAAAGCCAGCCTCGTCGAAGTTATAGACATCGTCATCGCAGATGCCGTACTTGGTCTTTGTCTGCTCTACGAGCTCAAACCAGCTTCTGATTAATATCGGATCCTCACACAGGGCTCTCTGCCTATCATAGGCTCGATTGAAACGCGTTGTGAGACTATCCGTGCGCTTGACAAAGTTGCGCGGCCAGTGGACGCCGACCTGACCAGCGCCGCGCGCAGCCAGCAGTTTATCAGCCATATCGCGTACAGCCGCGTACGTAGGCGCAAATCCACGTTGATCCAGGTCAAGTATATATCTAACAATCACCTCCTCTTCTAGCTCAGTGAGCTTCTTTGAGTTGGGCTGGCAATCGCGTCGGGCAGGCTTCCCAGCGCGTCGGCGGCGGAGCGTTGTTTCGGGTACATTGTAGACTGCAGCAGCAGGTCGATTGCCTTGAATCTGTTTTGTATTGATAGATAAGATAGCAAGCTGAATATCTGCTTCATTTGAAGGTAATTGAGCATTGTTGTGTGGAGCCATTGTAGGTTAAGATGAGATAGGTGCGTAAAGTTGGTGGGGTGCGCCGCTCGCTTGTACGCGCCGCTCGCTTGTAAAACACGTTAATCTGATCGATTCTTGTGCTTCTTGGCCTTGCAGAAGATCACCAGCTTCTCAGAGTGAGTGAAACACAGATAGCCTTTGAAGCGTGCGTGACTTAGGACACCTCGGAGATAAACATAACCCCATACGGCAAGTGCTCCTTCCTACGCCCGTGAGATTATATAGTACGGTAGTGACCCGTCCTATTGCTGCCTTCAATCGAAGCACCAGCAAAAGCGCTGTAAAGAGGTACTAGAAAATATCAGCCACGATGAAGCTCATCATTGTCGGTGCAACGGGCTTTGTAGGCACCGAAATCCTCCGCCAAAGCCTCCTTCGCAAGGACATCAGCTCCGTCGTTGCTATCACACGACGCGCCCTCACATCTCCCCCTTCATCCCCCAAGCTGCAAAACGTCGTGGTGAATGACTATGATCAGTATAGCGACGAAGCTAAGACTGCGTTCAAGGACGCAAATGGTTGCATTTGGTAACTCTTCCAACTCAGACCCTGCGCCATGGGTATTGACACGCCACAAGGACCATAGCCATCACACCCTCCAAATCGTCAAACTACTTCTGGGAGGAAGTCGTGCGAGTCTGCCAAACCTCCACGATGGTCGGCCTCCGCACCATGCATGAAGCCGGCATGGGCAAGCCCTTCCGCTTCATCTACATGAGCGGCATCGCCGGGGAGCGCGACCAGACCAAGACCCCGAGCTTCAAGCCCAAGTACAGTATGAAACCCTGGGTACAAAATGGTTGTGCTCGGCTGTTGTCATTGTCTAAGAACTTCAGACTTGTGTTATAAGCTAAGGCTTGAACACCTAATTTCCGTTGATTTTGAGCATTTCGCTAACTTTGTATTCCACACTTTAGGCTTGATGAGGGGCGCGACAGAGAGCCAAGTCCTCGCTTTTTCCAAGGAGAAGGGGTTTGAAGCTATGGCTGCGAAGCCGGGGTTGATTACTGACGGGGGAATTGCAAAGAGAGCATTTGCGTCGGTGCTGTATTATACGATGAGTGTGCCGAGCATCAAGGTGGAGCAGTGTGCGGCGGCGATGTTGGAGCAGGTTGTGTGTGGGATTGAGAAGGAGCCGTTGCTTAATGATGATCTGGTGGAGGTTTCCATGAGGATGGAGAAGGAGGGAAAGATGGTTTGAGGTGGAGGATCGTGGGAAGGTGTCAGGCATCTGTTGATCCCAGACGCAGATCATGAATGCGGGAGTAGCACATTCTATTATGGTTTTCATGGAAGTAGTTGACATTGTCAGATCTGTGTTCTATGTCGTGTTAAGAAACATGCCTGTTCAGAACGGATCCAGGAGTCACCTATATCACAATGCGGTGTCACTGACCTGGATAAATACTAGAGCCTCGCACTAGATGGCTGGACATGAGACCGCAAGCTGTCCCGTCTATGGGAGATCTTGGGCTATCATGGTATTGGAAAAAGTACCCAATCGCAAGGTTCCATGGAGATCTTGACATCAAGGACCTAGACTATCAATGTAGATCAACAGGCAGTTCTCTCACATCTCTAATATTGCGAGTATTATCAGGCTAGTCCAAGTTCCCCTCAATGTCCCCATATGCGATACTCCTCGTCTATAATTCAGTGTCACTTCGAAAGCCAGTGAAATTGAACATTCCATTCAGTCTTTTGCTTGCGTGTTCTCTGTGCTTTCCAGGGCTAGTTTCTAAAGCAGGTGAAGATGAAAGTCCGAGCAGCCCTCTATGATTCACCTTCACCGCATGGCGTTGCGGCGGTTTGGAAGACTAGGCAGCTCGCTTTGTGGCAGCGTGTCCGCCACCAGGTACTCTGGTGCAGTCAGGACGGACCTACAAACTTTGGCCTAGGGTCCCAAAGTCAACTTCGAGCAAGGGCCGAGATGTGGTGCAGGAATGGCGAGACAGAGGCAACGCGTAGATGGCGAGTCGGAAGACGAACCCATGGAGGAATCCTCAGGTGAGGACCACCAGGACTAATCCTCCTCTACGAGCAGACCACCATTCCGTCTTCGAAAAGATCACCTGACATCCGAGAAGCCGCTTGAGCGCTAGTGACTGATCCACACTAGCGCCTTGCCCCGCGATGACGTCGCCGGCACTGACTGGACGGGCAGCCCTGTTCGCGTCCCGCCTAGAAGCTTCTATGCCCAAAAGAGAAGTGTCGCGATGCGTCGAGCACCACCTCGCAGCTGCTGCCCCACGTACGACGTAGTATAAAACCTCCGACGCTCTCGAGTCCGACCTCCCAGAAACACAACAGCCACAATTGCTCTCAGCATTCAGCATACTCAACGACCCACGAGTCCCTGCTTGACCTACGCTCCACCATGACTTCGTTCGACGCATACACTGACAAGGCCGCAAAGGCGCTGGCAGACAGCTTCGAGCTCGCCAAAGGCTACGCACACTCACAGCTCACGCCCGTACACCTCGCAGTCTCACTCATCGACCCGCCGCCCGACGACAAGGAAAAGGCTGGCCTGACCCAGCCCTCAGTGCCCTTCTTCCGACAAGTCATTGACCGCGCAAATGGCGACCCGCAGCAGCTCGAACGATCCCTCAAGAAAGCCCTCGTCCGGCTACCCAGCCAGGATCCGCCACCCGACCGGACCTCGCCTTCACCAGCCATGGCCAAGGTATTGAGGGCGGCAGAAGAGCTCGCGCGGACACAGAAGGACAGTTACATTGCCGTAGAGCACCTCATCCAGTGCCTCTGCCAGGATGCCTCAATACAGAAGTGTCTAGCCGAGTCCAACGTACCCAACACCAAGCTCGTTGACCAGGCTATCCAGGCCATCCGCGGTACAAAGAGGGTCGACTCGAAGACGGCAGATGCAGAGGAAGAGAACGAGAACCTCAAGAAGTTCACCATCGACATGACGGCAATGGCACGGGAAGGCAAGATCGACCCCGTCATTGGTCGCGAGGAAGAAACCCGACGAGTCATCCGCGTTCTGACGCGGCGAACCAAGAACAACCCCGTCCTCATCGGAGAGCCCGGTGTCGGTAAGACTACCGTCGTCGAAGGGCTCGCCCGCCGCATCGTCGACGCCGATGTCCCCGCCAACCTCGCAGCCTGCAAGTTGCTCTCACTCGACGTCGGCGCCTTGGTCGCCGGCAGCAAATACCGTGGAGAATTCGAAGAGCGAATGAAGGGTGTGTTGAAGGAGATTGAAGAGTCCAGAGACATGATAGTACTGTTTGTGGACGAAATCCATCTTCTCATGGGCGCTGGATCCTCTGGAGAGGGCGGCATGGACGCTGCTAACCTGCTCAAGCCCATGCTGGCCCGTGGACAGCTTCACTGCATCGGTGCCACTACTCTTGGCGAATACAGAAAATACATCGAGAAGGATCAAGCATTCGAACGACGTTTCCAACAGGTTCTGGTCAAGGAGCCTAGCATTCCCGAGACCATCTCCATCCTTCGTGGGCTGAAGGAACGCTACGAGACGCACCACGGTGTGACCATCATGGACGGCGCTATCGTTTCTGCGGCTACTCTCGCTGCGCGCTACCTTACACAGCGACGCCTCCCCGACTCTGCGGTCGATCTTATTGATGAAGCTGCCGCAGCAGTTCGTGTCACTCGGGAATCACAGCCCGAAGCTCTTGACAACATGGAGCGCCGCCTCCGCCAGCTCGAGATCGAAATCCACGCTTTGAACCGCGAGAAAGATGAAGCCTCCCAGGCTCGACTCAAGGAGGCCAGGGCGGAAGCTGCGAACATTGAAGAAGAGCTGAAGCCGCTCCGAGAGCTGTACGAACGTGAAAAGGGCCGCAGCAAGGAGATTCAAGAAACCAAGATCAAGCTCGAGAACCTTCACAACAAGGTCGCAGAAGCTGAGCGTATCCGCGACATGCAGACGGCTGCCGACTTGACTTACTACGCCATTCCCGATCTCAAGCAACGCATCGCCGAACTTGAGGCTGAGAAAAAGAAGGCTGACCAGGAGATGTGGGCTCACCAGGAGGATGGAGGTCAGGCTCTTCTCAGCGATTCCGTTGGACCCGACCAAATTAATGAGATTGTCGCGCGCTGGACCGGTATCCCGGTGACCAGACTCAAGACCACTGAAAAAGACAAGCTCCTGAATATGGAACGACACCTTGGTCACATCGTCGTTGGACAAAAGGAAGCAGTTGGCGCCGTCTCTAACGCCATCCGCCTGCAACGATCCGGTCTCGCAAACCCGAACCAGCCGCCGAGCTTCCTCTTCTGTGGTCCTTCAGGTACGGGTAAGACGTTGCTCACCAAGGCCCTTGCCGAGTTCCTGTTCGACGACCCCAAATCTATGATTCGGTTCGATATGTCAGAATACCAGGAACGTCACTCGCTAAGCAGGATGATTGGTGCGCCCCCAGGATACGTCGGTCACGATGCCGGAGGTCAGCTTACTGAAGCACTTCGTCGTCGTCCATTCTCCATCCTCCTCTTCGACGAAGTCGAGAAGGCTGCTAAGGAAGTCCTCACCGTTCTCTTGCAGCTCATGGATGACGGCCGTATCACCGACGGCCAAGGCAGGGTCGTAGATGCAAAGAATTGCATTGTCGTCATGACTTCCAACTTGGGTGCTGAATACCTCTCCCGACCTAACGCACCTGATGGTCGCATCGATCCCACTACCCGAGAAATGGTCATGGGCGCACTCCGCAGCTACTTCCTACCCGAGTTCCTTAACCGTATTTCTTCCGTCGTTATCTTTAACCGTCTTACCAAGAAGGAGATCCGAAAGATCGTCGACGTGCGCATGAACGAAATACAGAAGCGTCTCATGGCGAACGGTCGCAATGTGCACATCGAGATGACCAACGAAGTACGCGACTACCTTGGCTCAGCTGGGTATTCACCCGCCTACGGAGCACGTCCCCTCGCTCGCCTAATCGAGAAAGAGGTACTCAACCGCATGGCCGTCATGATTCTACGCGGCAGCATCAAGGACGGCGAAGCAGCTCGCGTAGTGCTCGAGGATGGACACATCCACGTGCTCCCGAATCACACCGACAGTGAGGAAGATTCCGAGATGTACGACGAATCCGATGCCGTCGCAGAGCTCGAAGACGAGGCAGACGGAGGTATGGATCTCTACGAGTAAATCTCTTCTTCTGAGGAAGTGGACTTTTGCTAAGAGGTTTATAGGTAATGGCTGGATGAATTTGGACGAGGATGACGTGGACTAGACGCGTCCTGGTACTGTATAGAGTCTCCTCTATATCATGCGTTCGAAGAAAACGGTTGTTGATTTATGATTTTGCATCATGGCGTTGGGTTTGGAGATACCTTTTTTAATGACTTCATGAGTAAGGTTCACAGGTTTGTTGTCAGAAATGCGCTGGATGGAAAGCGGCCTTGTATATATTCAATGAGAACTCTTGCATACATCATGTTTCACCTGCCTCAATTTGTGATGTCTTCATGTTCATCGCCGAGAGGCTTCGGCTCGTGGATGACTTTCGTCGTGAAGGCATCCATATCACTAAGACGACACCCACGCCCATATTTCCGTGAATGCAGCGATCATACACTTTCACTGAGGACAAAGTTTGGGTACAGCTGGCCTACGCATTGCCTACATGTATCCTGGGGTGACACGCTATACTCAGACATTTGTCGTAGTCCTGTATCATGATCTCATCAAAACCCGCTTGTCCTATCCGCGGTGTCAAACAGGTGATCTCAACCTGTGATCCCGCTCGTTTTCGCTGCTAAAATAGAACATCAGCACACAAATGAGGGCCAGGATCACAATGAGCTGGGTAAACTTGGCTCTTTTTTCCTATGACGAAAACGCATTTACATACCACGAGAAGCAAGTACCAGACGCAGGAGAGAAACTCCGCATGCTTTGGCTGTAAGAAACCGCAAGCGACAACAGCGGTGGGGATGGAAACAGCGACGAAGATGGCCATGCAAACGTTATTGAGCATCTGGAGGCGATCACGGTAGAATCCAAAGTGTGAGGTATTCTCGTCAGAGATCATTGTGGTGGAGATGATGCGCTGAGCCTCGACATCAGCGACAGTGGACGAAGGAGGCATAGACTGCCGCGGTAGCGATAGTCTCGTCAAATCTATCGAGAAGCGGCTGCAATCTTTCCTTTTAGATAGTCGCAGATCCGAAGTTGCCGTCTCCGTGTAGCCTTCTGTCTTGCATAAAGCTGTTCCTCTGTGATGGAGTCCCGCTTACCATGCAAAGTGTGTTGGCGACAAGATGTCAACGTGACAGGGAGTTTTGATTCTAGCATAGCCTCTACGTGGTCAGTTGTTGGGCGACCGGAACTATGGTGAAAGTACGTCGTAGATCCAGGTTCGGCGATCATCGCTTGGAATTGGGACCGAGCTCAGGTAGGGTTACTTCTAGCCTCAACGAGGGAGAAGTTCGAGAGAGAAGTTAAGACTACTTATAATGATTATGTAGGCAAGCGAATGAGACGGCAAAAGTCGATCTGCACTGTAGCACAGAGTTGTTATAGTCGAACACAAGCTGGAGGAAGGTGCAGCAACACAGACGCTTTAAGCTCACTGTCATTGTGTAGCACTGCCATTAAGACCACCAAAAAAGCGTAGAACGGTCCCCTTTCCTACATCGAAAAGAAGCTTTCTTGCAGCAAAAATGCTCCACAAGGTTGCAAAAAGTCGCAAAAGAAATAGGACTTTGCCGAAACCCAGAATTGAACTAGGGATCTTCGCATTTGCTTGAGATACAAGTGCGACGCGTTACCACTGCGCCATTCCGGCATGGAATGCTCTGTCTGAAGCTGAGCTCAGAGTGGAGATGTTTTTGGATGTCCATGATGGATATTTTCAAATATATATACCAGAAATCTATTGTATTTTGTCACAAATTTGCACGTCTGGGGCTTCCAATTGTGCCGATCGACACGTATGCTAGACTGGTGGGGCAGTGTGGGCTTACCCCGTCAAAGCCGAGGCCGGTGCAACCGGCTCATCGATTTGAGTCTAGTCACCTCTAGGAGGTGTGCAACACCACAGAACATAACCTGCATGAGAACAAGAGCCGAATGAAACCAAGCCCTACGGCCTTTAATGCGCCTCTTTTGGGACCAGTTGCCTGCACGCAAGTGTGCTATTCTCAAGATGGTAAGGGGTTACCCACATACAAGACCGATGTTGGAGCCGTCGAAACGGCCATTCGAGTAGTTCACAGGACAGGTAGATCCCAGCAAAGCAAGATGTCAGCAGCGTGTGCAAAATCTCTACAAATCAGAGAAGGGGTGATGGTGTCTTACCAGTACCACGCGTGCTCTGTGGAAAATGCAAGTATTCCGCCTGTTGCGTTCCGCGTTCGGCACGCTTCATCCCATGAAACTATATATAAGATATTGGAACTATACAACCGCCCATCTGGTACGTCCATGCGCACTGCCCGTCTACTTCAAACAATGCAGCGCATCTTGCAGTGCTCTTGAGTTTGATTTCACCACGGCTTTCGGCATTTGCTGTTGCTTGCTGCGTTGACTACAACTCAAAGGTCATTATATCGTTGTTTCTAGCTCATCGAAATGCATCCACAGTAGTCACAGTGCTATCGCACAGTGATTGGAGGCTTCAGGGCGCATGGCGGTGATGAGCTGTCAAGCACGAGGTGGGGCGGTACTGTTCACCACTAAACCGAAGTTGCCCATCCAACCGCGGAGATTCGCGCCGCCGTTAACAACAACACAACGCAGCGGCCACGATCTACAGATGCACACCACAGCATACGGCCCGAATCGGCCTCAAAGCAACTCTCACTGCTAATTGAGGTTCTCGAGCGACCCATTGTTATTCCGCGCTCGCTCACGTCCACGGGTACCCCGATCCAGCGACGTCGCACGGCGACAAACATTCCAACATTCCAACATGACCACGGTCCACCACTCACCCCCGCCGGGTACAGCTCCCTTCGCAATCTATGAAGACCCAGAAGACCTCGAACCGCCCTCACCATCCGAAGAAGGCGACGTGTCTTTCACGTCTGACATGTCAATGTTTGGGGCCGACGTAGCCATCCCAAGCATTGAGAGCGGGCACGAGCTGCTGGACGAACCAGAGCCGTACAATGGCGCGTACACGTCCCGAACATCGATACTCTCGTCATCTCGCCGCGACTCCACCATGACAGACAACAGCTTCGTCTCGTCGCTTCCATCCGAATTCTCGGTTGCTTCCAAACCAGTAACCCCGGCCAATGCCCTCGATTCACGATATTCGCCGCGCAAAGAACGTCCCCCGTTCCGAAATCCATCGTCGGTACGAGCCATGCAGATGGCGTCTCCAGCACCGTCACTTGCACTAGAAGCCCCCCGAGAGCGCACAAAAGGGAGCTACAAGCTTGCGACACCAAGTAAGAGCGGCAGGTCGGATTCGGTGTCGACCACAAGTAGGCGTCGATCGCGGTCACACAGGGACAGCCTGCATATGGATTACCCAGCTCAACAAGCGCGGGCCAGTGCAACACCGCAGCCGTTGCCACTAGTGCTACTCCACGTTACGATACTGCCGATGCAGATGCCCTACACGCCTGAGGTCATGCTTAAGATCATGCCGGAATGGCTCGTGGAGAATTACAAGGTCCTGGAAGAGAAGCTCCAAGATATAGTATTGATGCGGAGAGGTCTTTTAATTCAACATCCACGAGACGAATTTGATGTGCTAGAGGAGCGGATTCTTGAGAGTCTTGAGCTGAAAACGCCCCGACTGCTCCCATGTGGGCACTTCGTTGCGCCTGACTCGGACGACGAAGATGCCCCGGGCTGTGACGATGAGCATACGCATGCCGCGGACGACGGAGCAGGGCGAGGCAGTCGCATGAGCGGAGGCACGATCACCGCCGAAGATGAACCTGAGTTGAGGTACCCTACACCTAATTCAGAGGATGCAGGTGTGTGCATTGACTGTCATCGACAAGTGAAGAAGCCAGGCCATGGCGTTGGTGCAGGTACAAAGAGGTGGGACATCAAGATTTATGCAGCAAACGGGTTAATGCGTGCGGGAGCTTGGGTAGCAGCGTGGAGTGAGATGGAGAGATGTGACGTGGAAATTTCGCCGTGGATCCCTCACGAAGTGCGGAAGACTCTTGACAAAAGGCTGGAGCAAGAACAAGAAAAGGCGAAGGCGAAGGAGCTCTACGCAGCCGAACTCAAGCGTCAAATGGATGAAGAGGCGGCCTCGCAAAGGAAGTTGGAAGAAGAAGCAAAAGCGAAGCTACAATCGGAGGAAGCCGAGCTCCGGATCAAGACTGAGGCAGAGGCGATCATGCTGCAGAGGAGGCTAGAGGAAGAGGCTGCAGAGAAGAAGAAGAAGCTCGAAGAGAGTCTCGCTAAAAAGATTGAAGAAGCCAAAGAAGCCATCCGAGTCGAGTTTGAAGCCCAGGCACTGATGGAGTCCCATAGCATCGCTGAACGATTCCGTGCTCTGGAAGACGCACTGAAGGCCGAGCGCGCAAAAGCCGCCGCACAAGCTCCTCCCGTGCTTCAAGTGCCTCATATTTTGTCTCGCTCACGCAGCCGATCCCGACATCGGAACCGTTCGCGATCTCGTCGCCCACGCCTCGAAGAGATTCCGCTGGGCACGTTACTGAAGAACTATTTTGTTCTGCAGCTTCAGGACTCACGCAACTTTTTCATTCTGATACTCGGAGCGCTCGTCGTCTTTCTACTGACGAGCTTCAATCCCAACTCGAATCTTCCTCGGCCTACTTTGGATCTGGCGACCGACGTCTCCTTGGAGCATATGGCGGAGTCTGTGGTTCCGATCGTGGTCACTTCCACAGCTACGATGACTGCAACATCGTTCTCTACGCTAGTGGTCACGGAGGTGCAGATACTGGACGGGCCTAGAGAGACTTTGTCACTACCATCATCCGATATCACTGTGGCTGAAGAGGCAGTATCTACTCCCTCGCCGTCTCCCGAGGATGAGCTTAACGCAGTGACGGTGCCATCGGCTAAGACTAAAGATGTCTACGAGAGTGCCGAGCTTGCAAGTTTCATCCTTCAGGAGCTTGCCGAACAAGTCGTCAGTGAGCACGACACGGCCACGCTCAAGGATGATCAAATCTTCACCGAGGAGGTCTCTGAAAGCGTTGGATCGGCAGAAACACTGGCAACAAGAGTTGAAGCAGGTCCTGCGGAGTCTTTTGGGGCAATAGAATCCATGTCTTCATCTGTCACAGTTGAGGTTCCCGAAGCTCATGAGACAATTCTGGGGGCGTCTGTTGATGAAGAATCCATACCCGAGGAACTCGTTGCTGAAGAGCCCATTGCTGAGGTTCTCACTGCCGAAGAATTGCATGCTGACTCTCACCTGGCTGAGCAACCCATTGCTCAGGAGATCATGGCTGGGGAACCCGTTGTTGAGGCACCCCTTCCCGAAGGTTTCGTTTTTGAGCAACCCATGGCTGCTGAAGAGACGATCGTTTCAGAGATTAAAGCTGAGCCATCTTCACCCAAAGAAGTTGGCTCACCACTTGAGTCTGCCTCACCCGAAGCTGGAAACGTCAACGTTGAAGAGATCGCAGACGCCGAGACACAGCACGAAGCCACACCAGAATGGGAAACCGTACGGGTCAACGAGGATCCGGTTCTGTCCGAAGACGGCGGCTTGCCGGCTGTGCATGACAGGGACGAGCTGTGAGTGCCCCAAAGCCACAATATCGTCCGCTGGGGCTGAGCACAACATAACCCTTTTGGGACATGCACGAGCTTCGCCACACAACACACCCCTATCGTGCATGTCTAAGGCGTTATTGTCTGCCTTCTTTGACCGGTTCGCAACCATTGCGTCGAACAATCGAAATGCGTAATGCTCCCAACCCCTTATCACGACACACAAACAACCTTACGACGCAATGCACACAGCCACGATCCGTTCATCTTTTTTCTTTCCCACCCATGTAGCGTTGATGCATTGCCATAGCGTGGAGTTCTAGGCATTTCGGGAATGGTCAGCATAGCGAAGTCCCTTTGGACTATGAGCTGTGCATTGTAGGGCGGATGTCGGGCTGTCAGTAGATAGTTTAGTAATGCCATCCCATGATTCACCAGCACAAAGAAAACCAGGTCGACGTGTTACCAAGGTGTCGTTGATTTCGTAGGCAGAGCCATTATGCAAGTTCTGCCGTGATCGCGTGTTCTTTACACATTATGTATCCACCACCGTACCCCCTCCACATCAATCAATCCCATCACTCGCAATGCCTTGCTTCCTCTTATCCTCCATGCGCTTCCTCGTCTTCGCCTTACCATCCTCAATCCACTTTTCATACGCACCCTCGCCCTGCGCCAACTTCGCCTTGACCACGCCCTTCATCAGCTCGCCCACAAAGCCCACGAAGTTGTGCCGCCGCAGCGCATTCTCCCACAGCCACGCGCTCCGCTTCTCCTCCTGCTCCTCGAGCGCCTCCGTGTCGCCGATCTCGCGCGCGCGAATCCGCTGGTCCTGCACGCAGGCAAGCAGGTTGAAGCGGATTTCTGTGGCAGGGTAGCGGTTGATGCGGCGCTGGAGGACGGGGACGATGGCGTCGGGGAAGTTCTGTGGGGTGCAGGGACCGTGCGAGATGGGTGCGGGCTGGAGGCCGTCGAGCTCATAGAGGGTGTTGTTGACGGAGGTATATCTAAGCTTCGCATCAGTATGTGTGGGTTGGGAGGTCGGGCGCGGGGTAAACGCACGCGATGAAGTGGTAGACGTCGTCGTCTTCTGTGGCGGTGCGCTGCGTCTCGTCGATGAAGGGTGAGGACCGCGCGAACGAGTTGTGGACTTCGCGGATGACGTCTGAGTTTGAGAGCGTCTCGCCCCGAAACTATGTCATGTTGTGAGCATTTACCCCTCCATCTCATGGTTGCTACGCGTGCTCACCTCCGGCGGGAACTCCTGTGTGAACTCCTTGAATTCCTTCAGGTCCTTGCCTATCTCCACCTCACTGTCTTTGTTCAGCAGTACGCTAAGCAGTGCTTGCGTGCCGCACGCGTTTTGTATTGTCTGCGCGGCGAAGAAGATGCTGTTTGCCGCGTCGTGGTCGAAGATGCCGTCTTTTGGTGTGTCGGACCGCTCCTCGCCAGTGGGATATTTGAAGAGGAATATGACGCCGTAAATCTTTCCGAGCTGCTTGAGTTCTTGAGAGTCCAGTGTTACGAGCTCTTCGAACTGCACATCTTTAACACCGAGCTTCTCGATGAGGTACGTGAAGACGCCCTGTGAATTTGTCAGCTTGCGTAGGTGGAGCAGGAGAGGCAGAAGACTTGCCGCATCGCTCTCTATGGTGTTCCAGCCGCCAGACATGGTTCTGTGATGTCTGAACAAGATATCGAAGGCAGGAGTGAGTTGCCGCGGCGGTGGAGTCTGGTTCGCTGGCGCCGGGATTGAGGTCGGGCCGAAATGCGCAGTCGGAAGAATTCCGACAACTCGGAAAGGAAGAGACTCTCCAGTGACGCAATGCCTGGCTACTGAACCTTCACCTTTACCTCGACGGCTCGGTCCTTGCTCGGAGCCGCCCCGGACTCATCTTATCTTCCCACACAATGGACCAACTATCGATCTCCTGCCGTTACATGTCTAATTGATGCGATGAGTACACGACAACAAGTCTTTTCGCCAGTCTAAGCGGCGAAATGTAAGAGCAGAACGAATGCGCGTCTACTGCACTGTATTGCTTCTCCTGGCAGGTCACAATGTTCTCAATCAATCGTCCGGGTAGTATGTGCACTGATTGATAAGCACCAAGTCCAGAGTGTTGCGCGATGCCAGGTTATGTCGCAAGAGAGACAAGCGACAGTGTCAATCGTTCGCCAGGATAATAATTGAACGCACAGAGATGGTAAGAACTTCAATGGAATTCGCACATCTAGATGTACTTGGACGAATAGCTGGAATTGCCCATACTTCTCTTTTGAAGGTCGAATTTCGGACTTTGGATGACGCTCGGCGTTATACCGGCGCACCTCCATCAGATCTCTGTATTACACCTTCAAGGCCTGTATCCTTGTCCATTGGCTCCACTGATCGTGACGTCAAAAGTCCCTGCAACCAACGTAAATATGAGGGACAGGTCCGCATCTTTGTGTAGTGAAGAAGGAACCATCGAACATGAGTTTGAACAATCACGAAACCCCCAATGGAATGGCATCCAAGCCTACCATCGCGATCATCGGAAGTGGCTGGGGCGGCTTCACGATCTCGCACGCGCTATCGCTCGCGAAGTACAATGTTACAGTCATATCACCCTCGCGAACCATACAATACACACCTTTACTCGCCTCCGCGGCAGCGGGCATGTTCAATTTCCGCTTGGCGGAAGAGCCGGTACGGCGTCGCAACAAGCTTCCCGGCCTCTCCTATTACAATGCCCGTGTCGAAGACATCGACTTCTCCTCTCGAACACTTCAGTGCAAAGCGACTCATTCCGACATGACCGAAGAACATTTGAAAGATGTAGATTCCTTCAAGCTCAAATACGATAAGCTCGTCATCGCGCCAGGATGCGATGTGCAGACATTCGGCACTCCGGGAGCGCTGGAACACGCAATATTCCTCAGGACGACAGATGACGCCCGGAAAATCCAGAAGCGTATACTGGATATGGTGGATGCGGCGTCGATTCCTGGCTTGACAGATACGCAGCAACGTGACATGCTGCGCATCTTGATTGTGGGCGGCGGCGCCATTGGCATTGAAGCGACGGCCGAGTTGTTCGATCTCTGGGACCACGAGCTGCGACATGTGTATCCGCACTTGGACGGCAAAGTTACCATGGAGATCCACGATGTTGCACCTGCTCTGTTAGGTACGTTCGACAAAAGGCTTGGGGAGTACGCAGCGCGGAAGCTCGAAGGGCGAGGTGTGCAAATCAAAACGAGCAGCCATATCGAGAAGGTTGACGCTGGTGCCATCTGGACGAAGGAGATCGGCGAATTGCGTTACGGGATGCTGATCTGGGCAACCGGTAACGGGACCAATCCACTTGTCGAGAAGCTGGACGTCAAGAAGGACGGCAAGCTCCAGCGCATCGTGACCGACAAACGACTCCGAGTGTTCGATACGAATGATCAGCTCATTGAAGACGTCTACGCTCTGGGCGATTCCGCTGACATTGAGGGATACACGCTTCCTACTTTGGCTGAAGTGGCGTTGCAGAAGGCTCAGTACCTTGCAAAAGAATTAAATGAGGCCGAGGAACCAGCGAAGGCATTCGAATACAATCAACGAGCCAACATTGCCTATCTAGGTCAGCATGATGGTGTTATTGGTGGTAAGGAGCAGTGGACGGGGCAGTCGGCGTGGTTGGCGTGGAGGAGCGGTAGTATCTACCACTGGCCACGAAGTTGGAGGAGGACAATTATGATTGGTGTCAGTTGGTTTTTCAATAAAATTGGGGGAAGAGATATTGCTAGAAAGTGGTGAGGGACTGGGACCAAAAGAGTTCAGGAACAGATGACAATATATTGGTCCACGTGTGTACCCTGGAGATCATCCTAATCGAAGATTTCTCATTGTGGTCAGAGTGTGTTTCTGCAGCCCAGCTTCGTATAGTGACCTTGTAACGTTACGTATCGATATTTCATTCTTCGTTCTGAAGTCGAATATGATGGCAGGGCGGTACCTATGGTAGCACCGCAAATGATGTTCAAATCTTTCCAGCTAAAGCTTGTATTGTTCTCCAAGCTTTTTGGGTCTCCAGTATATATGGCCCAAAAAACGATTCATGACTGAGGTTAGGGTAGATACGGGCTTGCAAACAGAGCTCCTATCGTGATGCAGATCATGCACAAATCAAGTATGCACCAACTCATAAAAACTCCATAACCGGACCATCTCCACTTCGCCATCCGCAATAGCCGCTTCCCAGCCAACCGTTGAAAGCCGGTCGATTGACAAACTCGGTCCGTACCTCGGCCCCCAAGCGCCCCTCCCAACCTCCAGTCTCTTCGCGACACAACAGGGGTAGGCGAGCCCCATCTATCTGAGCCCAGCCAAGACGCCGCCCACACATCGCTCCCGAAGCACCCGCGCACGTCCCAGCTCTTCGCTATAGCCCTTTCATCTCCTCTTCGAGTTAGCGAGGTTCGCAGCGTCGGGACGTGCTTCAGCACCACGCTTGGCAGTCAGCGGAGGAGCGGAGGGTCGATAAGAGGGATAGCTGAGACGGCGGACTGTGACTAACAGAATACAGGATTGCCCAGGGTTGTGTGGCGGCGGAACAGCCCACCTACTGAGAGACTGATCTGACTGATTGTGGATGCTAGAGTGTTGGGCCTGTGGAGCCACGCATTAGGACGCCTTGCCGTGTACCTCGCACGAAGCCTTACCAGCGCACACCTACATGACACTACTACGCACACTGTATGTCCATCGCAGCGAGGCTTTGGGCACGTACACACGCTACACCGCGCGCCGCAAACAGCAATCTTCGCGGCGATCGTCGTTCCTCACCGGTTTGCACCGCCACACCCCCCATTCGCTGCGGAACTGCACAAACGCACCTCGTCGATCACCCTTTCGCACTCATTTCCCAAATTGCCTAGCGCGCACTGCTATTTCGGGCCGTTCCCAACCTCTGTAGCCGAACACGTGCTACTGTGGTACACTGTCACTACCATACGCTAATGCACGCGTAATCGAAGAGGGAAAGCGTGACAGAGGGTAGGTGTACGTGGGCAAGAGCGCTCTTTGTATACCTGCGATGGTATAGTGTCGGGGGGTTAAGAGGCACTAAAGAGTAGGAGTTGGGCACGTAGTCAGGGTCGTGGAAACATAGTTGCGCCTGGCGACGGTGATCATGGACGCGGAGCGCGGCCGCAAGGGGGAAAACCTATCGTAGGCGGATACCACTCCCAGCTAATCCGAACCATCTGGCGACAGAGAAACAGTGAGAAGGAAGAGACTCGCTCAGATAGGCGACGGACGGGGGGCGAAACCTCCCACCGCGCCCTCGTCCCATCCTGTCAGCACACACTCACCATCCCCATCGCATTCGCATCGAATTCCATAACGTAACGCACCTCCGCGAAACGTGCCGCCGCCCAAGCCAACCCACCCCTCGACCGTTCCTATCTCAGCAACGACATCGCGTGTGCCCCTGATTGGCCACCTCGCCTGTGTACAGTGCTTCTATTTTTGCGGGCGGCCGGGGCCAGGAACCGCATCTCGATGGGGGCAAATCGAAACGTGCCACCCACACCGTGTGTGGAAAAGCGTGCTCGCACTCCCCTACTACTGTACCAGTATGGGGGGGGGAGGAGGCATACCTGCAGCGGCCAGGGTCGTCCGCCTGTAGCGATCTAGACCAGCCCCAAAGTAGATAACCTTAACCAGGCCTGCTCGGCGCGGTGCGTCCCCTGCCACATGGCTGGTTGATGTCACTGTTGCTTGCTGTTGCTTCGATGCGCGCTGCATGGATGGTTGGCCCGACAGAGTGGGCGTGCATGGCAAAAGCGCAGCCGTTCCCAATAGAGAACCTGCCGGACTGATTGCACAGCGCTCAGATGACGGGTGTAGCTGTCCGCGTGCTTTCACCAGTGACAGCGCCAAGGCATGTAATCAGGAATCGAGGTACTCGTTATACAAGATCACAGGGTTTGATTCGTCGATAGCGACGCACTTGCATTCAGCCTTCAGAGCTGCCTCATCTACTCCTTCAGCTATCGCTACGCAAGCCTCTAAGAATAGTAGTTGAAACTGAGACACCGGTACGTCTACCGCTGCAAAAGCCAAATGTCCCATGCGCGTCATCGCGCCCGCCGATTGTTACGTCTGCCAAAGGTATGCAACATTGTGTGAATTTTCGAAGCCACCAGACCACTCCAGCTCTCCACAGGGCAACGGTCGGCATCGAATTCGTCCGACTGTCCCCAAAAGGTATATCATACATGGTAAAGGAAATTGACTAAACACGAGAGAAAGGTAAACCAAGCAAAATGTGACGCCATCGTAGCCCATTGCTACGTCATGCTGCCTGCGGTCGAATCCAGCCCCAGGAAGCGAACAGCCAAAGCATGTACAAGGCTGCCGCAGGGGTATATGGGAGCGTGGTGACCGATCGTGAATCGTGATATCCAAGGTTGACGCGATTCATCAAGAAATTGACATCAAGACCGGGAGGGTCTTGCGCTGCGGCGCGGAAAGCAATAAAGCCAAATGGTATGCGTAAATCGGGAAATCATTCATGTCGTAATGGAATGGTGTGGTGTATAAAGCGAATAAGTCGAGCGGGTAGAGCCATTCGTTGTAGTTCACAGCCGAGACTAGCGCAGGTGGGATGCATTGACTGCGCCTCACTTCGCTCAAGGTAACTTGCGCTGGTCATGGCTGAACTGGATGGGAGGTAGTTGCGGTCCAGGGGTGGGATACGCGCCATATGCCTGGGTGGATACAGGTGGGAGTGTTGGTGCCTGGCCGGGGATGGGTTGTGGGGTGTGTCCAGCGCTGGGCGGGGGCTGCGGCTTCAACTTGTTGGGATCCCTGGACGACGTTCAGCCTCGTGTCTTTACGTCCAGATCTGAGTAGGAGCCGTCACGAACCCGCTGGGGTGGTATCCCATAGGAGGCATACCAAAACTGAATGGATGTGGTTGCTCCGGCACCGAGTAATGAGGACCGGTCGCAGGAGACCCCAGCGGAGTTGTGTAGGACGGACTACTGTATGAAAGGTCGACGCTCGTGCGAGGTACTTGCGGCACTTCGAGATATGGCGAGGTTGGACCGGACGCCAATCCGGGCAGTGTAGTTTGCGGGAAGAAATTTAGGGGCGATGGCGCGAATGCTGGACTTAGGCTCTGGCCGTAGCTATACTGCGCCAAGTTTTGCAAGTCCATGTTCAAAGCCTCCAAGCCGTACGGCGTTTGGGGAACGGGTGAACCTTCTCCGGCCTGCTGTCGCATCCAATCTCGACGAGCCTTGTATGAGTTTGCTACGTCGTTAGGATACTGGATGAGGTACGAGACGGACTGCGTGCGGTCGTCGTAGGAGGGGTTCCGGTAACCATGGACGATGAGCACAATTTCTTCCAAAGGACCAAGAGAGCGGTTGGCGCAGAAGACAGCACCAATTTCAGGGAACATAGGTTCCAAGGCGAGTGCGGTGGCGTAGAAATGTGCGAGCACAACCATGACCGTGGCATCAGTATGTTTCGCAGCGAGCAGTGAGATTGGTACCCAGAATAGCCACTTCCGAAGGGCATACAGCTGTCCGAATTGTTCTTCGGCAGTTTGCGCGGCACCAGATGCCCGAAGTCGTTCGATGTAGTTGCGAAGCTGCTCCACCCACTTTCCTTCCTGCTCATGGCGGGTTAGGCTGAGGTAGGGTTGAAGTCGCGCCAAGGAATTCTGAACGTCTGACAGGATGGTGAGATGCTCCCGTCGGGTTTCTGATGAGATGGGTGAGTAGCTCTGATTCATGAAACTCTTTCCAGGCAACGGAGCTTGCTCGGCGATGTAATCGGCGAACATGGACTCGTGCCGCCATGACTGCATTGCTTGAATGACCTGCGTCACGTTAACACACAGGGCCATCGTAGAAGATTTGCTACTTACTGTCTTCGTCCCGGTGACCAGTGAAGCCCAACCTCGCCTGTAATCATTAGTCATGCTCGTTGTTCCTGAGATTTCCCATGAGAACCTACCAATCGGTGGCTTGCCATGCAAGAAGAAGCGAAGACGCAAGCACCGCATCCGAGTTGACTTTGGCGAAGTTCGCAATACCGTCATGCAAACCCTTTAAGGCGATGCCCGCGTGATGAAACGCGAGATTTCGCGTTTCACTCGACTGACTGATCCACGCCAAATGCGACGCAGAAAAAGCGAGAATAGAGTGCATCACAAAAGGATGCGATGCGGCGATGCTTAAAAATCTGTGATTGTCAGCACGGCTTGCTCGCTTGAGCAACGTCCCGAATACGATGCTGTAATAATAATACGAAGTGCTTACTTTGGCATCATGTCTGTCCAGAGCGTGAGTTTAGACGTTCGGTGGGAGAACATTTCGTTCGAGATTGTTGCTACGTGGTGCACCAGACGCAGGTCGGTTTTCGGAAAGACGCGCCATTGCGGCTGAGGGTAGACTGGCAAATGGTCGAATGGCCAGACTCCTGTCTGGCGCCATTGTTCAATGGTCGCATCTATCTCAGGAGTCCAAAGTAGATTCGGTTGCTGCGGAGACCTTGGTGATTCCGGAGGTTGCATCGCCTGTGGACTGTCTTGATAGTCGCAGCGGACTTGATGTTTTGTACAGTTGCGACTGTTTTTATTAACATGCCGTTGCAGCAGATCGCTTCAGCGCACCTACCATTGCGGAAATGTTTCGTCACATCGGATGTGCCTCTTCTTGCACGTTTTGCATCCCTTTCGAGACTTTGTGTGGCTGCGCCTGGAGGGGCCTCCGCCAGGTCCAGCCATTGAAGCAGACGACAGTCAATGCTTTCTCAACCGAAATGTTGGAAGGAAGCTAGGCCACCACCAAGTGATTGCTCGTTGAACAAGAGTGTTCAAGTATGCGGCCGACTGGTAGTAGACCGGTTGAATAAGGGAGTAAAGGTTGGCGGGGGCGGAGTCAATGCAGGCTGCAGATCTCGACGGCTGTTGATAACAGGACTGTAGGCGCGGAAGCCGATGACCGGAGTGAGACAGATTGTGGAGGCTGAAGCTGGATGTTTGAGGGTATGTATATAGCCCGCCGGGGGCGGCTGGGAGATTGACGTTAGGGCTGAAGAGTGATATGGATGCGGAGGGGTGCGAAGTGTTCCGGCACAGGGTCAGGCACGAGGGTATGGGCGACAATGAGAGCAGATGTGGGCAAAGTGTATGGGAAGCAGCCCCTGCAGATGGTCTAAGCGGGTGCCGGACAAGGCTTCGTCTAGAGGTGGAGGCTAGAGACACACGGCCGGCATGGGAGCGGACTCGCACAGTGACTTGTGCAGAGCAACAATCGTCAGGGAGGGCCCTGTCGTTGATGCGGGAGGGTCGACGCCCACAGACAGTAGTGGCCTCGAGAAGGGGTTGGCAGCCGGTAAACGGCGAGGCGGGACTAGGCTAGCAGGGGGCGGGGTGAATGTGTAGCGGGAGCTACAAGCAGGCGATAGAGTGGCTCACAGACGGTGTCTTTCTTCATGCTCGTATGACATAGCCCCCGGTGTGATTCCCGTGGGGATCAAGCTCAATCCAGGGCCGTGGACCGTCCGTGTCGAGGACGGCTGCCTGGCTCCAGCAGAGCGTCTCCCGCCAGTCCCCTGCTGGTAAGGTGTCTCATCGGATTGAAGTTAGCACGCTCGGCGCACAGAAACATCGTGGCCTGAGCCACCCTGGCACTACCACAATTTGGTTGCCCCAGGCCTGGGGTTCTGCGAACGACCAGGCCAGTGGCCGTCGGCCTTTTCTTTGATGAACGAGCCACGAGCCGTCTTTCGGCGGGTCCCTCGCGACGACGCCACTCTAGAGATATGTTGCGACGTTTGGGCGTCGCTGTGCAGCGGCCGCCACAGTGCGGTGCATCTGTGTCCGCCAGCAGCTCGCAGCCAACAAGTTAACGCTGGCGGCGCAAACGGCTGGTTGGCCCTCGGTGACCCGATAGCCGGCGAGCGCGCCCTTTGCGGGCCGTACAGTGGAGACCGGCGTCCATTACTGAGACGATGGCATTCACGCAGAGCGTAGGACACATCGGCCAGCGGTGGAGCTACTACAGAAAAGAGACATAAACGATCAGCTCATGGGCCCGCGCACATGGCGAGTGAGGCCAGTCCGAGACCTGGGCTGATCGGAGTCGCAGGAGCAAGTAGCAAGCCGCAATTTTCGTTGCTGAAGCGGCGTCTGGAGCGGGCCACTAGCAGCGCGTGAAGGAGAGGGTTGCTGATGCGAGGCAGCGATAGCAGCAGTCGCTTAGGCCTGAAGGGACGGGGTCCAAAATATGCATCGCCCCAAAAATAGCGCCCTCGCAGTCTTGGCTGCAGCACGCAGAGGACGCTTGCGCGCCAGCGTCACCAGACAGGCAAGACAGTAGAGGCCCACCCGCAGGCTGCCATTGCACAGATCGGGCGGGCCTGCCGCAAACAGGGTCGGAAGCGGCGCAAAGGCAGTTTCTGAGCTTTATGACTGAGCAGCTAGCGGTACTCACCTCGACCGACGGCTGTTGGTGTGCTGTACGCAGGCCCGCAGGGCGCCTGCCAGTGCCGTGGCTAAATGGTCACCAGCGATGCCAATAGACGGCCCGCATCGCGCTGCAGAATGTTAATTGCTGCAGGTCAAACAGCATCGTCTACGCGAGCCCCAGACGACGGGCTGGCCATGGCGCACGAGCGGCGTGCTACGAGCCGCCGCAAGGTCCCGTTTGGGCATGTCAACAGTGCGACGGCGCAGGGTGAAGGCTCACAAGCTCTGGCCCGGTTCCGCTGCGTGGTAGGGCTGCTGCTGTGGCCGCTGGGGGCGTGTCGGAATCCATCTCCCATGCGACGCGGGAGAAAGAAGCAAAGGACACGAGGTACGAGGAGGGTTGAGGAAGTGAAGGGCGCCGCGCAGCCAATGGGTGTGCTGTTGTCCGGCCGAGGCACCGTGGGCGATGCGCTCCGGCTCGACCTGAGCAAGAACAAGCGAAGAAAATCAGTCGTTGCAGGTGGTGGACGGCTAGATATGGGAGCCACAGGGACAAGCGGATAGGTGAAGTCGAGAGAAGCGCACACCAAAAATAGATAACCTCTTCATTTAAGGTGCGCGCCAACAGCGCAAGGCCAGGGATCCCTTGTGCGGTGGAGACGCTCTAGGGTCGATGAGAAACCTCTTCCACTCGCACTCGCCATCTTGCATCTGCTGCGTGCTGCGAGTTTACCCACGATGAAGCCAGACTGCGTGGGCCTCAACTTTCGCAGTCCGCTGTGTACATGGCAACCCACCACGGCCGCCAGGTGCGCAAGCCACATGGGGCCCGCGCTAGAGCCTTCGACGATGTGCACAACCGTCGCCTCCAGGTCGCCGACCAACTTAAAATAAGTGCCCTGGCAGCCGACGCCGTGACACAGAGGGACCCGTTCGACGAACCCCTCCCGCCAACCGGGACACGGACCACGGACCTCTGATCTCGCCCAGCTCGCCAGTGACGTCTCGCGGTGCTTTTGTATGCTCAAGTGCTCACAGGATCACGAAGTGTCGGTGCCGTCCTTCTTTTTGGCGACACGTCTGCTGCAACCGAATGCGAATGCAACAGATGCTTCTTTTCCGTCACTCTGCATGTCGAGGCCTGGTTGTGATGCATACCCGGCTACGCGACGCCGGGCGAGCCGCCGACCTCGTTACGCTAAGTGCTTCAAGGAGCTGTATACCGCCTGAGAACACAACCTACCAGCAGTGAGCAATCCAGAGTCGACTCAGAGGGACAGCGAGAGAATGCATATGTGTAACACGTCTGCTCTCACCGCCCCGACCGCTGCAACCTTGACGCTGAGACGTGAAAGCTCTTTACCAGCACTTCCAGCCCGTCAATCTCGCAAGTCTCCTTCCTCATGTAACGAATCGCCACTTCCACGCCTAACTAAATGGCAGTCACTCCGCATCTTTGCTTCCCGTTGCCCGCTGCTAATGTCATCCATCCTGCATCTTCGCCTCCTCCTGCTCATGCCCGTTCGCATACCTTCGCTTCGTCTTGCTCATTCCCAGTCTCGCACTATCATCGCTTCCCTTCCCATTTCGCCCACGTCGGCCCTAGTTCAGATCGCCCATGTCGTTCCCTCAATTCACCCGTGTCAATCCTTCCTCGACTTACCCATGCTCCTCCCGTCGCCGCCCGCTGCACAGACCCGTCCGCCAAATGCCCAACTCCATTCACCCCACACTGCTCACTGCTCACCTCCGCGACCTCACACTATTCCTCAATTTAGCAACTTCATCCCAATCACCTGGCAACCCCTACCCTCTATATATAGCATTCGAGCCCTGTTTCTCTTCATCCGCGACCCCAGTCATCGCGTGGTCTGGATGCCTGGCCCTGGCGTTACTCCGAACTGGAACATGCAGATGGCGGGCAGATCTTTGCACAACTTGACCGTGATAGACCCTGTCACAGCTACAACCAAGCCGGACCCATGGAAAAGTCCGCGCCTATCTGTCCGTCACTCCACCTTCGGACAGGAGAAGTTCCACAAGCCACATAATGTGGCTCGCTATGGTACATCCCTTGGCTCTCCCCGAAAGCGAACTCCATGCGAGACCGGACCAGACCAGCATTGGGGCAGATGATGCCACCGGAACTTCACACACTGGGAAACCCCTGCTGTGACATCACGGTCAAGCCTCCAGCACGCCGCCTCAACCGCGAGTGTGACGGCAATCGACGGCGTATGGTGCGAGCGGAACGGAGCGTGTCGCCAGTAATGGCAGTGACCCACAACGTGCATCTCCAGCCGTACGCACAGTCGCCGACCACACCTTCACGCGTAGCTTCTCTCGGCCAGAGACAGTGCGCGTTACGTTGCTCATCAAAATTAGAACAAAATGAGTGTAGTATGAACTTGAACACTTTGGTAACGGGGTCTGTAAAGGTGTCCGAGTCTACGCTGCACCCCCTCTGAATCACTAGCAGAGACTGCATGTTCTTCTCCTGGCCCTGCCTTGTGCTCGTTTCTTTGGATCCATGGTAAGAAGCCTCTGGGTTCTGTTCATGAAGTACAGCTTGCGAGATGCGGCCCTGTTCACGGAACATAGGCACTGTGTGTCCTTCGTTGTGCAAAGGCCCAATTTGATATCTGGAGTTGTCTTCGAAACCTTGCTGGACAAGTCACCTTGCCTGACCGAATTGGCCGAACGTGAAGATGACTCTCAGATTGACAATGTCAAGAGCCCTCCTTCACAGTTCATTGAACAACTGCAATTCTTTTCCAAGGGACCTCGCTGCACTCCGACCGCCTTCAGCGGACAGTAGCTCTAGTGCCTCGTCTTGTTTTTATTTCACCCGACCCTCATTGAACTGCTCTAGAGCCGTCTCCTCCTCTTTGCGTCCTTCTGCAATCCGTCGTTCAGGTCTGCTATCAATGCGTTCAGGGCCAAACGCACCCCATAGCCCTCGCCTGAGCCTGCCGGTGCCTCGTCTCGTGGGGAGAAGCATGAAGATCGTGCGGTGGATTTCGCAGCCGGTGGAGGTTGTTCGGTGTCTTCTCGCTTTGGGTGCCGCTCATGTATGAAGGGCGGGGAGGGGGACGGCAGTGGAAGCTGTTCATTCCCTTCTCGCTCTAAGAACCGGTCATGGGAGAGTAGTGAGAGTATTGACACGAGTCGCTCGTGTAATATTGTAAGATTCTTCTTCCCGTATTATACAAACACAAACAAAAGCTCACACAGTTAGGCGTTTCGCCAACCAAGCCACTTCGCCGTCTGCGGGGCTGTTGAACCGCTGCGATTTCCCGCGTGGCTCCTTCTGCACTGGCATTCTTCGCTTCTAGGAACGCTGCTTCTTAGTAAAGGCGCTTCCGGTTCACGTTGTTGTGGCGAAGGAGCTGAAGGCGGTATTGCGAGGGACAGCTGTGGGCGAGCAGGAAGGCGAGAACGGGCGGGGAAGACTTCTCGCTGCTCCCTTCCAAGGTGGACGCGAGAGGGAAGGAACGGCGGCCTCCACTTCCAGAGACGAGGTAAGACATAATTCCCCACCAACGAATGCACACACCATCGCAAAGCAAGACGCGGCCCCTCAGATAGTACTGTATCTTTGATATCGCTGTGAAAACTACGAAGACGCTACCTACTGCTATGTAAAAGTGCCGACCAGCTATCCCGGCCCGACACCGCTCTCCTAGAAAAAATCAACGCCGAGAAATGTCGAGAATTCGTAATGGTCTCAAAGCCAGACCACCCTTCGCTTGCAAGCAATTGCTGAAACTGAAATGTCTATAGATGCCGAGGATCCACACACAGCCGATGTTCCATCATGGTAGATCGTCATGCACATCCATTGGCCCATGCAGGTATCCCCCATTGCCCTCTCTTTTGTTCCCTACAATTCCGTCTCTTGTGTTATGTCCTGAGCCCTGGCCCTTCCCCGATCGTCATCATCGAAAACGTAGCTCATATCTCATCTTCGCATGCCGGTAGATCCACCTTGCTTAGGTCAATCACCCTGATGGCAGGCCGTCTATGTAAAAATAACCTGCGTTCAGACTCCATACAGGTCCCTGAACTTCTGGCGATGCTGGCCCGGAAGCCCTGCCAGAAAGGCATCGAAGTCTGGTATCATGGCCTTGTACGTCTCGATGACCTGTCGAATATTAGGCTAGTGTTCAACATTGCATACAAACAATAATGGCTCACCTTCTGAAACGTGTCCCACAGCGCCGTGTGGCCGGGCGTCGGGCCGTTGAACAGACTCCGCTCGGCCTTGGACATTTCGTTGAAAAACTGGAGGAGAGATTGCTCCATGGCGCCGGGGTTCTCAAGGACGATCTGCATGAAGCCCGTCAGGGCGTGGCCCTTCTCGTCGGTCCACATTACGTTTTCGATGGCGCGGATGAAGGGGGGAGCAATCTGGGCGAGATGGGGTGCCAGAAACTGCGAACAGCCCAGCCCGAGGCGTCCAAGGGCGATGGCGGCGTTCTCGTTCAATGAGTCCGGAACATTGGGTGTGAAAAGGATGGTCGCGATCTTTTGGAGCAGTCGGTCGATGTATCGTTGCATTCCTTCCTTATCCCGCATTGCAATCTCTCCAACTGACCAGCAGGCGTTGTTGATGACGGAAAATCCTGTCTCCTCACCATCGATCATGACCTGCGAAAGCTCCAGCTGCCCGATCAAGACCTCGAGAAGTTCCGGCAGCTGCGGGCGCAGCTGGTCAAAGACGTAGATCGCGCAGTCTCCGAGGAGTGCATATGCGGACTGTCGTACATCGTTGTTGTCATCCTTCATGCACAGACCGAGCAGGTAGAAGAAGTTCTCGGAATGAGCGACAAGCTCCGAACTCGCAGACGGATCGAGCGCTTGGATGATCGCGCTGACCACGTCCAAGCTCGTCACCAGGAAGTCCTTATCGGGCACTTCCAATTGAGGGTTGGTAGCGGCCAGCAGAGCCTCCTGGAGGTTGCGCTGAATGATGTTCACGCATCGGGAGAAGATACCAGCGGCGTATCGCTGGAATGCTCCTCCGAGAGCGGTGGCGACATACGAGAGACACTCAAGCAATGGGAACATCTCCCGTGATTGATCGGAGACCTTGTTCCATCGTTGAATGAGCGCAGGCATAAGAATGCTGACAAGATCGTCTTGTGCAAGGGCAGGGCCGACGTGTTCAGCAAGAGTCTGCACGCAGTCGTAGAGAATGAACATGTTCCGGTACTTGTACTGAGCAAAACACTGAACGAACTGCCGTACGATGATGGGGCAGTACGGCGCCAGCTCGCTGTTCGCCTTCTCCTCGAGGTTGGCAAACGCGGAGGCAGCGGCTTCCTGGACTCGCTTGTTGCCGTCTAGCATCCTCTGCAATATACCGTCCATCATGGGGACAAAGAACTGCTGCTTGCCGTTCTCGTCTAGATGCGAGGCCCAGCCTGAGTAGCGGCCGAGCGACCAACAAGTGATTTGGCGAACAACAGGCTCAGGGTCCGACAGGAGCGTGATCATGTAAGGGGTAAGCATGGGTAGATGAGGCTCGACGACCGACATGCAGCCGTCGGCAATGGCGCCAAGCGCTAGAACAGCAGCTTCGCGCTGTGGCCATTCTGCGTGGCTGAGGTTGGTTGTAAGGTACGGAAGAGTAGCCTGGAACACTGGCTCGTGAAATACTGATGCCAGTACATCTAGGGCAGCAGCTGAGCATTTTCTAAGGTTCCACTGCTCCTCTGGGTCGCCGACTGAATCATCGTCGTCAAAATCATCAATCTCCCCGTCGCTCAGATCATCATCATCCATGCCTGGTATCGATTGGGTCCCGTTGACGTTTGGTGCGTCGCTGCCGTTCGCGCCTGTCAGGCGAGCTGACTTGCTGGTGGCAAAGGCGGGCTTGATATCCTCGTCGCGATCTTCGAGTTCAGCGTCTTCTTTTTCACCCTCCAGCCTCAAGATGTCATCCTCGCCATAAACCATGCTCTCTAGCAACACAGGCACAATTTTGGCGAGGTAAGGACCGAGGTGCTCGCGCATTTTCTCATCTTCAGCCGCGCACAGCCAGAACTCTGCGGCGTCCAAGGCCAGATCCGAATCGTCCGGGTTGCGTTGTTGCGTCACCATGTACTCGACGAGTCCCTCCATATAAGGTGTGATTTTCTGGGGCGCAATGTCGGCGATGTGCACGAACGAGCGGCAGACGTGTTTCCGCACTTCATTGCTGGGATCCGAAGACAAGCTGAAGAGCTGCTGTAATAATGTGTCCATGTTGTCCTGAACCGCGGGGGGCTTGTCGGGTATGAAAACATTTGCAGCGGAAAGTGCATCGGCGCGCACTTTGGGCAGCGGGCTGGTGGTGAATTCGAGCAGTTTTGGAAAGACGAATGTCAAGGCGCGCTGCCCTCCATCATGTTCGTGGTTCAGGGCCTTCTTGTTGTCTTCGCAAATCTTGAGCAGGGCACCCATACCACCCTCCTGTGCTTGCTGCGGGACATTGCCGGTGGCATTGGCGATCATAGCAACGAGATCGGACAACACCTGCGACCATCCTAGGAGGCCGCCCGAGCGTACAATCTCCGTGATGACGTTTCCTGCGTAGCTGCGCATCTGCGAGTTTGGGTCTTGCAGGCCCATCAATATTATGGACTTTATGTACGACTTGGAATCTTCGGGCATGCTCTTGTAGCCAGACTTGATGTCGTTCTTGAGCATGACGGCGGCGGCGGCCCGGGCTTTGAAGTAGCCTGGGGCGTCCATATTGACCGCGGGCGGGGGCTGGCCGTTGGAGAAGACATATGCTAGGTATTTGTCGATATCAGGTGAGGCCTTGGCCTGCTTGAGAAGCTGTACAATCACCAGACGTTAGCACAGTTACGCAGCCGGATTGTGCAAAACTCACGGTTTCGGCATTCTTCTGGACAGTCGGGTCTTGACCGCTGAGCGAGTCTCGCAGGCACTCTGCGAGCTGGCGCAGAGGCCCCTCGTCGGGCTGCCAGGCCATGGCAGGGTATGTTGCGATTTCGCGGTGCGGGGCAGATGGAGAGGATCGCGGTGGGAGATTCGCCTCGAGACAAGCGGCGGAGGGTGTAATGGAACACCGGAAGCTGGGGTGAGGAGGCACAAGGCGGTCGGCCGTGGCGAGGGCTTCGCGCTGGATCTGCTGGGGCAGGGCATTGTTAGCTCAAGCGCGCAGGGCAGCAAAGCCATGGGTGAAGCGGTAATGGGCGAGGCGACGTACCAAATGGCGTTGTCGGTGTGTCCTACAACTCGTCCATTTTTGATTGTCCTACAGAGAGCAGTCGTTGATTTTTTTGCGTGTGCTGCAAGAAGTTTGCTTGAGAATGACGCGGGGGCGCGGCTAGTTGCAGGCGAAGGGTTACGGGCCCTGGATCCAGGACCTTCCAGCGGCGAAGCGGCCACACAGCGGAGCGGGTGCAGCTGCAGTACGACGAGAGGCAGACAAGCGGGCAGCGCGTCGGCTGGAGCACAATGGGCAGCGGCGTGGACAGCGCGGTAAGGCGGGGCGCTGAATTTGAGGTGCGCCCGCTCCTAGTCGCTTCGGCAGGCCTCGACACGGAGACGAGATGAGACGCCTGGCACGCCCGCCACTTGCACGCGCGCAGCCCCCACACGTCGCTCTTCACCTCGACTTGCGACGCAGACGCCCAGCAAGCCGCTGTCACGCTTGCTCGTGGACCGCCGCCGGCCGTTACCCAAGGACTGTGCCGATGCAGCTGTCAGGTCTTCACGTGCACTGCAGCTGCGCGTTGCACCGCGTCTGCACCCCCGTCACCGCCTCTTGGCCCGCTCCTCGACGAGAGCATCCGCCAGCACGCCTCGACTTGTCGCTGCGGAGCTGGCTGCTGGAGCATGCTGCCGTTGCATTCGGGCCCATCGCGGCTTTCACCTTCTCTGCAGTCAGGCATGCGCCACAGCCGCCTGTCCGCCGACGACACGGCATCTGGCGAGTATGGGTGAGGCGGGAGATGGCGAACAGTATCGTAGCGATAGAGTAGTTGGACATACTGGATGCCTCGGCGACACGTCAGTCGCTGAACAGAGCTCGTGATGAGGTTGGTTGCTAGCCCTGGTACACACTCTCGGGCACGCCTTGCTCGCAGCTGTCTCTCACTGTAGTCAACCCACAGCAATAGTAATATGTAGGCCCGTTGCTCACAGCCCACACATGCGTCCATGTGCAGTCTTGCAGTATGACATGATGTATGGTTGTGCAGCTGCAAAGAGATATATCCTGAAGGCCACCAGGCGATCGAGGACCCCGACTATCATTCAGTTGGCATTGCTCTGGGAGCTCTGGGAGCATGACGAGGCCTGGTTGCTCTTTCCCGCGTTCCTCCAGAGTAACTGCGAGGCCGCGCCTTCCTGCACCTCTTCCGACGACATGTCCCCGACTCGAGCTCTCCCTGTGGCGCTGCCCATCGCCGCAGCGTCACAGCAATCAACGCACTCGTCCAAATAGCGCAAGGCTTGAGTGAATGGAACCGTTCGATGCTTCCAAGATGTACTGATCACATCTCGACAATGCATCCTAGTGGTGCCGGGACCGTGCAGCCTGCTCTTTCGACACCGAGCCCGTGTCTACACGGCGGACAGGTAGCATGAGGAAGAACCTTGCTATTGTCTCTAGATACGATTGATTGGACAAACGGTTCGATTGACGTCGGCGGGCTGTCGCCCCAGGGCCTGGCCCGAATGTGTACGGCACGCGCCGCCCTCCTATCCGCAACATTGCGCGAACCATCGGTCGGATCACGTCCGTTATCGGTTTTGACCCCGAGACGTGAACCTTTTTGTGCGCGGAGCTGCGCTTGTCCAACAGAGACAGCTCATCGGCGGCAGGCTCCGTCACGGGTCTTGCGCACAGAAGTATTGCATGATGGGGAGCAGCTGATACCGCCAACTCCTACCTCAGTTATGCAGCATGTCGCACTCCTTCCAGGACACCCAGAGATGGGTTTGAGGCTGGCCAGGGCTCCCCATCCCCTACTTTGGCGCGCACAAAGGTTCCACGACTCTAGGGTTCATCAGATGAGGCTGATCAGACCCACTCACCCTGGGCTTTTTGAAGCATCACTGTGACCAAGGTGGAGCTCGTGCTCTCATGTCCATTTTACTCGAGTCGTTAAGGACATTGTGCCCGCATCAAGGCTCTGCAGAACTGAACACATAGCAGTTGCCATTCCCACGGATACCCATCATACAGTGAGCCGACAGTGGGCATCGCGCGAACAAGTTCGCCATTGAACAATCACTCTCTCATCACAAGGTCGTCTTCAACAGCCTGCGCGAATCTTTGTTTACAAGTCATCCTGCATACTGTGCTGCGTACGACCGTTATTGCCGTTACACCTACCAGATTCACCCTGGCAGATCCGACGCGGCCGGCACGAATTTGGCCGCCAACGCAGCACCTGCTCCTAGAAGCATCTGGATCAGGGCTTATGCGCTGAATGTAGCTCCAATCACCCTAAACTTTGCATTCGAGACAGCAACTCGCAAGACTTTGTCAATTCTGGTGATCAGTTGCCCACGATATCCTTCAAACGCGTTGAGCCTCTTCCATAAAAGTGCCAGAGAGTGCTGACGGGACGTTCATAATACATGAGAGCATTATCGATGACACGTCCATGGTTTGTCATCTCAAAGCAAAGTAGAAACTACCACTATCAAAGCCTGCATCAAATACACAACCTTGATCACCCGCACTTGTCTTGCGTCGCCTCTCTTAGCCTCTGATACTACCTCTTTCGCGTCGACGTACGCTCCTGTCAACCCATTGAAAACCAAACACTGGTTATCTACATCTGAGAATATCACATTCGCAAACTCCTGCTCGAAATTACTAGTTGCCCCGAACCAGCTTACCTCGCCTTCAATGCCTATACCCCAGTCGACGCTAGGCTCAATACTCAAAACATCTTTAAACACCTCCTGCGCCACGTCTTTGTACCCAGATGCGCTGCTCGCCAAAGCACCGTAGTTCTCATCTACCCCCGACTTCTTGGTGAGGCCTGCGCCGAACTTGGGCAGATTTAGATAGACATCAACCTTTGCACTGATGCCGTTGTTGAAATTGAACCTAATCTGTACCTGTTGGCGCAGCGCAACGGAGAGCTGTACATCATCCACGTCCACGCTAGCCTGGAAGGGGACCGGCGTCACAGTTGTCGCATCGAACCCAGATGTGCTGGAATTGTTGGGCTCTGTGAGATCAATGAATATGTTGGAGTTGTCCGGGACAGCAATCTCAAAGCCAGTGGTGAAGTTGAGGGTGCCATTGAGCGTCCATGCAAAGTGGAGGGCAGGTGCGTAAAGAAGGCCGGCACTGCCGATCCCCCGGATCTGAAATGGTATCAGTGGGTATGTAACACGAATATGTGGTACCGCTGACTTACTACAATGGCAAATAGCAACGGGATTTCGAAGACAGAGACGTCGAAGCCGCCGTCGCTGCTAACGCCGATTCCCAGGTCCACCCTCGCGCCTAACCCTTTAGCGACGATGGGTGCCTCTCCACCCTCGAAGAAGTCTTCCAGCTGAAAGCCTGTATCATTGTTGGTATCTCCGGGGTCTCAAAGACTGAAGCTGGTAAAAGAGAAATCGAGTTCGCCAAACGTGGAGCAGTTCTTGCACTTGACATGCACATTGGCACCGGCATCTCCTGGAAGAGGAAGCTCCTTGTCTATGAATAAAAATTTACGATCCAGACTTGTAGTGCTCGGCGTCTGCGTTGTAGCCGGAGCAGATATCGGTGGTGCAGGAAGATCGATGGTCGTGCTCGCTGCTTCTTCCTGGCGTTGAACCTTAGGCAACTGGTGTCGCCGATCGTGTCGTAAGCTTCGCGATATTGGTTGACGCTCGAAGTTCACGTCCGGGTAGTCTTCCACTGCGTTCGGCCAATGCTTTGGCCAACGAAAAGCCAGATGATGCCGACGACGCGGCTGCCGTCACGAAGACGAGGCAGAAAAGAGTAGCCAACAAAATGATGTGTAGAAGCATGCCGGGCGTGTCCTGTGAGTGCTCTCGAGCTGCGGTGTGGAACACCTTGCCTCTACATTGCAACCCCAATCTCTACGCTATCTATACATTTTTCACAGCTCTGCGGAACAAGTTGCCATTGTGCTCGTGTCTGCACGCAATACCCCCCTGAAGCGCCCTGCACACTGAGCATCCTTCAACTAGGCTAGCCCCCACTCTGCTACTACAGCCTCGTTAGTTGTTTCCGCTTTTGCTCTGCGCATGTAATTTGCCTTCATTCGGGAGGCCCTGCATCACGAAGACAGGCAGGTGCTGTGTAGATTCGAGCAGTAGGATTCTCAACCTGGTGCCCAACGCCGGAAATGGGATGGCATGTGCTTGGGAAGTGTCTGGATGCGTGGGCTTTGGGTTGCCTTCTTTTGATGAAGAGGGGAAACTATGTTGATGTGAGACAACGTGGATGCTGTATGAGGAGTACTCGAGCGCTGGGTCAAGGCGTTGGTGGCGGAAGTAAAGCCGTGCGTCTATTCAGCGTATAAACCAGGGCTGGGTGGTGTGGTCTGCAGAAGCACTGTGGTGAGTCCCACCGGGAGCTGCGTGCGGGTTCATAAGGGCTGCGCCGCGGGTAGCCGCCTGACTTTCACCTCCCGAGAAGAAGCATGGCCTTCGCAGTCAAGATCTGATTCACGTGCCACGTGCGGCTCCCGGTGAAGTTGAACGCCACGACATACCAATATCACTACATCCTAGTAGAGCAGGCGCAACGGCCTCATTGGCCGAGCTAATGCGTTCTCTTTGCGCATCTCGACGTCTATCTTCTTGAATGGCTATGGATGAAGTATATACATAAGTACAAATATTCTTGCTGGTTTCAAGTCAGCGAAGCGGACGAATCTAGCTGAATAAGTCAAGTCAACCTTCTTGAGCTCACGATCGAGTATCTGTTCCAACAAACTTGGTCGGACGCACTTGAGCACCCAAAAGCTGCGTCCTCAGAATCTCTGATAGCAGTCTTTTTTCGTGAATTCTGGGGTCCCCCGACCCAATTTCGCCAAGAGGCCAAATGTTACCAACGAGAATCGTAACCTCCTGGAGAGAAAGAGAGCAAATCCCGGCACAGGTACCAGAGCCCTCTTCATCCAGTTCTCGTCTTTGGTCGGAGCCGGAAGTCCTGAAGACTGCCCTTCACTGCATGATTGGCGAGATTCCATGCTACAGGTTGACATGCAGACCGCGGAGTCTGGGAAGAAGGCCTTCGAGGTTCTTCGGGATCGCTCACATCCAATCGAAACTATTTCGGATCTAAAGCCAACTGGAATCTTCCATTTCCCCCCCTGGTAGATAGTTCTGCTTCCAAATTGAACGATAGTCGTGGATTGACATTGTTAATCGTATCTCACGGATCAGTTCTCTGGTTCCCGGTAACAGATTTGCGGTGAACATGTCACATGCTTCTGCTTATCTCAGGCGAAAGTCAAAAAAAAAAAGAGCGCGGGTGAAGCCATGCGCGGATCTCGTTCGCTAGTTGGCGACAGGTGAGGAGTATAGAAGGAAGATCTTGGGTAATCCAGCGTGCGCAGATGGCGGTGAACCTCCTTGCGCCCACAATCGACTGATATATCCAACGTCTTCTATATTTTTGTCTTGGAGCGTGGAGTAGAGAGGTATTGGCGATTGGAGCCATACTTCGTGAACATCGAGCCGTATGCCTGGACTGGATTGATCACCTCGTGCGCAAAATCCTCGTAGACTTCTTCGGAGAATGCATGAATTTTGCAGTGACGGTGTGACAGAGTACCCGAGCCTTTGGGTTTCACGATATGGATGAGTGGTGGTGGGCAGGATATTCCAACGTGTCAAAAGAAGGTATGAGTAGATCTGATAGCGTAGCGCGAGAGGTAGCTTGCAGAGCGACATTTGGTAATGCAGGGGATTCCCGGCACGCAACTGTGATATTGACGTTATTGTAGCATGAGGTAGGGAGAATCCAGGACTGTGGGATAACAAGTCGAGGTGTCGCGCTCGTGTTATGAAGTACAGTTGCAATGTTGCACAATGGTCTGCCTTCCAGCACTAAAGCTGAAGAGGAAGCGGGATGGCACTCCAAGATACACCCAGGATTTGCACTTGATTTGTTACGACTTCCATTTCTATTCCGACACTGATGCCTGAAGAATACATTATGAGAACGAAAGGCAGCATACGGTGAACGAAAATTCCACCCTAGGACAAAAGAAACCAAAACCATGGGTATACTCCATTATGCCGAGTCGAGACGCGCTGTCCAGACATTCATCCCACTACCGAACGCCTTCCGCCATGCCGAGTGAAGAGGGAAAGACAACAGGGAAAGCTGTGTATAAAGCAGATGAGCGTATGCCGCGCTCAACATAAAACAGGACGGGAAGGAAAGGTTCGTGTTCAAACATAGAAGAAGAGAAACGTAAAAGGTGGCGAGATGGCCACTCAAAGCGAGAACATGAAGCGTAAGAGGGCCATTGAATGGCCGTCAAGCTCATATCCCAGTCATGCAGACTTCTCGTCCGGCACCCCACGGCTGCAGGAATTCAGCCTCGTCGAAATCGCTGGAGCTTCCAACGACCACGCGCCCTTCGGTCATGTCCGCATTTCCGAGATCCATGTCCATATCCACCTCCTTGACGATCATGCCATCGATGTCCGTCGCTCTCAAGCCCGATCTCCTTGTTTTAGGCTGCGCGAACGGCCGCAGTGGTGCTTGTGGGAAGCCATTCGGAGGCGTTGCCGAGAGAGGCGAGATAGGCACCTCGTCCTCAGACACCTTTACGGGTATTTTGAACAAGAAATTTGAGCTGAGGCGGGCGGGCGCTTCGTCTTCATCTTGCCAAGAGCGCTTGTGCAAGTTGGCAGGATTGGGGGCCTGAAACGATGAATTCGAGATGGATGAGCTCGTCGAAGACTGTGAGCTGAAGGGTTGCGAAAAGGCTTCGGCGGGCAAGGGAAAGATGTTCAGCGCACGCTCGCCCGAGGCATCTGCCCCGCCGTAAAGGTGCACGTTGGTGACAGGCTGTTCGGCATAACCACCGATCTTTTGCAGGCCGCAGAAGGGCAGTAGCTCGCGCTGGTGCAGCACTTGGGCAGGTACGGGATCGCGAGGCGGCTTGACGCTGTGATCTTGGGTGGTGGTCATGGTAGTCGAGGTGCCGTTCGGTGTCATGGTGAGAGTGGTCTGGATCGAGGGCAGCGACATGGTCTTGTGCGTCTTGTAGCCCTCAGGCACGCTCTTCCGCACACGCATGCCTACACTGAGGAGATCGGCCTGTACGCTCCCTGGGAGCTGCTGCTGAAATTGTTGATGTGGGTGTTGTTGGTGCTTCGGTCCACTAGCGCTGATGTGCCTATGGGTGTTTGGTCCAGGCCCCCGCTCGTTATCGCTCTCAGAAGAATCCCCGAAGTCGTAGGGCGTGAAGAAGCTGGTAATGGGCGGCTGGTACGGCCGCTTGCTCCTGTGCTGGGTGGAGGAGAGGTGGGTGTTGCCGCCGGGTGGCATTATCGTGAGGGGGCAGATGGGAGATGAGAGGATATCGAGTGTTTGAGGGGCTTAGGCCCGCGAACTGTGCGCTGGTTGGTGCGCGCAGCACAACCCTGGCCTCGAGCTTCGGGAGCTGAAAGGGGAATCGCCTGGGCACAGGGCAAAGAGAGTTGCAGGGGGCGTGTGCTGTTGCCGTAATCAATAATATGGGGATGCTCAGTATTCATGCGGCGGTGGTGGGCGGATAGAGGCTAGACGGTGTAACGGCGAGGGTCGAGCGCAGCAGCGCCGGCGGGCCAGGTATTAATTGTAAACGCGGGCTGCTAATGACGATGTTGGGCGGTCCGTATGAGGGGAAGAGACGCGCCGCGCAGCGATGATCTGTCGCGTCTCCGGGATTGATGGGCGGCCGGCACGAGCGCGTCTGAACGTCGTGCTTGTGCTTCCTAGGCGAGCAGATCCGGTCATCAACGTGAATCAGCGTCCAGCGCACAGATGGCTCGGGATTGAATCCACAGTGGCCCGCAGTGGGCAGCCTTAAAATAGGTAAACGTCAACGTCGGCTTTGAGACGCAGATGTTGGCGGATTCAGTCTGGCTCAGAGTTCGGTTGCGTGCGCTGTCTACCCAAATGCAGCACAGGGCTGCTTTGTCTACAACAGAACGGGCCTACTTATATATGCGCTCGAAGAATCCGGGGTAATTGAAATCGCAATTGGCATGCGCTTGCATCAGATTGCAGTGTTGGTTGGCTAGCACCAGCATCCACAGCTTGAAGACCGTCGCTTCAAGCTCATATGCCCACGACGGCGTCCAAAAAGACAAGACTTCTTCATAAGATCGTTGTGCTAAATGCTTTCCCCTCACTGCTTTCACGCATTGGATCGATATCTAGGCGTACACCTTGATTTGAAGATCGTTGGATTAATATATATAAATGCTGACAATTGCTCCTAGGTAAGTTTGTTCCGCCGATGCGATTCCCGATTTCCATTGCGCCCCGTGCTCAATCTAATGTGAGCGCATGTTCATTATCATCTTCTTTCGTACCGTCCATCGCAATATGAACGGCCTCATTCTGTGTAGTGCATACACCTGGAATGCGTTCTTCTATGCAGTCGCTGTCACCACGCCTGCGTCGAGGTGGAACAGCATCTCCTTACGACTGCTGCATTTCCAACTCCTTCCTCTCCTGCCGCTCACTCCACTTGTCCGCCATCCACCCCACCACACTCAGACCCATGCTCGCGCACAACAACACGAACACGACTAGCGTCCCGTAAAGCGCAAATTTGCTCTGATGGCACAGCGAGGTGAAGTTGCCGTTGCCCATGTTACTGGCAAGCGCCATGTCCTGCTGCATCGGTGCGCTGTTCTTGTACTTGCAGGTCCACGTCTGGATGGTATCGAGTTCGGACTTGGCGTTCAAAATGTGGACGTAGATGACAGTAACGACAGTGAGGAGGGAAGATGGGCCCGCGGAGCCAAGGGCCAACAGCGCACGCAAAGTGTGCTTGTTCGCGAGATTGACCTGTCGTTGATGTTATTGCTGGCACTGAGGAGGATCTGTGGAGAGATTTTTACCTGAGGAATGAGCGACATGACGAGGAAGACACCAGACAAGGCGAGAGTCACTGTCGCCGACGCGACCAATGCATTGGTGCCATGCACATCAAAGTGCTGGGGCCAGAGCGGAAGCCACCACGGGTTGGATGTCTAGAGCAGGTCCCGTTAGCGTCCATTTCGATCGCCGTTCGACCTAGGCTGCCTACCTGCTGCTTGTTGAAGACATCGAGAGTATGCGCGGCAGTGCCCAGGATCGCAATGCTGAACGCAACTACGAGGCCAGTAATGACCGTCTGGGCCAAGTGCAAAGGTGCAGGGTTGATCTTCATCTTGACTTTATTTGTTCGTTTTAGGATTTCCAAACTCTTGCTGGGTAAAGTGGCTGAGGTGGCCTAGGATCGTAATGTAGATTTAAAGGATAGACTGAAAAGGCGGGTACACAACCAGGTACACCCAAACCCAAGGAACGACTTTGAACAAACAACAGAAAGACAGGAACACAACGTCTGCGACGAACGTTGATATAACTCGAGGTAGCTTGCTTGCCTGAGAAGAAAGGAGTCTCACGATGAGGGAGATCCCGGCCTTTAAAACATACCCACAGCCGTCGCTGTTTCAAGCGTCTGGCGCCCCGCCTGCACTCCCACCCCATAAACGTTTTCCCTTACATCCAAAAATAAGCAAGCGTGGACTCGGGCGCGTCGATCCAACGTAGTTTTTAGACTCAGAGTGCCTACAATAGCAGGGCGCGACGACGCTGCAGGGTGCGCGCGTAGCCATGCATCTCTTCGTCGAAAATAGTGCACCAATTTACTTTCATCAACACCCCTCCTGACCGTTTTCTGCAGTGCTATCTCCACTTCTCCACATCTTCAACATTTGAGCGAGAGGTCATTGGCCTCACAGACGGCCGATAGCCGTCCATTAAGCACCGTGGCTGACCTGTTCGTCCACTTCGGCGCGTGGATTCGAGTGTCTAGCAATGTGGAGAGACAGCGCGGCGAATGAGACGCTGCAACAGGTCTCATGCGGGTGCCCAGGCTTCTGAAACGGGGTTGCAGGTGGATAGGCGCTTCGATGCGTGCAGGTGCAGAAGATGATTCGGTCGAGGTTTGGCGCTTATGTGCGTGGGGTCTGATTGGTCGAGTTGACAGCGATGCCGACGACTCAGGAGCAAAGAAAACACAACCTTTGGACGCGACAGTGTTTCTAGGATGTTGAGAAACAGAACCGATGCTGAGTCTAGAATCTCCTTCTTGAGGTCCTCTCAATAGAAGAATGTCCCGTCACCCCTTCCTCGTCTACCGCTTTACTGAGCTTCTCTTATAATTTCGCGACTGAACAGCTGCACAGATGTACCACTCAATACATGATCAAGAGGCTTATGTGATATGTAAATACGCATTTTCGTTCACGTCTAGCACTGCAGTAAAGGGTTGAGCTCGAATCGTCCTAAGTAGCAATGATCTGCATTGATGGCAGCAGCATTTGAACTCAATACCGAAGGTTATCTTTGTCACGGAACTTCTCAAATCCGAGGTAAAGGTCGCGATTCAACGCAGCTGACTGTCTCTACGCTCCAGTGAGCATATGCATGGAAAATGTTCTATTTGTAAAGACTTGCACCCTGTCATAGGTTGCTTGGGTATTGTTGCTCCCCTCTTACCGCTAACTCATGACATCTGCCCAGTGAGGCCCCCTCCGCTACCGCCCAAGGTCCATTTTCGTCTGCTACTTCTTTGAGGGGTCTTGGCTTTCCCTTTCCTCGCTGCCTCCAACGGATGCTCTTTCTCCCATCGCTCGTCGGCCTTGAAAGCTGTGATGGCATCATCGAGATTGTAGTCTGCTTGTTGCAAGTATATTAACGCGACATCATACCTGTTTTGAGGAGCAACGCTCCTCCTGATTAGTTGGACTCTTCCGCGGGTTGCTTAGTGGTCTTGCTTACTCGGCGACCTTACAACCCACCATAAACTTTCTCACCTTACCCTTCCTGATCTCTTCCTCTTCCCCTTCAAGTGGTCTTGGGCTTAAGCTCACGCCACCTTTGTAGTACTCCCCAGATATCAAAACAGTTCTCCGCGCGGCCAAAAGATGGTCAGCGAACATGTTGTTCGTTCGTCTTAGTGCATCCGCAGGCACGCCATATCGCAACGAGAGGGATGATATGGTGTCGTTGTTTGGGTCAACAAAGTGTAAGACATCAGGCGCGCTGTCTGCCAGCGCATCCTTCGACTTCTCCGTTGGTGGTTGCGGTTGTAGTGTATTTTGGGTTGAATATGGCGGAAGCTCGTCCACTGACCCATCCGGTGGCGAATACGCTGGAGGATCTCGTAGACCTTGCGGCAGGGGCGAGGGTACGATGGAGACCTGGCAAAATGGGCAGTAAGTCTTGAAGCGTGGGTTATCCGTCATGCATCGGGCGCATATCGCTCGACCGCAGCATTCGAGTCGGCGCTCATACTGTGTAGGCTTCTCGGTCTTCTCGTCATAGGTAGGCGGAATCGAGGATAGCAATGCGGCACAAGTACAGCAGGCTTCGGACATGGCGATGCTGTATGCTTGTGAGGAGTACAATGAAGGATGCCAAATGTCAGGGCTTAGAAGATGCACAACGATTTGAACCGCTGTAAAGACGGAGGGGCATACAGACGAACCGGAGATAACTTCTGTACGTCATGACTAAGTCCATTAGTGTAAACGCGGGCTCACGTGCTCATGGTGAGTATGCCAAAGAAAGTCATATCATATCAGCAGGATTTGAATGTATCTTCTTATTAGTTGCATCCAGGTATTGGAAACTTGGTGGTGCTGAACATGCTGTGGAGAGACAGACGCGTAGCTGGAAAGCGCGCTGGCGGGCACGGGCCAAGCTCGGCCCGCGCGTTTTGCCGAGAGTCCCACACCAGCCTGTCGAAAATCTGTTCGAACTTTCGCTTCGCCTGTTCATCACCGCCAATATCGACACCACTACCACGATCTCTTGAGGTATGTCGACCGTCTACCGAGTGCCCTTCAGATAGCCGGAAGATGCAATTGCCTCGCGCCTATGTGCGAGCGCGACACTGCTCTTCCCCGCGACAGAGCTGAAGACCCCTCATGTCGCAGACTGGGGGCACTCTTTTCGCTCGGGCTTCTGGAGGCTAACTTCCACACAGATACCTTGATCGCCCTCAGCCATTGAGAATCTCCATACACCGCCAAAATGGTCAAGACCTCCGTTCTCAACGATGCGCTCAATGCCATCAACAACGCCGAGAAGTCTGGCAAGCGCCAGGTTCTCATCCGCCCGTCGTCCAAGGTCATCATCAAGTTCTTGACTGTGATGCAGAAGCACGGTATGCATCCTCCGGATTTCATCTTTTTTCACAACTCCCCTTGCTGCGTGTTGATAACTAGGCATTGGTTTTGCTCGCTCCATCGACCACTTGCCCTTTAAGTACACGCTATATCAACGCGAAGAACTTACACGTCTTCGGATCCTCATGACGTCTGATGTTTATTTCTTCGCGACATACCACTATTTTGCCTATCGAGCTGCTATATTGCGCTTGGTCATTGTTGCACAACATGCGAAGATTTACAGTTGACTGACGATGTGCAGGCTACATTGGCGAGTTTGAGGAGGTTGACGATCACCGCAACGGCAAAATCGTCATCCAGCTCAACGGCCGCATCAACAAGACCGGTGTCATCTCCCCCCGCTACAACGTTCAGCTCCGCGACCTCGAGAAGTGGGTTGTCAAGCTCCTGCCCTCGCGTCAATTCGGTTACATCGTCCTCACCACCTCCGCCGGTATCATGGATCACGAGGAGGCCCGCAGGAAGCACGTTGCCGGAAAAATCCTTGGTTTCTTCTACTAGACTACTAGCAAGTGCGGTGGATGTATACCCTGGGCTTAGAGTCATGCTACGTACCTTAGGTCGAGCATCTCTCTCATGATAACGGCAATCAAAAGTTTTCACGACCCATATCATATTAGTTCCGCTGCACACGTGATGCTCATCCATTGTCTTGTGCAGTATCATGTTTCAACGATACCATTTGGATCTATCCTAGTTCAAGCCTTCCTTGCTACCCAAAACGACGCCTGATACGTGCTTTTCAGCATGCTCCACTGGTTGGTGATGTACCCAGTGTCGACGCCCAGCTCATGTTCCTCAATGGTGAACCCGAAATGCTGCACCAAAGAGACGACCTCATCATTCGTAAGCTCGACACTCCCGGGGTCTGCAATTCCTACGTCCTCACCCCTGCTCGCTCCCTTCTTATCATCCGCATCTTCTTCCTTTGGGTCTTGTATTCGGGACGCGTGGTGCCAGAGCAGCGGACCAAGATTGATCCACAGACCGCCGGGCTTCAGACAGTTCCGCACTGTCTCAACGTACCGTATTATGTTAGGCGCTGTGTCAATGAAGAACACCGTTGCAACGACATCGAAGGCGTGTTTGTACTCCGGCGTGCTGTACAGTACAATGAAGTCGCCCGTAGACATACTCATCTCTCCACTGTCACCTTCTGATAATTCTGATGCTGGATGCACGTCAGGAATATAGTAGGTGCGGAACTGGTCTTCGCGGCTAAGATGGTTCGAGCAGTTCAGCGCAAAAGGCGCAATTTTGAATTGGCCTCGTTTCGACATGTGATTGAGAACGAGCGATGAGGCCATGATCTCGTGGTAGGATATCTCGTTGCCCTCGACGCTGTAGCCTGCTTTGCAGACGTCGAAGACCAACCTTCCGAGCCCCGCACCCGGGACAAGGATGTTCATATCTTTCTTCCCTATTGCGACGTCCCTTTCTCTTCGCTTTGAGTATTCCGAAGCAAGCGTGGAGAGAATGGGGGCAAAACACGCTCCCCGTTCGACCTCCCCTTCGCCGCTCCACTCGCGGTAGAATTGATTCACACAACTTCGCGCCTTTTCCATATCATTTGGTGTCGCCTTAGCGCCCAGGTGGTCCAGTACTGCGCTGAAGACCTGGAAGGGATCGTGTGCGTACTTCTCGGGCACGATACTGGCGACCTGCTCGCTGTTTATATTGTGTGCGACAAAGGCCTGGAAACCTGCGCAGAAGATGGCTTCCGCGAGCTCAGCATTGGAGTCAATCAAGTCATCAAGATGCGAGAGAGAGTCCAAGACGGAAAAAGGAGGTTGGCTGAGGAGTGTCCAGTGAGCAGAGGGAAGGGAGTAGAAAGCTCGGCGTCGAAGATGAGTCGTGTTGTAATGGGCGACATGGCGATACGAGCTGGGTTTACATTAGTCAGGCATGTTTGGTATCAGTGTCCGTAATGAAGTTGCTCATGAGGGGTAGATGAAAAAAACGTACCGGAAGGAATCTAGCACCGATAGGAGGTGGGCACGCTCTTCTGAATCGGCCATGGGATTGAATTCACCCGCCCATTCCTCTCCTCCTTCCATTTTGAACGGCGTGGTATTTCCTAGAGTTGATGCTTTTGCCTCCAATACAGTTAATCTTACAATCCACGTTTGGTTGTTAGCGGCATTTGATGGATTATGTATTTGTTGATTGGGCTACCCGAGCGGGCAGAAGTAGTCTGGCTGTATGCGATACGGAAGAAAGGAGGAGGCACAAAAGCGACTGTGCGGAGATCGTGAGCGCACTGTGGTGTTGAATCGCAACTCGCCAAGAAGATAACCCCGCTTTAAGTCCGCCCGCTCCATCTTCTGGAGGTTCGTCCAGCTTTCCCACACCCAAATTACCACAGCTATTGCCCAACATGGTCGCCACCCTCGAGAAAGGCATCGGAGAGCTAGGCTTGCTAAACGGCGAGGCGTCCACTTCCCCCATCTCCGTCTCGTTTCCCTTACCTCGCGCTCCGCAAACAAACATTCACGTACAACTCCACGATAACGGCCCAAATATCCTACTCTTTCTTGCTACTTCCACACCCGAATCTTCTAACGCCGCGCCGCTCGGTAGCTTCGTCTACGCAATGCCCAACGTATGTTTCTGTCGCTTGTCCCCCGCGCCCATAGTTATGCTAACGAACATCATACAGAGAAACAATCCTTCCGATCCTCTGAGCACGCCGCTATTCACACCTCCGACCACGCTGGACTTCACAACACGAATCGCGAAAATTTTGACGAGGAAACTGAAGAAGCCGGTATATGTTGGAAACTCGATAAGCTTCGCCAGTGCGGGCATGGGAGGAACGGTCGAGGAAGAAATGGAGGGTTTCAAGAGAGTGGTTGAGGTTGTTGTAGGGCTGGTGAATACAGAAAAGGGCGCGGAGTCGTAAATGTCGAAGAGAGCACGCATCGCCATTACGAGATAAGACTCAAGACGCTGTTAGCCAGGTGCCGAAGGGCCATTGGGAAATTAGAGACCGATATGTGATGCAAGAACATGAACTATGGGTTAGTCGCTGGTTTATGGCTATGGAATGCATACCTAGCCAGGGGGCCCTCTCTACTTCGGCGACCCGGGACGAGATATTCTCGAGAAGGGTGAAAGACTCGGATAATTTTAAGGTTGGCTCGAGTTGTCACAAGTCGGCTACATTGCAAGAGTTCAAGTGGGTGCCATTGCTACGAACGGCCGAAGATACTTTTCTCAAAGCCCACGCTTCACATATTGTTCAAGCGCTCCTTCGCACTCTCCTTGGCCTCATCGGAGACCTTGGGGTTGTTGATGGTTGCCTTCAACCCTCCTGCGATGTTGTTGGGGTTCTTGCCCTCGTCAGAACCTGTTTCGACATTTCCACCATCGTAGTCGTTGTCGAGGACCTCGCGAGAGTGCTGCTTGGACTCCTCAGATGTGTCTAAAGCAATGTCAGCGCCAACACTAGATTGGAGTGGTCTATTTAGAGGACTCACTGGGGTTGTTGATGTTAGCCTTGTGGCCGCCAACGACGTTACCGGTTGTCATGGTGAGAGGTGTATTTTGGGGTTGTTGAAAGTATTGGTGGGAAGAGCGTCAGATAATTGCTGTTATTGTTGTTTTTGCAGAGTGGATTGGAACTGATGAGCTCCTACGAGTGCAGGATGCCCTCCCTTTATACTTCGAGATCTCTAGACCGTGTCGCCTGGCTTCTCGTTCATCATTTCATTCCTGCGTCAACGATATGTCTTTTTCAGGTCTCCCGAGCTTCATCCTCTAAGAAATCGCGCTTTCAAACCCTAATCACTACGTCAACGACATCCTCTAACGCGTCTTCGCGCAGTCCCGTGACGTGGTTGGCGTGACGCGCCCGGTCTAAAGTGCTTGATAATAGCGTTTTTGACCGCTCTTTCTTTGTCCACAAGATACTATCGTCATGATCATGCATCGAAGAACTACGACCTGGACCAGAGATGAAGCTTCTAGTCTCCTTTTGGGTAGTGTACCAGACTAGAGCAAGGTACGATCTTGCATTCGCGAACGGCGCGCTCGACCTGCTACAAGCGAGTCATTGAAGGGTTCAGATCTGAGACGCGAAGACGCTATTCGAAGATCGGCAATCGCAATATCGCATGGTGTGGACATGGGAATCGCTGCATTCTCGCGTCTCCACTCAATGCACTATGCTAGTGCGATCCGAGGGAGAATTGAACTTTGGGGTATCCGGTTGACTTGGTAAATGAGACATCATCGTGAGGATTATTTGTGCAGCCTACGGTGGGCTGTCGTGTCTACATAAAGACTGAAGCAAAGCTTAATTAGGAATCTTGACAGTCAAGCCTATGGTAGCATAACTCAGGCTACACAAGTCTAGAAGTACGACCTTTTACGATATCCCCGGTGCTCATGTTGACGTGAGAATGCAGAGACTTTGTGATGCTGGCGCTGTCAAGAGCTGTGCCGTAGTAGATGACGTCAAATCAACGAGATTAGAAGCACCGGCCTTGCGGTTGCTCAGAAAGCTTTGTCGACCAGGGTCGCGATCATCAGGGTCTCGTATCATCTGCACGTCGCCATCCTTGCACCATATTTCTGTCGAGTGCGCACCCGACGATGCATATGCATGCAGACGGTGCTTCACCGACTGACGTGAGCATGCAACAACATGCCTGACCCGAGCGCAGATCGGGAACCTTGATTAAACGCCGCTTCAATCGTATCAGACGTCGAATCGACTATACTATACCTAAAGACATATGCTGTCATTTGTTGTAGGTTTACAAGAGATAATGTCTCCCAAGGTCTGAAAAGGCACCATCGGCGCACATGCATTCCTCTGCGCACCACAAGCTCAACAACGTCAAGTCCGACGCTGGCCTGGCCAACAAGGACGTGCGAACGAACTATCTGTGCCGTGGCATCTCCCCTGGGTTATATACTGCCGTCTCACGAACGTCTTCGCCGTTACTCATTTGATGAACAGAATTGATGAAAGGAATGCCCCTTGACTACATCGCATCTTGTTGCCTTGATCCATGTGTTCCCCCGTTTACGAGACAATCTACGTATGGCCACTTTGGCGACCTATTCTTGGGGATTTACGATTACCTTTCCCCGGACTTTGCCTTCGAAAACATCCGTGCTCGCCTCTTGTAGAGCTTCGAGACCACCTGAGACCTTCAAATGGCTGACAGGGTCTACAAGACCATTGCGCAGTACGTCCGAGAGATACTCGCCATACCTGCCATTTTATCAACTTTGCACATTTCAGTATTAGGAGAACTTACCACCAGCTCCGCCATTCCTGGTTCTCGTCGTGTTGCGCAGCCTGGGAGAATGGCTTGTACACCCGTTCAACGTCAGATGGTAGGTCAACCTCACCACCGAGAACACTTGCAAAGCGTCCTCCGTCCGGCAACAATGACGCCAGCGCCTTCTGAGAGGCCGGATCTCCCGATGCCGAAAAGAGGTATTTGTAAGGTCCCAATTTGCGAAGTTGGTCCACGGCATCGGCAGCTTTATAATCAATAACGGCAGAAGCGCCCAACCGTGTCTGTCTTGCAACGTCCTTCTGAGATGCAGTGACGACTACGGTATGCCCAACCTGGAAAATGTTAATTCAGTCATCCATCTTGCTCAGCCGACAGCAGGACTCACGCTTTTTGCGTACTGTACGGCATAACTACCCACCGCGCCTCCAGCACCCCATACCAGCACTTTTTCATCCTCTGTTCCCTTTCCAGGCTTTTCCATTCCCAGATACAAATTTAGAGCCGCAACCGCCGTTTGCAACGGAAAGTCAACTAACACTGCTTGTTCGAAGGATACATCGCCGATCTATTGTAGTGTCAGATGATAGTGGGTTTGATGCGACAGACATACTCACCTTTGCGGCCGTCTGGGATCTTACGATCACGAATTTCTGCCAGGTACCTTCGCGCTTGTTCGTTTCGAACTTCACAAGAGCCCTTGTATTGAACACAACTCGATCCCCGACCGCTAACTCAGACACGTCTTCACCAACCGCTTGAACAGTTCCCGCTCCAGCCGTCCCCAGTATGACCGGATACTTCTCGATTGAACCTGCACCACCATAGCCAGCGTGCAGCATCTTGGCATCGAGCGGTTGGACTGCGACTGCCTCATTCCTAACTAGGATCTCCCCTGGACCTGGATGGCTGAGCTCAGCATCAACAACCTCTAAGGCTTGGCCTTGTCCTGGAACAATAGCGACTCGATTCTTTTCGGTGGCCATGATGTTTTGTTGAGGTACTTCGTTAGGATACAACACAGAGCGCTGACGAACGTTTCGAAGATGCAAGCTTCAATCTTTGGGATAGCCTCTATATGTGTCCACATTTAAAGCATTCTGCGTAGAGCATTCCTTTGATAGCGTATGCTAATATCTTCTAGATCTTCACGGGACCCTACCATTACAGGCGTAACTCTGCATTGCGCGGACGCATAAGCCTTTCTCAACTTTTCGTAAGCCATCGAGGTGTGAGCGATGCCATTTGTAGGCGCGGAATTATCTCGTAGTACAGCTACGGGGCATTAGATGAGTTGTGTAAGCGTGGGATAATCAGGTTCACGGTTAGATTTAACATCAAAGGCCGTCAATTAGCTTTTATTTCTTGACGCTAATGTAGCTAATTTAGTCTTCCGTCCGTCCAACGCAACCACTAAAGGGCTACTCGTCCTCCAATTCCGCATTCACGCTCACCCTTTCGGGAAATTATGGGTGTGATAGGTGTCCTTCCGGGCAATAAGCATGGCTTAAAGGTGTATAGTCCGTCAAACTTCGCTTACCGCTGCACCGCCTCCACCACGACCACGATAGGCGCAATACAACATCTGATTGGAGAATTGAAAACGAATCCAAGCATCAACTGCATGGAAATTACTAGGACCGCCCAATCTGAGATGAGAGGCGTGGGCAATTCCCAGAATGGCAAGCTTCCAGAAGGGCACCGCACATATGATGACGGCCGACCCCTGGCTAGCTTTCCCACTAATCGCTCGAGTAAGTTGCTTACAAAATTCCGAATGGCATCGCCAAACCTATCAGCGTAGGTGAAATGACACCAAATTTGGGGGCAATAAGTCTTCTTTAGGGTCGCGCTTCTACCCTATGACCTCATAGGTACTGAAAGAGTTACTTCGATCGAACCGGTATGGCCGACAATTAGAAACAGAAGACGCCCGGACCACCGTAGGATATTGGCGATAGCTGAGTAACCCTCTAGATCAAAACTCCATCTCGTGTTCATTCAAGCTAATATTAGCTGTTCTTTGTTACAGGAGAATTTCGCACGTTGGCGGGCGGGCAAAAATGATGATGGCACAGACGAATGGTCGAACACCGACTGGTGTACTCAAAATGGTCATTGAGATGGCCTTTTGCAACTCAGATTTGGCCGAGAAGTTACGAAATTGCGGAGGTATTCGAAATAGTTTGGGCCGGACGGTTAAGGCGTCTCAAGCGAGTCAAGTCGAACCTTAGTACAGCTGCTACGATCGCGATGCCAATTTGATATGCTGACCATAGTCACGACAAATTCAAGCCTTCATTCAACTATCACTAGTGGAGGAACGGCATGGAATCACGACGTCGTATAACACTAGCCTTCACAAAGATGCTGTGCATCCACATTGGAAGGGATTTGATCACAATTGCAAGTGTACATCAGCGTCAATCATCTTACTGGGGGATTTGACCCTGCACAGATGTCATTGCGCCAGCAACTGGTCACTTTGCATGAGGCTCAAAACAAGCATCTGACGACAGCCGCCTGCCTGCAGCTCACAGCTACCCGTGATTCAGGATTCACTGGTGCACAGACCTCTTTTGGCCCTTACAGCCCTACACCGAAGGCCATACTCTCAAAATAGGTATACACGCACGTTTTCCATCCAATCTACCGGAATCTCCGCATCCCAAGTCATCGGAAATCGTTCTGCGCCTCCTCATTATTCGTCGAAAATCCAAGAAAGAGACCATACTAGGGTAACGGTCCGCTCCATCGTTGCACAACGTGGATCCAAGCCTCCCCATCTCACGATTACGTTCATCGGAGAAGCTCACAAGACTGCAACCTACTCAGAATCAGAGGCTTGTCGCACTGCCAGTCATCAGCTTCGTGATCTCAGATCTGGAACATTCATCCTGACACCGAGGGCCGCTCTCGAGACCGCTCCAGGGAATGGATGTATATAACATCTTTCCAGCATCACCCTTGAGTCCTCATCAAACAACACCAACTCCACACCAACACAACACTCTCCAACTATTCGGCTCGCCGACCTCAAACCAAACACCTACTCAGTCAGCTTATGAGCAATAGCTCTCTCAACAAACCCAGCCCATCAAACTCCCAGACCGATTGTGCTACCCCAACAGTCACAGAAGCTCCTCTTCAGCAACGCACGACTTCTAGCACCATTCATTCCGCGGGAACTCCTCAATCTCTTGCTGGACAACGCTCTCAATCGACACCTCCCGTCCTCAACCTAGGACCTCAATCAATCACCTCGCATCCAAGGCCTCCTCTGGTTTTTGTCCAGTACTCTTCCACGCCATCCGAATCCTCGCAGCCAGACTCTGTCACTCGACAAAGTCGTTCTCTCGTCGCTCGAAGTGATCCGCGGATTAGCTCTTCCCAGTCACCGCGTAGAGCCGGTAGTCCCTACTCACGACCACCTCAACTTCCGAGAGCTCATTCCCAGCCCCGCCCAGCAACAATGTCTTCCGCTTCCACTCCCAGCAACACCTCCACTGCCGGTGCTTCGTCTGGGTCCAACCCTTCCTACCAGCTTCCCTACGCCCCATTCCCGTACCCGATGCCTGCCAACGGCGGCTCAGGACAGCAGGGTGGCAAGGGCGGCAGCGGTAAATAAATGGCTGATTCCTGTCGACTCTATTTTCCTAGGACCGTCTTCGATGCATTTCTGGCGCGCAAAATGTTTCCTTTCTGTCGACTGGGTACGACCTCTACGAACGAACGCCATGGCACGACACTAGAATTTACACTACAATGAGTCTCGCGGCTCGAGCATGATATCTTACGGTCAAAGCATTTCTCGGCGCTGGATCACGATTTGCACACGAGTCTCTATCTTTGATCTTCTTTCCTGTCTTTGAGCATTTGCATGGTTTTTGTTTTCCCGCGGCATTCTCTGGAGTCTTGTTCTCTGGTCTCTTCCGGCACCCACATTCCTTTAGCATCACGACTCTCTTTTCGTCCTAGCATAGCATCGGTTCCTGCATTTCTTGGCGTTCATCCTTAGACTGTAGCATTAGCATCAATATCACCATCCACACTACATCTCCACACGGAGCGTTTTCAAGTATTTTTAGCCATGCAAGTGACATTGCAGCTGCAAGCTGGATAGGGTGGTTTGATAATCGGAGAATTCCCAGGTGGAAATGAAGCTAGGCGAGGGACGTCGCGGTCGAGGCCTCGGCAATCGGGTGCATGCAAGCCGGTAAGAACTCTGATGTGCTTGACACCTCGGAGCATTTGAAAATTGAGACATGTGCTGGTAGGGTAGCATGGACGGGTGATCTGAGCTGAGGGACGCAGGTGGGCAATCTCCGGCAAGGCTAGGTGTGGGGTAGTGGGATATTTTTGGACGGTGGATGGTGCTGTAGCGTTGCGAAGCTCAGGGCGGAGGGTAATAGGTGGTGTTTGTCGCGCGAAGGTGTCCATCATCAGAGGACGCTGGACGCAGGACGGTGCGAAGGCGGTTCAGCTGCGTTTGGTTGACGTTGCCGTTGGCACGAGTGGGGCCGATTCGCGTGGAGCATGCCTAGTCCAGGAAGAGATAGATGTGGCTAGAGACTTGGCGCCTGCGCCACGTGCGCGACTCTTCGAGAACGTTGATGACGGAACCGGTGAACGGCTTACTCGTGCAGCGCCGAAAGGTCAACACTATTCACCCCCACGACGCCCATCCCGTCTTCGCGCTCTACCACGCTCGCTAATCCAGCTTGCGTCTTATCCTTGCCCTTTCGAGACAGTCTTGGCTTCTGCGGCGTGAGCTTTGCGAACGTAGCTGGCTGCTCGTATGCCTCCTTTCCTCGTCTGAATTTCAGCCATCGACTTCGACCGACGTCCTCTACCGTCACCCCGGCAGGCAGGAGGCCTTCCAACGACCCCTTATTCCGCATCCCGGCACTTCCCGTCGTACTACCCTTACTCGACGCCGCTCCAGACGCACATACTCGTTCATCATGTATCCTCCGCGGACATCCCAACTTTTGCTCGCCTTGTCGGCTATCCTCCCCTCTTCGCTAGCAGCCTTTGCCTGCAATGATATCCTCACCAAGGGCCAGCATTTCAACTTCGAGAAGCTGGGTGGGCCGCGCGTGGTGCACTGGACAGACTCGTTGGGCACTGAAGATATGGAAGCCCGCTGGAATTTTACATTAGATGTATGCAACAAGCTACAGCGGGACAAGGGTGTAGACAAACAAAATTGGTGCCATGATGGTGCTAGAGGTACGTCCCTTCGCGCTTCTCGCGGGTGCCAGCCGGGTCGCATTCAAACCTACGACCATAATACCTTCCGGATTATGCACAACCAGAACACTAACCGTACCCAGTATGCGGCGTCCGCGCACTTCACGACATCTACGGAGATGAGAACGACACAATATCGGCCGTTGACATCGCCGGTACATACACAATGCAAAATGGGCCCAATGCAATTCTCGACCCTACCTTTGGGCTTCTGCGAGACTTGAAGTCGAACTCCGACGCACCGCGAGAGGGTGTGCGGGTTGAACTACACGGCGGCCGCCACCCCTTCGACTCGAAAAAGGAGGGAGTGAAGCAGCGCGCCGTCATTGATTTCGTGTGTGACCGAGAACGCGAGGGCGATGAGGGTGCCGAAAAAGATACCAACGAGCATGAAGAGGAGCCGAAGAAGGACGAAGACGAGAAGAAAGGCGAGAACGGCGATAAAAAAGAGGAGAAGAAGCTGCGCCGACGAGGGGGCGAAAAGGGCAAGTGTGAAGACACTGAGGCGAGTCTGCGCTTCTGCGGGTACGAGGACGAGAAGACGGACAAGGATGACAAGGTGAAGACCCTGCGGCTAGAATGGCGCACGAAGTATGCGTGCGAGGATGCGCCTGCGCCTGACGGCGGTAAGAGCTGGGGTTTCTTCACGTGGTTCATTATCATGTAAGTTGACCCCGCATATATTGACAGTCGAACGAAGAGCTAACACAGACGACAGTCTCTTCCTCGCCACTGCGGCATACCTCATCTTTGGCTCCTGGCTCAACTACAACCGCTACGGTGCCCGCGGCTGGGACCTCCTTCCCCACGGCGACGCTATCCGCGACATCCCGTACATGGTGAAGGATCTGGGACGCAAGGTCGTAAACGTAGTCCAAAGTCCAGGCAGTAGGGGCGGTTACAGCGCTGTATGAGAGTCTTTGCGGCAGGGGAGGACACGCATGAGGTACAGCGACGGCGTTCTTGTATAGGATACATTGTGGAGGCGTGGGCACTCTGGTTGCTTTTGGAGTATGCTACGCAGGGCTGTCTGCTAGTTGAGAAGTGGATTGTAGGTATTCAACATGTACATTTAACACATCGGCTGTGGATCATTTCGACTCTTTGTTCTGCATGTATGTGAAGATACCCATATAAATGCTTATCCTAGTTGGGGCCGTCCTAGGGTACACAATGTTTTTTCGTTGATGGAATACGTGCCACGTTTCGGCACCAATGCTTGTGTACAGGGCACATGTTGGCGAGGATCATCACCAGCTCGCTTCCAGGGGGCCCCAAAATGTACATAAAGCGCCATACGTTCCTCTTCCACACTCCAGGCAATTCCAAGAGCTTTCGGGCTCTTTGAAAACGGAGTGAACCTGCAGTCATGTGGTGAGCTGTGTGTGTGGAGGGGACTAAAATCTCCGACATGAGATTCCTGTTCGTCACGAAATGGCGTGGCATTTTCCTTTGCTCTCAAAAGTTCGATTATCCCCTTTAATGTTGCTTGCGGAGCATTTCCACCGTTATCTCCTGGTTTGATCGGAGGTGCATTCAACGTCTCCTCTCCGTGGGCCTTCTACTCCACACAATCTTTTGGTCCGCAGCCGCGCTAAAGTTGATGTTGTAAAGCTGCTATGTGGTGCGTTGTGTGGGAGGAAAACAAAATACACGGCGTACCATGTGGTGCGGTAGGAGGACTGGAAACCTGGGAGGCCCTAAGCCGTGGATTGGCGAATCTCTTCTTCTCTGCGAATCTGAGACACTCCATCTATGCTGCTTGCTGAGCATCATCATTACCGTGACCAGTCTCTAGCGTGACGTGCGGTGCATACATATCTTCCACTCCGCGCCCTTTCTGCTCTTCACACGATGGCCTGAGTTATTATTTGTTCTAAAAGCTTGTAAGGAGCATGTTGATTTGTGCGTTTCCGAGTGCTAAAACTACAACAACATGAGCGAATGTGTTGTGGAACATGATTCAAATATAGAGGCGTTCCATTAAATGCGTGTGGAGTGAAAGGCTTCAAAAGACAAGCTGCAGAATTTGACCGCCATCTCAACGCCTGGCGTTACATGGTCAAGCTTTATATGGGGATCACGCTCTACTTCTCTGCTCCTCTTCACACCTGTTTGGAAATAGCGTTTCACTGCTCTATGTCTGAAACTCCGCCGTCCAAGTCTATATAAAGCACTGTTCTTCGCCACTTGCTCTTCACAGATATTGAGCATTGCTGTCACTAGAAACCGCTGGCCTGCAGCTGCATGAACTGCGGGGGGACGATGCCTTGTTTGTGAGCAACCTGTGCAGCCAAAAAAAAAAATCTCATCGAACTATGAACCTAGCGTGAGGGCGTCATCAAAAAATGTGTGCGCTCATTATCATATGGCCCAAGAAGTCAAAAATGCTTCGCATTAGCACATATGCCCGTGAGCTGCGGAGGGACCACAAAATGAATACAAGTGCTCCATCCCTCTGAAAATTCCACAACTTGGACTGATGTTGGAGCGCGGGTGCTGGCGGGATCTAAAACCATTCTTCGACGAAAGCGATGCCGCCTTGTATGCTGAAGCTTCCAAGTGTGAGCCGGAAGTCACTCCTGCGTTGGGAAGGAACCAAACATCGCTCAGAAAGCGATTGTCCAAAAAAAAAACCCCCCTAATCCTACCTCGATGTTGGAAGCCTGGCTGCGGGAAGCTTCTCATACAAGAGTGGTCGAGAACAACATAATAAGCGGACTCATGCCGCCTCTGATATTGCAGCATCTAAAATTGTGTCTCTCTCACGTCGCGAGAGCAGGGAGAGGAAGACAGCTAGCTGAAAGCATTTGCTAGACTACCATACGTACGCCGGGTATTGTCGCTGCGAACCAGCAAGCCGACGAGCGATACAAACTCAAGCAGAGGCATTTTGTGCCGCGCCAACGCAAAGAGGAGGCAAGACGATGGAGTAAGAGAGGAACCGTAACCAAAAACGCCAGACCATATGGTAACCCAGAGTCAGAACGACCTCAGACCAGTGACACTGCTACCCAGGAACCCTCCGCCACTCCACATAAGTCCATTTTTTTTTCCCACCATCTCATCGACCCATCGCCGCCTTTGTCGTGATCCACACTGAACAAATCGCCACAGTGATCAACCGCAACCTGACCGCCGGCAATCTCATGACCCTTGTCGGTACGCCACCGCGGGTCACCTAATCACGGCCTTCCTGAGGCACATCCGGTCCATCCCGCAACAACGGCGCGCGCTCGCGGTCTTCAGACACAACCTCACCACCCTCAAGTGGCGTCTTACCACTTGACACACCTAGGCTTAGGATGAACAGCAGCGCGCCAATAGTAAAGGCGAAGATCCACTGTAGCTGGAAGATCGGGATCTTGGAAAGGAACTGGCCGACGCCGGTGGCTGTTCTTGTTAGCCACCTCCTCTTATACGATGAGCAGGAGGACGGGAAGACTTACAGAAGGCGAGATACGACAGCGCAAAGCCCATGTTATAATCCTTGAATGCCACAAGGAAAAAGCATCCATACGCCAGGATGCCCCATATGAAGATATTTCCCACAATCCTCGCGGGCAGGTTGTGCGCATGCACCGCCTTCGCCCCCACCCAGTACAGCGCGACAAAGTTCCAGGCCAGGGGCCCCGCGACGGTTCCAATGTGGATCGGGCGGGGTGTCGTCGAGTGCCGGAAGTACGCGAAGGATAGATTGAAGAAGTTGATGACGATGAGCAGCTCGGCGAGCCAGAAGTGGCTGCGCACCCAGAGGTTCAGGAAGCCGAAGAGCAGCAGATTCGACGCGATGTAGTGCGTGCCGATGTTTGCAGCAGCGTTGACGTAGACGGGGTCTTTGGAGTAGAGAGAGTAGGCGTAGACGAGCTGGAGGAGGAGGATGACGATCCTGTCCCGATTCATTAGTATGATTGCTCGAACATGGAGGGGAGAGGACGTACCAGTAGATGGAGGTCATGATACTGTTCTGCGCGAACGGCGTAGCCGTGTTGTTGCCCCATATCGTGTGGCGCTCGTACTTGCCTTGGCCGGGGGCCTGGAAGGTGTAGTAGATGGCGGTGACCAGGAAGATGATGTAGGTGATGAGCGTGGTAAATCGGTAGAGGATAAGTTCTCGGGAGGAGAACTCGTCGCGGCGGGAGAAAGGATTCACTGGAGCTTGAATGTCAGTCGTGCCCCGTGGTGGTCTGATGAAGCTCCTGGATGGCAGTGTTCGCACCAGAGTGTTCAGCTTGGAGACGTGCTTGCACTTACAGCGAGAGCCGCTCGACGCAGCACCGTTCTGATCAGCCATTGTGATTTGTATGATTGGAGTCGCAAAGAGGCGGAGAGGTATTCAAGTCGAGCGTTGGGTGCTGCGTCTTATTATTCGCGGCGTGTAGCTGCAACCAAGGCCCATTTGACGGTACGTCATTTGCCCTGCAGTAAGTAGCAAAACGCGCGCCAGGGTCGAGCTCCGAACAGCGAAAGCCCCGCAGTCGCGCCATCCTGCACCACACACTCCACGCCGCATGACAGGCAGCCGGCTCGTTCACTGGCCAATGCAGACCACATGCACACCTTGTGACAGCCTGCAGACGCGGGGAACTCTGCCTTCGGCGCTGCATCCGCGAGGCTGTTCGGGCTGTTCGAGGGACTGTGACAGGCAGCTCAGGCCACGGCATGGCGACGGGCTTCTGACGTTGGAACATGTCGCACGACTAGTCGGAGGTACATTCACTACACCCATTGTTCGTGGCACCCAAACGACTGGCACTCACCAGGATATCGCGGCCGGATCAACGAGCCGCCAAGCTCAGGTTCCAAGGCGCCCGTCCTACCCCTCGTATTCGCTATGATCTGCGCCTTTGTAGAGAGTTTGTACATTCCAACGCCCCGCCACTCGGCTCGCATCCGTCCATTACAGTAGTAGATCCTGATTGCCATCTGCACCCACGGGGCTCATCACAGCGGCCTGCGGCATGTTTTGATTGACCACCCACCCGCCTCCCAGCGAACCCTGCTCCGCCACAATCGGGCTTCCTCCAAACGTGCTCTGCCTGCCAACTCCTGCGAAGTAGAGATCCGCTTCGTGTGCTGCGGCTTCGAGGCCACTGCCGTTGGTGGGGCTCAATGACCCATTGCCGTTGGTAGTTGATGTGTCCAAACGACTTCGCTCGGCTGCAGCCCGGTCGCGCGCTTGCTGTGCAGCCTTGGCCGTTGGCAGCTCGTGCCGTTGCAATGCAGGTGAATCCTGCAGCTTCCTCGGCCGCGCGGAGCGAAACACTTGGTTCACCGGTTTGAGGTAAACGGTGGCGAGGGTACCTACGTTCAGACACATCTCCTCAAGCGTGCTCGGGTCCAGCTTCTCCGACTCTTCGGCTGTGATTGCGGGCTTCTCGCCCATGACGATCTTTTTAGCTTCTTCTGGAGAGGAAGAGAGCAATCGCCAGTACATGTACCCTCGATCACGTAGATCGGGATTGTCCGTCTCCTCGGTCGCCCACTTGAGCACCCTGGGGACGAGTTGCGAACCGCGCGTCGGCCGTTGTATGAACAGCTTGACCGTCGCTGTGAGCAGGGCTAGCTGCACCTCGTGCGTCTCCTCGCTGAAGGAATCGAGGAAGTCTTCCAGCAATACATCGCTGTCCTCTATTCTGTCAGCGTACTGCCCAATGACCCAGATCATGGCTGCTTTGGCTTCCGGCTCGTCCAGGGAATCGAGATTCTCGCACAGCGTGGAGATGATGGACTCGTATTGGTTGGGATATTTGCGGAAGATGTTGCGGATGACCACTGTAGCCTCTTGGACGATGTACGAGACCTTTGTGCTGACCAGTTGGAGGAGTGTCGATATACACAATTGACTGGCCGGAGGTATCTTGATGGCAAGCTTTCCGATTGCTCGGACTGACTTGCGTACAAAGTCAACGTCGATCTCGGTGGCGTATCTGTAGAAAATCAGCAATGCTCCGAATCAATCATTGAACCAACATACTCAGACAACTCGGTCAAGACCTCCTTGATGTTCTTCTCGGTAGCGAGCATGAAGATGAGCTCCAGCTTCGTGACTTTGACGTATATAGGGTCGTTGTATTTACAGAAGAAGACGCGAATGTCGTTGCGCAATACCTCAGGCCGTCGTTGCAGGATAAGGAGAGCGTTGCGCAGAGCAAGGTACTGAATCTCGGGCCCCTTTGATAGGAGTGTAACAAGCGGTGGGGAGAGCTTGTTGCATAGCGATTTGATGACCTTTTGGTCCGAGATGTAGTTCAAGAGGTACAATATGACGCGGATGCAGGTCAAAACCACCGCGGAGTTTGAGTGTGAGAGCCGTGGTGCTATGCGCTCTGCAAGGATCGCGGCTTCTTGGGTGTCCTGTGGGACGTAGTTCATCAAGGCTTCCAGTATGTATGTTTGGCCCCATTCTGAGCACTGATGCAGGATCTGTACGATCTTGGAGGCACTCGCATAGTCGATGGTGAGCTTGATGGTTTCCGATCGCTCCCAGATGTCCATCAGCGCGGCCAGAGCACATGATACGACTGTGGGGTTCTCGTCTCGCAGCATCGCATTCAGCTTATCAATGAGATCGGAGGATTCGACCATGGCCTTGTCATGGTCGTACAGCTTCGCAACGCATATGGCGGCAGTCTTGCGCACATAAGGATCGTTATCTCGGAGAAGGCTCTTGAGGTGTGGTACGGTCGCCTCAACATATTCGCGAACGTGGATGTAGGACATGGTTCGGAGCGCAAGCGATCGCACGAGCGGGTTGTTGTCGTGCATGTCTTCCTGGATGATGGGTAGGGCCTTGAGGGCAATGTCTGGTTTTATCCTCGCATAGTTGACGAGATACAAAAAGCACCTATCGAGTCAGCCCGCGCCCAACGACCAAGCCATTTGTTCACCCACATCTTCTTGATTTCCAAGCTCGGAATGTGCATGCAGCCCACGATGTCGGGAAAGAGTGCGACCATGTCGTTGTTGCTCATGGTCATGTTTGCGACGATCTTTTTCAGGGCCGTCTTCTTCGCGGTGAAGTTCTTGTCTTTCTTGCCGCCGCTGTTGAGCTCAAGACGCAGCTCTGCTACTTTGCCCTGTTGGGTACGAGCGTACTGTAAGCGTGCGCCCTCGAATGCGTAGGGGAGGAACATGGTGGCGGCATGGTAGGGATGGCGAGAAACGACGGCGAGGGCCTGGTCGCGTGGGTAGAGCGACTGCAGTGGGATGCGAATGCAGACAAGGAACAGAGTGGCAGGGCGTCTATCGGTGGTGGTGCAGGTGAAGAGGACAGGGGACGGAGCTTACCCTCGCAAAGAGCTTCGCATCTTGGCCGCCGGCGCTCATGGTGGCTGCTATCTCGTGTCCACTAGGCGTGCGGTCTCTCTATGCATGTGCCCAGCTGTAGCACGATACAAGCAGCTTCCCCCTCTCCTTGCCCGTCTTAGCCCCTCCTGGATTGCGTCGCGCGGGTTGTTGGTGGGACGTGACGCCTCAGGCGGCGAGAATGGTATTGCGCATGCCGGAGCAATTGGGGCGTGGTTCCTGGAGGCTTTTTCCACAACTTGGGACGCTGTCGAGGGCGAATTGCACATTCTAAGACATCCACAGGCCATTGCGGACGGCGGGAGGAACGTGCTCGCCAAGGCCGGGGGTGCGTGGGCGTGGGTCCGCAACTTCCACCACGCCAGGCAAGCACGACCGTCGCACATCGCCAGCTCGCGCTTCACGAACACGCGCCATGTCCGCACAGCCCCCGCCGCCCCCGCAATGGGTCGTCGACCTCAACACGCCGCCGACCACGAAGCCGAAGACGAACGTCGCCGACCCGCCAGGCTACACGGCGTCCCTCACCCGCAGAGACCGAGCGGCTGCATCTAAGCAGTCGGTGCGGAAACAGCCGACGCCAGACGAGATGGACACGCTCAAAATGAAGAAGGCCTGGGAGGTTGCCATTGCCCCCGCGAAGCAGCTGCCCATGAACGCCATTGGTATGCTTCGTCCGCTGTTCTTGTTTCCCAAGCTGACTGTCCAGGCATGTACATGACGGGCAACACGCTGCAGATCTTCTCCATCTTCATGGTCTTCACTCTCTTCAAGACACCCCTCATCGCTGCATTGAATCTTCAAAAGACGTTCGCTCCCTTCGAAACACCAGGAACCTCCGGTCGCCTCATCATGGTCAAAATCGTATACTTGCTCACAAACGCGCTGATGTTGGGACTGGGCATATGGAAAGTGAACGCGATGGGCTTGCTACCGACAACAAGATCAGATTGGCTGGCATGGGAAGCGGAGCGGACGTGGTCAGAGCGGGCGGTGCCGAGGGAATGGCTTTGAGGTGGGAATGTGCGCAGCTGAACATCACATTCATATGCGTGAAACGGTATATAATGTCAGTGGTAAAATCACTTCCTCATTAGCTGTGGTTTCTGCTGTACAACTACTGCAGATCGGGACGGTCAAACGCCGCTCGACTTGAACATTTTCACTTCTCTTTGCTTTCCCCTCATTATTGTCCTGTTCCAGCCAGGTTGGCGAATTCTCCCTTCCGGATCTTGAACTTGATCACCAAAAGCCCGAATCGAGCCGGACCCCTCGTCGGTGTCCTCGGCAGGGCAACAGGCGTCCTCCTCGCCCTAACCCATCGCTTGAACTTCTCTGAGCCCGGTCCGAACCTCAGCACCAACGGCGGACCCATGGCCTTCCCCAACTCTTTCTCCGTCACCAGGACGTCATACGCGGCAGTCTTGATCCAAGCAGGACAGTACCCTGGTCCCCTCGCTCTCTCGCTGATCGCGACAGACTTCCACTCGTCAAAATCTTCGAGATCAACATATTGATCCAAGCGCGCATCCACCAGGGCCTTGAGCTCAGCGGCAAACTGCATGAGCGGATCCGCCTGTGGAAAAGTGAGATCGATGAAGCTCATCAGCATCGCAGAGTCACTCCACTGACTGATGACGTCGGTGTAGAGGATGCCCGCCATGCGCTTCACATCCTCGCGCCTTTCATCCTCATAGAGATCCATGTCGACCTCGACCTCGAACCCAGTCAACACGACATCAGGCCACTCGCGCTCCGGACTGTCCGGCAGCGAGCACCTAAGCATCACATTGGCGCTGCTCAAGTCTCCATGCGCGATCCCAGCTGCATGTACGAATTCCACCGCCGATAACAGACGTATAAAGATATGCCACACGAAGTACGTGGGTATGCGATTCGTGTCGAGGCAGGCTTGTCCAAATGCTTCCAAGCTCTTACCAAAGATTGGGCGCAGGCAGAGCCAGCTGGCCGTTGGTATACTGTAGCATGCGCGAAGGCCCAAGGGACCGATGAAGTCCCCGCTACGTTTGAAGTCATGCATCATGTTGAGCGTTTCCATTTCGTTGCGGAGCGCATCGAGCGATTTGTACATCCTGACTACCACAAGTTGCGCGCGGGCTTTGCGGTGGAGCTTTTCACCAACGTTGGCGTCATGCCTGGGTATATCCGCGCTTGAGTCTGGTCTGAATAGGTGGGCCGGGGGCTCTTCCTGGGCTTCTTCGTCTTCAAATCCCGGCGTGGTGTCCAGGTTGCGTGGCAAGCAGAGCCATGCGGCGCTGGTGTCTTTGTCGTACATGTTCTTGACGACGCGGAATTCGCTGAGTGGGGGAAAGAGGGCGTTTGGCTCGTCGCCAACAGGCTCGCCCGCGACGGGAATCGGCGTTCGTTGCTTGCGACCACCTTACCTTCTCAGTACCTTGATCATGGCGGTTGCATGGCAAGCAAAAGAAAAATGGGACGAGCAAATGCAGGAGGGTGGGAAAGGGTGGATGACCACTTACTCATTGTCAAGTTGGTGGTGAGTGCTTGAGAGATCGCTATGGAGAGTCACCTGAGATTATCGATGGAGATTCTCGCGATAGTGGCCGCGATTACGAGGGCGACCGGTCGGAGCTTCTGTTTCTATGGCTACTGACGCTTGAAAGGGATCTGTGCGTCAAATGTGCTCACCAGTTTCTGGATCGGATTGCCCAGGTGAATGTCCAAATTTAACCAAAACCACGCTTTAGTCACTGATCCGGTATCTGCTGCCGCGCAAGTGGAATCGGTGGTCCTTCTTTCCATCCTATATGCGCATGTATTTGTGAAATCTCTTACGAGTTGCAGAAATGTGCTCTACAGGTATCCATTTATGGTTGCGTGGAGTGAGATCATTTTGGCACACGACTGTCTCTTATGGGGGGCACCATGAACTAATCTCGAGGCATCAAGACCTACTAACTGATCTAAAACCAAGTATAGTAGGCAAAGCGAGTATACCAAAATGCAATATATTGTATGACGAAGCAGTATTACCTGGGTGGTGAGAAGCATACGTTTTGTGTAGCGAGTTTTACACAACAGATAATAGCAGACATTTTGATAAGTCTGTTGTTCAACCTTACACTCCTTTCTAAAGTCTCTGAGAGCTTGCTTGCCCTCTTCCCAAGTTACCAACAGTGTGCGTTCAGCCAAGGATTATAATCACCATTTTGTTCATGGTACCAGCCCAAAATAGAAACCGCGCGAACGCTCGGACCTCGATCCCAGTCAGCTTTACTTTTAATTACAACCCCGATATTTCTACAACCCACCAATGTCAACTCCATGCAGTTCAAAGTCCACGTTTTTTGGAACCCGATGATATAGATATAGATGGTGCTTGTCGCACAGGATGCCCACGCGGCGAATCAAGATGACCGCTTGGGCCTAGATGCAGACGAGGAGGCCCAGCTCCTGCAGAGAGAAGAGCTAGATTTCGAGGACAATACCGCTGCCCAGGCTGGCTTCAGGATACCACAGTCTTCTGGTCTCCATGGCCGGCTGAAAGGACCCGACCCACCGAGAATTCAGACCATAACCCCTTTTTTCGCTCAAGCTCAGGAATTTCTACCAACCTGGCTCAATCAGCGTTTCCCAGAACGGAGACAGAGAGCACTCCTTCTCAGTGGAGTTCTTGGCTTGTGGCTGATCGCTTTCATCATATCTTTAAGCGCACAATTTCCTGTCACGGACAGTACAGGTAGACCGGTTACCAACCTCGACTGCGTCGACACCCTCTGGAGACCTAAGAACGAATGTGGCATAGACGGTATCAATTGCCATCCCTTCAGCAACTCCTCATTTTCATTCAAGTGCCCAGCCAAATGCGCCAGCGTCAAGGTCCTGAATCCTCGCGCCGTCGGGCCTGTGGACGTCAACTACCGTCCTTTGGTGATTGGAGATGGGACATACCGCGGCGACTCTTTCATCTGCGCGTCTACTATTCATGCTGGCGTAATGACCGACAATGGCGGGTGCGGGCGTGTCACGCTTCTGGGCCGTCGGGACAATTTCTCCGGAACAGAACGGCACGGGATCGAGTCCATCCCATTCGATTCATACTTCCCCCTAGCTTTCGCTGTTTCCTCGGATTCCAGTATCACATGTTCTTCGGACCCAAGGAACGTCTTGCTATTCTTGGACATCCTCGTCGCTGCACTGCTCTCGATCTTCGGAGCATCACCTACCGTATTCTTCCCCATCTTCGTCATCATATTCGCGCACGTGGCCTTCGCGTCGGATCCCCCTTCGGCTTCATACCGCAACACCACCGTCCTCCCTGACCACATCGCCTCATTCGCCAAACGCCTACTTCCTGCGCTTTTTTGCGCTGTCGTCATCTACCGGACCACGGTCAGACGCACGTTGCATGGCTTAACAGCACACGTGGAAAAGACTTTCTTGTGGCTTGGAGGCTTCTTCTTCGGCGCCTTATCAAACTACACATTTGACTGGATCCCAATACAACGCCTCACCGCACACGATCTCGAGCAACAGCCAGGCGCCAAATTCGCGCTTGCCATTATTCTCGTAGTATTAGTCGCCATCATCGCAGGCCAGATCTACTACTTCTGGCTCGAGGGGCGTCTACTTCGATACTTGGCCTTGTATGGACTCTTCATATCTGGCATTCTCGTATGCCTAACGATCCCCGGAGTCTCACTCCGCATCCACCACTACATCATCGGCCTACTACTCCTTCCTGGCACGAGCATAAAAACACGGCCATCTCTAGTATACCAAGGAATACTTCTCGGCCTCTTCGTAAACGGCATCGCACGTTGGGACTTCGATTCCGTCCTCCAGACCACCGCTGACCTCCGAGGCGATGGCAAGTTCGACTCTGCACTGCCCGAGCTGCTAGAACCGGGAATAACTAACAAAGCCGGGGTTCTGGTGGCGAATTTTCAGTGGGTCGCGCCGCCAGCAGTAGTGGATGGGATTAGTGTGCTTGTCAACGATGTGGAGAGGTCTCGCCAGTTCTTCAGCGACGCGGAGGACGGTGCTCATGGATTCGAGTGGACGAGAACGGTGGAAGAGAGCTCGAATGAGTATTTTCGGTTTGGGTACGTGAAGGGTGGGAGGACGCTAGATTATACAAAGGCGGGGACATTGTTTGGGAATGGGACGTGGAGCGGGACTTGGTAGGCGCCACCAAGAGCAACGCACGTCCTACATCCTTTAACAGCCACAGCGACTTAGCGATGCGTCCGTCGCTATGTTTCGCATAGGGAGCTGCACACCAAAGTGCATCAACCTTCATAACTTGCACAAAATTCCTTTTTGTGCTCAGGAATTTAACGTTACTCCTTCTCCGAGATGCTTCGGTATCCACATAGTACGAACGCCCTCTGTCTTTTAGCCGCTCCCTAAAGCGCCACCCAAATAGGTTGTCGATAAGCTCCCTTGACCATCTGCAGAACGCGTAATGCTCACAAGCACTGTGACGCCTTATAACCCAAAACTATGATGGCACGTTGTAACGGCTTTAGGAAGCTAGTTTCCCTGCCTCAAGGTCTGAGCGTCGTCGCATTCTCCTTGCACCTACGCCCTTGTGAACACGTTAATAATTCGTACGGGCTGATTGGCTACGCACCTAGCGGAATGAGAGGCTGAGTGGTTATGGTACCCCGATGTACATGTCTCAGGCTACAAGGTCCCCCAGCCGGCCAATTAGAACACTGCTGTTTTGCCTCACGTCAGCGACCTTTGAAGTTAGTCGGCGACCCTTAAAGGGTGACGGCGAATAGAGCCACGCGTCTGTTGTTGTGTCTGAGGAGGCGAAAAGCAGAATTCTGAAAAAGTATTTCTTCGAAGGCGCGCTTGTGTTGCTGGAGGTCGTTCCGCAACGAGACTTCTTAGAAAATTATTCACCCTGGCATCGATCATGAAGCTACTAGCAAGGCTTGGCCCAGGTAAGCTTTTTGGAGTGAGCTTATTTGGCTGTTTTCCTGACGATACGATTGTAGTGCTCGCAGCTTTCGCGCTGGTCTCATCGGCTTCATCAGACTTTGAAGTTGTGCGTCGAGAAGCTGGTCCCAGCAATGCAACTTTCGTGCACGACACCGGCAGTGGATCTGTGGTGTTCGCCGTAGCTGCTGTAAAAGATGTCGGAGACCTATACTTCCATCTCGAGGCCCCTGCAGAGTATAGCTGGGTTGCTGTCGGGAGTGGAGAGGAGATGGACGGAAGTCTCATGTGGGTTGCATATCGCAGTGAGAACGGAACCGGTACGGCCGCATACTGCCCTCAGCAACGGTAGAACGATACTGATGTGTGATGCTTTAGGCGTGACGCTGTCATCAAGAACCTCAGACGGCCACGTTGAGCCTTCCTACAACAGTGGCATCGACTGTCAGATCTCCACCAGAAACGGCACCTCGAACGGGATCATCAAGATCAACAACCGAGACATCCTCGCCGTAAATGGCGTCTGCAAGAACATCACCAGAATCACCGCTAGCGATAGCAAAGGAGCCATAGACCTGACCAGCTCATCCCAAAACTTCATTTTTGGCCTCGGTCCTACAGGGAAGACCATCCAATCGGACAGCAAATCTGCCGGCATACGCCGCCACACGCTTTACGGCCAGTTCTCTCTCGACCTCTCGAAAGCCACCGTCGCAAACACTGAGGACGTTGATGAAGCGCAGTTGAGCAGTGTTGGCAACTGGCAGAACGCCAACGCGCAAGTCGTTGGCGATGTCACGAGTGACCGCGACTGGAGCGGGCCAGCCCATGTTGTGCTTATGGGTGGTGCTTTCGTTATTGTGTTCCCGCTTGGTGTTGTCTTCCTGAGAGTGTTGGAGAAGGTGAAGTGGCATGCTTGGATGCAGGGCGTGGGTATGGTGCTCGCTATCATTGGTTTGGGTGTAGGCATCTATCTTGGGAGGGAATACAACCATGTACGTCTGCTCCGGAAGAACGGTGCACTTTGGTTCCTCCAAAGATCGTTGAAGTGAAGGAACCCACGTCGCTGACACAACCCCACAGTCCAAAGATTTCAACAGCGCCCACCAGATTATCGGTTTAATCGTCGTCCTATTCGCGCTCGTCCAATTCACTCTGGGCATGCGGCACCACAGAGTCTATGTGCGATCCCAACGACCCACCACATTCGGCCGAATTCATCGTTACATCGGCCCGCCTTTGCTCCTCCTCGGCGCCATAAACGGCTTTCTGGGCTTCAATCTCGCAGGTGAGGACGACGACAACATCTGGTATGGCGTTATTGTTGGAGTTATAATTGTAGCGTTGGCTGGGTCACTGTTCTGGGCTAGGCGAAGACGTGGTGGCAAGGCCGCGAAATTGGGACGAGGTAATATGGGGAGGGAGTCGTATGAGGGGGGGCATATTCCGTTGACAAATATGGGACATGGTGGATAGAAAGGGTATTCAAGACGATACAGAGATCGCGCTCGTCTTAGTAGAGAATTGGAGCACAGTAGAATTGGCGCCTTGGAGACGGAAAATGCGAGTACTTGACTACTATTTGGGCTTTGCTTTCAACATCAAGTCAAAAGTTCGTGATGGGTCTCTATAGAACTTTGGACACACATGAATCGAGGAAGTGTTTAAGAATTTTGCGTGTCAAGACTGGTGGCCCCGGCGAGGGCACGTGATCCGTCTCGTGGTTCTAGCGGCAGTTACGACTGAGCTGGTCGTCCACTTCGATGCGCGACTCCACGCTCACCATCCCTATGGGCGTCTCACAATAGGTCGCGGTAACCGGCGGAACCGTTATGCTAGCCATATCCAGTATTTGCGATACCGTCGAACAATACCACCAGTCCAATAATGACAACACTATGCATTAGAAGAAACTCAAACCATACTTGCGACAGGCTCAAAAGGTACCGGCACCCTTCTTCATGCCTTCTGTAGGCTTCTCGACCGCAATCTAGATCGACGTTGCAGAAGGTTTGACGGAAGATCTACGGAAGATCTGCACGTGCGTCTGAAGCGCGCCGCCAAGACAACATCGAACACTTGTACGATGCGCAACTCAGTCTCGAGCAGTGTGCGACATAACGAGACGGATGTGATCTGAAGTGTCTCCGTTAGATAGGGTTCAAATGACTCTTGAGGTGCGGCTGAGATTCGACATCTAGAAGGACGAAGCCACCCTCGCAAGGGTTGCCTGAAGAAATTTGGGCGGTTTTCGTCCAGATAGACGGGATGACGCAACACCCGTAACACCCGTATTGACCGGCTGCGGGGCTCTCGGGCTCTCGGAAGCCAAGGACGATTTTTAGAATCGACCACCCCAATGGGTCGCCAAGGCACCGAGTGGAGGCCGCTGGGCCCAGAACACAGAGTCACTGCTGAGGTCTGCAGCAGCTACGTATGCCAACGTTCAACGTCGATTGAGTTGGATAGCAATGCGAACGTTGCACTGGCTAACGTTTATGCAGTGCCAATACAAGGGCAGAGTGAGATTGATCGACGGCGCTGGCTCCGATGCATGCAGCAGAACACAACAAAGGAAGAATACGAACAATGGCTCATCGCAACTCAAGCAGACCTCCGTCTCTCCGCAAACATTATTGGCTGGAAAATATGTGAAGTACGATTCTCTCGGTACAGAAAATCGACAGCAACCATGAGTGTTGAGTCGGAGTTATTCATTTTCCGCCGTTCTGTGATGTTATCGTACCGGATAGCTAATGTTCAGTCTCCGAGCGTAGTCGAGCGGAAGGGTCGGGGAAGCACCAGTCAGCCTTAGCCGCATCGCCACCGGTGTCTCTGCGCTTCCGTTTCCGGGTGGGTATCGAGTCTTACTACTCGTCCGCTGCTTGGCCGAGATTATCCACTAAAGCGGTAGTGGCTGTGATGACAGCATAGTGCAATAGGTACATAAAACAAAACATCATATCACCAGTTGAGGCAGTAAATCTGGCGCAGCTGTGATCACTTCCACTTTGTTCGCGATGGACAACTCGCATCCCCATGAGGCCGGCATTGTCCGCACAGCCTCAGGGCGCGAAACATATGCGCCTGATGGCCATACTTCCAACATTGCCGCAAACCACGAATATGCGGCTGTCACAGGGGAGAGGCACGCGTCTCCGGCGACGTCGAGAACCTCTAGCGAATCTTCTCTCTCTGACCGATTCGAGGCCGTGAGATCAGGGGATCACGAAGATGGTCCTTCCGACTCAGAGCTGATCACAACTACGTTGACAAGGCGGAAAACCCAGGGTACTATCAACCATGAAGAAAGGAGCGAACTACGCGAGCTCTACACCACCCTGTCGCGGAAGCAGTCGACCATAGCCAACCCCGGCGATCCTTCGGTCGACCCAGGAAGCGATTCATTCCAGCTGCACAAGTTCCTGAAGATGTTCAGAAATCAGATTGAGGGTGCCGGACACTCCATGATGCAGGTAGGGATTGCCTACAAGAACCTGAACATATACGGCAAAGGCGAAGCTCTACAACTGCAGAAAACCGTCGGCAACAGCTTCATGGTCCAGGACATGTTCAAGAGCAAGAAGCAGCACAAACACATCTTGCGGAATTTCGACGGCATTGTCAAGAGCGGTGAGATGCTCATTGTGCTCGGCCGTCCTGGCTCAGGATGCAGCACGCTTCTCAAAACCATGTGCGGAGAGTTGCACGGGCTTGAGATGGACGAGAAATCTATCGTTCACTACAACGGCATACCGCAGAAGGAGATGATGAAGGAGTTCAAAGGAGAGGTCGTTTACAACCAGGAAGTGGATAAGCATTTTCCTCACCTCACGGTCGGCCAGACGCTCGAGTTCGCGGCGGCTACACGGACACCGTCTTCGCGGCCAATGGAAATGTCTCGCAAGGACTTCGTCCAGTACATCACACGCGTGGTCATGGCTGTCGTTGGGCTTAGCCACACGTATAACACCAAAGTAGGAAACGACTTCATCCGCGGTGTTTCCGGAGGTGAACGCAAACGCGTGAGCATCGCAGAGATGATGTTGGCAGGTTCTCCGTTTGCTGCTTGGGACAACAGCACAAGAGGTCTCGATTCTGGTGAGCAAAGCTTTACACTTTCCGATTATACTCTAACATATTCTAGCCACCGCTTTCAAGTTTGTCAACACACTGCGACTTGCCTCGGACTTCGGCGACAATGCCGCTGCCGTAGCGATCTACCAAGCGAGCCAAAGCATCTATGACATCTTTGATAAAGCAACCGTACTATATGAGGGTCGTCAGATCTACTTCGGTCCTGCCGATGCTGCTAAAGAGTTCTTCGAGCGACAAGGCTGGTACTGCCCGCCGCGACAAACGACTGGAGATTTCCTCACCTCCGTAACCAACCCGCAGGAGCGCAAGGCACGAGAGGGCTGGGAGAACAAGGTGCCCCGCACGCCCGACGACTTTGAACGGATCTGGCGCGAGTCGCCCGAATACAAGGGGCTCATGGCTGAGCTCAACCAACATGAGAACGAGTATCCGATTGACCACCAAGGTCAGAGCGCAACGCGGCTACGCGAGCAGAAGAACTTCCAGCAAGCGAAGCGCGTCCGCCCCAAGTCATCTATTCTCATCAGCGTTCCCATGCAAGTCAAGCTCTGCACCGTTCGCGCTTACCAGCGTATTTGGGGTGACATCTCAGCCACGGCCACCCAGGCTGGCCTGAACGTCGTCATGGCTCTCATCGTCGGTTCAATCTTCTTCGGTTCTGATTCCTCAACACAATACTTCTTTTCCAGGGGATCAGTCTTGTTCCTTGCTATCCTCTTCAACGCTCTTACTGCTATTGCGGAAATCAACAGTCTCTATGCGCAAAGACCCGTTGTCGAGAAGCACGCCAGCTATGCATTCTACCATCCTGCTGCTGAGGCAATGGCTGGCATAGTATCTGATGTACCGGTCAAATTCGTCCAAGCCGTCTTCTTCAACATCATCCTCTACTTCATGGCTGGACTGCGCCGGGAACCCGCACAATTCTTCCTCTACTTCCTGATAACGTACATCTCAACTTTCGTCATGTCCGCTGTCTTCCGAACTTTGGCAGCCTGTACCAAAACTGTCTCGCAAGCTATGGCGCTTGCGGGTGTCTTGGTCCTTGCACTTGTGGTCTAGTAAGTTTTAATTCTCCAATCTCTTGCGCACTCACTGACTCCCTCCAGTACTGGCTTCGTCATCACTGTCCCTTCCATGCACCCTTGGTTCAGCTGGATAAGATGGATCAATCCAATCTTCTATGCTTTCGAGATCCTAATTGCCAACGAATTCCACGGCCAACAGTTTCAATGCTCACAGTATATTCCAGCGTACTTTCCTCTACAGGGCAACTCATGGGTGTGCAACGCTGTCGGAGCTGTCGCAGGCCAAACCACAGTCAGCGGCGACGCTTTTATCGCTACTAATTACGAGTACTACTACTCCCATGTGTGGCGCAACTTTGGTATCCTCCTCGGTTTCTTGTTCTTCTTCATGTTCATCTACTTCGCAGCGGTCGAGCTGAACTCCTCCACGTCGAGCAGCGCGGAAGTTCTCGTTTTCCAACGCGGCCATGTTCCTGCATACATGCAAGACGGTGGCAAGAACCCGCAATCCGATCCAGAGAAGGGCACCTCCGCCAACCCGAACGCGACTGACGGTGAAGGAGACGTAGGCGCCGTTGAGCCCCAGAAAGATATCTTCACCTGGCGCGATGTGACCTACGATATCCACATCAAAAGTGAGGAGCGCAGGTTGCTCGATCATGTCTCTGGATATGTCAAACCAGGCACGCTCACTGCATTAATGGGTGTAAGCGGTGCTGGAAAAACAACTCTGCTCGATGTGCTTGCGCAACGAACTACCATGGGAGTGGTCACCGGAGACATGTTTGTCAATGGAAAGGCATTAGATGCCAGCTTCCAGCGCTCAACCGGTTACGTCCAACAACAAGGTAAGTTCTTGGAAGAATTCACACACCTGATCCCTATGTTGACGCCATCTAGATCTTCACCTTGAAACCGCCACGGTTCGCGAGAGTCTACGGTTCAGCGCTATGCTCCGTCAGCCGAAGACTGTGAGCAAGCAGGAAAAATACGACTATGTGGAAGAGGTCATCAAGATGCTCAACATGGAAGACTTCGCCAACGCGGTTGTCGGTGTACCCGGCCAAGGTCTGAACGTTGAGCAGCGCAAGCTCCTGACTATAGGAGTGGAGCTCGCGGCTAAGCCTAAACTTCTTCTCTTCCTTGACGAGCCCACCAGTGGTCTTGACAGTCAGGTAAGCCATTTGAGAGTATTCTGTTGTAATCCGGACGCTGACGTTTATTTAAACAGAGTTCATGGGCAATCTGCGCTTTCCTCCGAAAGCTTGCCGATGCCGGTCAAGCCGTCCTTTGTACCATTCATCAACCTTCCGCTATCCTGTTCCAAGAATTCGATCGCTTGCTGTTCTTGGCCCGCGGCGGTAGAACCGTCTACTTTGGCGAGATTGGCAAGAATTCCCGCACGCTCCTCGACTACTACGAAAGCAACGGTGCCCGCAGGTGCGGAGACGACGAGAATCCAGCGGAGTACATGCTTGAGATTGTCAATGCCGGGAAGAACGACCAAGGCGAAGACTGGCACGACGTCTGGAAGAAGAGCGAGCTTCGACAGATCGTTGAAAAAGACATCGACCGCATCCATGAGGACAAGAAAAACGAAGAAGTTGCCGGGTCCGACGACCCTACTGCCACCTCTGAGTTTGCCATGCCCTTCGGACAACAAGTGACGGAGGTCACTTACCGTGTCTTCCAACAGTACTGGCGTATGCCTAGCTACGTGTTTGCCAAATTTGGTCTCGGTATTGCCGCCGGTTTGTTCATCGGATTCAGTTTCTACAATGCCGATTCCTCTCAGGCTGGCATGCAGATTGTCCTGTTCGCCGCGTTCATGTTGACGACTATCTTCACAACTCTTGTGCAACAGGTAAGTTTGCATTTCAAAACCTATCTACGACCCTGTTCTGACAGTCATAGATTCAACCACTTTTTATCACCCAAAGAGAGTTGTACGAAGTTCGCGAGCGTCCCAGCAAATCCTATTCTTGGAAAGCGTTCATGATTGCGAACATTGTTGTCGAAATTCCCTACCAAATCATGACCGGTATCTTGATTTGGGCGTGTTTCTACTACCCGGTGGTAGGTGCCAACCAGAGTGGCCAGCGACAGGGCCTAGTGTTGTTGTTCAGCATGCAGCTCCTCATCTACGCCAGCTCCTTCGCCCAGATGACCATTGCCGCACTTCCGGACGCACAAACCGCCTCCGGTATTGTCACGCTTCTCACATTCATGAGTATCTTGTTCAACGGTGTTCTCCAAGCTCCGTCTGCGCTCCCACGCTTCTGGATCTTTATGTACCGCGTCTCGCCGTTCACGTACTGGGTCGGTGGCATTGTGTCGACTCTACTACACGGCCGCGAGGTGATCTGCACCGAGAACGAGACCTCGCGCTTCAACCCGCCGTCCGGTCAGACCTGCCAAGCATATATGGCTGAATACCTACAGACAGCCCCTGGTCAGCTTCAAAACCCGGACGCCACCACCGATTGCATGTATTGCCCTCTGAGCAACGCAGACCAGTTCTTAGCAGGCTCGAATATCTACTACGGCGAAAGATGGCGTAATTTTGGTATTATCTGGGCTTTCGTGATCTTCAACGTTTTCATTGCTGTCCTGACCTACTGGGCGTTCCGCGTGGCCAAGTGGGGCAAGGGAAGCAAGAAGGGAACGAAGAGCAAGCCCCAGGAGACTGCCGAGAAGATTGCAGCAACACCAGCACAGCAAGGCGCTGCGCCGCCTAACCGGGAGACGTAAGCCTAGTTGATCCTAACAGCTGGCCTTTCAATTCTACTTTTCTTCGGGATGGAAGAGTTTCTTCTAGGATTGTAATGATTATTCTATTTAGCGACTGTTGCATAGCATAGATTCCTTTATTTAGCGGGTTGTATTGGTGATAGATTGGTTGGCTTCACGCGGGTTCAGGAGAAATTGTAGTAATTATAATTCAGGAATGTGATACCGTACGCTTCCATCCTACAAGTTGTTACGTGTCGCAATATCTCCTGGTATTCACCAACTCCCAGGCGATGGAAGTTCGCTGGAACCCGCCCTTTCACGGACATGCCACATCTGTATCCCCCACTGCGAAATTCTCCCATCCGCAACTTTCCAAGAGCGTATACACCCGCGGTATGAGGTATGACATCCCTACTGACATGTGCCCTTCGTTCTTATCCAGCGATATCAGCGTGACACTCCCATAACCTTCCGCATCGAACTCTTCCGCAGAGGGGCCTTTCAATACAGATTTCAGGTCGTGTCTGTCCACCATTACACAGGCCAGAAATCGTGAAGTGGGCAGCCAATATTGTTCTTCTCCACTTTCCTCGATCCATTTCTTGAATCGTCTGGGCAAGTTTAGAGACTCAATTCGAATGGCTGCACAACTAAAACGCACCTTCGGACTTTTGCCACACTGCACTCAGCAAGCTCGACATCCTCCTGGACGCACCAATCGATGCGCTCGTAGAGGTGTTCGGCGTTCTCGTCCCTAAGATTCAGACGCGTTCGCCTCCTCAGCTTCTTCATGAAGCGATCCCACTTCTCTTGGTTGTCGTAGGCGCAGCAGCGGTATATGACGAATCCAAATTTGAGATTTGGTTTGTTGCGTAAAACCTCGTCGATACGCTCGACATCTTGACCGATTTCTTTCGCCTGGGGCCTCGATGTGACTGTAGCGTCGGTCTCGGAGGTATTCTCCTGTTCGGTTTGAGAATCGAGCTCCTCTCCGCTGTCTGAAGCAGTTTCCCATCCATCTTCCGCGTTGGCCGCCATGATCATCCAGTGAAGCTGAAGCTCGATGTAAGAGCACGCGGAGAAAGGCAAGTGTCCTCTATGTACGGGCACTTACCTTGGTATCTCAAGTGGGGTGATGCTTGCGAACAAACGGGAAGGCAATCTGAGCAGAATACCTGCGGAATGTGAGATTAGACTCAGTGTCTGCTAAACTTGGTTGTTCGGAGTCGAAACGCCTGCCAAGTGCGAAGCCTGTCTGTGGCGCCTTCAGCTGAGTAGGGCTGAGATGACAGGGGGGCGGAAGCCCCACTTTTACCGACCTGTGTTCACATTCATTTCTACAACGCAAGCAGTCTAAGAACAGCATATTATCGCATTCTGATATGTTTCATATTGTAGTCTGAACAGCAAGATGATTAATATAGCTCAGTAACGCAGCAAATATCATTCGAGGAACACCTTTTCTCAATCTTCGCCCACTGCATCACTCCAATACCTGGGCATGCTCACAGCCTCATCTCTCGTTTGTTTCGGTCTTACCCTCTGACTTACTTCGCGCTCCGGAACCTGGGCGTCTTGGCATTCAGTCCGATTCCAATCAGCAGCCACTGCCAGGGGCAGGGCAGATCTTCGCCACGATCTCACATCATGCAATCCACCCCGGCTTACTCGCATGCCCTCCCGAAACCATCACATACTCCTGTGCTATCCCATGATGTCCTCGCCAAGCCTTTAACCTTTCACAGGCCAGCTGAGCGGCTGAATGTCTTTCTTGGAAGATAGGGTTGTTTTATTCTACGTGGTGCAGCTTTATAGATCCACTATTGCACTGTCGATAAGACACGACAGAAGGTACATCTTGAACGCTTTTATCCAATCACTTGTGTCTCTGCATAGGAACAATTGGGATGATAGCCCATATCAACTGAATGTGGACGTTCGCCATGGCTCCGGCGATGCACTCGTATAGGAAAGCGGCGTAGTCATTGAGTGTCTTCCCTGGGCGTGGTATTACGTGACACAATGTCGGACTTCACACCTCACGAAAGCAGCATCCGAGTCCGGAAATGTAAAAGAGGCAGCAGTAATCTCAGAAAGATATAAATCTTGGGGCATAAGTTGTCATAGTACCATGGGCATACGTTGAAGTCGTTGTTTTTTCAGTCACTCTTTGATCCAGTCTTCCATTCTTACCGTCGTTTCCAGAAATGCGTATTCTCTCTTCTCACAGCCTCGTGCTGCTTTGGGCTTCTCTTTCTTTTTTAGCACAAGGATTGACCATTCCTAACGAGCAGTAAGTCTTTCGTGCGCATTTGTGTTGCCATCACTGAGCAGCATTCCAGTCGCGAAGTCCTAGGGCTGCCTCTGATCGATCACACGACGCCGGACAACCATGAGATCTTCCAAGGGGAGCATGTAGCCGACGAAAAGCCTAGAAGTGAGCACCATATGCTCTTAGAGGCCCGCCGTGGACGTGGTGGACGTGGTGGCTCCAGACCGTCGAGACCAAAGCCTTCGCGTAGGAGAAAACCTACGAAGACGAGGACAAATACCCCTAAGCCTACGCCGTCCAAGTCGTCGTCCAAGAAGCCTACATCGAAGCCAACGTCGAAGACAGTGTCCAAGTCGGCGTCGAGGTCGACAAAGAACGTTTGGCCCACCCCAGCAGTTTCTCGTCCTACCACGGCAATCGACCCCTGTTATCTCTTCATCGACTGCAGTACTGATGAAGCTGCACTGGAAGACGTTGGTGCGGTAAAGGTAGCCAAGAGGGCTGGGAATTACGCCATCGATATGCACATCACGGATGCTCCAACACCAACGGAGACTGCTGCGGTGGAGCATCATGAGAAACGTGACATTCGGACCCAAAAGCCCAAGATGGGCACTGCTGGGACCCTGGTAATTAAAAATTTGGACTATCCAGGATCAGGGAAACTCTTCAGTGGCCGCACACCAGCCCATCATGCTTTCCAATTTGTTGACAACAGTATTAAAGATGCCAGAGTCAAGGACTTGAGGAAGGCGCCTGCGAACACTATAGACTTTGCTACCGAGCATATCGTGGAGGTCAGTTCTTCCTTGTCACTATAAGCGTACATATTTCTGATCTTGCAGCTCCAAACCCTAGGAAAGTTTCTGGAAAGCGTTGCGAAGAAGAACAGTGCACTTGCAAAGTTCCTCTTGAATACTTGGAACACCAAACTCTCCGTTAAACAGATCAAAGCTAGGACGAACAAGCCGACATACGGTCTTGCGAAGCTACCCCAAAACTCTGGAAATACCTTGAATGACCTAGTCTTCAATGCATTCGGCTCGAACACCCAGTTGGAAGATTTCGTCCTCTGCGACGACAAGATCAACTCGTACAAGGCTCGGATCTGGAGCGGGAAAGCGCCAATGTCCGCTACCAACTTCAAAACGCTTGTGACGAAGAGCTTGAACGGAAAGCTGCCTTCGAACGGATACTTGACTGCACTCAAGATGGTATGTTCTACCCACATACCCCACCACAACGCAAAGCTGACTGTACTCACAGGTCTTTGGCGTGTTCGATTACATGGACCAGACAGTAGTGACGACGAACATGCGCCGCGTCATCGCCAACGTCGGCAAAGAACTCGCCAACGTAGAACTCATGTTCGACAAGGCCAACCTACCCGCCAATGTCCCCGCAGCAAGCGTCTTCCCTGCAGGTGCCGACCTCCAGAAAGAATGGACCGCGTACATGAAGGCGCACCTCAGCACCATCTCTACCAAAGCGCAGACCTGGGCTAATACCCAGATCACGCACGCCCTGACCGAGCTCAAGAAGGAGATCATTGTCCTGGAGCAGACGATGAAGAAACTCCAGGCTCTGGAGAAGAAAGCTACCCCAGCGTACAAGAAGAACAAACAAGCCGCGGTGAAGAGGTTGACGACCCAGATCGTCAAACATAAGCGGGAGGTTGCGGCTATCGCGAAGAAGATCGTGCTGCTCGAGAACCAGAGGAAGGCGACGCCGACCACTGCGCTCACCAAACAGATCAAGGCGCAGAAGAAAGCTTGGCAGCGGAAGGTTGAGGCTCAGGCTGGCGCGGAGAGGCAGAGGGCGATGCTGTATTCTACCAGCGTCAAGAAGGTCATCGCGGGACTTAAGCAGGATGAGATCATTCTCAAGGCATACAAGGCTCAGGTTACGTCGGATCTTGTGATGCCGACGCCTTAGGAAGTGGTCGGTGATCTTGAGGTGGTTTGATAGAGGGGGGGGGGGGGGGGTTGTGGCGCACGCATCTACGGGTCTTCATACTGCTCTTGTATTATTATGTACTTTGGATTCGGCTGGTCCGCTCTCTCTAACATAACGGGCTGGATCAATCCCATAAGATATTTGCAATTCGCTTCCAGCCCGTCCTCTTGGGTTCCGATGGCTCCGGGTGCTTCGCAACTTCTTCCAAAGCCTCACGGAGCGGGACGTCTGCCAGGTTCACAAACTTGGTGCCCTTGATGAATTTCCAGAGCAGGAAAGCGGCAAGGACAAGCGGGATATCCCTGGACTGTGCGTTAGAGAGATTGATCCATGTGCAGACAAAGAATCGATCACTTACAGGTACGATGAGACAAACGTCGCGGTATCCCACCCGCCTTTTGTGAAGACCGAGAAGCCGCCCGTCCAGAGGATAACCTGACAGGCCACCAGTGCTATCGGCGAAGTCCACTCCGTCCACCTATTGTAGAACGGAAGCTCTCGTCGTGAGATTCCCTGCTTCTTGAATGCCAAACAAAGTCTTGTGTGGTTCAGCAAGATGCTCGACCACGAAATAAGCACTCCTGCAGCAGTCAAATCCACTAGCCACCAGAATACAGTCATGGCGTTGCTGGATAACGACATGAACGCGAGAAACATAAAGCAGGTGTTGAATAGAACGCAGACGTAGGGAACGCCCCACGCCGTGGTGCGCAGGAAGATCGTGGGCGCTTGACCTTTGATGGCGAGACCGTACAATACGCGAGTTCCGGCGAGGAGAGCTTGATTGGACGAAGACCAAGCTGAGGTGATGACTACAGCGTTGACGATAGAGGGGATCGCTTTGATGCCTGCTGCCGATGCGAGGATAACGAAGGGAGACTGGGAAGCGTCGCCACTCTCGTTTCCTAAGCGGGGGTCATCGCTAGCTACGATCATGCCGACAATGAGGACGGCAAGAATGTAGAACAAGAGGACTCTCGCGAAGACCTTTTTACACGCTTTGGGGATGTTTCGGCGTGGGTTTTGCGTTTCGGCGGCTGCCATTGCCAGACTTTCCACGCCCGCAAACGAGAATACAGCGCTAGTCATCACCGACCAGTAGCCTTTGTACATGTTAGTGACTATATAAAAACAGGATGCATGTTACCTACCAAGAAACTTTCCCCATGAGCCGGTTGCGATGTGTTCGACGAAGGGGCCAGGGTGATTCCAGTATCGGAAACCAATGCGTTCTTGTCCCGGTATTCCTCCAAGATCGATAACGAGGCCGAAGATGATCAAGAAGATGACCAGAAGGATTTTCAGGCACGCAAAGAAGAACTCGACTTCGCCGTAGATGCCGACAAATGATATTCCCACCACGAAGGTGATGAAGATGAATATGCAGATGAACAGGGAAGAGTTGATATCGGTCCAAAACTCGAATAAGACACAAATGGCGCTAATCTCCGCAGGGACCGATAGGAGATTTCCATATACAATGTTGAGGCCTATCGCGAAGCCAAATGCGGGATCGACCAGGAACTCGGCATGTCGGACGAACGATCCAGTAACAGGAAGCAGCGCAGCAACTTCTCCAAGCGCAAATTGGACCGCGCATACGATCAAGCCGACAGTTGCGTAGCCCAGAAGCGCACCCAGTGGCCCACCGGTCTGGATTGAACCACCGAGACCGAGAAAGAGACCAGTGCCAATAGCGCCAGCAATGGCGATCATCTGAATGTGTCGTTGGTGGAGGCCTCGTTGCAGCCTGCTGTTTTCGAGCTCCGTGACAAAGTCACCCTCTTGCACGCGGCCATGGCTCCAGGAAGCTTCGAGATCAGCGGCGTGCGTTGCATCGACCCCAACGCCAACATCGTGCTTGTTCAACTCTTCCTGTTGCCCCATGGTTTGAATCGCAGCTCTTGAGGAAGATTGATTCCCTGTATTTCCAGTCGTGTTTCCGGTCGTAAAAGTGTTATATTGAGTTCGCTCCGTGGATGCATCAATCAAACGTGCATTGCTGCCATCATCGCCTTCCCGACCGTAAGAAAGTCGTCGCCCGACGTTATCAACGGGCATCCTCAGGCTTATGTACGGAGATAACGAGGAAAAATCCAAAATGTCGTGCTCGCGTATCACGGCCACTCAGCTTCGGCGGCGGGATGTAACGCTGCGCAGGTCCATTGGGTAGGTGCTATGGCTTCGGCGGCGCCACGTCTGGAACAATGGCCATATCGCTGGTGCCGGCGTTTGATTATGTTTGGGAAAGGTCTTTGGGTGTCTGCCGTTAGAACGCGTGGCCGGGCCGAATGCGCTGCGAATACTCGGTTGCTGGATTGCGTGCTAGGTGGGTCCGCTTTCGGCAGGTATATGCGAGGTCTTCGCACGATCTCTCTGACATGATAGTCGCAAATGGGAACACAAATACCTTGGGTACTTGGAAAGAGAGAAAATGCTGTTCAGTGGGCGACACGTTCATACTTTTGCAATGTCTGGGGGCGAAAGGAAGAGACTTTCGGCAGCAGAGCTCATTACTGCTCAAATCGAGCGCCCGCAAATGTCGTACCAAAGGATGTTTCTTGTCGAAAATCAAGCTTTTACAAGCCATGATTCCAAGACGATATGCAGCTATGTATTGTAAGATTTCACCGCAGCCCAGAGCAAACGTAAATCGAAGTATTATACGACAGTAAAGAGTAAAAGCATTGATGTCTCCGGGATTTGCTATTATCCGAGTTTGAAAGAGGCACCAGTCATCCAAACACAAGGGGCGATATTCAGTGATGGATCTGATAGTCGTGATTTCGCGTTATGTCACGAAGAAGTAAACCAACTTCCTCCAGGAGTGGCCGTCAGCCCACCTTCCCCAACTCGGCTGCTTGCCGCCGCACCCCACCATACACGAGCATAGACATCCATACACAACAACGCATCCATGACTAGAACTCTGCCCCATGTTCCCGACTATGCTCGTCGCAGTATGTCTACGACCACACCCCAGACGTCCAGTGTGGTACCAGAGCTACCCAATAACGACAACACCCATCGAGCCGTATACCCCCAATTCATTTTCTTCGGGGACTCCATAACCCAGATCGACGGCAACCCCTCACTGGGCTTCAGCTGCGTCGGCTCGCTCCGCTACGGTACACCCTCCCCTACCGCACAACCACCCCGCTCAGACCCCTCTAACGCAAGCAAAAGACTACACGCGCCGCATCGACATCATCGCCCGCGGTTTCGCCGGCTACAACACCTCTGACGCACTCAATGTCCTGCCAAAGTTCTTTCCACAGCCACAGGAAGCGAGGGTGAGACTCGTGGTACGTCTGCTCCCGCAAAGCCCAGCAACTGCACCACCAGGATGAGGATGACCTAACGGCAGCAAGACAATTTTCTTCGGCGCAAACGACGCCTGTCTCCCGCACACCACGGGCCAACACATCTCCCTCGAGCACTTCAAGCTCAACCTGCATAAGCTTCTTTCGCACCCCTGCATCATTGCACACCGGGACGTCAAAGTCCTGCTCATCACGCCGCCGCCGGTGGACGAGTGGCAGTTTGACGACTGGGAAGAGCCGGCCAAGTCTGCGCGGAAGGCGGTGATCGCGCAGGCCTATGCAAGGGCCGTGGTTGAGGTAGGGGCAGAGAGCGAGACGGCGGTAGTGGATCTGTGGGGGGCGTGTATGAGGGAGGTGGGGTGGGATGGGGGTGAGCAGGTGCCTGGCGATAGGGGGTTAGGGAGGAGTGATTTGAGGAAGCTGCTGGTCGATGGTGAGTTATATGTTGGTGGAGTTGGAGGAGTGCGAGCTAATGGGACTATAGGACTGCATCTTAGTGGGGAAGGCTACACCATTTTGTGCGAGGAGATGAAGATGGTAATTGCTAGGGAGTATCCTGAGCTTGTGCCGGAGAAGATTCCTTTTGCGCTTTGACCCGGTCTTTCCGGCGTAGCGGAACCGACAGTGTCTATTATGCATGATGTGCCTTGATACAAAAAAGAGCAGCGCTTGCAGATCGCTCCGTGGGTCTCGAATATGCAGAGTCCTGCAGACTTGATAGGTATGCATGTCCTTACGTGGTGGTACCGTGAACATAAAGTAGGACGGGCCAACCGATGTGAACAATGCGCATCTGCGGAGAGTGAAGCCGTTGATGGGACAACCGTCAGATACACCCAACCCGGCCGGCGCTATCTCTAATGGTCCTTGGAATGCGTTTGCGCATATGAATGGGAGCCTTCGCCGGTGTGATGCGAGTCAATGCCTAACATCTAATCCAAGCATATGGGCACCTGAACTTAGAGAAGAGTGACGAGAATTGATTAGATGCTTATCAACAGCAGTCTATTCAGAGGTTGTACCGCTCCTTGTAGCAAGGCTTCTCTCTCCCATTGTCGTGGTAGTCGCAGGGCTCTGTCCGTGATAGAGTCTGCTCAACCTTTCCGGAGGCACACATGGATTGAGCTTCGGGTTCAGTCTAGCGAAGAGGTCGTGGCAAAACTCGAGCGAGGTTTCCGTGCAGTAAATGGATCCATAGTCGTTGCTGTTGGGACCGCGATTATACACATAGACAGCAAGATCCACGGCGAGGTGCCTGTGCGTAGAAAACCTGTGGCTGCAAGGGTACAATTGATGGCCGATCTAGAATGGAATTTCTCGTACTTTACCATCCCGCCGATGACTGCGTCGATAGTTGCGTCTTTGAAGTCGGAGTCCTGTAAAAAGCCGCCGAGGGCGTCGAACTCGCACGGCTGTATGAGCAAGTGTTTCAAGCCTCCTGAACCTCGTCGTCGCAGAATCTTTCCAGTATACAACCACTTTGTAAACACTTGAAGAGGGTTGATTCGGCCCCTGGGAACTTGGCCGTCTGCTCGCTACCTTCTAACCACTCTCCCTGCAGTGCGTTTCTGAAGAAATCGGAGCTCAACTCCAGAAGCGACTTGGCATAGCGAAGAGATGGTCCGATTCACCAACGAGGACTTTGATACGCGCCGAATCGTAACACGGCTTGGCTTGTGTTTTCGGCCCTTGTTTTCACCCTGATCCCGAGTACACGTTTGACCACTCCCGTGAAATCAGGTCAGCTATGATGGGCTGCGCATTAGTCTTGGTAGATCCGATGGGCAGACCCAGTCCGCAGATAGGTGGAGTGGAATGCAGCGCAGCAGCACCCATTTCAGGCATGCACAGCAGAGACAAGCAGGCAAGGGCATGGAGGTATGACGTTGAATATTTTACAGTAGAACCATTTCTCCTTACTCCGCTCCAAACCAGAGCCTCAAAATGAGTTCTTGTAGTACTGCGGCAGACGTTAGCGCGTCCTGCGAATCTGCACCATCCCATGGGCTCAGACATTGAGAAAATCAGCACTCACCCCGGAGGCATTCTTTGCCAGCTTGGTGTCGGTGAGCTTTTCGTTGGGTATCTTCCAGTTGTTCACGCCCCACCACCACCTCCGTATCCGCGCACCGACGCCCCGGCCGCTGAACTTGGCGGAGCGGTTGAGGTGCCTCCAGCCGCTCAACACCAGCGTCCACACTAGGCCTTGTCCGAAACATAGCAGCACGTGGTCCTTGAAAGTGATCCACGCCACGGCCTGCCACGACTCTGCGTGCTCGATGCTCTTTAGGTAGGTCTGCTCGAGGCGCAGGTCGGGAAGCGGCGGCATAGCGTTCCGCCGGGGAATTGGCCGCAAGACACCGAGGGGGACTTCATCTTCGTCTACGTCGGAGGCGTCGGGGTCGGGGTGCACGTCGAGGCGGACGGGCTGCTTCGCGGAAGCGGCCGTGGAAGGATTCAGGTCGTGTCGCGGCGAGGGATGGCGCTTGATGTGTGTGTTCTGCAGCAGCGACGCGATCTCGGAAGTGCCCGGGTTGTCCATGGCTGGCTTGCAACTGGCAGCGCGCGATGCTGGCAGCCGTGGGCAGCGGGCGCGATGATGTCGCTTGCTGTGAAGCGCGGGCGTTACATAAGCAGCCGGCGCGGAGAGGCTAGCGGCTGCGGCTGCGGCAGGGGGTGAGTGGTGAGCAAACAGCGACCCTGGCGGGGCGAGGCCAGCAACAGCAGCTCCCAGTTCCAGGCGACCCCACGACGCCGCCACCCGCACAACACACGCACCCAACACACGCACACGCCGAACCGCTCTCGCACGCGCCGCCACAATGGGAAACCAGCCGTCGGCGATCCTGGACAACATCGCCTCCGGGTCGAATTGTACGCTGCCTCCCCGCAATTCGTGCGCACGCGCGGGGCTGAAAACTGAGGCATCCACTGACACCATTTGGCAGTCGACCGCGACGAGGTGGACCGCCTGCGCAAGCGCTTCATGAAGCTCGACAAGGACAACTCGGGCACCGTCGACCGCGACGAATTCCTTGCCCTCCCCCAGATCTCCTCCAACCCGCTCGCGACACGCATGATTGCCATCTTCGACGAGGACGGCGGCGGCGACGTCGATTTCCAGGAGTTTGTATCGGGGCTGTCCGCATTCAGCAGCAAGGGCAACAAGGAGGAGAAGCTGCGCTTTGCCTTCCGCGTCTACGACATCGACCGTGACGGCTACATAAGCAACGGCGAGCTTTTCATCGTGCTGAAGATGATGGTCGGAAGCAACTTGAAGGACCAGCAGCTACAGCAGGTACGCTTACCCATCTTTGGCATGACCGGGGGCTTCCAGTGAAAGGAAGGTACTGACCGTCGCAGATCGTAGACAAGACCATCATGGAGGCCGACCTGGACCGCGACGGCAAGATCAGCTTCGAGGAGTTCACCAAGATGGTCGAGAGCACCGACGTCACCATGAGCATGACCCTGGACCAGTTTTGATTGTATCATATGGCTTGATCACGACACGGCACGGCATTTCTTGGTTTCTGATCTTTGGCGAGGAGTCTGGGGTTACGGGGCACCACGGGCTGGGCGGGCTCAAGTATCTGATACCACAATACAGGATCAAGATTCTTACTATATGCGATTCCACTTACTTTGCTGCCTCGTTCTGGACGAGTTCCATCGCTGACTCACATAGAGTGCTGGGCGAAATGCCCTTTGTAGCGGTCAGAAAGGTACGACACCAACGCAGAGCAGGGCTGGAGATTGACTACACCAGTCTTGGCGTGTCATACGCCCCGTGCAATTACAGGGGTACAAATCCATCGTTCGCGGCGATAACAAGTGCACGTGAGTGCGGGGTATGGATGCAAGCATGGCCAGAGTGATGTTGTCGCTGGTAGTGTAGGTATGTATCCGATAGACTTGTACGAAACAGTCAAGCCGAGCACAACGTGATCTTGCACAATCATGTCGACCTCGCGCATCATCCAGCTGGCTCAGTTGATAGCCTCTGAAACGCACACGCTAGACGAACACCTCAACGAGAACAAGCTTCCTCAGCCGTCTTTTGCAGCTGGAGCTCCAACCGAACCCTTCCCCCAACCTTCTCCAAGTGTGACCAAGGCGAGGACGAACGTGATAGAAGCCACGATAGAGCTTCGCCAGCTCTTGGAAGGCCCTGTTAAGCAGCTGTTGCCCGAGGTCTGTCTCTCCTAGAATTGGAACTTCATCCAGTCACCGACCAACCTCCAGTCCAACTTCGCGCCTCTCGCCTCTGTCTACCGGTTCAACATCGCCAAGCATGTCCCCGTAGGCGGAACCATCTCCTTCAGCGATCTTGCGGTCAAATGCAAACTTCTCGAGCACGACTTGAAACGCATCATCCGCCATACCTCTATCCACCACCGTGTCTTCGTAGAGCCGGATGAAGGCCTTGTCGCTCACACCGCAGCATCACGCTTATTGGTCGACAATGAACTGATTGGCGACCTGATGGGCCTGACCTTCGCAGAGTGCTGGCCAGCCCACGCTCGTGTGCGTCTCCCTCCCTCCCATATCCCTCTTTCGAGAGCAAACCACCTCCTAACCCACTGCAGGCGCCAGACGCCATCGCCCACCGCAGCGAAGAACCCAACATCTCAGGCTACTCCCTCGCCAACAACACAGACCTCAACATGTTTCAATACCTAGCTGAGCACCCCGACCGCGCCCGCCGCTTCGCAGGCGCCATGTCCTCGACCTCGCCTGCCAGTCTCGATGCCCTGGCCTCGCACTTGGACTGGGCGGCGTTTCCCCCAGGCACCACCGTCGTCGACGTCGGCGGCGCCCAGGGTCACGTCTCGGTGCACCTTGCGCGGCGCTTCCCGGGGCTGAACTTCGTCGTGCAGGACATCCCTGAAGTCATTGACGGCGCGGAGGGCAAGGTGCCTGAGGAGCTCGGGAGTAGGGTGAGTCTGGTTCCGCACGACATGTTCAGCCCCCAGCCTGCGAGGAACGCGGACGTGTATCTCCTGCGGTACGTGCTGCACGACTGGCCCGACAAGTACTGCATCCGTGTCATTGAGAACATCGTCCCTGTGCTGAAGAAAGGCGGGAAAATTGTGCTGCAGGAGCACGTGCTCGCGGAGCATGGGTCGCTGGGGTTGTTGGCGGAGATGCAGGTGAGGTGAGTAGAGCGGACCTGAGTCGAGTAGAGATCTGGTGATTCCGAGTGTAATGGCTGACGGGCATAGGTCGATGGATGCGATCATGATGTCGCTGTTCAATTCTCGAGAAAGGACGGTCGCGGATTGGGAGGATGTGTTTGCGCGGGCGGGCAAGGGGGGTTTCGATGTCAGTGTCAAGAGAGTGGAGGGGAATGCAGCGACGGGGGTTGTGGTCGCGGAGTGGCGGGGGAGTGCGTGAGTAGCTAGCTAAACTGTAAACTGTGGTGCTTTTACATGGTTGCCTTTGTTTAGGGATCCGTCAAGGATGCGAGCATATACAGAGAATCGAAAGCCAACTACACCGTCGATTACGGGGCTATTCCATTAGCAACGCTAGCACCTAGAGCACACCTACCACCTCCGTACAGCCTTCAACCTTCTCCACCAGTCCCGGAGCATCCACGCGTCGAACTCCGTGACCTCCATCGCACTGCCAGCCATCATCACAAAGCTCGTCTGCCCCTCAGGAACCCAGTCGTAGAAATCGAGCAGCCCAAATCCGTGCCCCATTTCGTGCTGCAGAATGTGAATGTTCTCGGTATCCAAGTTGTCAAGCACGTAGTCCGGCGCGAGTTCCTCGCCCCAATTGTATCCGTAGCCCGCGTTCTGGCCCTCGAGCGACTCGTCCAGCCAGAGGGAGATGTCGTAGCGGCCGGCAGCGCCGCTCGGGCAGCCGGAGAGGTCGCCATCCAGGTGGGCGGCGCGGTAGCAGCGGGGATCGCACTCTGGGACGCCGTCTGCGTCGACGGTGGTGTAGACATCAATGGCAGAGGTGTCTCCCTCGATCATTGACTTATCCTTCGTTGCGTACCCGACGACCTTGACAGCGAGCGTGGTGAGTGGGAACCCATCAAAGCCGACGAGCGTATCGAACCACTTCTTCAGACTGCGCTGGAGGCCAGCCTCGATTTTCGTGCGGTCGGAGGCAGTGCTCTTGTGTGCGGCGGTGTTCCAGCGCACGCAGTAGTTGATAGAGCCGTTATTGGCGATGAGCTGGTCCATGATCCAGTTCTTATCGTCGGACCAGTTTGGGTTTTCTTGGAGAGTGCGTGCCCAGACTTGGTCGAGGCCAGTAGTCATGCTGGAGGGAGGGTCCCATGTAGTTGCGGAGGGGATGTCGGCGCGGGACTGTAAGCTGCGGGCAAATGCTTTCCCTTCGTCAATAGAGCAGATGCGCTTGTCAATTTTCTTGATGTTGTCCAGGTGTTTGATGGTAGGGTGTGCCAATGCACCCATCGTTAGGGCCGAGATGGCCAGCATAAAATTGAGTTGGACCATGATGAAAGAGTAAACGAATGACGAAAAGGGGATGAAGAAAAGAATGGAAAGCAGACAAAAAGAGCGGACAAACCAAGGATGGATGCCTACTGCCTGAGGTAGTTCATCTATTTAATGTATTATCCCGTCTTCATTTCTCGTTCTTCCTACTCATCCGTCAATGAAACATGCTAGAAGCATTTTCGATAAGCATTGCAAGCAAAAGAAGCCTAGAGTCGTCTGTTTGCAGGATGGGAAGTTGTCGAATTACGTTTTCCAGTCTAAGGGAGCGGGAGCTACGTTAACGCTGTCAAAAGTTTCATCCAAAGCGAGAACTGCGTATATTCCGTGCTTGGCGCGTTTATAGGGGGCTGAGAAAGAGAATTGCGCCGTAAGTTTCCACGTTGGTGGTGCGGGGACCACGTCGTGAGCAGTCGGTGGTGTTTGCGCTCGGCATGTTTCATCCGCCACTCAGCGTCTAAAGGGACTCCGGATTTTCTCCGAAAGGCATGACGGCAGCTGCGATGATGATTCTTCGATGATTCGATCTCGCATTACACAGATGGAATTGCGTGCTTGCTGAGACTCTGTTGCCAGGAGGCCCGAATGTGATCGCTCGACTACCGGCGATACAGAGCTAGACCTAAGTTGCAGGAACCTGCGGTGAATCAAGTCAACTCACGATTCAGAATCGAAAATCCATACTCAATGAGTATATGGTTGTACTGCTAGTGCTGGCATGAACAAGCCTTCTGCGAAACTGAATTCAGCAAAGAATCTTAGCAGGTGTGAACAGCAGGCACGCTTCAAAGACTCGGTGCAATCAAGCATGAGAAGTTGATGCAGACTGCCATGCACGAATGAAGATCAATTACAGGGTGAAGCCCGGGGGCTTCCAGGCGCGTGGAAGCGTCACGTGCCGACGCTCGCAGTAAGCTTTCGCTAAGCCTTGTTCGGATAGACATCGATCTTAGCGCGTGAAGCCAGAATGGTGATGTTTGGATATCTCGAACATCCCGCCGCCATCGCCCCTCCCCAACTTTCTGCACACCGAACAAATCCCGCCCATCCTACACTTCCGCTCGAACGCGCATCGAATAAAACACATCCGTTCTTCCCCATCTGCGCCAGGCCCCGCGCATTATGCCGCGCCCGAAGCGGACCAGAGTCGCGTCCACAGCGGCACGCGTCATGAAGCCGACTAAGGCCGCACAACCTTCTGCTGCCCAGCAACAACCGGAATCGCGCAAGTCTGCAGCGCCAAAGCCAGTGGAGGTCGCTAGTGAGGATAGTGACGGCCTTGTCATAAAAGCGACGCGTGCGCGGGGGCGTGCACCACGAGTGGAGTTGCAAGAAGAGGTGGAACTCACAATGACCGGCGCAATCCCTGTCGCTAGCGAAACGGAAATCTCCAGCAAGAATCATACACCTGTATCACAAGCAAGAAGAACTAGAAAGTCTATGGGCAGCGCGCAAGGATCTTCGAGCAAAAGATCGCTGAAGGAGACTGTACCTGCACAGTCGTGGTCGGCGCAGAAAGATACAAGTCATGTGGCGACTGGAGAGGGCGATAGCAGTGGATTTGGCGACCACCTGCTGTCTTTCACGTCTTTGGGCTCTGATTCACCCGCCCACGGAACTCGACCACCATCCGCTATCAAAGTGGGCGCTACGCCTGCGCACGAGCGATCAATTCTAGCTTTGACGAACTTCAAGCGAAGGCCCAGACAGCCTAGTCTGTTGCGCATGGTTAATCAGACGATCGATGTGGAAGACAATAACAGTGACCATAGCAATATGGACTTGTACGAATTAGATGACTGTAAGCACTACAAGCATGCGAACCATTACCAGGCTTTTGCTTACCGTACTGATCTGCAGTCCATCCAAACGCCGAATCTACACCGCTCCCTAAAACGCAGAATGCTGCAGGAAAAGAAGGTGCCACTGACAGCGGGGTGAATCTTTCCAGTTCCAGTTCGCGCGGAACTAAGCGCAAACTGTCTCCCGTTGTCCAGGTACCACGGTCTTCACCGCCTTACGATCCTCCCTCTGGCCCGGACATTGAGTCGCGGTCACCCTCACCAAGTCTACCGGATGTTGTACGGAGTACTGAGGAAGAAGATGATCAGAACGAAGGGGATGGACGTGCGGACGACCAAGTCTTCAGCGAAACTATGGCACCACCAATGTCAAGCAGCGACTACAATATCGAGGACGTAGAGGACCCACAGGACGCGCCAATGGCCCCAAAGCGGACAAGACGGAAGGCAGCACTAGCGCAAAAAGATGTCGAAGAGTCAGAAGGTGAGGATACGGATCGCCCAAGGCCGTCGAAAGGAAGGAAAAAACCGGATCGCGAGAAAGGCATATCCACCGCAAAACTTCAAGCTATGCTCCCGAAGCGCCGGACGAGGGCCACTCGCGATGACTCCGAGTCCGAGAGCCCAATCGCTTCAGATGAAGATGAGCTTTCCATGCCATTACACCGCCATGCACGGCTGGCTAAGAAAATTGCGGCTCCAAAAGCGCCCAAGAAGTCGACTCGCGGTACAAAGAAGACTGCTGCGACAACACGCAGAGCTCCCAAAGGCTCTAGAACCTATGGTCGACGCATATCGTCTGACAAAGAGAATGAAGGCAGAGCTGAGGCAGACGAAGACGACGACGAGTCCGGAGGAGACACGGCTCGAGAGACGAACGAGAAGCCCTCATCGCACCTGGAAGCGATGGCGAAGAAGTTTGCCGATATCGACGATTTTGATTTGGACTTCGAAAGCGTCAGCTATGTGCAAACCAGTTCAAGTCCCTGGCGGTAGCATGGGTCTGCTTGTTTGCTTTTGCATCATGAGGCTGCTCTGTTCGCGTTTGTTGTTATGGTGCTTTCCTGACGGTTGATGAATGACTTTACAATGGTCGGTCTCGCAAGAGATGGTGCTGCCACCGGATGGTCGCTATACTTGTTGGTTTCGAATGATGAGCTTGAACGCTTTCGAGCATTAGAACTTGAACCTGGAACACTTATGAGTGCGTGACGACCGTTGCTGTAATAGAACAAAGTGGCCATGTGTATGGGTAACTCTGCGACAAGGACTGTTGTTCGACGGCCGGTGGTGGAGCCAGTGTGATAACCGCGAGCATGCTCTTATCTGTACATTCTTAAGAAATCTCAAACACAAAATGGACGGAAGATGTGCTCGGGCAGCAAAACAAGGCCACCTGGCCATGATGAGACTCCCATCATATACAAAATGCAACTTGCGGACTGGTGAGAAGGCGTCGGAGACGGACGACTGGCTGCGGCTGTTTTAGGGGTCCCAAGCCGGGAATGTCGGTCGCTCGGTCTTGGTTTGGCGCTATTGAGCTACGTACGTCGTGTCGCGGCTGCGGCTCCCAAGCTGCCTCACAACTGCACGGCACTCAGCTATTGTCTGCACTTCGCCCGAGCATGATTCTATAGCCTGTATGCCATGCGCCTTCGCAGACTTCGCGATCGCATCCTGTCCTATGCTGCTCCCCTCGCACCTGCACCGCGCGGCTTTAGAGTGCCATGAACCCCACCAATGGCTCTCCCTCGTCCAAGAGCAGCTCCACGCCTGCGACGTCGACTTTGCGCCCACGGACACGCCGCTTGATATCAGTTGAAGATGACTTGAACCCACCCGCCAGCAGCGCCAGGACGTCTCCATTTGGCTCCCGCGCCGTCTCGCCCACTCCCGGCGCCCGTGCCCCAAGCTACAACGCCGCTCCGGCGCCCGCGTCCTCGTTCGAGCGCTCGGGTTCGCAGTCACTACGAGTTGGAAGAGACGCCCAGAAAACTCTATCAGGATTATGGGGAAATTCGTGGTCCGCTATTCAAGGCTTGGCAACCAATGTGCTCGGCAACGAGGCAGGCGCAAAGGACACATCAGCAGCCACAAGAAAGCGGAAACCGTTGCTCGGCTCACACCGTCGCACTTCCACCAGCGCGCCGCCCAAGCAATGGGGTCCCTCAGCTTCATCGACTGCCCACGTGGGCGCCGGCTCACAAGAAGAGAGGGAGAGCATGGTTCGGGCAATGAAACGCAAAGACCTGCTTCTTGCTGACAGCCATATGGCAGACTCGGTCGGCCGTCTAAAGAGAAGGAATTCTGACGATCGCATGAGCTCGTCGGCGCCGCCTGGAGAAAACGAAGACCGCGACGCCCTCATATACATCCACAACGTGCGCCCACAGGACACACTCGCGGGCATTACGATCAAGTTCAATTGCCAGCCTGGGGTGCTCCGGAAGGCCAATCGCATGTGGCCCAATGACAGCGTACAGACGAAGAAGATCATTGTGCTGCCCGTAGATGCGTGTGGAGTGAAAGGGCGCCCCGTGGCGGGTCCTGATGGCCACCAAGACGGAGATCTGCTCCTTGGAGACTGGAGCAATGACTCAGAAGACAGCTCCAATGGTCTGCCCAACAGCTGGACCGCATTGAGACCCAAGGCCTCCGACACGTCGTCCACGCTCTCACCTTCGGTGTCCAATGCCGACTCAGAACCACCATGGAAACACGACTCTTGGGTACTCTTGCCCAACGATACAGAACCAATAGAGATAGGCCGCATGCCGCGAAGAGAACTGGGCTTCTTTCCTCCTGCCAGACGGAAGTCTATCGTCTTCTCAGATGCATCGACACCGAGAGCTTCCGTTGACATGCCACGGTCTTCCACCTCGACGAGCACGCACTCTCCCACTACCAGTATCTCACGACCTCGAGCATCGAGCAATCTGTCCACTGTATCCGCACCGTACCAAGGACGCCCTCGAAATACATCAGGATTTCATCTGCATGGACCGGGAGGCGTAGGGACAATGGGCAAGAACGTGCGAAGTCCTGGTCCTGGTCAAGACCCCCTGAACAAAATGTTTGCTGCGCATCTTCCCAACGTCGAACCGCCGCCGGATCAGGAGTACTTCACGCCTTGGGCACCAGGTCTGCTCGAGGCCGATTCTGGGAGGGTACACCATGGCGGCTCAGGTGCACTTACTCCGTCGGGAGGGGCGGGCTTAGATTTACAAGAATTTGGCGGCGCCATCGAGGGATGGGTACGCAAAGTGGGCACGCAAGCATCGAAGCTCTTGACGGAACCATCGACACCCGGACAAGGCAGGCGATCTGCTGTCCCTGTCATCGGAGCGGTGGGAGGTGATCTAGGCGATCTGATTGAGCTACGGGACGATGCCTTTGAGATAGGAGACGGGGAAGAGGATAGAGGAAGGACAGGAAGAAGCGACTCTCGCACACCAACGAACGAGCAGTACCAAAGCGCAAGGCCTGACTTCAACCTTGTGCTGCGGGCTAGACAGCCGAAGGGACGCAGCAGCAAGAACGATTGAGATCATCCCATGAATTGTGGCTAGAATTGACGGAGTTTTGGAACACGCATTCAGTTGGATGGCACCAACGCAGGGTTTGAGCGTTCTGGCGCAGGGGAGTAGGGTTGATTTTGTTATATACCTGTAACAAGCTTACGGCTGCGCTTTATCCCTAGACAAATGACATGTTAGTGCGGACATTGATTCATGTGCATTGTTGCTCCTTCGGCGTACCGAAGGCCAGGTCTCGTGACCTAGCTTGAATGGCCAAATAATGCCCCGTGCTTGATCTCAAATTCAATTGAGCTTCCGCATCCGGTGTCATGACATCCCATCTATCTAATTGATGAACTCTGTGTGTCGCTTGCGCGCTTGCGCGACGCCTCTGCCGCGGTCCAATGTTGGAAACGGCAGGTGGTTTCTTCCACGGCCAGCGGCGGCTTTCTCTCGCCGGTCCCACTCCACGGCACCCTCACTTCGCATAGCCTCAATCCCAAACTCCACTTGCTTGGCTTCACCACAACACAGCAAGATCGCCAGAGCAAAGAATCGCCGAGGAGCGCTGTATTCCACCATGCACAAAGCGCCTGCCGCCAAGATCACGGTGCCAATGACGGATCCAAATGTTACGATCAGAACGCCAAGAGATCCGAACACGCTGTCCAATTACCACAATTTCCTGACGACACACACGGTAGCGGAGTTCGAGATCGACTTTGAGAAGAAGGTGCTCAACGGGGGGGTAGAATTGACGTTTGAGAGTCTGACGGACGCTGAAGCCAAGGAGCTCGTATTGGATACCAGGTCGGTGTTCCCCTCTCCGCGATTTGAAAGGGTCCAGCGCCAACGCGCCACGTACATTCTGTAATGCTGACATGTTTGTACAGTTTCCTGGACGTCAAGGATGTCAAGCTTGATGGGAAAGACGTCGAGTGGAACTTGGGTGAGCGCATTGAGCCGTATGGTGCCCCCTTGACCGTCACGCTTGACAAGGGTGTACCGAAGGGCGAGAGCATCAAGATCGCGGTCAAGGTCTCAACGACAGACAAATGCACAGCACTGCAGTGGATGACGCCGGCGCAGACGTCGAACAAGAAGCATCCCTACATGTTCTCGCAGTGCCAGGCAATCCACGCACGCTCCGTGTTCCCGTGCCAGGACACGCCCGATGTCAAGTCGACATTTGAGTTCAAGCTTCGATCACCGCTACCTGTTCTTGCTTCTGGCCTCCCTACAGGATCTCACCAGTACGAGGCTGGGAAGGACGACAAAGCTGGAACTCTGCTGTACACATTCGAGCAGAGGGTTCCCATCCCGAGCTACTTGTTTGCGGTGGCCAGCGGCGACATTGCCGCTGCTTCCATCGGCCCGCGAAGTCTCATCAACACTGGCCCGGAGGAGCTCCTCGAGTGCCAGCGTGAACTCGAGGGCGAGATGGAACCCTTCATGAAGGCGATCCACTCCATCGTCAAAGTGCCCTACCAATGGACCCAGTACAACTGCCTAATCTTGCCGCCTTCCTTCCCCTACGGTGGCATGGAAAACCCAGTGTGGACATACGCCACGCCATCCATCATCTCCGGTGATAAGCAAAACATTGATGTCATTGCACACGAACTTTCGCACTCTTGGTCTGGCAACTTGGTCAGTGCAGGAAGCTGGGAGCACTTCTGGCTCAACGAGGGCTGGACGACGTATCTTGAGCGCAGAATTGCGGGCTATCTGCATGGAGAAGAGCACCGCCACTTCTCCGCCATCATTGGCTGGAAAGCCCTGGAAGACTCGATCAAGAACTACGGGGAAGACCACGAATACACAAAGCTTGTCATTGATCTCAAGGGCAAGGACCCGGATGACGCTTTCAGCTCGATCCCCTACGAGAAGGGCTTCCATGCGCTCTATGCATTTGAGCTTCTGCTAGGCAAGGATAAGTGGGACACGTTCATTCCGCACTACTTTGACACATTCAAGTTCAAATCGCTCGATAGCTACGACTTCAAAGCGTGCCTTATCGACTTCTTCGCCAAGGACGCAGAGGCCGCGAAGAAGCTTGACGAGTTCGATTGGGATAAGCTCTTCTACACCCCCGGCTTCCCGAAGAAGCCCGAGTTTGACGATACGATGGTCAAGACGTGCTATGAACTCGCCTCCAAGTGGGAGGCACGCGTCTCAAAGAAGGAAGCCTCCTTCGCCCCTAAGGCTTCTGATATCAACGGCTGGGTAGCCAATCAGTCCGTCGTGTTCCTCGAACGCCTTCAAGCCATTTCCGAGTCCTTCACGCCTAAAGACGTACAACTGCTTGGCGAGACTTACGGCTACACGACTACGAAGAACATCGAAGTCCTCAGCCGGTTCTTGACAGTCGGGCTGCGCGCTAAGGCGGAGGAGACGTACCAGCCCACGGCGGAGCTTTTGGGCAGGATTGGACGGATGAAGTTTGTGAGGCCGCTCTTTAGGTTGCTGGAGAAGGTAGATCGCGATCTCGCGCTCAAGACGTTTGAGAAGAACAGAGACTTTTACCATCCGATTTGCAGACAAATGGTGGAGAAGGACCTGTTTGGGGAAGAAAAGAAGTGAATGGTGGAATAGTACATCTTGGATACAGTTGAAACAAGAAGACACAATCTCAAGGATATAGAGCTTCTTTCTTCCGTCGTTTATATGGTTAACACTTTTTTGCAGTCTTGGCTGAGGCATGCCACGCGCAGAATAGGATACAACGGCGCCGAAGTAGGTGTCAAAGAAAAGTTTTCCACAATGAAACCGACAGCGAAACCGCAAAAAAAAACGAGGTCGTGCCCGGAATCGAACCGGGGTTGCCGGAATGTCCTGAGATGATCAGAATCCGGAGTGATAACCGCTACACTACACAACCGAGTGAATGTGCTAAACACGTGCGCTTGCGTGATTTCATGCGGCCAAACGTTAATCAAAGTATATATGTACACGGTGTCTGGTAGAACCTGTGACGACTGCGTTCATCAAAATCAACAGCCGCAGCACCTTGTGATCGCGACGTCGCTTGCTACTCAATTTTTCATGCGGAGGACCCACACGTTCCACTCCTGGACGTTATCGATTAGCATCCGCCGCCACAGGGCACCAGCGGCACTTGGGACCTTTGATCTTTTGGTCCTTTCCCTTGCAATGCCCACCAAAGATCATCGGCCCGAGTGCTGACCATACCAGCGCCGAACTTTTTTGGTGCTCCAAACTACTCCGAATGCTTACACGAACTCGAGAGCCTTAAGATTATTGCCGCCTCCGATCCTACCCCAACTACTCCAACTACAACGGTACCGCGATCGACTCCCCATGTTGATCGCATTGACCACGCAATGGATTTGTAACCATTACCATTGCAGCTTCATGCGTATAGCGGGGACCCCGCGGTTGCGGTGACGTAGACAGGGTTCATATACATCCCCACACCCACACGCATTCACCTTGGTAGAGCAACAGCAATTCCCTCGCAGCCTCACTCAAACAGCACCACAAAGCGCAGCCATTGCAGAGCTCAACATGACGTCCTCGCTCAAACCCCTCATCCTGCACGCCCACGGCACGGGCCCAAACCCCTACAAAGTCGCCATCGCCCTCGAGCTGCTCTCCCTCCCCTACACGGTCAAGCTCTGGGACTTTGGCGACGCGCCCAACGGCGTCAAAGGCCCCACCTTCACAAAGATAAACCCCAACGGCCGCGTCCCCGCGCTAGAGGACCCGAACACGGGCATCACCTCCTGGGAGAGCGGCGCGTGCCTCAACTACCTTGTGCGCACGTACGACAAGAAGACCGTTTTGGGTCCCAAGGACGACGAGAAGAGCAGGGTCGAGCAGGAGCAGTGGGTGTTTTTCTTGGTCAGCACGCTGGGCCCGATGATGGGGCAGGTCAATTGGTTCAGGCATTACCACCCGGAGACGATTGAGGGCGCACTGAAGCGGTATGAGGAGCAGGCGTACCGGTGCTTTGGGGTGCTGGAGGAGCAGTTGGGTAGGAGCGGCGGGAAGTTTGTTGTCGGCGGGGAGAAGCCGAGTGTCGTTGATGTGCATTTCTATCCGTGGGTGTACCAGTATGGGTTTGCGGGGTTGTCGTTGGACGAGTATCCCAAGGTCAAGGCGTGGTTGGAGGGGATTGGGGGGTTGGAGGCGGTGAAGAAGGCGTATGAAAAGGTTCCGAAGGGGGAGAAGGCTTGATTTGGGCGTGGAGCAAGTTGGGTATGTACCATATAAAAAGAGCTGAGCTGAGGATCTAGAGATGCATATACTACAGAATCAAACACCAAATCCAATCACATATACAAATCTCAACGCCATCGTTACCATAGTTCGTATCATCAAAAAGGCGCTTTAGCCACCTCTGCGGCAACACCAACAACGTAACAGAACGCACTCGCCCAAATCGCAGTCCTGACCACACCACCCACACCTAAACCCCCTCTCTTCTTTCCTTCCGGCGCCTCCATATTCTTCTTCGACTTATTCACTTCCTTGTGATACTCATCCGCCTTCTTCCGCCTCTCGGCAAAGTCGTGGTCTAGATCCGATCCCAGGCTCACGAAGCCTGTTGGACTCAGCGTCGTGGTGCCGTCAACGGGGTTGATGCCCTTCCAACCCTCTGCTTCCTCGGCGTCTGTCTTGTCAACGCCCGGTCTGTCCACGGTGGTCGTGGTGTTCTTCTCGGCCGTTGCATTGAACGGCGAGGCTGTCCGTATGCTCAGCACATCTGGCTTTACTTGGAGTACGTGAAATGAGTCTGGGAGGTGGTCCACGAATTTAGCGGGGTGGGAAAGGGTGGCGAGCGCTTCGTGCATGGGGATGGGCGTGATAGATGGGTTGGGCTGTGGGACTTGTGACGTGGTAATGGAGAGCTTGTCTGTGTCTGCGTTGTAGATGAGTGTCCTGTAGGATATGGGGACGTATGTATCGGTTGGAGCATCGTAGCTATACTCGTTGTCAGGAGTCACGGAACCGGCCTGAGTTCCACTGGTTGCCTTGTCGATAATAGAGATGTGCTGCTCTATTCCGGTAGATTCTAGCGACTTTTCTTCAACAGATTTTGGATCCTCTGTAATCAGAGGCCGCAATTCCTCAAGCATCGTAGGCTCATTGACAACATCCTTATTCAGCTCTGTTTCGCATTCAGCTGTGCTTTGTGTCGTTGCACAATCATCGTTGGGCAGAGAAACGGAGTCATGTTTGTATGCTAGAACTTCACCGGTAATGGTAGGTGAGACCTCGTCTTCCTTGAGCATCTGTATCGACGGTTGTCCCTGGGCCATCTCGGTTTCTGGCATCTTTGCAACTCCCTCCACGGTCGCTGCCGGTGTTTCCGCAGGCGAGACCTGCCAATGATCCACAGTGATCGCCCCGTATGTGTCCTCATACGCCTTTTTGACCTCCTCCACGAGCGACCTATCATTCCTCTCCTTCTTGGCCGCTTTGACGGCGTCGTTTTCCGCGGCGTCTGCATCTTTGCCAAGGCTATTCAGTTGCAAGCCGAATGGCCTGAACAGGCTATGTGCTAGCGGAGCCGGGCTATCGAAGGACTTCCTGAACAAAGGCTTTTGCGGGTGTTTGTACCCGTCATCAGACAGACCACGCATTGCCGCTTTCTGCTTGCTGACTTCGTCTCCCAACTTCGCCTCCGCGGCGATGGTGTCGATGGCCTGCTTCGGAGGAATTTCTCTAGCAGCTACAGGTGCGACTGCTTCTACGACTGAAGGGTCGGAAAGGTGGACAGTCGACTCGTCACTCTTCCTTGGCACCAATTCTTCCGCCTCTAGATTGATACCTAGGACCTGGATTGCTCTCGACACCAACCTCGAAAGCGCAAGCTGAGTATCCTGCAGTGTCAGAAGCCTGTGGAGCAACTCGCGAGCTACGAGCCCGTCCGAAGTTCCAGCCTCGACCTCGATACGTCCTTGTAGCCCAAAGATCGCCATGCGCGTGAGCTTAGCGTTCTTGCGAAGGACTTCGGAAGCATGTCTCAGACGCTTCCGCTGAAGGAATGAAGGTTTCAGATCGTTCTTCATGCCGTCAACAGCTTCACAGGCCTTCTTGTACTGCTTATCAGTGTCCAAGAGTTCCTGCCTAAGCTTTCCGATCCGTTTATGTGCTGCAGCTTTCGCGGCATCGGCATCTGATGCGTCCTTCAAGGCGGAAGGCAAATCCTTATAAAGTCTCACTGCCCCAGCAGAGGCTTTGATTTCGTCCCTGTTCAAGCGATCCACCAGCTCTTGAGTTGCGGGAACGTCGTCAACGAGTTCGTCCTTGATGCTTGCAAACGCCCGACGACCCTTCAGAACACCGATGCCGATGCCCTTCAAGAACTGTTCGTCGGCGTTTGACAGTTGGCCTGCCACCAATTGTACCGGATCCTGCCAGAAGTGCTGCGCAAACACGTTGCCACCGTTGTGTAACCATCTGGACATGAAGTCGAGACTGGTTTCGAGAACGGATATTGGTTTCGAAGTGGGATCATCCTTCTTTTGTTCCGCCGTGCTTTCGCTTGGGTGAGTCTCAGTTGATCTGGGCTGCTCTTGCGCCGGCGTCATCTGGCTCGTCTTCCGCCGTACAAACTGGCCATTCACAACCTGTGCTTCTAGCAAAGGATCAATTTCCGGGGTGTCCTTGATATACTCTTCCTCAAGCTTCTGTCTGACAGCAGCTTTGTCCTCGCGATTGCCTTTCGTGCGACCCATCGAAGCGCGCACATCGTCGGCAGTTAGGAAGTCTATATCATCCTTTGGCAGCTTCTTAAGGGCGTCCAAAGTCGACTTACGAGGGCTGGAAGATGTCTCGGCATCGTCCTGCCCGAAGTTGATGTCCGTGTCCAAGCTCGAAAGCTTGATATCCGCAAAGTCATCAAATTCTTTCGCTGCACGTTTGCTCGACGGTAGTACCCAGTCATCCGTCTTAATCCTTGGATACGGGGAGAATCTAAACTTGGGCTTGTTTCCAGACTCCTCCAGAACATTAGTCACCCCCGGGTGTTGCTTCACTTCTTCACTGGTCTCTTCCACCCTGCTCTCAAACTCTTCAACCTCTCTCCTGCCCATCCGCGAACTGGCCGTGCCATTGAAGTCAATCACGGCTTTATGCGCAGTTGCTTCTAAGTTGTCGTTAGACTTGGCAGGAAGTCGCGCTCTCTGTTCACCTCCAGCATTGTTCCTGTCGCGAGCCCTATCCTTAGTCGTCACATCAATAACAGGAACAGCAGTCTTCCTTCTCGATCCTGAAGCGGGGCTCCACACGGCTCTACGCTCTAACGCAGTCTGTCGCCAGTCCTTGTTGTTTCCGGGCTCGGAAAGTTCGGGAGCTGCTCCCATGCTGCCTGCGAGAACCTCCTTGCCGAGGATGTTGAATGTGTCCGCTTGATTTTGCTTTGCAGGAGCAGGCACTGATTGTCGTACTTTCTCGGCACATGCACTGCTAGCTTCGCTGGACGTACTAGAAGTCTGCTCCTGTGCCGTTGGTTCTTCCGCAATTTGTCGGTCTTTGCGAAGCCCCTGTACGATATCCTCATGTAGAGCTCCAGGTGTTTGGGACGAGCTCAACGGCTGCTCGCGTGGCCAGCGAGAATCTGACGGGCTCTTCACTGCATCGTTCCCAGGGTCATTTCGAAACCTTCTATCCTTATCCCAAGGCTGTTCGGATAACTTTTCGCGTTCTTTCGTCTCGCCATGTTCATTGTTCTCAATCTTCACCTTCTTTGGATACTCTTTCCCAACCTTGTCCTCGTGTGCCTTACTCTTACTTTCATCACGCAACCCCATATCCTCCAACATCCACTTCGGAAAAGCCTTCTGCACCCACTCGAGCCCCCTCCTGTGCATCTCCCTCTGCCTCTCAATATAGCCCTCCAGTCCATGTCCCCTCTGCATCTCCTCGCTGGCGCCGGCGTGAAACCCGTAAGGGCCCTGCTCGATGCGCTTCCTCCATCGGCGGAGGTGTCGTTGCCGCATCCACTCGAGGTCTGACATGCACTCGGGCTTCTTTCCATCCGTGTTGTCCGAGTCGTCATTGTGTCTCGCAGAGGCGGCGCTGGTCGGGGAGAAGCTGCGCGAGGGGCAGAGGGCCGAGCGGCTCGAGCGGCGGATGGGGCTGCGAGGCCACAGCGTGGGATCGCGGCGCAGCATCTTGGAGAGGACGGGAAGGGAGAAGCCGGGGGAAGTATTGGAGGTAAGGTGTAGACCGCGCGGGTGGCGCCTAAGAGCTCGGCGGTGGCTGAAGGCCGTTCGGATGTTTATATCGGTTCGAAGGCCGAGTCTCAGACGGGTACCAGTCGACCAGTTTGTACAGGCATTCGGGTCGTGTCGAGGTCCGTGGCGGTACCTTCGAGCGTTGGTCTCGTTGTCGCCCGGTGAGATCACGGGCCCGTCAAAGAAGGGCAACCAACAGCTGCTCGACCGGGGGTGGCGGCACACAATCACTCAAAAGCCAATCATGGGTATCTCAGGACACTGAGCTGCATACTACAGCAGATCATGAGAAAAAGTGTACATGAGAGAAAGTGTAAGCGTCCACGACACGACCCCATCCATCCGTCTCGGAGCTAAGCTTGTCGCCGATGCGCCTATCATGGCTCGCGGGGTACTTGATGCATTACGCCCACCTGATCACGCATTCCCTCTCTCCGAACGGCTTGTGGCCCCAGCCTACTTGTGCCACAGCTCCTCCTCCGGTATGGACGTGCTCTGCTGTTTTGGTTGTGCTGCACATTGTCTTCTGTACGAAAGGCGCCCACGACGCGTGCAGCTCTCCCCGCATTGCGATAAGGCGATAAGGCCGAACGATACGCCAAGCTTGGCGGTTCGCGGCAGGCTCGTCCCCCACATGCATGCGGGCGCCGGCCCCGTGGAGTGGGTCGAGGGTGAACGCTTGCATCCATCTGGGAGACCTAGCAACGGGATGCCAACGAAGAGGTGATACTCTTCACATAGGTCGCTGCCTCAGAAACACGAAATCGATGTCACGGCAGATACGAGGCACTGGTGTGCGACTATTATGAGATTGATGATTGGGGGCATATGTCTATAAAGTACATAACAAGTTGATAGTAGTCTAATCGTATTTATAACTATTTCGATCGTAATTAATAATTTATGGACCTTTAGTTGAAAAATATCGTTTATTCTGCAGGTTGACTGCTGTACGTATGTGCTGCAGCGCAGAGCGCCGGTGCTTGACACGGAGAAGAGCAGCAGACGCGTTGTTGCCCTCGGAGGAGATCCTCGCAGAGCAGGACAGCCTCCTTGCAAAAGCGCGCGCATGCCTATGTCACAGCGCCGTGTAGCTTGTGCAACAGAACAACCTGTTGGAATCTTGGGTGGGAGTGCTTTAGGTGCAAAGAGAGACCGGAACTGTTTTCGATAGAGAGCGTGATGACGACCAAAGGCGGAGATGCGCCAGTGAATGTTGAGTTGTAAAGGCAAGTGGGTGGAAAAGGTGGACGGGCCACCAGTTATATGGCGTCTGCGTGTCATACAGGCTGGGACTGCGATCGATGTGGCTGTTCGGCTGGGGCTGACCCCACGGTAGGGTCCTAACATGACATCCCCCTCTGCAATGCGGAATCCGACTCAACGGGGATCGATCCATCAAGAATACATACAGCTTCCGCAGATTGGCTCCCATCCGTGCCTGGGGCTGAGATTGCCTGTAGGGAGTCTGTGTCGATGCTCACCTCTGCCGGTCACATGTCAAGCATCCTAAGAAAGTGGGATTAGTTCCTGTATACACCTGCTTCGGATATCTCTCGAAGCAGCCTTTCTTCCTCATCTCTGCGAAGTGGAAACCAGATCTGAGGCAAAGCTTGATTTCTTGATAGTGAAGCCTAGTGTAACTTAGGTTACTATATGTGTCTCGAACTTCAACATAATACATTATCTCCGGTGTCCACCTTTACGTGAGAGGCCATGTTCTCTCCTGCGCGGCTGGGTGGGGTCGAGCAAACGATATCCTCTACGTATGCCTCAGCCGCGATACGACCTCTAATATATAAGTACAGAATTAGATTCGCTAGTGGCAATTATTGCAAGCTACGTCTATCATCTGAATGAGATGGGAAGGCTTGGATGACCTGGAGCAGCTGGGTTTCTGTTCAATTTACCGAGACCGTAGTTGATCGCCGCGGCGATTTCCTGGTTGTTCTTCTCCAGAAACATGAAATGCGCATTGCCCTTGATACCAATGTCGGCAAGCTTGATCCACTGGTAGTTGGTGAGACCCATCTGCTTGAAGTACTCGACGAAGCAATGGTCGTACGTGATATGCGGGCTGGCCTCGCCCGTGATCATAATGTAAGGCACTTTGCTGAGCTGGGTGAGCTTGTGGATGGTGCCAGTCTGGAGAATGCAGGAGCGCTTGGCCGGGTCGTCTGGTCCAACCTCAGCGGTGGTGATGGTCGAGCAGTTCGTTACTGGTGGATCGTACTGCAGCGATGTGTATGTGAGACCACAAGGCCGAGCAGCGGTACGACCGACCCCAGCAACGGTGGCGTTTCCGATCAAAGAAGTAAATGGGATGTTGCCAGGCTCAATGTTGATGTTGGCACGCAGCAGATCAGGGCATGCGTCTGACCAGATTGCTGTATAAGTGCAACCAGCAGAATGGCAGACTGTGTATGACTGGCCAATCATGCTGAGAAGCTGGCATCCAGATGTGCGCATAGTGTTCTCCACGTTCACATTAGATGAAGAGATAGGAACGTTGGCGGCAGTGAAGGCGTCAAAAACGGGATCTCCACGAGATCCGTTGCCGGGCCACTGTGTATGTACGTTTGCCTGTGGGTACTGGTCGAAGTCTTCCGGGGCTGTGAAGCCCTGCTCATTGATGATGTCTGTGGAACCAATGCGTAGAGGGTACTTTGAGAGGAGCTGCTGCCCACTTCGGCCGTTGGCAGCGAGATCAACAATGTAGACCTGGTACCCTTGGTCAAGGTAGTAGGAAGCCCAGCCCTTGCGATTGTCGGGCGTATTTAGCCATTCTGCGCCTGTGTTGACACCCGCGGAGACGAAGACCATCGGGTAAGGCTTGTTGACCTTTTGGGCGGGCGTCAGCTTTTCGACGTAGAGTTGGTCGCTCCACATCTGCTGACCCGGGATGCCGGAGTCGACATAGCCACCGCCGATGTAGAAGAAGTCTCGCTGGTACGCAGATTCTTGGCTGCTACATTTTGGGCTGATGCCTTTCACACCAGTGCAGTCGCCTGTTGGTGGATAAGGCTTTGGTGGTAGGCTTGCGACGGTCACGTCATCTTGTGCTGACGTCAGGAACGGCAATGCTCCCAACAGCAGACCTGAGAGAACGGTACGTGGATACATGGCCAAGTGAAAACGAGGACGACTGAAACGAATGGACCACTAGGAGCAACAAAGGAGTGAAGTTGCCCACTGATCGAACGGCGGATAAAAGGAGGGAAAGAAAAGCTAAGGCCTAGATTTTGTCCCGCTCTCGCATCCTCTGCATATCCTTCTATACCTACCATGATTCTGGAAGGGGTTTGCGCGGCTAGGTCGGCAGCATGCATCCGCTTCCAGCCTGAACGACGCACCCATTCCCACGTGCTGCGCGATTGGCTCCAGTCATTCAGGTGAGAGGTGGGATTGGTCCCAGGTTAGTTCCGCGACTAGAAACGCCCTTCATTCGCTTCCGTGGGTTCCTAAGAGAAGCGGATATTAGTTACTATAAACGGCCTAGTGAAGCGATTCAATGCCGCCTTCTCATCATCAGGTCCCTGGGGTATCCCAATGTTCAGTGATGGAACAGCTCCGGCGCATAGGCCACCGATATCTCTAAGCATCGTATGCTGCAATATGAGCACGGACAGGTACCTGCGTACCAGCCCCCAAGCTGCAGAGCTCCGGTGGAGCCGCCTTGCGCGCGCCTTGGGTGCTTCAAATGTTGAACGTCGAACGAAGACGAGCTCCTGCTAACAGAGCGAGCAGGAAGTGATCCATATCCTACATGGAGTGTCCAGATATCGCGCCACTCACGCTCGCTCCTCGTGGGACATGGCAACAAGCATCCCAATGAAAAGGTAACTACTGTGTAGCAGCCTGAAGGAATCTAACCAACCAAAGCCTACGGGACAATCTTTTTGCGGGTCCTATCTCGGGATAACAGCCTCCGCCCGAACTTCAAAATTGGGACTCGTTAGGCTGCCCTTATGTCCATTTGGGTGGCAACTCCCAATGTTCAACTAATGCAGAATCATCAGGTTTTCTCTGTGACAGTCCTACGCGACAGGGTTGCGACCAGAAATTAAGGAATCCTCCTCGTAGGAGTGAGTGCCTTTGTGCAGAGCGATGATTAGGTGGAAAGGGGATGCCAGTTACCTTTTTATTGCGGTGCCCATTAGCACTTCCCGCTCCCCGTATACAATACAACCCTGCCCTTACCATAGCGGTGGGATGTGGCTGCTTCCTTCAAACAGGGCAATATAGTAAGCGAATCCTTAAGAACAGTCAAGTCCAAAAACTCCGATTGAAGTCTTGTTCTGTCGATCTTTCTCGCAATTGCCCCAAATCCATGTGCTCTCTCTCCGTGCAGTATCGTCAGGCCGAGTCAGCATAACCATAGCGCAATGGTGTCTGCTTTTTTCAACACACCGCCGGCTACCGAACTCGACGAACGGATCGCTGCAGGATTATTGCTGTTGATTGGCCTTACTCCTAACATCAAAGATCCTAAACATGGAGTTACAATTCCACCTTTCCGTCCAACGGAGAACTACCACTTTGAGACCAAAGGTCCAGCCGTCATAGTCGCACTCTCAGTGTGTATGGTCATTCTCACGCTTGTCACCTTCCTGAGGCTGGGCATCCGAATATTCGTCCATGGGGTCCGTTTCGGTGCCGATGACTGGCTCATCATTCCAGCCTATCTCCTCTCCATGGCGTACCCAGCGCTTCAAATCGCCATGGTCCAGTACGGCGGGGCCGGAAAGCACTTCTACGACATCACTTACCAAGAGTACTTCCATTATAAATATGTGAGCTAGGACGACCATGATGATTCACCGTCACGCATAACTCATGTTGATGTGTAGCTCGCACCGTCAGCCGCGACTGTGTTCTACGTCTATGTGGGACTTGTCAAGATGAGCATTGCATTGTTCAACATTCGACTGACAACTCTTACGACGCGACTATGGAGGAACGTTAATTGGGCGTTTTTCGTTATATGTACGGCCTACACCCTCGCAGCGCTGTTTCTAAACGTCTTCAAGTGCAACCCTCAGTACGCGAGTTTCAACTTGCTGCGGATCGCCGAATCGGGCAAGGTTCCGAAGTGCCTGTCCGTCAATTCCATGAACAGCATCCTTCGCTTGAACCTCGCTCTGGACTTCACCGCTCTCGCCATCCCGGTGATTGTACTATGGAAAGTTCAATTGACCTGGAAGAAGAAGGCTCGCATCTTTGGCCTTTTGTCCATCGGTCTGATTGCTTGCATCGCCTCAGTAATGACCCTTGTCTCGCAGTATACCCTGCAGAAGGATCCGCTGTGGAACTACACGACTCTACTGGCATGGATCATGGTCGAGCTAGTCGTCAGCCTCACCGCGGCTTGTGCTCCTACTCTTGCCTATCTCCTCCCGCGCTCCATGTTCTCGAAGCATTATGCATCCAACAGCGCTAGCAGATTGACAGGCAATAAGCCGGCCACTGGCTTCGGGTCGCGACTGTCAAGGAACGACTACGCTTTGCAGGCACGTCCTGTACATGGAGAAGATGGAGACAGCGAAGAGGAGGAACGTCACATCATCGTGAAAGAAGACACCAAGATGGAGTGGCAGGGTAACAGACGCGGCGATGCGCACCGTTCGCAAGTGAGCGATCATTCGGGCGATGATGGTAGCCTAACAAGTTGGTATGGTGATCATAGGGGAAAGACAGGTGCTGTGGTCTATGACGGCCGCCAGCACGAAGAGAGCACAAGAGCTTGGGTGAGCACGGACGTGTCAGGCAGGAATGGTCCTGGTCGTGGGACTCGCCCGGGACACGCGAAATGAAGGCTGCATAGCATGCTTGAGCTGTGCAGGTTCATGTCCTTCTATCAGTGCAGTGAATGGCGGCGGTCTAGTTACGGATTAAATTTGCATACATGTAATGGCGCACCATCGATATCTTTTCGAACGAAGTAACGAGCTTGAGCATCCGATGACTGCGTTGACTTTGTATAAACAGGGATGAAATTGTATTCACTGTTTTAGACTTTGGTCAGAGGAAACACGCCACTGCTTTTCCAGGCCAACAGAAGAGCTGACTAGACTATGAAAGTAGATGGGTATAATATACAAAGCCAACTATAGCTTCTACTAGTGGGCGTCAGCGTGTTTCTACAGTATCATAGCGAAGCTAATTTGTATAGGGTGCCCAACGTAATACCTAAGCAACAAAAATTTCGCTATCCGTTTCTTCTCCTTCGGGGGGTGTTGCTGACGTTAGGCTTCTTGTTTCCTATGACGCTTGTTCATGGTGGCGGCGATGGATAATATTGTGAGGAGCACCACCCCTTCGTGGGAACGGTATGATTCACGGTCATCAGTATAAGCAGCATCCGCCAGCACTTGGCTGACTCGGTTCATAACAGGGCCCGTCGTGACTGGGATCGACGTCAAGGCATGAGTGAACATGCATGCAGATAATACCATTCTCATAGCATAGATCTTACACATACTCCCCTCCCCTCTATGCCGATCCCAAACCTCATCAAGCCCGAGCCCAACCTGGGCAGCAACGCCTTTACGCCTCGCAAAGTGCAATAAAAAAATGCCAAAACGTATCGTACAAGCGCCCATCGAAACCCAACCCCGCCATATACACCATCCTTTACACCCAGACTAGAATCGCACTTGACATCTAGTCGTATTTTCCCAGGCCACCCGGTAGCCCGTCTTTCTCCCCGAGCTGGAAGTACGACCCCGTTCTCCGCCGCCTCTTGGCAAGATACGAGGCAGCGATGCCGGCAACGGTGAGACCGAGCAAAAAGATGGGATGGTTGGACCCGAAGTTGCGGATGGAGTGGAAGAAGGACATGAAAGTCCCGGAGGTGGATTTCGGGCTGATGGAGGGCGGGTTTTTGGTTACTTCTTTGACTGTGTCTAGGATGGAGGAGCGGCTGGGGCGGATGAGTTCGCCGTTCATGTTGACGTCCCAGTAACGGTTGTTCTAAGAGTCCAGTTAATCAAGCACGAGCAGCTTTCTCAGAAGGTGACTTACGTCTTCATCGTTGATGATGACCCGCTCGCCATCTTTCACATCTATGCCAAAGGTCGTGCGAATCCAGCGCTCCCAGAAGACGCCGTCCACCCACGCGAAGCCGACCTGTTTGCGCTTAATGTCCTTCATGTCGATGACGGTACCCTTGGCATCGCGGAGAGCTCGCTGATCTCCCTTGTCTTTAGCTTCTTCGATGCGCAATTCCTTAGCCTCTCGGAGCTCCTGGCGTTCAAGCTGGAACATTTGGTCCTCCTTGTCGATCCACTCAAGAGCGGCATTCTTGAGCTCACGCTTAGCAACCTCGAACTCAGCCTTGTTCTCTCGGTCGAGTATTGCAAGCACAACCATCTTTCCGTCCATGATCTCACGAGCGTTCTCACCCTTGAGCTCTGGGACAATCGGGATCCAGACGGACTTTATCCAGGACAGCATCTTCTGCGTATCACGCATCTCCTTGGGCGTGCGAGGGCCGTAGTAGGTCGGCTTCCCATCCCTAGACACCATCATGCGCGGCCAGGTGGAAATCTTGAAACGCTCGAACAGAGCCTTATCGTTCGTCTTGACAAGCTTTGCCTTACCGACCAAGCTGAGAGTGAGCCGATCAAGTGCCTGGAAATCTTCCGTAGTGGTGGCGTGATCGTAAAAGTACACGAAAATGACCTCTTCAGTTTTCTCCATCTCCTTGAACTGGGCTAGATCCACATCTCGAACACCCTCACCCGCCGCAACAGCCTTATTTGCATAATCGATGAAATCACCCAGTCCGCGCATGCCATTGTACTCGGTACGCTCGTTTCCACGGAAGAAAAGAACTGTGGGGTATCCCTTGACGCCGGCGTCCTTGCAAAGTCTGTTGTTTGCGTCGCAGTCTACCTCTCCAATGTTGAGTTTGCCTTGCATCTCGCGGGCCATCTGCTGCCAATTCGGGGCCATAGCCTGGCAATGATGGCACCAAGGCGCGTAGAACTTGATGAACCAACCATCAGTCGTACTTGTGACGAGCTCTTGAAACTTCTCCTTGTCGAGAGGCAGCGAGACACCAGAAGGGTTCGGGGTCGAAGTCGGCTTCGCAGGCGTGGGTTTGGCCACCTTAGCCGGCTCATTGGTCTTGGAGGGCGCTGCAGAAGTGGATTCTTTGGCGGCCCCAGCAGCCTTTTCGTTCTCTTTGATCTCATCTTCAGTCTCTGGCCCCGTCTCGACGGAGTTTGCGCCAACCTTTGGCAGTTTCGGACCACCTTGCTTGCGCGTGCCTGGTTTTATGGCCTCCAGAACCCCTTCTACCCAGCCGCTCAATGTTGACAGTTCCTGCTCGCCAATCTTCTTCGCAATCTCCTTCCCGTCCTTGTACTGTACGATGGAAGGGTAGTTCTGGATGTCATGTTCCCCGCATGTGTCCCTGAATGCCAGACAGTCGACCTTTGCGAACTTGAAATCGTACCATCGGGTGAAGGAGTTGAGGCCGTCTTCATCGCTCTCTTGCGACGTGATGATGGGCTTGGACGTGTAGTAGAATTCGTACAATGTTTGCCACGTGGGCTTGAAGCGCATGCAGTGCGGGCACGAGGGCGAGTAATATTCGACAAGCCTAGATTCGTCAGCTGGCGTGAGGGACGATGCGCTCAAGATCCATACCAGTTTCCATGGCTGATCTCCTTGTCTACATCTGTACCAAGCTCCTTCATGGGTGGCACGGTCTGGCCATTGAATATGGTATCTGGCACGACCTCGTCTTCCCAGTCGTCGTCAGCCTTAGTGTCGCCCTTGAGAGGCGCACGCGGTTCTATGGCGACCGAGGCGGCAAACGTCGCGAGCGACAGGAGCGAGAATAATACGGAGCGCATCGCGGGGGGCGCGTCCTGTCTGCGACAGGCTGGCCTCTAGAATCAGGACTGGTCGCAGCGCCGGTAGATCTGCGATGGAGCGTGGCGCGACTGCACAGGAGATCGTAGACGTGTGCCTCGCAGCTTCTGGGTGCGAGGTAGGGAAGGAGAGGGGCTCGGGGCTGATGCGCTGCGGAAGTACAGAATGTCCACAGGAGCGCTGAGCGCCAGCGACAGGGATCTGCTTCCCCGGTGCTTGGCATCGCAACTTCCCTTGACGGCATCACCACTTTGCCCATCAATTGAACCCCCACCCCACCCCGAACCACCACAACAACCATGAGGGCAGCTGCACGGCTTCTCGCCGCCGTCAGGCAAGGCAAATACCTCGAGCCCGGCGCGCCGACCGGCCTCACCGGCCTGCTCACCCACCCGTCGCCGCGCTCGACGCTCCTCTACCACTACCAGGCGACGCTCGACAAGCTCCAGCAGATCCCAGAGTCCTCGGTCTACCGCCAGTCGACCGAGGCGCTCACCAAGCACCGCCTGAAGATCATCGAAGAGGCTGTCCCCGCAGGATGGGCGCAGTGGCAGGAGACGGTCCAGGATAAAATTCACGAAGACCCTACAGGATTCAAGACTATCCAAACCTCGCAGGGAACTCTTGCGGAGCCGCCGAAGTACAAGGAGCTGGATCCCAGGACATTGGAGGCGGAGTGGGATGGAGAGAAGCATGCGAAGTACCCGCCCGGCATGCGCACACAGGCACAAAGACGCGCCCATGTCAAGGCATTCAAGGGCGACGTGAACTACACGCCCGAGCGGACAATGTCGCCAATTAAGCTTCCCCCGGAGCCGCAATACACCGTGGAGGCGTAGGTGCATATATCTCAAGTGATGATCGTAGCTTACGCGAACAGGATCAACGAGCTCGAGACCAGGCTCGGCGCCGGTCTGATTGAGGAGGTCATCCAGGTCGCAGAGGGCGAGCACAAGCTTGTCGACGAGATGATCAAGGCGAAGGTGTAAGTCTCAAACACAACAATGTATATATAGTATGCGCTGATGAAACCTACAGCTGGGAACCGCTTGAGGAGCAGGCACCTGAGGGCCAATGGAAGTTCTTCGAGCGTGGCCACAGCGGCCACACCAAGACTCAACACCCGTAAAGCATGGACCCAGGCAGGAACACGAATGTAAATAGCGAATGAAGAGGCCCTGTACCAAGTAGCACAACGTTTACCATATCAAATTCTTGGCTCTCGCGTGCAAGACATCTCGGGGGAACACTGTCGCAGTCAAGACATGAGAAATCTACCAAGTATGCGCCTAGGCGGAGCGGGCTGCCTCCGCGTTGTTCGGAGCTGTCAATCTCATTCCGATAATGTCAGGCTTTGCTTGGAAGCTCTTGAGTTCAAACAGTATCAGGGTTCGCTTAAAGTCTTCTTGTGTTCAAACAGTAGTTGACCTTGCACATGCAAAGAAGTGTTTACAAGTTGATTTAGCCTAGGGAACTGTAGTCAGTTCAGTGAGTACGCTGGGACACTAACCCCATGCGAGAGGAGTGAATCAACACAAGGGGGGGGCTCTTAAGGTATTTGTAAGCCATTACTGTACTGCGTGAGAAACTTTCGCGTGCCACTGGCGCACGTTCAGGGAAATTACTCGTTCCAAGACCAATGATAGAGTTGCAAACAAGACGGAAGGGCGCCTGAACGGAGCGATCCCGCGTTTTCTCGAGCATCTGGGTTTGCAGGCGCGAAATAGAGTTGCCGTGAAATGACGAGGCACCTCCGCCGTCTCATCGTGAAGATCATCAAGACATCGCGCACTCAGAATCTTGGGCCTCTTGGCCGTTTCACGGTCCACGTTGGGTCACGCACAAGCATTGGCTAGATGTTTTCGATCCAGGAAACACGCTGACACGGCGTGTCTTTGCAGCTCGGAGAAGTGCTGAGGAACAATGTATTGTTTCAATGTCCGTGTCGGTATCAAATCATACTCGTGTGCGTGATTGATTGGAGCGCGGAACTTGGGCGACAAAGATGCAACCGTTGGCAGCTGGCAGGCGAACATTGGCTACCCGACTCAACAGACATAAGTCCCTGGCGTCACACGCGTCATGTAAGTAAAGTGCGTGAGCCAATAATTTTGCGACTTATAGCATACACTCCCGACACGAGGTGCACTGCTGCAGGTTGCAATCCTTCATCTGTAGGCGCTGCTCGAGAAGGAAAGGCGACAAGCACACTAGCCACCAAGTCACCTGAGGCGCTCGTTAGACTTGACCAACTGCAAAGGATCGGCCAACTGCATCAGAGCTAGTCGCTACCAGCGCTAAACAATTGAATACGAACGATCCCAACTGCAACGCGCTCCTGCACAATAACGTGGCGCCCTCATTTTGTGATCGCAGACTCTCAGAGCGTGTAGCGCGCTGGAGTAATTAGCGAATGGCTTCCGGTGAATAACGCCCGGCTAAGCTGCAAGTTTGATGCACGACATCACTCGCGCGGTCGCGGATGCTTCCTTCTGAGGCTCCGCGGTCAGGCGTGGGAAACGGCGAGTGGGACTTGAGCTTAATTGCACTGCAGTTTACATAAGAGGCGCTGGAAGTCGGTGTGAAAACATCCTCAGGGTTTGACAACTGCCAACTGAACCTGGCCACAGGCAGCGTTCGCTCCGGTGAGCCACTGGCGCCCGTGCTGGGCACTCCTCATGGGCCGCTAAGCGAGAATGGCAAGGCGGGTGATTCGAGCAGGACAGACGCCGAGCTGATAAGTCTTGGTGTTGACGATGGCTGTGATGATCAAGTTCGTGATGAGCGGAAAATCTTTTCTTTCCGCGTGGCCCGATGTTGTGCTCTTGTTGGTACGGTGTTCCCTCGGCTCTTTCGCTCGTAACGTGGCACAGCGAAAGACGCGTACTGGACTTTTTTGTATCTCGCCGCACTGTGTAGGGTGTATAGTGCGCGGTAGCACAGATTCGAGTTATCACTCGCGATGCATCTCCTGACCCGGGCATCGCTAGCGATGATGATGCAACTCGTCGGATGCGACACTGTCTGGAATCGGCTAAGGGCGGGTTGCTGCTTTGAGGACCCCGGCAGAAACCCGGCAAGGTCGAACGGCGAACACGCGGAGTACGTAAGCTCATCACCATCTCGCTGGTGCCGTACCAGGATGAGTGGCTGGGGCTTCTGGACAAGACGCGCTGAGCCAGAGTCTTTGACATGACGCGACGGCGCGCGAGACTGGCGACTTTGCCCTGCAGCCGCGCTGGTTTCGTTCGGAGGGCGGCCTTCTTCCATGCAGCCTTCTCGAAGCGGCGACTGTACAGGCATGCGAAGCCGAGCTGGTGTGGTCCGAGATGGCGTCGGCCGTTGCGACGAGAGCCGGGGTCTGCTGCATCGTTCCCGGGATGCGTCATTATCGTTGGGAAGCTCGCGCCGCCGACAACCGTGGCAGCGCACTGGCAACTTTTCTCGTCTCCGGCACAACGCGTGAGAAGGCGCTCAAGGCGAGCTTCTTCGAGGCGACCGCCCGCGCACTCGCGGTGAGGCTGCCTGGTGCTGCCAGAGGGCCGGCACTGCAGGCGTTTCAGCAGCGGGGATAACAACCCTGCAAGCCACAGCCGCTATCTGAGTGCTTTGCTGCGAGAGCCTGGAGGGCGGCGCATCGTCGGGCCATCTCTCAGGGCCAGGGCGCCTGCTGCGGCAACCGATCCGAGGCGTTCAGCAAGAGGCACTCGATCTGAAGAGGGCGTGGATGGGCGACGCGGTAGACGGCACAGGTCCTAGCAGGGACGGATGAAACGCGATGCCGTGTAGCGCGCGCGGAGGACATTGGAAGACGCGTCTGTTGGCGGCGGTCGGAGATGGAGACGGCTTCGCAGACACGACAGCGCGGGCGGCGTCATCGTGCAGCAGCCGCGGGCGCTGCATCGCACTGTGAATCACGTGGGCGGCGGCCACGCTGCGGCTCACGGCGCACCCATGGCCCATTCCAAGGCCCGCGGGACGACGGCCACGGTGCGCGCAGACAGTGTGGACCGGTTGGGGCGCTGGGCCACTGTCGCAGCGTCCCTCGTCCTCCAGGGCCCGCGCACGCAGCAGCCGCGCTCGTCGAGCAGAATCTCCAGACACAGACACAGACACCGGCACCGACACCAGCACCGCGCTGCACACGCCCAGTCGAACCAGCACCCCTGCCGCGCTCTGCCAACGCCCTTGATCCGGCCCACGCCACCGCTGCTTTACCGCTTCAGGCTCTGCTCGTTAGGTTAGCTGCTACGTCGACTCGCCGGCCAGCACCGGCGTCTTTGTGCAGCTTCGCAGCAGGGAAAGCAAGGCGTGCGCGCGGGATCGGACACAGCGCCTTCCTAGAGCCGCCAGGTAGTGCCTTCCTCACAAATTTTTTCCACTGCGACTGCTTCGCGTCAGTACCACAACCCTCCGCCACACACCTCTCTCCCCGCCAGCCCACTCTGCCTCTGCCGCCTGCCATCAAACGCGCACGCGTGCATTTCTACGGTATTGTTCCTGGCTGCCTCGTGCCAGCGCTCCACTTGGTCGACCGGCTGAGGCTGAAGCGGTGGGCCCTGCGATCTGCACACCTGCCCTGGTCGCCCGCGTGAATTTGCCGGCGCCAGCGAAACTTCATCAATAGCACGGTTCACTATTGCTTGTCGTCTGCCACCACCCATCAGGTCAGCAGCGCACGCCGTGTCCCGCGCTCCAGACTCCATCTCTTCCTCTCCACCGCTGCTCCATCCAACAAGCACTCCAGCGCGGGTCAATCTCGACGCGCACTCCCGCTCCCATCCCAAGGCAGACCCACCCGGCTCCGCAAGCTCCTTCGAGGCCCATCGTTCCCCAACGCCAGAGCGTAGTGCTGTGCTGCCGACTCGTCCTGTCTGCGGCTGTCCCACGCACCCTGCCACGCCCCTCCGTCGAATGGTCCAGCGGCCCGCACCACTAATTGGTCGCGTCTTTTCTCTCTCCCTCTCCACCCACTGTGATACTCAGCTATCATGGACGACCGCTTCCGCCAGCCCGGCGCACCCAACTCCAATGGCAACGCCCAATACCCTTCTATGAACCAGTCTTACAATGGCTCCCAGCAGAACACGCTGCCGCCCCTCGGCAGCGCACAACCATATCCGTCTCTGTACAATCATCACAACAGCAACCCGCAGACGCCCATCACGCCTCACACGCCTGTCACCACCACTGCGGGCTCGGGCGCCTCCATCCCGCCCATCGCATCCCAGCACCCTCCTCTGCGCCCGCTTCAGCCATCACCTTCGTACCTGCTCACCAGCGCGCCGTACTCCCAGGCGCCGCTCCTTCCCACATCAGGCGCGCACTCGAACGCGCTAGGCCAGAACGCGCTCACGGCTGGACTCCAGGACGTACGCGCCGGCGGCATGGGCATGGGACATGCTGCTCTTTACCCTCACCCACCAGTCCTCTCCAACCAGGACTCTGAACCTGTGCACGTCGTCGGACAGCAAGGGCGTCGCGGCGTGCTGCCTACCCACCCTGGCCGTCCCAGTCCTGCTGTCGGTAAGACGATCACGAACCCGATCAAGAACGCCGAGGGCAAATACGAGTGCCCCCACTGCAACAAGACTTATTTGCACCTCAAGCATCTCAAACGTCATCTTCTGCGACGTAAGTGCATTCCGACTGACGCGTCATCTACCACTGCTAACCAACTCAGACACCGGCGAGCGCCCGTACCAGTGCCATCTCTGCAAGGATACATTCTCGCGTAGTGACATCTTGAAGCGTCATTTCCAGAAATGCTCAATTCGTCGGGGTAACCCTACTGGTGCGAGCCATCTGCAAAACGCGCAGTCGCATCTACAAAAGAACCGACAGCCGAGCAACGCAGAGGCCAACTCGTATCTCAACCACATGGGCACATCCATGCCTTACTCGGACAATGCTTATGGTAGCACAACTCTTGGCAACATGCAGCCCATGGCATCCATGCAGACTGACGGGTACGGAGATGGTCTTCCTCCCATGAACGCACATCAGTCGATGTCTGCGAGAACCTCCAGGTCCAACAGCCTGATCCGCCCCGGTAGTGGCGTCGAAGAGAACCGCCGGAGCATGTCTGCTCTCGACATGGGACATTCCCGTCTCAACTTCAACGACTTCCGTCCCGCCAACGGTATGACGAACAATATCTCGCATGACATGAGCCCGTATGGTAACCAACAGAGCCAGTCTGCGACGGCCGTTACAAATGGCCAACAGCACTACAATTACGATAGCGCTATGGGACACCAGGAGATCGCCCCGACCAGCATGTCCGTGAAGCAGGAAGAAGGAGACCCAGCCTCCTACGGACGTCCGACCCTGCCCAACGTGAATGGTCTTTCCAACGGACAGGACCACTCAGCACGTTGGAACGGGTCGTTCAACGGTAACGTTGATGGCCAGTCCCAGGATAACTTCCTCATGAACTCAAGTATGGCGAGTGGTCCACACCCCACTAAATCGGGAGGTGCTCTGACTGTCCAACCCTTTTAGACCCTAGATGATACCCCCTGTGATGCATTGCTTGGTGGACTGTACTCGGATTCTGGATTTGCTGCGACCGACTCTGTTTTTGCCCAGTGGAATTTTGGCTCATTCGACCCGCTGCATAAAAAGGCGACCGCCTTGGTGGACTTCTGCTTCCCTGAACCTTCCAGGTCGATACCTGGATCAAATGCCGCGCATGGCTACGAAGCATTCAAGGGATTGTTGACGGCGGATAACTTGAAGCATTTTCTCGAACTGTACAAGCACTATCAAAACCATTGGCCCATGATTCACTCATCCCTCGATTTGTTCAATGCATACAACGGCCTGATTCTCACTATGGTCTGCATTGGAGCGGTGTATTCGGACAGGATTGGTGTAAAAGACGTTCGCTGGTTGATGGAAGTGGTGAGAGCATCGGTACTCAGGTCCTCACATCTGTATAAGCGAGCCTCTGAAAGAGCCAGGGATGTTGTAGAAAAAAGCATGCCACTTGGTGGTAATCTTCAAGAAGTCCAGGCCTTGGTGCATATCAATTCATTGTTCGTGTGGCATGGTAATCACAAGCAGAGGCAACAGGCCCGGGAAGATTTCTGGATCCTTGCCAGTATCGTACAACATGTGGGTTTGCTGCGACCTTTCCCCACTGGCCATCCAAACGCGAGCGCCCTCCACCAGCCTGGACACATGCATGTGAGCGATGTCGCTACTTGGTCCTGGGAGCGTTGGTTAGAGCAGGAGATGCGGATACGTGTGATGCATCTTGTCTTCCTGATCGATGCCGCTCTTGCCATATTCTTTAATGCCCAGCCGCAACTGGACATTTACGACATCAAACTTCCTTTGCCAGCGGACGATGCGGCGTGGGAAGCGCGAACTGCAGAGGATTGTGCAAATGCGCTAGGCCTCCGTGGCGAGACAGCTCAAGCGAATAACTATGCTGGTACTCGGCGCCCAAAACAACTCATTCTGTCGGAAGTCCTCGTTCTGCTTCACCAAGGAAACAACTTGCCACATCGCGCCACGAACGTATACTCCAAATTCATTCTGATCCATGCAATCCACGTTCAAATTTTCCAGCTTCAACGACAACTGTCCAGCGCCACTGGGGTCTCTTCCAGTGGTGCCAGCACGCCTCAATCGCACGAGGGAACCGCCAGTGGCGGTAGCAGTGGTGCTGTCACTCCGACTGATGGCCAGGGAACCCAATATTCTCAACTGCAGGGCATGCTTCGCAGTACCATGTGCGCTCTCACGCTCTGGAAGAAGCAGTGGGACGCAGACATGCAGCTTCAGTATGGTATCAAGCAGAGGCCTCTTGGCTTCTGTCGGGACGGCATCCACTTTTACTTCCTTGCAAAGATATTCCTTCAAAACTCTCGGCGCGAGGACTGGATGGCAGCACCGGACGATCGGTTCCGACAAGTCTTCAACCAGCTCAAGTACATCCGTACCCATGTCGCTTCCGATTCGACTTCGAAGAATCTGGACACGGGTAGCGTGACGACAATCAATGACGACTACGGCCTGGCGGATCTTACCCTCAACATGAAGCTTCTTTTCACACCAATATACGACACGTCGGCAGATCGACGATAGTATCACCCTCTCGCTGACATCGAATCCACACACAGTCATACACTCCCCAAAATTCCCCGTTTTCCGAGGCGGTCTCACAAATCCCAGTTCTTTCACGATCCACCAGCATTGCATCAGGCGGTCATCATCACAGTCTATCATAACACACTACACGGTTCCAAAAATTTTGGACTCTAGCTGGGCTTTCCGGTTGAGTCTGCATTACACAATGGCGTTTTTAGAGTTTCAAATTTCCGGACGAGGGCGCCTCAGAGCGCTAGATCGAGCATTACGACATCAGGCGGTTTACGTTTGCATTTACGACCATATTGCTTTTAGCAATGAGCAAAAGCATAGATGTTCTCCTCACGGCGTGCATTTTCAGGGCGCAAAACAGGGGTCACTCAATCTTCAGCTTGCAATGGACAACTAGACGCGATGGAAACATGAGTTCGAATTTTCACAAATCATTAAAACAAAGAAAGAAAGAAAGAAAGAAAGGAAGGAAGGAAGGAAATAAAGAAAGAAAGAAAGAAAGAAAGAAAGAGAAAAGGTATCGATGGGGCGGGGTGCGTACGTTTGCTTGATTGACAAAGCTGGCTTGCGCCGGCTCATCTATCGTTCTTGTATATTTGGCCCAACAATCTTTGGTTCACTTGGGCTTTTTAGCATTTTTGGGGTGTCGCGCGAGAAACGTGGCGAATAGAAATAGATAAATCATAGCTTGGCATGCGCAGCCTGAGGAAAAATTGGATGGAATGTCATTTTGGATACCGAACTTGTTCTCAGCTGCATGCTGTCGTCACCCCCGTGTTTACCTGTCAGACAGATCTAGTGGTAGTTATGACTTGAGACTTGCACGACATCTGACAACTGTTTCTACCACTACCCAGGGGGTCGCTCGGTCGTGTGTGCGCTCCAGAACAGGCTCTTTAGACCCACACATCCACAGCAATCCTACCTATCCTCACTCTTCGAAAGCGCTCGTTCCCAACCTTCGAGTCAGTCGAAATGCTTTCCCATCGGATCCCACCTCGGGCCGTGTCTGAGCCCAGTTTCAGCCTGCCACACCACGCCCTCGCACCCAGCATTAGACTTTGCGCACCGGCTAAAAGACGGTCTGTGGTCGGCTGCGTCTCGCCTCGTGTGGCATCGGCGCGTCCCGAGACCCCCATCACATCAATGCGCATGCCAGCGACCCCGGACGAGGGAACAGCGCGTCACGTGATGCATCGCTGGCTTCCTGATGGAGGTAGCGTAGCCCCGGTGCATGAGGGTCTGGGAGGTTTCAACAAGGTGATGTGCGTGCGTGCTAGCACTGTTGCGTCTATCATGCCGAGTAGGTTGTTACGGGAGGACGGGTCGACTGCTCGTACAAACGTTGAGTGACCGCGGCGGAGCTGCGGAGACGGATTTGATTATCAAGGTAGCTTGTAGTTGTTTTATCGCGCGGTGGAGGATGCGAAGCTATGCCGCGTTGGACAGATGAGCGGCGAGAGCGCAGTCTCGGGACCTGCGCATGCTAGGCATGCGGGTGATGCAGGCACGCGGTGCATGAGGGGTGTGGCGAGCTTCCTGCAGGGCATAGGGAGACGCACCAGCACTTCACCCGTGTAGGGCAGGGCGGGCTGCAGAAGAAGATCTGGGGAAGCCTAAAAGGATAATGCGTGCCCAGTTTGCTCCAGGCGTTCGTTCCGGCACGCTCGTTGAATCGATTGCTTTTCCTGTCGCTCTTGCTGCTTGCTTGCTTTTCTATTCTTTGCGTTGTGCGGTAAGCCGAGAGCTTACGAGCAGGCGATCCATGTTTCTCTAGGACAGTGTCTTGGAGATTGTTTTACGTCTTTGTGAAAGCATGTATTTAAGGCCGGGGACGGTTGTGGTGGTTGTGGGCGTCACGTTAACGAGTCTGTCGACTGTCGTTGTGCTTTTGAGGTATGTCGACTGGATGGATTGTGCGATTGACCTCTTGACTAACTCTGGATCTAGATATTTCTGCCGCTGGTATCGCATGGGGGTGATCGGAGCCACTGACCACTTGATGTTCATTGCTCTGGTCAGTCCGAAAAGTCCAATGGATAATTCACATACTGACGTATTGTCTAGGTGCTCACTTGGGGCAACACTGTCGTCAACTACTACCAAGATCAGACAAGCAGCAAGTTTAGATTCAGCTTCTTCCGCAAGCCGGTAAGATCCTCCGCAAACATACCAGCCTTTTGTGCTGACAGCCGCATAGGATAAAAGACCACAGGCTGTAGTCGCCCTTCGTGGCACCTTGATTACATGGTACGTCTACCGTATGCTGTACGGTGTCGCCCTATGCTTCGTCAAGCTCTCGATCCTCTTCTTCTACCGAAACATCGCCTCACACCGCACCTTTCGCCGCGTTGTCTACGGCCTCATTGCCTTCGTCATCGCCTACACATTCGCAACTACCACGGCCGCTGCCTTCCAGTGCCAGAATCCGGCCGGAAGCTTCGATGTCACGGGCTACCTCGCGCAGTTCGACCGAGACCCGAATACTAAGAAGAAAGACTACAAGTGCTTCGATCCTACGCGCTTGTGGCTGTTCACTGGCGCGGTCAACCTCTTCACCGACGTTCTAATCCTACTCTTACCCATCCCTACGCTTCTAGGCCTGAGAGTGCCCATGAATAAACGCCTCGCGCTCGTCAGCATCTTCTCGGTCGGCATCATGGCCATTGTCGCTAGTTGCGTGCGCATGTGGGTCATGGCCCTGTGGGCAGAATCGCCGCAGAACAGCGCGCGCTTCGGCTGCGACCTTCTCTTGTGGGGCCAGGTCGAGGTCAACAGCGGAATCGTATCTGCTTCAGTGCCCTTCCTGCGCCTGTTCTTCCGCGGTCGCGAGCGTGAGCCCGATGAGAAGCCGATTGCCAGACGGAAGGTCAGGGAAATAGCGCCGCCCAACCTGGCACAGGGGGATGCGAAGCCGCTGAGGATGCAAAGCATGGAGTTCTTCGAGCAGGAGAAAATACGAAAGCGCGATGAGGAGACGGGCAACGACAGTCGAAGTCCTGACAGCCCTGAATGGGGAGGCTTCATTACGGTTCCTGCAAGTTTGAGCAGTGGAAGCCGGGGGAGCGCGATGTTGGAGACGCCGGTGAAGGCACATACGACGGTCTGAGGCACGGCGGAATGAAGAAGAATGCACTCATCACTCCGGGAGTAACGTAATGTCTAGTGACCGGACGGCGCAGTAGCTGGCTACTGTGCCGCTGCTTGTGCATTCGGGGGAAAGAGGTGTGTCCAGCACTCCTACGCCATTCACTTGTCCCTTTGAAAATTGGAACTGACTTCGCGTAGGAGGATGGCTGGAAGCTGATCTGGCGTTGAGACTGAATGGCTGGGATACACCGTGGGATACCGAGGTCTGAGCGAGGCTACCTTGGGAGTCCTGGTCCTGTTGATGGAAGAACAGATGCGCTGTACACTATGTGAATGCGATTTGAGACACTGCTGTGCATTCAGTGGCGAGTTGGAGAAGCCCAGGCTTTCGTGCGAGTGTGAAGGTCAGCCACAAGCTTCCTATGCTTGCCCTCATGGAGACCAATCACTCGATGGCTCATCCTAGGGTAACTCAGGCCTCACTAAATTCCCAGATTCTGGAATTGATAGTGTATGTCGGAAGGTCACGTCCATCTGTCTTCGGAGACGATGTTCGTGGGCTGTGCCGTAGCCACCCCAACTGTCGAAGTCGCGCACACGGCTCCTTCCCGTCGTGACAGAGCACCATGCCCAGCTTGTCGCGCGCATGCCGTGGCGTTCTGGACGCTCGAGGTTGGCGATCAGCAGCACGAGTCACATTACCAGGCTGCTTGTGGGGGTGCCTGACCCGGTAGGTGGGCGGCAAATGCTCGCGCAGATTCGCCGGTGCGTCAGTGCTGCGCCGCAGCGATCCCGCTCGGCCTCACAGCATCCAGCCCCAAGCGCCGACGTGCATCCTGCATCCCTCGCTCTGTGATCTATCTTCACTATCTTTACTCGAGCGCATAGCATCTTTCGCTTCTTCGCCTCCATTATTTTGTACAGCAGAACTACCCCCTTCATGTTGTGACGCTCAGCTAACTCCACAACCGTGGCTTCCTCACGCTTCTCCCGCCTGTTCCTGGTCGCGGTCGCCCTCTTCATCTCCTTCTCCGCAATCCTGGCGACTCTCCGCTTCGGCGTCCGCGCACCCTCCATCCTCAACTACCTCCGCCCCGCCAGGAACCCGTTCCAGGTGCAGTCGCAGCGCCCGCTTATGAACAGCAGCATGGCGCCCGCCATGTACAAGAAGCCCCCGCAGTTGCCGCCCAGGTTCACGGCGACGCCCGACAGCCTGGTCTCGGACACAAAGAAGCTGGTATGTTCCTCTGCCCGCCCCGGTTCCTGTTTGCCTGCTTGTCGATATCGGTTAATTGGACGCCATGCGAGCGGCAGCACGCTGGACTCTGAATTGACGTCGCCCAGATTGACAGGTCGCGTAACATCCAAGATGCCATCGTCAAGGACGTGACGGCCGCGAGCGCCAATTTCAAGAACGTCCTCCTTCCCGTCGCGCTCGACGACAACAAGATGGCCATCGAGTCGCACATCATCGGCTTCTACCAGGCCGTGTCCACGGACAAGGCCCTCCGCGATGCGTCGACCGAGGCGGAGAAGCTGCTGGACGACTTCAGCATCGAGTCCAGCATGCGCGAGGACGTCTTCAAGCTCGTCGATGCTGTCCTCAAGAAGAAGGAGTCTTTGGATGCGGAATCGCAGCGTCTGCTCGAGAAGGACCACAAGTCGTACATCCGTAACGGTCTCAACCTGGACGCGGGCGCGCAGCGCGATCGCTTCAAGGAGATCAAGCAGAGGCTGAGCGCCATCAGCATCGAGTTCCAGAAGAATCTCAATGAGGAACAGGGTGGCATCTGGTTCACGAGGGAAGAGCTGGACGGTGTGCCTGAGGATGTCGTGGACGGGTTGAAGGTCGGCGAGGGCGAGAACAAGGGCAAGCTCTGGCTGACGTTCAAATACCCGGATTTGTTCCCTACCTTGAAGTACGCGACAAATGCCGAGACCCGCAAGCGCGTCTTTGTTGAAAACGAGAACAAGTGCAACGATAACGTGCCTTTGTTCCGTGAGGCTATCCTCCTCCGAGACGAAGCCGCCCGCCTTCTTGGATACAGCAACCATGCCGAATTCCGGATAGAGGATAAGATGGCCAAGACACCCAAGACTGTCAACGACTTCTTGGGAGATCTACGCACGCGTCTTGCGCCCGGCGGCCAGACGGAGATCAAGAAGCTGTTGGAGCTCAAGCAGGAGGATCTCAAGACTAGGAGTCTTGGCGATGATAACTCCAAGTACTTCCTATGGGATCACCGCTACTACGACCGTTTGATGCTCGAGCGTGATTTCCAGCTCGACCAGCAAATCATTGCCGAGTACTTCCCACTCCAGACCACCATTCAGGGCATGCTGAAGATCTTTGAGGAGCTCTTTGGTCTGGCTTTTGTAGAGATCACTGGCGAGGACCGCACCGCACTGGCCGATGGAGGCAAGGGCTCAGACATTGTCTGGCACGAGGACGTCCAGGTCTTCAGCGTGTGGGACGATGAAGGCGAAGGCGCTGGATTCGTTGGTTACCTGTACTTGGATCTCTTCCCACGAGACGGCAAGTATGGCCACGCAGCCAACTTCAACCTTCAGCCCGGGTACATTGACGAGAACGGCAAGCGCCGCTACCCTGCCACGGCGCTGGTGTGCAACTTCTCCAAGCCGACCCCGAAGAAGCCGTCGCTGCTCAAGCACGATGAAGTCGTTACCCTTTTCCACGAGCTTGGTCACGGCATTCACGACCTTGTCTCGAAGACCACTTATTCGCGCTTCCACGGCACCAACACGGTTCGCGACTTTGTAGAGGCACCTAGCCAGATGTTGGAGAATTGGTGCTGGACCCCCTCTCAACTGCGGTCACTCTCACACCACTACTCACACCTCTCCCCCGAGTACGAGGCTGCGTACAAGGAGGCATCAGGCGCAGACAAGAAGCCTGCTGAGCAGATCCCCAATTCGCTCATTGCGAACCTGATCAGCACCAAGCATGTCAACGATGCACTGTTCAACTTGAGGCAGCTTCACTTTGGCATGTTCGACATGACTGTCCACGAGCCCAAGAGTCACGAGGACATTGAGAAACTGGATATCACGAGTACCTACAATCAGCTCAGGCACGATATTTCGCAGCTTGATGGACCTGAGGCTATTAGCGGCGACTGGAAGTGGGGTAATGGACAGGCTACATTCGGTCACTTGATTGGCGGTTATGATGCCGGGTAAGACGAATTTTGAAAATTCACGACCGGACCACAGGCTGACATATATCACAGTTACTACGGCTACCTTTCGTCTCAGGTGTATTCCACGGACATGTTCTACTCGGTCTTTAAGGAGGACCCGATGAACGGCAAGGAAGGTCGAAGGTATCGACATACAGTCCTCGAGCGGGGTGGCAGTAAAGAGGAGATGGACATCCTGGAGGAGTTCTTGGGGCGCAAACCAAGCACTGAAGCGTTCTACAAGGAGCTTGGCATCTCGAAATAGATGGGTAGAGTAGAGACGATGACGCGATGATATACCACCCTGGCTTGCACTGAGGCAGACAGGTCATCGAAGGTTGTAACCGAGTTCGTTCTCGATTTGCAATGACGAAGGGAGCGACTGGTTGATTCCCAGGTCGTAGATGAAATGTAACGTGCGAATAATACCTACGTGTTGTCAACGTCAACTTGAGGCAGGGACAGTGAGATTCGTTTAAATTCTGACGATAGGGGCACGACGGCAAGAGTCTGGAGGCCTTATTATCTCACATATAGATGTCTGGCCAAGGCTTTTGTCTCAATCTCGATCGTGTGTTTCTCCGAGGGAGGAAACCGATAGTGGAGCCTCTCCGCGGAGGGGCTAACACGTGCATTCGCGCCATACACACGGATCCCTGTTGCCCCACTATAAACATTGACCTGCCTGCTCTCCAGCGCAACCTCTACGCAAGAACGCATGCGTAGTTATTTCCTCAAGACCCCGATTGCACACACGCTCAAATATTTCCCCTCGTACCAACCGCTCGCTCCCCTAAGTAAGGACGCCTTCCGTCTCTACGCGCACCAAGCAGCGCCCAGCCGCGCCCCCACCACCGCCATGTCCAACATCACACTCGGCAACCTCTCCTACATCTCGCGTGAAGAGCTCGCCGAGCAGCTGAAAACTTCATCCTCTGCGCCTTCCCTCCCCTCCCACCTCGCCATTATTGATGTCCGCGACAGCGACCACGTTGGGGGCCACATCCGCGGCAGCACGTGGGTGCCCTCGAGCGAGCTCGACTACAAGACACCCGAGCTCGTGCGGACGCTGAAAGATAAAGAGGTTGTGGTGTTCCATTGTGCGTTGAGTCAGCAGCGGGGACCGAGCGCGGCTTTGAGGTATATACGGGAGAGGGAGAGGTTAGATCAGGGGAGTAAGACGGTGACGAAGGAAGGGGTGGTGGTCATGGAGGGTGAAGGGGGTGGGGAGAAGGAAACTGGGGATGGGGAAGAGAAGGAGCCAGGGAAGGAGAAGGGGCAGAAGGTGCTGGTCTTGCGGGGCGGGTTTACGCAGTGGCAGGATAAGTATGGGCCTGATAAGGGGCTGACGGAGGCGTGGCAGAAGGATATTTGGGAGTTTGGGTATTGAGGGGGAGAGTGTGTGTTTGAGTGAGAAGGACATGGAGGACTATGTTCAGTGATCGGACCGAAGTGGTCATTTCTGCTTGAGGCACGACATGAAAGTACGGACGAGAGCGAGACGGACCAGTTAAACGCGTCCTGTCAATACCAGCTCTGCCTTGGACCGTTGACGATAGCCGGTACCGCGACCCACCGTTATGGTACTACCAGCCGATAGCCTCAACGTCAAGAATACAATCTTTTGCAAAGCACCAAAAAATGCTTGGTCACTGTCTCTCGTTCAGCATCTGCATCAAAAGTCCGTCAAGCACAACAAGCAAGACCATACCACGCACTCACACAGTTCTTGGCCCATACTCAGTGTCTCCTAGTCTCCAACCATGTGGGACACGGAGATTTTGAAGCCAAAGAAATCAACATGGAGGCACACCTGGCTCCCCTCCAGCTGCACACGAGCTCGAGTCCCGAGAAGACCCCTCCTCCGCTTCCTCAAGTTGCTCCACAAACGCCTCACGACATCTTACACCTACCTCAAGTACACTCTCCCCGTCCTCCAACCCATCTGTACCGCTCGAGGATGCACCGCACGCCTCTCGGGCCCGCCCTCCCACACCCGCAAGCACCCCGGTGGCCTTGCGTTCACCATCAACGACTTCCTCTGCGACGCGCACGCCTGGCAGCTCTGTACCGACGTCGTCAGGCTGAACGATCTGGTCTTCAACTCGCGACGGATGAAGATGCGCGAAGATGGTGGGGAAGAGGAGTGGGATATCGAGAGTGGAAGAAGTTTTGCGGAGGATGAGGGTGGGAGTCCTGTGGTCAAGAGGGTTAGTACGGCGAGAGAGGGGGATGGGGTGGAGTGGGATTTTTGTGAGGTGGATGAGGAGGAAGATGACCAAGAAGAAGAGGAGATTTTGCGGATGAGCGAGAAGGGGTTCGTAATGTTTTGTGGCGGGAAGGGGGAATGGTGGAAGGTTTTTTATCAGGGGATGATGGGATCGCTTCATGGAGAAGGCGGGGGAAGAATGGGTACAACGCAGCCATTGCAAGATCAAGGGGATTAGGGGGCGTGACATGGACGAGGACGCCTGTGGTGGGGAAGACCATCACCGTCACCACGCACCGAGGCATCTTCTCGATCTTATCATCCGGACAACGAACCCGCCCATTGCCCGGCAGGAGCGCCCACGCACAAGCGCAATGCTATCCAAATCAACTATGCCTCTCCAACGCGGATCCTCGTATACCTCGCACCGGCCCCACGGACCCTTATTGAATCATCTGCTGCCCTCAAACTAAAGGCCTTCAATGAAACACACGCCTCTGATACGGCCCCGTTTACCATCTCCGTAGGACTAACACCACTGCCCAGGCTCCCGCTGCCAATCTACAAACGCTTACACCAGGACCGCCACAGCCCAGCGATAGCGCCTACGAGCCTTCCATCGCCTTCCCTGCGCTGTCTAACTCTACCCAACCAGGTTCTTCCGCCGCTTCAGCCGATGTAGTGGCGGAATGCTATATCACAAGCACGAGTGGTTGCTTGCAGAGGCCTGTAGGGTCATGTTTGAGGACTGGTATCAGGATGGGGAGACGGCGAGGGGGATGACGTCTGTGAGGTACGCGATGTGGGGAGGGAAGATTGTTTAGGGTGCGGAGTAAGAGGAGCTGGGTGTGGGTTGATTGTACAGCATGGCACGTTCTGGAGTATCGCAAGTTATGTCGCTTTTGAGATATTGACAGATGGATGTAACACCACCACTTTCCTGAACCGATTCACCCTCGACGTTCATCTACCCCTTCTCTAGATCTCCACAGATATCTTCAAGTCGTTCGCGGAGGATGTGGTCTGAGCCTGTGATCTGGAAGCTGATAAGGATTGATGATGTCGCTGCAGTCGTAGGCTTTGCACGTCCAGCACCACAAGCTCCGCACTCCGACCACCACAGTTGCATTTCCTGGCCACGTAAGGACGCCGATTGTACTAATTCCAGCGCCTGAACTATCGCAGTCTGCACTGCCGTAGAGTAGACACTCTCCGAATTGGTCCGGGCCAATCGAGCCAAAGGTGAACCCCGCGGGGACGTTCTGAAATTCCTCGCTCAGACAAGGCTTGTCAGGTACGAACCCCAGTGGGCGCCAGATACATTCACCGCCCCAATTTGAAAGAGGACACGCATATACAGCGCCGGCGAGACCGCTAGGGTGGAAGGATGTGTGAGCTGCGAAGAGCAGCATTGTGAAGCTGAACTGAACAAGTGGATGCATTGCTGTAGGCATGATGGTTGAATGCTCCCGCTAAGCCTGGAAAAAGTTGATAGAATAGAATAAAGTATACGTATGAGAAAGAAGATGACGGCGCGTTGCGAAGTTGATATTGGTGGAAGATGGCCATGGCTTGCGATGACTGAAGAGCTGGACGGGGCGTGCGCGTGTCACCTGAGAGGCTTTTCGCGGTGCCTCGTTAAGAGGGTACAATCATATGCAGATGATGTCTTGGGGCATTTTGATGCGGCGACTCCCTGATCTCACGCAATTTCGAGCGGATTATCGTAGCTGCGCTGGCTATCTGTATGCAGACATACTACTTTACTCTCAGCCTCAGCGTGCCAAGTCACGCCCAAATTCCCCAGCAATTCCTTCAATGTGCTTTCATCTTTACCCGTGCACTGAGGATATTCCTCAAACCGCGCTAACTCTTCGGCAGTCCAGACCTGCTCGTTCAACACCACATCCTCTGAAGCATCTTTCCAACGAACGATATACTCCTCGCCCCAATCGTTGTAGACTAAATACCTCTCTTCGAAAAGCTCGGTTTTCAGATCGCGTTCTGCCTCCCACGGCATGATAGGATGCCCCGGACAACCGTCGTCGTGCCTGTTGGGCGTGTCGAAGTTCCACTGTGAAGAAGTGCCAAAGCGGAACGTGCGTAGACGCGTGAGAGTCTTGGAAAATAGTTCAAAGGCGTCAGACCAGCGGACTGCGTACGATTCAAGAGTGAGAACGTGTTCTTCGTCAGGTCTAGGCAGGATTGAATAGTCGTGGGCCCAAAACTCGTCTTCGCCGCCGATTTTCGGGTAGCCTTGCTCGTCAAGCCATTGGTTCCGTCCCAGGCTCGCACCACTTTGATATATTATGGAGCAGTGGTCAAAATAGAGCTCTTGCAAGGTTTCAGAGTGATCAACAATCCACTTGAAGTGACGGTCATCGCAAAAAACAAACTGGCCTAGAGCTAGGGACTGGAGCTGCGCAAAGTGTACGTTACAGAAGTCTACTTTGGGAAACCATCCAGTGGGAATATCGGAATAGAGAGTGAGGTGGCGTAGAGTTTTGGCGGGCTCTAGCCATCCCGATGTAAAGTGGGACCATTGCTCATGGCAGTCGGTGGACTAGAAGAAATTAGCTTTGTCTTGGAAATGTGGCAGGGCTTCATGTGAACTCTAAGAATCAAAGAGGTGAAATATTGCGACATGCCTTGTATACGGTTCCTGATTCACCTCTTGGCTGCTCGTGCACGAAGCTTAACCTCAACGCCCGTAGCCCTACCAATATGGGAAAAGATATCTTCATTCCGTGATCATGACCATGACCGTAGCTCCTACGATCAAGTTGTATATGCCTGACAGATAAATCTTTGATGCGCTTCTCGAGCATGGAAAGCAAATCGGCAAGCTCTGAACTGCGGAAATCGTAACCATGCAAGATCATATCGTCGTCGAGATCATCGCCTCCACCATGTCGATCAAAGACCAAGGAGACGCTTTCGAGCCTAGGGAGCTCAGGCAACCGTTCGTAGAGCTCGACCCACTCTGCAGACATCACGGGCTTGGGCATCCAGCCTCGATGCAAGCAGGCATGAGGATGATGATCCTAGGCGCATTTGAGAAACATCCAGGCTTTGTGATCTTAGCACTTACGCAGTCTGGATTGCACAAATAGATTTCCACTTTCCGGACCAACTTCTTTAATTTCTCACTATCCAAAATGCTCGCGAAATACCGAGGATGGTATTCAACTTGATTGGGAAATGGCAAGCCGTCAATCGCAGAGTCCTCGTCCCAATCCGGAAATATAGGAACGGTTGCAAAGTAGTATGGAGTGGAAATGGCGTTCAACATTTGACTAGTGAGGCGGAGAGTAGCAAGGTCCGACCTCTGTGGAACGTGGAGAACGATCTTGTCGATAAGCTCAATCGGCAGAGACGAAAGGTTGGAAGGGTTCATAGTGGCGGTAGATGCTGGATGAACCCTCGATACTTGGGACGCTTTTGAGGAAAGCCCGTTGTACGAGACTTTAGCAGGAGTCGAGGTGCTTAGCCACGCAGGAACGCAGCAAAAGGAGATCAGCTCCAGGCAGCCGACCCAAACGTTCAAAAAGGGACAAGTGCAGTCCACTTTCAATCTAGCGTGCCGATCGCGAACTGGAACACCAAGATCTGTGCCTGGCGTGAGCTAACCACCACGACATATTTTTGTACTAACGAACAGAATGGCCGGCGAAGATAGTATATGGAACAGGAAGAAAGACCTGGTGTATTTGGTGTTCTTCATGACACATATACCGGTGATGCTTGGTAGGTGTGGCGGCGCGATACGAACGTATTAAAAGGAGGTTTCTCGCACTGGGACCTCTGAGATGTACACTAAGACCATGCGCAATCCCAGGAATGAAAGAATTCGCACCCAAGGCTAACGAGGAATCAGCATTCGACCTAACATCCTACTACCCTGTCGCTGTCAAGCCTGGCTGGATGACCGACGTGCGCACCTGGTACATCGCGACGTTCGGCGACCGATTCTTCTACAACGCGCCGTAAGTTGGCCTCGACCTGACCTTCAATATTATTCGACCCTGACTGGTGCATGAAGTGCGTGGTTCTCTACGTTTACCTTGCTCGAGCTAGTTTACCATCTTCCATTCAGTTTCTGGGCCATACCTGCGCTCATTAGGAACGATCCGCGCATACCCTTGGCGCTGCTCGTCTTTGCTCTCGAGACTAGCATTACGACTATTACTTGCTTAGCAGAGATGCTGAGCTGGGACGAATTAACACCCCTGCAGCGAGGCGTGCAGGGACTGGGTGGAATGTACGGTGCATACCTGGCTGTTGGTAAGCTTGTGCCCCTTTCCATTACAGAGTTGTACAACACTAACTGTGAGGAAGGCGTTTTCATGGCGGTGGATTGTTACGCACGCCTGGATCGAATTTTGAGCAAGCAAAAAGGCATCACACCTATCACGAAGAAGAAGCTGTAGGACATATCGTTCCACCCGTCTCTTGCCAGCGAAAGACGATGCATATAGCAAAGGTGTAATCAGAACTGCAAGCTAAGATGAGACCTGCAGACCATCCGGGCTTTGTGATGATTTAGAGAGGCATGCATTGCGTTATTCAATGACCAGATTGTTCTGGGCGAGCATCGGAATTGACTTTTGCTGCACAATAGAAACATATCTGACGCCGTCTTCCAAGTTTATCCTTACACTCTGCTAGCATCCTTCTCTGTCTCAAGATGCACAGCCTGCGCATTGCTCTTGTTGCTCTTTTTCACACTACGCGTACTTAAAGCACTAGCGATCGCACAGGCGCCGAAGGCGATAGCTACCAGGTATACGACCTTGAATGCTCCGACATAAGACGTCTTGACGGCCAGCATCGCCGCTTGGATGGTTTTTGGATTGATGCCAGGCACCTTTGCGTATGCCGCCGGCGTGTTCAACGTGGTGGCTTTGAGCAACGCCGAAAACGACCCTGAAAACCCTGTGCCATCTACCATGCGTTGCAGTGTAGGGCTTATATTATTAGCGTATCGCGAGGTGTAGATGGAGACGTAGATTGACGTCGCGACCGCGCCTCCGATGAGGCGGAACGTGGATATTAGGCCAACAGCGACACCGATATCAGCTTGATCGTCGAGACCGAGACTGACCATGCCGAAGCTGAGGGGGCTGGGTGGTAGATTGCATGCTGAAACGATGACCACGGTGGCGATAGCCTGCGCTTTGTCGTTGATTCCGATGCTGGCCATAGACGCAATGAGCGCAGTCTGGGCCGTGATGAACCCTGTGAGCTGCCATCTCTCGTGGCCTAAAATTGGCATCAAGCTAACACAGTACCATCCAGCGATGATGGTGCCAAAAGATACCATGTTGGCGTATACACCTCGGATGATGGTGTCGTTTGAGTTGAGAAAAAGGAGCGTGGATTGGCGTGGCCAAAGGACGTTCATTGAGTAATAGAGCATGCCGGCGACAAAACAGACAACAAGGAGTGCCGTAAAGTCGCGCCATTTCTTGAACAATTTTGGTGGGAGAATTGGATACTTCAAGGTGGCGTAGACCTCCCATAGCCCCAGGGCGACGAAACATGCGAATGCAACGACGATGGGCGCGACAACGTGTGCACTAGACCAAGGATACGTGACGCCTCCCTGTGGATCATTAGCGACTAAGAAGCGATGTCTTGCGGCCGACCTACCCAGTTCAAGCCTAACAGCAGCAAAAGACATCCCGCAGTAAACAACCACAACCCCACATGGTCCAGCTCCTTGACCAGCTGCCACTTACCCTTCCCATCATCCTCATGCTTCGTTTCAAAACTAGGCGGGCGATAGAAGACCCAAAGCATAACGGCCGTCGCCATCTCAAACGCGAAGCAAAACCAATAGCAAGCCCGCCAGCCAATCTCCGTATACGCGACAAACGCATACGCAATCAACGGCCCGAAACTGCTGACATGGTTCGCAAGGATCATGACACCGAGCGTAGTAAAGCGATACCGATTCGGCACGAGCTCCTGCGCACACGCAAAACACATCTCCTGAAAGCCACCACCGAATCCGAAAAGCACACCAGAGACAATCATCTGCGCGATAGAATGACCTGTCGCTCCGACCAGGGCGCCAATGGCAGCGGAGATGGCACCGGTGAGGAGAAACCAGCGACGACCAAAGATGTCTGCTAGACGGCCGCCAACGGTCACAATAATGGCGGCTCCGAGATTCCAGCAGACGGTGATCCACGGATATTTAGGGTCGGGGCCCAGGTCTGCGTTGATGTAGGCGAGGATTGCGGCTGGCATGATGAGTGTGAATAGATACGACTCGTACATCATGATGAGGGACTTTGGAGCAGTTAATCTCGCGGAACATCTAACGTGAAGCAAGATTGAGCATACTAAGATCGCCATCTTCGTCTTGATCGTGATATGTGGGCGTGCAACATCGTCCACTGCCGGCGGTGTCGAGATCTCCACATTACTGCTACTGTCAGGTGTCTTTGCGACAGCGTCCACCTCTTGTAATCTTGTCTTCTCTTCGGCGACTGCCATACTTGATGTCGTGCGGTGCTCCGCAGTGATGAGTCCGTTCCTCGAGCAGTAAGGCGATAGAAACAAGACAGAGGAAGAACGTTCGTTGCCCCGCAGGGAGAGGACCTTTGCTCAAGGCAATATTGACGATCAGGGTGCGAAACCACCCCATCGGTGCCGCCCATGCAGCATGTACATATTTTCTGGGAACACGAGGACCCTATTCGGACGGCGACAGGCGTGAAAGCTAAGCGATTCGCTAGGCAGGCATAGGACCCGACGTGATCAACGGCGAGTGACATACACTCTCAAAGTAGGACTAATCAGTCATATTTGTAATTTTTATAACTACATTTCTTAGAGGTAAATATACCAAGTCCTTAAACTGTTCGTGCTCAGTTTCGCAGATCAGAGCTATTCATCAAATTGGTTCTTGCAATTCGCTCACCACTCAGCGCCTCTTGCCCACCAACAAATTGCTGTGCGGCACAGTGCGTCCTGTAGCCCAAGACGCTATCGATGGTCTCTTTGCAATCCTATGCAAACCTATGCCTAAATAGGAAGGCAAAGAGGGAAGAGACAAAGAATATCACTGACGATAAGGCAAGCCCGCCCGAGAACTGAGGGAAACTCGAGTAATTACCATACCAAGGGTTTTGTTTATTACAGAACATCTCCTCGTAAGAGCTCCATCCCAGCGCACCGGCACGGTGCACTTGGTGACTCGTAGCGCATCTTCCTGAACGGTCTGTGGAGAGAACTAGATTGAATTCGATTAGATTTCATGGTTGAAATATGGAGGTGGGAAAATTTAACGGTGTTTGGTCGCTGGAAAAGTGATCCCGAGCCGGGTGGTGAATCATTAGCGAGGTGCGGGGAGACTGCTACCGATGCCCAGCTCAGTCACTCGTACTAGACGATATGTATAAAGCTTGATAGCAACATTCCATAGGTCGAATAAATGGAATTGCATGGCAGGCTCCGCTAAAGTGTTACTCATAGCACACTGAACCATCGCCTCTTTGCGCGCCGCCTCTTGCTGACAACCATAGCCAACGAGCCGCATGCCTCGTCAGCGTCTTCGCTCCCATCCAAGGCCGAGCCTTGCCGTCGCGACAACGCACCGCTTCTACTCCTCTGCTCCTTGCTCCCGCTTCTTGTTTGCATAAGAGCCTCCGACAGGCTCCTACTCTTGGTATGAAAGACGCATAAACCTATGCTGGGCCCTCTGTACTTCGCATGCAGCGGACAAAGAGGACTGGTGGGCAAATGTTCGGGAATGACCCACTCGAGCTTCGCTATCTCTTCCGCGCCGCGGGTTCCAGCATCCACTGTAGACCATGTCACGTCTGAAAGGTAGTGCGGAGGTGTGGCCGGTGTGTATGTGCCACCAGTGGGCGTGATTTTAGTAGGGAAAAGAGTGTGATTAGGTGCTTCTACTCGTGAGCTGGATATAGGATCTTGGGAAGACTCCTCAGATGCGGAACCGTTCTGCTCGAGGTCCGTATGCTGTGACATCAGGAGTGCGTCTGAGTCCCAGACACCCCCTGGTGAAGCTGGCATTCTGTGTGTATGTACGCCTTGGAGATCAAAAAAGAAGTCGGCAAGTTTGCCTTTAAGCTCACCGTTCGCTTCAAATATCGGCGGCGTGGGCACACGGTTCAGCCCCGGTGGCACAAAAGACGGTGGAATGGGCATTTTATCTAGGGCTTCCACATTAGTTGGTGTCATTGATTGTTTGCAGGGCCCGTATGATTTGTCTCGTCTTGTAAAAGGGGGCGTTAGCAATCGCTTATCCGGGCGTTTTGGCTTCAGTAAACGCGATAATGTAAATGACGATTGTGAACGTTCAGACTGCGGAGTTGTGCTAAGATCGTTAGAGGAGCTGCGAAATCGACGAGAGCGAGAACGCATCCCTCGCTCGGTTTGCGGCACGGTGACGTCTCGAGGTGACCGGGTATGAGTATCATCTGAATTCCTACGCTCTTCATGGCTGGGTTTCAATGCCTTTTTGGAAGTTCTCCACCGAAATCGACCAAGTATATATCCATTAGGCGCCTTAGTTGTTGGCATTTCCACTTGAGGAGTTTGCAAGGTGCCGTCTGGAGTGCTCTTCGCGGACACAGTTTGCTCCTCGACCTCAGTGATTGGAGCAGGTGCTGTCCTTGGCCCTTGATGGTACCACTCTGGAGGTCTATCCTCAGTCCAAGGTGTCTTAGGACTGCGAGGCCGAGACGGAATCAGGCTATAAGACTCAGCGACCGGCATGCGACTTCGGGGTGGGATCGTGGGCAATTCAAGTGGAAGCGTGAGTTTCATAGCTTCCTTACGAGCCAATTGTCTGCGATCCTTGAGTGTAGCTTTCGGTGGCTGGCTCAATTTTGAGGCTGGCGTATCCGCCCACTTGTGCGTACTTTCAAGTGATTGGCAGGCTTTAGGGCTTGTCCTCACGGAGTCATGCGGTGCATGTGAGCGCTTGATCTCAGGATTGCCCTTCTTCTCTCCCGCGTAGAACATACGCAGATCTGGGAAATGTCTCCTCATGCCTCTCGCAACATCGCTGATCGAAGATCTGTTGGTTTCTGTCCGTGACGGAGTGTGGAGAGATGAAGGTACCGAGAGCTCTTTCGTCGAAGCCGGGGACAATGGTTCTGTTGTGGGGTCTTTTGGCCGGCCATCTTCCCAGACACGGGCCTTCGAATCGGCGCTGGAGAGCTCCTCAAGGGTTGGAGGAGCTCGGGTAATGTGCGGCGATCGATCATTTGCATGGTGCGGCTCATCCGTTGGTTCTGTTTCCCAAGCGAATCCCTCCCGTCTATCCTCGACTCGCGGCGATGAACCTTGTCCTAGAGGTTCACAGACGGTTAGTCTATAGTACATGAACTAACGGTTAGCAACCCACCACCGCCAGGTGTCAATTTTGCGCTGTGTACAGCAATTGCATGATCCTTCAATGATGTGTAGTACCTAGTAATGCCTGGCCTGGGTGCAATTGCGCCATGGATTCCATGATCACCAAAGGGCTGCGCGTCCACGCTCGAGGCTGCAAGATATTTGATGACGTCAGGGCGACAGGACTCAACCTCCACGGAGTGAGGAGATAAACCTGCCGACATCCAAGTCTATAGGCGAGTAGGTACCGCAAGATTTTGCAGAGGCTCGCTTCCGCTCAACTTGGTACGAAACAGGGTGATAGACGAGTGAAGGAAGGATTATCATAGGAAGATGGAGATGGTAATACAGACGCGGGTGCGCTGCCAGCTGCAAAACAGTACACAACCGTTGCGCCAGTCAAATGAAGAGATTGCGCTAAAGTTTAGGGACGCTGTGAGCGGCCAAAGCCCTAAAGAGGAAGGAGGTATGCAAGACATGTTGCTAGAACGGAAAACCTACCTGCCAAACACCGTCGACTAGACCAATGAAATTCGATATGCAAAAAGATAGACAGGCGCCGCGTGATGCAATCCCACTTTCCAACCCTGGTAGTTATCCTAACCCAAACCATGTACGCCCGAGAAGCGCCTGCTCGTTCCTTCATAACATGATCATTATACAACCCCACTACCTACGAGCTGCGCCCTTCGTTGGCATAATCTCGTATTTGCTCGTACCGTCAGCAAAGTAAATGCGGAATAGGCGGTTTGCATTATCAAACATGCCATCCTTCAGACTAACGATGATGAATTGTGACTCCGTGAAGCGCTCCTTGATGATACGACCGATGTTCTGTGTATGCGACGGATCTAATGCCGAATCGACCTCGTCCAGGATGTACATGGGCGCTGGCTTATATTGAAGCAGAGCCAGGATCAGCGCGAGGGCTGCCAAGGATCTATGATACGTTAGACGTTGTCCTGTGTAAATGAACATCAGGGCTTACCGTTGACCACCACTCAACTCGGTCAAAGACTGCTTCCAGACTTTGCCTAGCATGACCTTGATATCAAGACCCTCTGAAACAGACTTGCCTTCCAACGGATCTAGCTTAGCGAAGGCACCCGGCAAAAGATCGTTGAAGATGGTGCCAAAGTAGCCGTTGACTTTGGCCCACGTCTCCTCCAGCTTCTCGTGTTTATACCTGTCTAGCTTCTTTATCGTCTCTTCGATCTTCTGCTTGTCTTTGATCACAATGGACATGTTTTTCTTCAAGCTGACTTCCTTCTTCTCGACACTGTCGATCATCGCCATGACCTTGGGGTTAATCTTATTCTTCATGCCTCGCAATCGCTCGTCCATGGTCTTCCGTCGACTCTTGCAATCGGACATATTCTGCCCTCTGTAATCGTATATGGTGCCGGATCTTCCGAACTGCTCGCTTTCCAGCTCGATCCAGTCGTGCTCTTTCTCGAGTGCTTCGATTCTGCCCGATGCTTCGTCGCGTTCCTTGTCGAAGCGCTCGATCTCGTGACCTAGCTTCTGCTGCTCTAGCTTTGCCTCCGTGATCGATGAATTTTTGGTCTTGATCGCGTCCTCGAGTGCGCGCAGTTCGTCATCAAAACTTGTGAGTTTCTTCTGTTCGTCCGCAAGATTAGCCTGAGCAACGTCATGGTCGTGTTTCACCCTGGCCTGCTCAGCGACGAGTGCATCGATTTCTTCTTGCGAACTGCTCAATGTTGTTTGAGCCTCTTCCAGCTGCTCCTTCGCGGCTGCAAGATCTCCCGCAATATGATCAACTACGACCTTCGCTTCTCGGTTTTCAGCTTGAAGCGGCTTGAGAGAAGCGCTGTTCTTGGCCAACGCCTTTTTGAGTTTGTCGAGCGAAGACTGCAGTTCCGCAAGTTTGCTACCTTTGTTGCTGTTAAACTCCTTCATGTCTTTCTCGACGCGCTTGATGTCTTTGGACGCTTCGTCTTGCCTGGACTTGGCGGCTTTGATGTCGTCTTTGAGTTGACCGATGGATTTCTTCATCTCCTCTACTGCTTGGATGATCGATGAAGATGAGTTTCCACTGATCTGGCTCTCCGTAAGCTGGATGGCATGAGTCTTTAGGTCCAGCTCCTGCTTTAGCCTCTTGGCACCATCGAGCTTCTTCCTCTCCCTAGCCATGGTGGCTTGAAGTTCAGCAAGCTGCTGCTCCTGTGCTTGGAGTTCGCCAGTGATCTCGTTGAATTTCTGCAGCGTCACAAGAACACCGCTCGTCTGGGGCGCGCTTCCTCCAGATAGCGTTCCTTGAGGTTCGTATACGTCACCTTCCAGAGTAACGCTCTTCGTCCGCGGCCCACCAAAGGCTACCGCCTTGGCCGTTTTGGCATCTTCGCAAATGAACGTGTTCCCGAAGACATATTCCATAGCGACGGAAACTTCGTCGTCGTACCCTATGAGAGACAAGGCCAAGTTGGCTTTGCCAGGAGCTTCACGTTGAGCAGCGCCAATCTTCTCGGCGGAGGCCTTGAATGCTTTTATCTTGTTCAATGGGATCACAGTGTATCGTTTTTTGAGCCGCCCATTCTGGATCAACTGCTTGCTCGTCTCTGCGGTGTCGACGACAACATTGTACAGGCGACCGCCGGCGCATATCTCCAGAGCAGTACCGGCACGCGTGTGGTCCTTGTCGAGGGTGAAAAGCTGTGCAACCAGGCCCTTGACGCGCGAGCGATCGAAATTTGGTGACGGGTTCTCGTAGCTGAAGTCTATATTGGCAACCTTCCTCTTCAAAGCATCAGCTTCACGTCGTAAGTCCTGTATCCGAGTTTGCAGATGGGACTCTTGTTGGTAGAGTTCCGCTTCATGCCCAGCATCGAAGCCCAGCTTTGAGAGCTCCGCTTCCAGTCTTTTGGCTTGGAGTTTTTGTGCTTCCAACTCTTTCAAGAGTCCGGAGTTCTGCTCTTTGGCTTTCTTGGCTTTCGGCTCATCTTCCTTGATCTGCTTCTCCAGGTGCGCGATCTTGAGCTTGCTTTGTTCTTGTTCGATTGCAGCTGCGCTTTCCCTGTTTCGAGCTTCTTGGAGCTTGCCTTGGTAACCGCTTTCCTGGCCTTCCTTCGACGCCACGCCCGTTTGAAGCGTTTGAAGGAGCTCTTCCTTTTCGCTTACATCCGCGGTCTGCTTAGCTAATTCATCGTGTGCAGCATTGTACTTTTGTTCTAGCTTTTCGTGGGCCTTTATCTTTTCCTGCAGCTGCTTTTCCAGGTCTTGAACGCTCTCCTCGATGTTGCGCTTCCGATCGACTTCCTCTGATATGCTGGACTTCTTCAGATCAAGGACAGTCGTCAAGCGCACCAGTTCGTGAGAATGGGTCTTGACCTCCTCGTCGAGGGCTTGGAATTGTCCGCCCTTGCGAAGTTCCTTTTCGCGCGTTGCTTTCACCTTCTCAATGTCCTCCTGAATGTATTCGATCTCGCCTTTCATGCGTGCGGCCGACTGTTCCAAGAAATCTGCGCGCTGCTTCTTCGCTTCCAGGTCGTCTAGAGATTGCCGCAACTTCTCCTTGTAATTCACGTAATCGTAGGCGACGACCAGCCGGATCAAACGTTCGAGATCGCCCTGTGTCTGTTGGAAATCAAGGAAGGCGCGCTTCTCTTGGCGTAGCTTGTCCAGCTTGGGGCCAATCTCGTCCGTCAAGAGCCCATTGAGCTCCTGCACTTTCAGTTCCTTCTTCGTCAAAGTTTTGAGCGCCTTGTCTCGCCTGTCGTCATACATTCGTGTTCCGGCGGCCTCCTCAAGAAGCGACAGAATCTCCTTCGGCTTCATGCTCAACACTTTTGTAATGTATCCCTGTTGAATTAGGAAGTTGGGGTTGTTGATGTTGAGCTGGACCGATTGGAACAAGCTGTGAACTAGGTGTTGCTGCGCGCGCATTCCGTTGATAAGGTATTTGGTAGTTCCACCGATCACGATCGTTCTCGTTACTGAGATTGTGTCGACATTCTTGTGCGTTTCGGGGCTATTGGCTTTGTCACGGTTGTCGAACGTAATGGTAACGCTCGCTTTGGTGACACCGGCCTGTCCGCGCTTGTATATGAGATCCTATACTCCAGTGTCAGCGCTCCACTCGAGGCTGGCCCCGCGCACGCATCACGCATCACGCACCTGGAGGTTCGACGCTCGCACGGAGCTCAGGTTGGTAAGACCAAGCACGAAGCATATCGAATCGAGAATGTTGGACTTCCCGGAGCCGTTCAATCCGGTGATGGCGTTGAAGCTGCTATCCCTGCTTGCTGTGAGCCCTCGCCAGCTTTCTGTGCCAGCTCGATTTGACGTACCAGTCCCTGATCACGGTGCGAGTCGCGTACGACTTGTAGCCCTGCAAGTTGTTAGCAATGGTCGCGCGAGGGCGTGAGCATACGCACGTCTATCACCAGCTCCACGATCTTCATGGTGGTGGCATGTGCTGTTGTTTTGGCGGATGCTGGTGGGCTGTTGTTTGTTGTTGTGCGCTTTCCGTTTCGGGCGTTGATGCTTGGCAACGCCAGATCACGTGTAGCCCCACCTGGGCGCAATCGCGTCGCGTCTCGATGCGAAGTGATTAGCCTAAGCAACCCCAAGGCATCACAGCATCTAGATCAAGAGTCCACATACTATACGCGCAGATATCGTCTCATAGCCGAGATGCTTGTAGAATTCGTTTGTCCCCAGTGCTTGCGATCATCTCCCGCATTCTCGACACCCGTAGGAGAAGCTGTGCCACTATCAAGCATGCCACACTCGATGAAGATCGAGATACTGTGCAGTATCTGCCAATGGTACCAGACGCGCTTGTGCGCATGCGAGTGCCATCCGATGTATGTTCACGTAGTCCACATCCCAGTCTCAACTGGCCATCTAGTCAAAGGTGAACACACAGAATAGCCTACCGTACGAGTTGCTAGCATCCTGTGTAAGCAGCGATGATTCTCCACACTCACGCAAAGTCAAACAGCACAACTAGCTAGCCTATCCTTCGGTTGCGCGCCCGACCAGGTGCACGGTCATGGTTACATTGACGCAGGATGCGGTTCACTGACCATATGTCCAGGATTCCTCAATAATGGCGATCAGCGCAGCGGCCCTGCATTGGTGTTGGCGACCCTCGGATCCGGTTCCTGTACGCCACTCTGTAGATGACCTTGTGCTTGAATTATGAGGTTGCACAGCTGATCCCATCGGCATCTGATCTATGGAACGCCTGGTCATTCGCCACAATCGTACTTTCTGGTCCTGTTTGGCTGCCTCAACATGAATGACGCTTTGTCCCTCAATCAGCCCTTCGCAATAGCTTTCTCGTTCGAATTCGACATTTGGCTGTCAGTCCACTGCAAAGCCGTACCGTAGTGCTAATGGCGCCCAATCCTTTACAAGCTTCCTAAGCTTACAGCCGAAGCTCGCCACCAGAATGCTTGTCACACCAAGTGTGAGCTTAGGCAGCGTGGGATTAGCGGGGTTGTCCGAACGACTACCGAACAGGAAGCTGTATTCAACCGGCTACCAATCACATGTATCCGCAGTCTATCTTCGATTTGCGCGATACCAAGGACCTATGTCGTACTTTGAATTCAATTCGTTTAAATGCGGTTGTGGATCGTTGCAATGTGATGATCCAGGTCGTTGGACGCAAACTCAACCTGCGGCGAGCCCGAAGAGCTTCGTTTCTTTTCAACTTTGACCGCGCGATCAGTTGCGCAAGCACGCCATATGGTGTCTCTGCAAAACCGATGGAGGGGACGCTCGCGCGAGGAAGTTGTTGCACCCAAACGCGCCAACACAACTGCTACAGAGACGACCAACACTTCGGACCGAGCAGGCGACGACAAGGGTGAACCTGTAATGGCTGACTCCGGAAAACCATACGATCCCGAGAAGCTGCCCCACGAGGTCAACACCCCTGGGGACGCACCAGGCATCGATGTCGACGCTGACGATGAGGCCGAGCTGCCTGAAGACCTCAGAGATCTCCCCAAAATCGTACGGTCGATTGTCAGCCTCGAAGACGACCCCGATGCGCCGACCATTACTTTCCGCTACTTTCTCTTGTGTTTCCTCTTTGTGCCGCCCGGGGCGATCCTCTTCCAGATGGGCATCTTCAGGACAACGGCCTCCGCATATCCAGTGCTCTTCGTGCAAATTGGTGAGAGTCGCCTGCTACTTGTGTTGCTCTGCTCTAACAAAGTTAGCCTCGCACTATGTCGGAACTTGGCTTGCAGAAATCCTGCCTAAGAAGACTATAAGGGTTCCGTTTACAAAGTGGGGCTTCAGCTTGAATCCTGGCCCTTGGAGCGCAAAGGGTACAGTTTGGTGTCAACCCGCGACTAGCCGACACTGATCTGTACAGAGAACGTCCTTGTCACGGTTACTGCTGCCTCTGGAGCAACCTCCAATGCCGCGTGGGCCCCCATATCACTGGCGCAGCTTTACTATGGCACCAAGATTCCGGTAGCAGCATGCCTCTTCTTCATGTGGGCTATTGTGTACATTGGATACGCTATGGTGAGTGGCCTGCATATTTTCCAACAACGTAGTTTCTGCTGTACTTAACCGTCTTAGGCTGCGTTGGCGCGACAATTCCTCTTATACGATCCTATCTATGTGTAAAACTTTCCAGTTCCTTGATCCTTCTGTTCTAACATTATGTCAGCTGGCCATACTCTTTAATGCAGACTGCTGTCTTCGAAACTCTTCATAAGTCTGTGCAAGATTCTTGGATTGCTCGGAAGCAGAAGTATGTATTCTTTGGCGCTTTCCTCTTTATGACGCTCTGGGAATTCCTCCCAGAATACGCGTTCCCTATGCTCAGCTCGCTATCCTTCCTTTGCTGGGTTGCACCACGGAATGCGGTAGCGAACTTCGTTGGTGCCGGGATCGGCGGCATGGGCTTCCTTAACCTTACCTTGGATTGGGCAAACATCAGCAATCAGTCGCTGATTAGCCCCATGATTGTTCCCTACTGGACGACGGTGGTGTTGACTGTGGCCTTCATCTTCAATTGCTGGGTCCTAATACCAGCGGCTAAGTACGGCAAACTCAGCAGCTGGGCCAATGATCAGCTCATGTCGAACCGGCTTTTCCTCGAGAACGGAACGAGATATCCAGTGACAGCTCTGATCAACCCGGACATAACCTTCAACGAGACCGCTTATCAAGAGCATGGACCAATATATGTCGGAACACAGCAGTTGTGGAGTCTGTTCTTCGACTACTCCTCCTACATTAGTGCCCTGACTTGGATGGCATTGTTCGGATATCCCAAGATCAAAGAAACAATTCAGGTGCTTCGAAAACGGGCCAAAGACAGGAAGAGCAACACCAGCGTCAACGATTTCTATACCGATCGCCTGAATGTACTCATGCGATCTTACGAAGAAGTTCCCCTCTGGTGGTATGTTGCTTTGTTCGTTGCCTCCTTCGTCACCATCATCACGATACTAGGATGTGGATACTTCTTCATTCCTATTTGGACCTTCTTCGTCGCCATCTTTTCTTCTGGTGCTATGATCATTCCGTTCGCTTGGCTTTATTCCTTCTCCAGTTTCCAGGTACCGATTGGCTCGTTCAACGAGCTTCTGTATGGCTACATGGTGCACGCCACGAACGGGCACAAGCACCCTGCTGGAGCCACCGCATATGGCTCAATCGCTGGGGACATCTGGTATCGCGCTCAGTATATGCTACAAGACCAAAAGATAGGACACTACATGCACGTACCACCACGCGCAATCTTCCTTAGCCAGATCTTTGGCGAACTGCTAGGCGTTCCGATAAACTACGGCATCATCCAGTGGATATTAAAGACTAAGCGCGACTTCCTGCTAGGCGACAAGACTGACCCCTTGCACCAATGGACTGGCCAAAGGTGCGTCTCCCCACATGGAGCAAAATGAGGCGTCGGCTGACCAACAGTCTTTCTAACTATAATACACTGGGCGTACAATACGTGCTAGTAGGACCGAAACGGCTGTTCTCGCAAGCCATGTACAAGCCGCTACCGTACGCCTTCTTGTATGGTGCTCTAGCTCCGTTCCTGCTCTTTGCGCTGCACAAAGCTTTTCCAAAATCCAAGCTCAAGTTCCACCTCTGTAAGTTATGCTCTTTGTGAGAATATTGCAGCCTCTTACATTCAAAAGGGAATGTTACGATCTTCGGCACAGGAATGTCTCAATTCTACGGCAATCTTTCGACTGGCTACATTTCGCGCTTCATTGTCGGCTACATTTGCATGTACTGGTTCTACCGTCACCGGTTCCAGACCTGGAAACGCTACAACTACCTTGTCGCTGCGGCGTTTGACGCCGGTTTCAATATTGCGATGCTGCTTATTTTCGTTATCTTCAGCAGCGGGAAGGTTATCAACATGCCATATTGGTGGGGTAACAACGAAACAAGCGTGGAGAGGTGCTTTGCTCTGGAGTAGATTCGCAATCTGGAACCATGGGCTCGGCTGAGTCGACAGTGATAGGGATTAGCGTTTGTATAGGGTCGTTCGTGCCACAGTGCCTGGCACAGAAAAACATGATTTAGGCGCACACCCAATCCTGTAATAATTCGCCTAACTATACCTTCATGAACTTGAAGTGTAGTGATTTAGCGTAAGTGTTTACCGGCAGGTCTCCTGCAAAGAACCCAGTTTTGTCGTTGTATCAAGGTTTGGACCTTTCGTGACCATAATTGCACAACTTTCAGTTCGTACGAATTGCACATCGAAAGTGCACCAACATCGCACTTGCTCCTTCATTGCTGCCTAGCCTGTAGATCCTTGCGCTGACATAAGCGCGCCACCTTCAGCTCCTCACATTGCATTACGGCTGTATCCATCACTCTATTACTTGCTATTGATTCACTGTTCGAGAAACATACGGTTACTCTCATCTTCAATCACTCAGTCTACTCCTTGTGTCTCTATACATCATGGCTTTCGCCAAGTCGGGCGGGGATGCGGGAGCAGACAACGATATTGTGAACGCATTTAAGCTCGAAACCAACCATGTGTTTCAGAAAGACAGAAATAATAAGTGTGCTCCTGATTCTGGGCAGTGGTTCTTTCATCATCCCGAATATGAGGCCTTTCGGGCTGCCAAGGGGCTACAGCTTCTGTTCGTGACTGCTGAAGCAGGTGGTATGTCAAAACAATTCAAGGATAGCAATACTTAAGCAATACTAAAAGCAACCAGGAGGTAAATCCACCGTAATGAGGACTTTGGTAGACAAGCTGCAACATTGCGACGGCCAGCCAGTGGTTGGGTACTTTTTCTTCAAGGATGACGATGACCAGCTTCGAAGCTACGAAGACGCCCTGAGTTCAATAATATACCAGGTATTTGTCCAAGAGCGCAGCCTAATCAAGCACGCAAGGGACTTGTACAAACAATACGGTCATGGAATACGATATCAGACCGAGAAACTGTGGCCTATTCTCCAGGCGGCCGCCACTGATACACACCGGGAGTTGATTTGCATACTGGACGCAGTAGATGAGTGTGCACCTGCGGGTAGACGACAGCTCGTGTCTGATCTGGCCGATGCGTTCAAATCAGGAGTAGAAAGTTCGAGTACAAAGCTGAAATTCGTAGTAACCTCTCGGCCCTACCAGGATGAGAACCACCCATACACAGACCTGATCACATCCAAAACGATCCGGCATCTGGCAGGCGAATATGCCAGAGTTCAGTCTGACGTCCAGTCGATTATACGTTTCAAAGCGGAAGAGCTGGCCAAGAAGCACCGACTGGCACAAAACACGTTGGAAATCCTCGTCGAAGCGATCTCAAATCAGAACTTGCAGACGAGGTCTTTCATGGCCGTTCGGATGACTTTTGAGCTCCTGGACTCGCACGAGTTGATGCAGGAGAGCGCGGAAAAGGACATGATCCATGCGATACTTGCAGATATACCGCAGACTCTGGGCGACCAGTTTGATAAGATGCTGGACAGAAGTCGCAATAGAGAGCATGCTCGTCGATTGTTCTGCGTCATTCTGGCCTCTCGGAAGACGCTCAAGATATCGGAGCTCAAGGTTTTGTATGTATTAACACAGCCACGAGACCCTGCCACTAAGGCCCCGCAATCCTACGAAGATTTACAGCTGCCGGCGGATGACGAGGAGTTCAAACGCCTTGTTCGAGCACAGTGTGGTTTATTCATCACATTCGTGAAGAACTCCGTCCATTTGTTTCATCAGACAGCGCGAGAGCACCTCATGGCAAGTCTGGATAATACAAACACAGTCGTCCCGATGAACGAAATCATGTCAACGACGTCTAGTTCAATTGCGGGTCGAGAGAAAGGTCGGCAGCGCACTTGGAGAGGCTGCATAACCAAAGCAGGTGCAAACCTCGTCATGCTAATTGCATGCACGGATCTACTCAACTTCAATATCTCAAGATCGTGGGTTCTTAATGTGTGAGTGTTTTCCCATGGCTGGTATTATACCTGAAAGACTCACCTGTCTGGCCATAGTTTTGATAGTCTAGATGCTGGAAATGGCTTTCATGATGATATAAAGGCATTGCTCGAAAACAAACCGTTTCTTCAATATACGGCCTTCAACTGGTACGAGCACGCCATGCTCGGAGGTGACGATGCCCTGGTCGCTTTGCGTGATCCACATCATGCATCAATCCTCGACGTGAGCAAGCCCTCCTTTTGGGGGTGGTTTCTGATATTTGGGGACTACATGTGTACGAACACGTCGAGACCTGAGTCGATAATATCCAGTGCCTGGGAGGACGATTACAAGAAATTCCAGCTATCGGCCAAGTATGGGGCAGTTCTCCGGGAGGTTTGCTTGAAAAAGTTATTTCAAATGGACCAGACAATCCACACTCTACTTGATGATCCATCACTCCCATCGGCGGAAGTTGCGTAAGTCAGCATGACGCTAGGTTGCCAGACTCTTACTCACCAACAACCAGGTCTTCCCCAAAAAGTCCAACTTGGACAGCTGCAGATGGCTATGATCTGATCGATCGATATCATTTGGCTTATGGAGAGTATGAATACACAAGTCTTGCAAAAGCAGCACAATGTATCGAACACGGACAGGTTGCACGAGCTGCATTTCTCTCTACCGATCTTCGTACTCCGAAGATGATTTGGACCTGTATCAGTGACGGGGCATCGATTGCCTTGAAGTATATCTTATCTTCAGTCAACGATATCGATTGGCTCGACCAAGTGCCGGAGCACATCATGTACCGGAGAAGGCTTTGGCATGGGTGGTCCAGTCGCACAGGAGAAGAGCTCAGGAAGAAAAGAGAACTGGGCTGGAAGGAGCCATGGTCGCCAGCTCTAACAGCCATGGTGAGATCAATGAACGACCATCCTAATGCGGAGATATTCCTGGTTTTGGCAGGCTGGCTGGAATCATCCGCTCAAGCCAAGGAATACGCTCAGCTGTTATGGAAAGCAGGAGGATTCCTGGATGCTTCTTTCTGCCGCCATCTCTCCAAAGCTGGTGCCCCAATCAACGTGCAATGCCGGGACGATGGCATGACTGCTCTTCATATTGCGGCCTCCCTCTGGTATCACGATAGCGTGGACACATTAGTCGAATTGGGTGCAGATCCAATGGCCAAGACTTCGAACGGACTGACTGCCCTTCAAATGTTTCTCTATGGACCTAAGAAAATTATCAAGGATACGCGATCATCATTCTCGGTTAGTTCCAGATCAGCCTTTAGGGAACTGCCTCTAAGACAACAGCAACAACGTCGAAAAGCTCGCATTCTTTCAACACTGCAGACTCTTTGCAAGACACCACCCACGCAGTCGCCTTTGGATCAAATGAGCGCTAGAGGAGAGTATCCACTGATGCTTGCGCTGAAAAGCTCTCCAACTGCAACGGAAGGCCTAATAGAGGCAGGTGCCAAGGTCGAGCAGGCCGATCAATGGGGCCGCACAGCCCTGATGCACTTCTTCTGCGGTGACTTCCACGGCCGCTCGTCCAAAATTTTGAAGCTTATTCTGGATAAGGGTGCTGATAGCTCTGCATGCGATGCAGCTGGACGTTCGGTTTTACAGTACTGGACACGCCAAGTCTTCGCTATGAACCTGTCTAGCCTTTACCCTGGGTTCAATCGCTTCAACAAAAGCTTCGATGCATTGACGAGCACAGGAGCACTCTCTGATGATGATACTCTGATTCAAACACTGGCGCCCACAGGATTTCCGTTGGCTGCAGCTGCTCGCCTTGGTAACACTAAGCTGTGCTGGGCTCTTTGTATGGCAGGCTCAGACCCAAACAAACATGGTCTGACAATGAAAACGCGTCTTGCCGAGAATTTTGGAAGCGAAGCAAGTGATCTGGAAGATCTGAACTGGAAGCCCCTTCTGATCGCATTGACGCACAGAGCCTACACTACTGCAGCGATACTCCTGGGTCATGGCGCGGATGTTACGTTCAAGACCCCTTCTCGACAAAGAACGAAGTACAACAAATACCGTTTCAAGACTTGTGGAACAACAGCACTGCATGTTGCCGTTCAGAGTCATTCTTCGAACCACATTGGTTTCAACATGTCTCTGAGCACTGGAGGCTTGTCAGGGTGCTCATTCCTTGTAGTCGGCCATCCGGAGCTTCAGACATCGAAGGAGCATCCTCGAACTAGTCTGGCAAAATACTCTATAAGGCAATGGGAAAAGACTGAGTCGCACAAGAAAAGATTCAAGGATGAGAGCTCCGACGTAAGTTCACCAAAATGAGGACTAGGATCGCCATCTTGCACTGACTAACATCGAGTAGTCAGAGTTCGAGTTGCCGCATATCAAACCCCACAACGACAACACAGGAGACAAGCTGTTACCGTATGATAAGCTCTCCGAGACTATGCTCCAAAGGTTTCACTCAAAACTCGATGACCCGCTCTACTTCAGGATCATAGATCAGGAGCTCACTCCCGCTGCCCGTCAAGCTGCTATTGTTGAACTCCTACTCAAGAAAGGGGCTCCAGTGAACGCGAAAACGCAAGAAGGCAGAACCCCACTCCATGTCGCTGTGAATTCTAACCCAGATCTCGTCCGGCTGCTCCTCGAGTACGGCGCAGACCCGAATGTGGCAACAACAGACGGAATAACGCCCTTGATGCAAGTAGCATCAAGAGGCGATCGTGAACTTGTCGAGATGCTCTTGCTCGCTGGTGCGGATCCAGATGCCCAGCTGATTCTTGCGCCATTGGACAAGCGGCAGTGCTCTTCTTTCATCGAGCGAAGCCATTGGACATTCCACCAATGCGATGCACCTCTTACAGCCTTGGCGGTCGCTGCAGAGCGTGGACACTATGAGGTAGTTGAACTCTTGCTTCAGCACGGTGCGGACCCAAATAAGCCTATTGAGCATCATGCGCATGGTCGACTACCGTCTAAGCGAGATAAGCGACGGCGAGCACGGCATTATGCGGATCTTGACTCTTCAGATTCAGAAGTGGAGCCTGAGCAGTGGAAGGGATACATAAGTATTGGCATTGCGCTGTCATGGGCGAGGGATGAGGTGCGCAAGCTGCTGCTCCGGAACGGGGCTGTTCCAGAGAAAGAGCAGTCGTCGCGAGAGTGTGACTGCGTCGTAATCGAAAAAAGGAAAGAGAGAAGCTGGGTCACTGATTCGGAAGATGATTTGCCCGCGAGGAGTGATGGGGATGACTCTGATTCAAAATTGCGGAGGCATAGGTTGCCTGGTAGGAGGGTATTCAAGTGGGACGGGGACACTGATGACAGCGACTAGATGGCCTAGTAGATCCGTTTTCTATCTCCTTGAACGCTACATTCTAGTGAGAAATTGTGTCCTACGTTGCCTATGTATTCCGTACCTTGAGGTAACACACTGTATTAAACTTCTGTCCTGGCGTTGTACGACAGTTTTATGCGTGGCCACGTCTCTCACAGGCTAGCGCAGGCGGCAGTCCTACTTAACCTAATGCGGACTAGTGCAACTGCCACTTTCCATCGTGGGACCTTCTTTCCTGTAGACCCAACAGCTCGAATGACAAACATCAGCAGCACATTGAAGAGCACAATACATAACTCGTCTGGTGAGCGATTTCTGCAGCCTCTTAACCCTCCATCTCGGCATCTCTCAACCCGCATTTCGTTGCCCTTCACCCTCGCTCGATACGGTAACGGCAAGTGATAATATGCTCAGGATCGATACTTATTCCCATTCAAAGTGAAAATTACACGGGCCAGTACCCAGGTATACGCGCCAAACGCTCTTCTGCACATTTGAGCTCACCTCTCAAAAGCACTCTCAAGTACACCCAGGCTTAGCTAAACTCCCATCGCTATCAACAAGTCTGGCTGAGATGTCATTACGCGGCCAGCCGCCGTCTATCGTCGACTTCTACAACCCTTACATCAATGCCAAGGATGCACATGGGCGCACGCGAGAGCAGATACTCAAGTGGAGTGAGTCAAGGAACAGCATGCCAAGTATTGTAGAGCATGCTGATCCCCTGCGCGACAGACAATGACAAGCTAGAGCGAAGCCATGACTATATCCAGATTCTTTTCCCTCTCCCAGAAGGCTCTATGTTCAGCTACACCGCCCCAATTATCGACAAGAAGACCGTGGAAGAGTTTCGCACGAACGGCCATCTACAGACGACTTTGGGCCAAGCCTTCGACAGGATGATGAGGTTTTATGGCTTTGAAGTTGTCTCAGCCCTCGATTCAGCGGACTCAGCGAAGCAGGCAGAGGAATGTGCAGCCGCTGAAGAGAAAGGGAAAGGCAAGGCCGCGGAGGGCGAAGGTGAGCCACGATCCTCAATGTCCAGGATTACGCGGCATCCATGACGATTGCACGCTGTTTTTGAACCACTTATTAAAATCGATATAGAACACGACGAAGGCCGCAATGGTAGTGCTGGCACCACGGCGTCTCTCGATGTTGATCCTTCTGTTCCATCAGCCCATGACACCAAGTTGCCTGAAAAATCCGTAGCCTCTTCAGGGGTCCATCACCTTCGCGTCATACGTGGAGTCAACTTCGAAGAGCGCTCCAAGAATTGGTGTGTTCAGATGGACCACAACCACCTCCGTATCTCGCGTATCCTACGTTCCTTGCGCGTGCTAGGTCTACAGCGGCAGTGCGAGGCGTTTTTTGAGGCACTTACCAATGTGTACAATGATCCGAAGACCACTATCGGCAAGAGTTCGATGATGTTTTGGAGGAGGGCAGTCTGCGAACCTTTGCATATCGCGCCTGACGGCACGGAGTGCAAATGGCTGAAGGCGTTAGCGTTATAGGAAACCTCTCGGACACAGATCAAGGTATGTGGTCAACAAAACTTGCCATTCATGTGGAGTCTACAATACTGTACGAGGACAAAGTTTTGAGTACAGCGTGTTGCCCCAGGATAAGCGATACGTAGGCCGATTGTACTGGAACTTTTGCCTGGTGTTGTACTAGTGTTGTTGCACTTCCAATCTGCCCCTTTGATTGACGAAGCATGCTGGGCACCAATTACGAACTTTGACTCACCGTGCATTAGGATTACATGATGATCACTTTTACAATAGCGCAACGAGCGGATAGCCCTCAACCTTTCATCGAGCGCAGCATGGACTACAAAAAAGAATGGAGACGATTTGCTTATGACGCATTAAGTTCCAAGGTCAAGAAAAAGGTACTGGCGTTCTCTAACCGGTTTATCTTTGGGGGTATCGAATGACTGGGCCTGGGCATGGCCAGAGGCCCAACATCCTGATTACACTCATACGCTTATATATAGTGTCTCTTCGGTCTCAATGGCAGTACTTCTTTGCGAGAATCGCCCCGAGAAGACCTATGGGTGCCCACGTGTGATGCGTTATCCACTCAGATAATCACGAACCCGACATTCAAGCGAAGCTGTCAAAACTTTATAATCCTAGCAGAATTGCATTTGATACATGTACACGCAATCCGTATCGCGTCCCGCGACCTAATCCTTTATTTAAAACTCAGAGATCAAGTCGCCGCGTCTCTTGCCGCGCATGTCCCACTTGCCCTGCTCCTGTGTTAGCTTGCCCCAAACATGTGTGCCAGCGCAACCCACATCAGTCATATATCCAGCAGTACCCAGCATAGCCGGCACGACGATGACGTATGCAAACGTGATCCAAGCAGTCCGGGGCGTCCAGCGGAAGTACTTGTGTCGGTTCACGGTCATCTCTGTCCCGCGTCAGCCTCAGCACCCATGCCTTATATACCGACCGGCACCAGTCCGCCGCGCACGAATTTGAGGGCTATCGGTAGAGTTCGCGGGTATCACGACGTACGGTTCCATTTGACGAGGGCCGGGTCCATGTGGATGGCTGTGACGAAGATTAGCATTGCGAGCCATTGCGCCGCGGGAGAGCAGCGGCACGCACCTGGAGGGTTGTGGGGGCCGAATCCCGCCATTTTGAAGACTCTGGAGGCGGTATTCCGAGTATAGAGGGATATTGCGTGGCTGCGGGGAAAGCTTGGTCGTTGTGGTGGTGAACGACGATGAGGTCGGCGATGATGTGTGACTAAGCAAAGGGCTTGGCGCCCGATCCCTGAGGGACCAAACTCTCCAGCTGTTCTATCAATAATTAGTCCACTACAGGGCACGCACGACCGAACCTCGACTATATGGATGAAGAAACCAACGTGATAGTCTATGAGCACGAGAAGATCTGTCTCGACACTCTCAGTTCTCATCAGTCAGCTTCTTCACATCGTCCAGTAGGCGGCACGGTGGTAAGACTACCCCCGATCCCGCATGAACATGATTGCATGGACATGTCATAGCTCAGCGTCGGCCCTGCCGTTGCACGTAAGACTTTCCATCGGATATGCAATTGAGGGTTCTCGTATACGGCCTGGTCCTCGAGCTCCCAAGATACTCGCTGCATGGCCGCTGCATGGCCGCTGCATGGCCGCTGCCGTGGGTCGGCGCTGCCTTCGTACGAGGCTGATGTCCGCACTCCAACCCGTACTTCTCCGCGCAACAATCCTTCGGAGCTCGTTCGAACTCGCGAATCGTTTCTGCCTCCCTTAATTCCATCCGATGCTGCCAGAAACAGCTATAATCTGACGAACGGCTGCGCCAAGTGACCGATAGGTCGCAGAAAATATCCCCGCCGCACCGATTTCTAGGCTTACAATAAGTAGCGCATCGGCCGAACACCTGGGGTTACTCTCCAGTCCTTTTCCTTTCCACGTTTACCCACACTACCAATCATTGTGGTCTAACCGATCCACACGCAATAATCGCTACGTGCTGCGTCATCGATATGTCTACAGTCGCCAAGGCTGGTCAGGGTGTGAAGTTAACGGTGCATTGGTATGTCCCTCCAGCCTTGCGGTCGCTCGCCTACCAATATGCAGCACAAGTGCCGTAATTCCAGGCCCGCATGCACATTGCATTGTCTTCAGGTCCACGTGAGATACTGACAAATGAAAAAGGCTGAACGAGTCTCGCGGCCAACGCATTGTGTGGTTGCTTGAGGAGCTGAACCTCGATTATGATATCAAGGTCTACTTTAGGCAGAAGGACAAGCATTCACCTCCGGAACTGAAGCAGGTTCATCCCCTGGGCAAGTCGCCATTGATTTCCATTGTGGCCCCGGGCCTTGAGAAGCCATTAGTCCTAGCGGAGTCTGCCGCAATCGTCGAATATGTTTCCGACCACTTCGGCCAGCAGCTTATCCCAAAGCGTTATCCGAACGGAAACGATGGGTTGATCGGCGCGGAAACAAAAGAGTGGTTACGATTCCGTGTAAGTGCAATCTCATTTGCTGTCGACCCTCAATCACTCGAGGACGTACCTCTCGGCCGCGACAAGATCGCTTGCGTCTAAACGCTGCAAGCGCCAAGCCAAACCCTGCAGTACCCTTTATCCTTTGTTTGGTGAATACGACAAGGCGCAGTCCAGCTCGACTTGGGACATCATCTGCACAACAGCAATCTTCCCGCCATAGTTGAGCATGGGTTGTATGGTTAATGTCTTTTTAGTTCTTGATGCATTATGCCGAAGGCTCCCTCATGCCTGTTCTCCTCACCGGGCTTCTCACGCACAACATACGCGAGGCTCCCGTACCGTTCTTCCTCAAATTCATCACCAAGAAAATCGCAGACATGATCGACAACAATTTCACACTCGCGGAGCTAAAGCTGAACCTGAGCTATCTGGAGGCTCTTCTGGCAGAGTCTCCAGATGATGAGTTCTTGTGCGGCGCCAATCTTACGGGAGCTGACTTTATGATGATCTTTGTTCTAGAAGCAGCAGTATTGTTCAAAGCGCTGAACGAGACGAGCTATCCAAAATTGTATAGCTACGTCCGCCGCATACAGAGCAGGGATGCCTACAAACGGGCGGGCGATAAGGTCTCGGAGGCGAGTGGCGTGAAGTACGTGCCATTCTCAGAAAAAAAGCTGTAGCTGCAGACGCGCGGGGGGAAGACGGTTCCGGGCGGCGTTAGTTGCGGTTCGCTCTCAGCCGGCGGCCGTTTTGCGGCATGTCACAGGTGCAGCTGTTCTTAGCTGCTGCTTTGATGTACCTGTAATATTCTAGATCGACTGTAGCGTAGATCACACAAGTCGGAGCTCGCGCTTTCAAACTGCCCAACCTTTTAATGTTCCGCCTGTCACGCCAATGCAGCGCAAGAGCTCGCGAAGCGCCAGCGTTGCACTCACGTCAGCGATGAAGCATACTAAACATCGCCGAGGCCAAGGTCCTTTCCTAGCCCATGGCAGGCGTCAAGCGTCAGCCTCAGCCCTGTACACCTAATCATGGAGGATCGTCGCCCATATCCGCAGGCTCTTTGGGTGATGTCAAGCTTTGGATCCGTTTATTCGCCCGAAGCCGTGTCCGTCCGACTGCAGCGCAGAATTGCAGGGCCTGATATATATGTTCGCGGAGGTGCGCAAGACTGCGCGAACACGCAGGCCGCGTTCAGACGAAGCATTCGATGCCCTCACATTTCAACACTCCTGGATAACAGCCAGTGCCCAGCCTCATACGGACGGAACCCTGCCGACCCTTCCCAAACTATACTTGGGACTGATTACTACGCTGCTGAACGCTTGACTAAAGCCTCGCACTAGGCCCTTTCCAGCACGCGTTCCGAAAGCTGTACACGTGCAACTTATTCATCATTCCATCAGCATCCCTCCGGAGAGTTCCTCTGTGTTGCTCGCAGTCACTTTTTCCGACGCTGCGACTGCGCAAGCAGGTTTCCACGGGCAATCCGCTTCTATGCCTAAACCGCAGCGCGGTCGTACATCCTCTCAAGACTTTGCATTTCAAAGCACTGACCAAGCCTTTACCCAACCGTTCCGTGGAGCAGAGGGAGCTCCAGCCCCAGCTCTCCGGCAAGCCTTCGCACAGCAACCACACCAACGGTATGAGACGCACCCAGCTACAAATGGTTCAATTGCGCCGACAACGTCCATTCGAAGCTCCGCGCTGGATCAGTCACTAAGATACTCGGATTTTGGCGCTCCGCAGGGCTCTGCGCCGCACCTAGGAGCTTCCATCCCGCTTCCTCGTGGCTACGGCTTCAGTCCTGGGGGGCCATTGGGATGGGATTGGGGAAACACTATTGACTTCGCCGGCTATACTCCCCATTACGAACCTCAAGGCGAGCTTGTCCAAGAGCTTCAGACCCAGCAAGCGCCAAAGGACGACTTCAGCATCCCGCTGCTAGTCACCACTATCGACACGGCGCGCCAGTCTCCGCCACAGCCCTTCTCTGCGCAGAATCCACTGCCACCACCCCCGAGACCGACCAAGCGACTTTCCTTCCAGGCGGGCATGAAGAGGAAGGCCGACTCGGAGCCTAATTCTGGCATACAAGCTACGAATGGGCCGTTCGAAGAGAATCCCGCCAAGCGACAGAACAAGTCGCGAGCCTCATCCATTACCTCCGCAGCCTCTCCAGTCGTGGCAACTGCCACTGCGCCCGGTTCGTGCGGTCCTGCGTCTTTGTCCGCATCCATGACCGCACCGGCGATCCTCGAAAGTACCGCCCAGCTGAACAATGAGGCCCAGTCGCGCAAAGAGCCAAGCAAGGGCACGGGACCACAGGGTCGCGTTATCGATGTCTCGACACCTCGGCGCATCGCAGAGTCGCGTATAGCAGTGGACACCCTGCCCTCGGGTAAGGTATTCCCCATTCAGATTGGTTCGGAGCTTTTTAGGCTCTCTGGAGCATCTATTTCATCGGATGGTAAGCATCACGCAAATTTGTACTAAAGCTATACACAAGCTAACTGTGCAAGAGCACCCAGTTATTTCTCGCATTTCTTTGGCGAGCAGATCCACAGCAATCAAGGTCGCGCTGATGACATAAGGACGTTGTACATTGATCGCGACCCTGATACATTTCGAGACATTGCCCTGCATTTGCAAGGGTACCACATTAGCCCTCGCAATGGCGAGCATTTTGTGCGTTTGTTCGCTGATGCGCAATTCTACTCCTGTAAGCTCGCCACTGTTCTTGACGCCGCTCGCCAATGTTACTGATTGCGCGCAGTGCCTCGCCTGACAAAACAGCTTTTTAGCACCGACATCTTCATTCGCATAGGCGGCGTTCCATTCCAGATTCCGCGTGACCTGTTCTCATCGCCTGGTGACAGCCCCAATTACTTCTCCCTCGGCTTTGCGCAATTCTTCTCCACGCCAACGGAAGTCTTTCCTGGGCTTGATCGCAACGCGCTGCTACGACCGCCATCCATTTCCCCACCTTCGGTGCCAAATCGGAGTGGAGAGACGTTTGGAGAATTAGTCAGAATGCTTCAAGGCTATCCTGTGGACATCCGCAATGATGTGCATAGGTCGCAGCTTCTGAGAGATGCGCGGTACTTCCATCTGCGAGGGCTGGAACAGAGGCTCATACCCTGCGAAACGTCCTACAATCTCCGAAGAGGTCAATCCGAGATCTTGATCAGGCTCGATGACATACGGCAATCTGGAGTTTCATTCACACCAGATACGCCTGCGAGCGATCCAGATTCCGATTCTGCGTCGAACGCTCCATCACAACTAGGCATATCGCCTGCTCCATCGAGCAAGCCCACAAGCCCGTCGCCCTCGCTCGGCAGCTCTCATTTCAGAGCCGGCACAGTTTCTTACGCGCGGCCGTACACGGACGATCACGCCAGTACCAACATCCTCATTCTCGAATTGTCATCCAACGAATCCACCACGCTGCACCTCCCTATGGAGCCTCCGAGGGCGACATTTTCCATGGAGCCACTCACCCTCAACTTGAGAGCTACCTTCCACGGAACCGTACTCGCACGCATCACATCGCTATTCTCGGTGATAGCGTCGAAAATGGGACTGCCAGCGACGCAGCCGCTCGGTCTCATGATGATGCAGTCTGGTGGCGGTGTGGCCGCACAGCCCGTCTCACCCGCCAATTCAGGTGTGAGCGAGCGCCGAGTGCGTGTGCGCATAGACCCAGATTGCTATCTCGAAATCGACAATACGCCTGCCGAGCTAGCGTTTGATGCGGAAACAGGTCGCATGGGCATCCGGCGCAGCGATGGTGAGCATCGCTCGAAGCGGAGCAAGGTGTCTGAAGGCTCCAGTAGCAGTGAGTGGATCTGGGGCGGAGCACGGGATAGCGCCATCATCGATGACGATGGAGAGGAGTTGGAAGAGACCATTGTAGTCAAAAGAGCACATTGGAGGATACGTGTGGAGAACGTGAACGGGGAAGCAGCGAAGATGTTGGTTGTGCTTTGCGGGGTCAGGATTGAGGGGTACAGTGGAGAGAGGGGACGGAACCAGGAGCGCGGGTTCTTGGGGAGTTGATCCTAAGTGTAGCCAGCGAGAGCGAGTTGTTTCATTCGATGTGTTGCATACCCGATTCTACATTAACCAAACGCATGTGGTTTTAGTTTCTTGTGCCCTACACTTAGTACGTCTTTCAATATATATACTTTCGCGAATTCAATAAATACACATGACCAATATACATACACCGAAGCAGCGACCTCATATATACTACATACAGGCAAGTAGAGCGAAAACGATAAGACAGTAAGCAGAAGAGCACACACAGAAAGGAAGCCACGCCGGTCGACACCTCACATCGTTCCTATCCTTACATGACACAGCCCCCCCTTCTTCAGGGGCCACTATGTTTGCTAGACATGTCCTTACATAAGAGTACAATCAGCCTTAGCATTGGCCGTTTTGTCAATCCAAGATTCCTCCTTCGGACCGCCTTTTTCCTGGCGTCCTCCCGGCCCGGGGTCGTTCACATCCATGTTCTGTGTGAACTCTTTCATAGGCGCGCGGGCTACGATGCTGAGGGCTGAGGAGGTGTTGGTGACTTGCGTGTAGGTGGGAAGGGGTAGAACGACTTACCATCGTTGATGCTGGGCGTGGGTGCAAGATTGGTGGCGGCTTCGGTGATGGGCGTAGCCATGACGACGAGCGCAAGAAGCGCAAGAAGTGCTAACATCTTGAACAACATGGTGGTTCGAATGTACAAAGTCGATGTGCCGTGAGTGTTTGGGTCTCAAGACAGCGACCCCGTGTAAGTGCGGGAAAGTGGCTTATATGCGGCTCTGCGGCAGATTGTAGTAGCGTCATTCGGTGCATGGATGACCGTGATATATTTGCGGATGTGTATGTCATTTCAACGTCTTTGTTGTTATGAAGGTGGTAAATGTCGCTCTTAGTATTGTTCTCTTGGACGGTGCTGCGCGGACAACGCGCTTTGTTGGTTGCTCTGCTTGTGCGCAATGCCATTGTATCACGTCAAAACCGCATAAATGAGAGGTGTTGGTAGGGAGATGATCACCTCGCCTCTACTATTGTTGCCTAGGGCTGCAATGAAGATGGTGAGGGCTCAAGGCATTTCGCAGTGGAGCTTCGTAGCCACTTTGTCACAGGGCACTCGGACGGAGCAGAACGCACGTTACGGTGTGCGTTCTCCCAAGCACACCTAGTCTTGTAGTGACGTAGTTGATGATACGATTGTAAAATGGTTAAATGATAGTCCGTCCCGACTTTGCATAGCTACAACAAGTCCGGTCTTTATTTTAGCCATAGTGCACATTTTTACTTGTCACAAATGCATATCCAGGCAGAAATTGGAACAGGAACTCTTTCATTGCATGTGTTGCAAAGATCTATATGGTCTGATGCAAGTGACAGCTCCTCTAGATCAACTCAGTGTGCTCAAACATAAACCAACGCGCTTAATCACCACCAAAGCCGTATGGATCACCAGCTCCACTCGCACCACCCATTCCTAGGAGTCCCTCCACGACCTGCTTGTGTGAGGGAGGCATGCTGAGATCTGTAACACACTGCGCTTGCGCCTTGCCCCAGTACTCTTCACCCTTACACAACTCGCATTGGAAAGTCCCGAAACGGGCAGCACCTTTCTCCTTCTGGTCTTTTAGGCATGCATAATGGTACCAACGAATGAAGCACTCGGATTTCTTGCACTCCACGATCCGAATAATGTCAGTCTTGGCAGGCTGCCTGCAGGAACAGATGAGCTGATTGGGGTAAGGGTACATGTCCTTGGGAGTGATATCGAATCCCGGGGCAGGCCTGGCTGGCACTGGGGATGTTGACTCCTTCGGGGCTGGCCATGTGTGATATCCGTGGCTGAAAGCGTTGTGAGCCGTGCGAGTAGCAGGGATCAGGACGTATGCTGAGTCCATATCCCATACGGGTGTCTCGGCATTGGGTCTGGTGGTCTCGATGGCGTTACGGGCTCCATTGATCTCGGGCTCTGAATCAGAGGTCTCGATATCGGAGTCGGTGGTCTCAAGGTCTGACAGTGACACCAAAGGATAACCGCCCTGGAACTTTAGATTGGGATCAAGCTCGGCCCCAAAGCGACGTTCGGTGTCGACCGATAATTGGTCGGTTTCGTTCGAGGGACTTGATGATGCGGAGGGTGGATTGACAATAGTCCACCCTAGGTGATCTGTAGGCTGGCCCTCATGCAGATGGAGAGGGAGTTGTGCAGGTCTCGGGTCACGCCAAATTTCCAACTTCCTGAAGCAAGGTTTGGCTATGAGATCGAAGGCCCCCTCCACATTGGGGATCGATTGCTTGCAAAGTTAGCATGATTGAATTCGACATTTGAGAAGCTCACTCACAGGATCGTTCTTAACCACCTGCTTTGACGGGGCGCCAGTGCCTTCCGAGGAGCATGAGCCTGAGTCACCTGAGTCCGAGTCGCTTGACCAAGGGTCTTCAGTACTGTTCTTGCCGCCCTTGTCGTCGCTCGTTTCGTCCTCGTTGTTGTCGCCAGGCATGAGCCAAGGCATAGGCACATCAGCATAGATGATGTCTGGGTCCTCCTTAATCATGCACCATACCAGATTGCGCTCATCGGCCATGAATGACAGGCACTCGAGACAAAACCTCAAAGGGTTGCGCGGAATGAACTTGCTATTGCTCAACGCAAACTTGTGTAGCAATGATTTGTTTCGGCGGAACAAGGTGAACCAGAGGGACGTAATGTCGGCAATGGGGTCGAGCGTCATCCAGTCCACGAGTGGCTCCAACGTGACCTCGTGTTCTGAGTAGGGCTTCTCGAGCTTCTCGTGGACGTGCCGACAGAGTGCTGAGTGGCAAGGCTGTATTGACCGGGGGTGAAGGACAAAGGCATAGTTCACTGCATGCGTTAGCTAACGAATCAATATTATCAGAGGTAGACGTACTCTTAGAAATAAGATCGGCGATGTAGCACACAGATTGCACTGCGATGATGCTTTCCGTGGTGATTTCGCCGTCAACTCCATTGGCCGTCAGAGCCACCATCAGCGGGAGCTCTCGCCAGACTTTGCCTTGCAACTTTGCAAGATGCTGGGAGGACACCTTATCCATAGAAACGACGGTACCGAACTCATCCTGTACGAGCTCACGAGGTAGCAGCGAGTTCAGGTGGTTGCGCATGATCTGTCTGGCGGCCTGGCCTTCTGCGGGAAGTCTGTAATGACCCACGTCTTGCTCGACATCGGTGTCGTAGACCCTGTCATCGGAGGTGTCAACGTGAATCGCGTTGTTTTGGTCAAGCCGGAGCTCGGCCTCGGAGTCGCTAACAGTGCCGCCGACTATCAAATCGTCGTTCAAGCTGCTGTCTCTAGGGTTGTTCACAGATGCCCACGTCGTGCTAGAGTCACGCACATCGCCCGTGGAAACACCGCCAGGTAGCGGCGGCGGATCTGCCTTTAGTAGGTTCTTTGGATCCATCTTGCCCTCGTCGCGTCAAGTCAGTTCAAATTTTCTCGGATTGCGAACGTATGGCGGTGTGGTGTGAGTGTAAGAGTGGCAGCAAAGCGGAATAGAAACAAGGCGAAAGTGGAAATCAGTCGCATGTGCGGTGAAGAAGGAACCAGAAACTTGCCAAGACATAAGAGTCCTCGGGGCAACGGTCTCGGTGAAGGTGAATAGTAAATATGATCATGACCCCACTTCACCTGCGCTTTCACATCACGCGAAAGCGAGCAATGCCGTCAGATGATATTCCTGATTATGGCGAAATGGTCTGCTATGCAATCGAATGCCGATATCTAAAGCCAGAGAGCTTGCTGGAAGTATCGGGCCTTGCAGCGAGTCAATATCGCAGCTCGAATATTTGCAGAAAGTCCGTAGTAAACAAAAGAAAGGCGCGTTCTCCGATTCTGCGCATTACTTCGTACATTTACCAAGAACAATGTCCGCCATCGATGCGAAGGTCCTGAGGTATGAGATTAGCCGTGAAGGTATCTTCAGGCTTGTTCTGTGACGGGTGACACATACCGCACCAGTCATATAACTGGACCCATCTGCTAGCAGGAACAATACTGCTGCTCTATATTCTTCCACCTGGCTGATCCTTCCCAGCATGTTTTGCTTAGCCCAATCGTCGACCAATCCCGTCTCTTGAGCTTCTTTGGTCAAAGCGGTCTCAATATGACCTGGACTGATTGTATTGACCCTGATCGGCGGATGGACCTCTCTGTTCGCTTGGCCAGCAGGGTAGTATGCAAAAGTATTCTGGGGATGACCCCATTCAGCGGCGAGTGAGCGCCCTAATTGGTGCACAGCCGATTTCGAAGCATTGTATGCTGCGGTGTTGATGCCCTGTGTAGAGTTCAGCAATCAAGGAACGGAAGCAAGATGAGTAGTACTTTGTTGCTATTCCAGCCGCTCATGCTGGCGATCAAGACAAAACTCCCTGCTACATTCGCGCGGTGTATTTCCTTCCCTACAGCTTGCGCCGTAAGGAACGTTCCGGCAATGTTCACATCAAGGATCTTGCGGAAAGCGTCGATCGGATATGACGCCGCATCGCATACACCCGAGATACCTGTGCAGGCTACCAAGCCCCGCAGTGGATGTCGAATTTGTTCTCGTATGGTGTCGAAAACTAGGGGAAAAGCATCCGCTTGGGTAACGTCAAGTGGGTGATACCAAGCTTTCGTGCCATTCGCGAAAGCGGTAGCTTCGATATTGCCTACTTCTCAATAAGAAACGCCACCATGAGAAGAAAAAGTCATGTGATGTACTCCATAGGGCGCCGGCTGGTTCGGGTGCCAGATCGATGAAGAATACGTCGCCACCGCTTTCCAAAATCGCTTTACCAACCGTTGAACCTACGGCCCCGAGGCCGCCAGATACTGTAACTTATTATCAATAATCTTGTGGCTTCATGATACGAGTCTATTACTTACTCACGATGGTCCTTCCATCTAATCGGAAAAGGTCTTTGGTGGGGAGATCAATTGGCGCTGGCTGTGTCATTTTGGCAAAGCTCACGAGAGATGTTGTTTTGCGTTCTCATTTCAAATGGAGCAGCAGCTTTAAATTGGAAATACACGTGTGAATTAAGGTGATACGGGGCGGCTTCGGATTCGGCGAGAGATGGTGCGGGGTGGTACGACGTCATTAATCCAAACGGCTGCAACTGAGAGACAAATGTAATTCCTTTTCACAGCATCACGGTATTGACTCCACTCGCTCACTGATATGTATGAATTACGATCGCTACGCAGGATCTCACACACGCATTGAAAGTCACAGCATCGGAGAGCCAGACAGCGATCATATCACGCAAGGCAGCCTTTTACGTTGAACTTTGCGAATTTATTTGGAGCATATGATACATCCTCGAGTCTACAAGAAGCACTAAGAAACCCAGTATAGCTTGCCATAACGATACGCCAATGCGTTACACTTTTATGCCTTGGGCTCAACAGATTGGGGGTAGTAGAAGAGCTCCTTGGGGTCGTACTTCGCCTTGAGGCTCTGCAGCCTCGGAAGGTGGTCGCCGTAGTACTGGCGCTCAGCCTCTGCACGCGGAAGCCTGGAATCGGCGTAGTTGATGTACGCGCCCCACTCAGACCTCGGGATGGTGTCAGTGACAGCATCGACCCAGCCGTCGAGGAAGCCGAAAGAGCTGGCAGGGTAGGTCTGGTTGTTCTCATAGCGGTCGTAGAATTGGATGATGTAGAGCTTGTCACGGTGGGGGTAGGAAGTGGCGTCCTTGCCAACCTTGGTGATTTGCGAGTTCTTGCCACCGTGCATGTCGAGCTGGAAGAACCAGAAGCGGTCGACGACGTTGTTGGCGACATCGAAGTAGTAGTCGACGAAAGCTTGCGCGGAAGTTCCGTTGAGGCCCTTGAGGGTCAAGCTCTTGGAGTAGAAGTTCTCTTGAGGGCTGGGGTGGATCCAGTCAACCTCGTCATAGTTGGAGTAGGCGATTACGGCTTGGATCCAAGTAAGAGACTGGGGCTCAGAGATGTTGTAGCCCTTGGGCAGGGTGTCCAAAAGAGGCTGGAAGTCCTTCTTCCACTGAGCGGGAGTACCGTAGTACAGACCCTCGATACCAGGCTTACCCTTGCTGTAGTCGCCAATACGGAAGTTGACTTCGCGAGGCATGATGTTCTTGGCGTAATTCTCAACAGCCTCAAGACCGGCAACGGCAGTGTCCTTGGTCCATCCAAGAGCGACACCGAACTTGGTGAGTGTCTTGGGTGCTTCGAAAGTGCTCAACTTCCATGAAGCAACAATACCGAAGTTCGAACCGGCGCCCTTCATGCCCCAGAAAAGGTCGGCGTTCGTAGAGGCGGAAGCCTCCTTCACGGTCCCATCAGCCAGAACAACGGTCACGCTCTGGACGGAGTCCAAGGCAAGACCGTGCATGTGGGAGCTGAATCCGAAGCCTCCGTGGAGGAAGTGACCGGAAACACCGACACTGATTGTTGTTAGAGGCTTGGATCAGTCAGACGTATTGTTCGCAACTTACCCAGGGCAGGTTCCATGAGCAATGGCACGTCCGTACTTCTCATACAGAACGGTGGCGACGTGGCCCAATCTGGCACCAGGCTGCACAGTCGCAATGTTCTTCTTTGCGTCGTAAGTGACATTGTACATCTGGTCGAGCTCGACAACCAAGTGACCATTCTCGCCACCGAATCCGAAAGATGCGTAGCTGTGACCACCGGACTTGGCGGAGACCTTGATGCCGAGCTTCTTGCCGCACTTCACAGAGTCCTGGATGTGCTTGGTGGTAGCAGGGACCGAGATGGCGGTGGGGAGGTAGGGCAGACGGATGTTGAAAGGTGCAACATCCTCATTCCAGCCGTCGGAGCCCTTGACGTCGATCGGGACACCAGCATCGGTAAGACACTTGTCGATGGCGGCCTTGGCGACGAGGGCATCGGCCGTGGAGGCAACCAAGCCAGCAAGAAGAGCAGAGGTGACACGCATGCTGGGCAACAAAGTAGAGACTGTGGCCTGCGGACGAACAAGACAAGAGTGAGGGCCAAGGGTGAATTTATATCCTCTCACTGACTTACGAATCTTGGAGGATCCGTGTTGTCACCGGCCTAAGCGACTTAACAGCACTTCTGGAAGGAATGGGTATCGCCTCCTACGGCTAGTACCGTAACTGGTCTGGAATCGCGACTATCAGGCGCGCGACATGAAAAGACAAGCCACATTTACTGCCAAGGGTTTGCAATATATCAGCCAGTAAGCAGAAGAACGGTGTTAGCCAAGGGAGCCGGACCGGTCCTGCCTGCAGTAAGGTTAGCAGTGACATTAGGTGCCTCGGAGGAATGCATATTTCGTGTTCGTGCTCAAGCCCAAAAGATTAGTCTCTAGAAGCAGGTGTTGAATCCTGCGGAGTGGTTGTTGGACCTCGCTACCGAACTGTATACCATCTAAAATAACCCCACGTGCATTAAATTGTAAGATCTCGCGTGCAGACAGCGTCGGATAGCCGTGGAAGTCTCGCCGGCCCGCTGTTCCTGGTGCCTGGATGACAAGCCGGCTAAACGCATGATGTCCCTGGACGCCACCAGCAGGCCCGATTTCCTCAGTCATCTTATCTTTGTGCTACTCCAACATGGAAAATTGACGCTCAACGTGCGGCGCGGTCCATCGAGGTCGAACTATAAGTACAGTGCGCGTGCTATGTTTTGTAACTCTTCGAAATCAAGGTGTCTAGTGCTGCTCGGAGTTACCCGCACGAAACGGTTTGTGGAGATGGTTCCTTCATGTGGGGTGTCGGCCTTGGCCTCAATGGCGCAGTGGGGTAGGCACCTGGCCAGCCACATCGCAGTCTAACTCGACCTCAACTCTGGGGGAATTCAACTAACCGCCCGGCATGGTAAACGTCTAGATCCCACTAAGAAGCGGGCCGGTACGACGGGCCTCGTGATGTTGCCGCAATTTTCACGAGGATTTCGCAATTTTACCGTCGAGGTTCCGAGGTCGTTCCAGGAGGTCGTGATGATGGCTGAGTCGACTTGGTGGTCAGCTGCTGGCGTAAGACACAAGCATTCATTCGCAGGGTGGGAGGTGATACCGGGTGTGCGGAAGCGGTTGCCTGCAGGCAAATCTCAATACCAACGAGGCCTCACGTGGCCCCCAACGTGGTCGCCAAGGGCCAAGTAAGCCGTCAGCGAATTCAAGCGTATAAGCTTATGGTAATCGTGTAGGATCGTATACGGATTCCTCGGAGCGGTAGAAAGCATACCGACGTACATACGCGCCCGAATCTTCGCCACTTCAGACGACAGGCTGATTCTTTCGTACGTAGGCGTATTTGGCGCTCGTTCCACCGGAATTTTGAATTCGACAGCTTCCATCGTCGCTCGCGACAGAATTTGCTTGACCCTCTCAGGTACCATTTTCCCTACTTTCTCCGTCCACAAGAGCACGCTTCGATCGGATTCGAGATCCAAGGAGTAGAGCCCTCGTGTTCCTCTGTATGTCGAAGCTTGCAGCAGCGTAGATGCTCTTCTCCATTGCTATAGCGATGCATGGATCTTCTGTCGATTTTTCTCATGTACTCAGGTACCGTTCACATTGCGCATCCAACATTCTCTGTGATTCCAGGATGCCTATCGTAGACCCCACTACCTTCGCATAGCTTTCTTCAGCAAAGCCACGCAAATGGATCGACGAGGATGATCGCCTTGAATTCTGATCGCCTCGAATTCTTTAGCAATTTCTAGATCTGGCTATTTCCCATCCTCTGCTAGTAGTGAGCATCATCTTTGGACCCGTCGTTTGACCTAAAGAAATATCACATGGCGCTCTCTTATGAGCTCTGGGGCTTCGATGTTCGGATACGCGAATGTGAACAACCAGTCAAGCAGATGATTGTAGGCCTCTCGTAGGTACTGCCTCCGGCAGGGGTCCGGCAGCCGTACTTCTACGCAAGGCTCCTGGAACAATAATGTCAAGAATGGAGGTATACCTTTGGCCATAACTCATGTACTATCCATCGAAATGCCGAAGGGCATGACGGACTCGAAATCAGCGCAGCTGAGAGTACTACCCAGGTCATTGGGACCCTGATCTTGAGACGTAATTCTGGCATGGTTTCGGCGCAATCTTCATGCTTTGAGATGTAGTCGAATCATCCATAGTTGCTCGTGAGCGACTCTAAACTTCTAAACAAGTCACAGGTCTGTTGGCTCCACCTTCGCCTGCGCCGGGAGCGGCTTCGAGGTGGTTTGCTGGGCCAGTTTGAAGTCCTCTGGAATCGATAAAGACATTCGTCGAACACATGGTGAAACAAAGGAATATCCTGACCAACCAAGAGCAATAAATCAACTTCGCTATAGTATTCCACTTACGGAGGTCCTTGTAATGACAAGCTCGTTCTTCAGACTTCGCTAACAAAAGTGCTCGCTTCGCATTCCTCTCCAACCAACCACCCCGCGGTATCGTGTCCCTCGACTGCAGCCTGCAACCCATCAACGCACCCCAAATCCTTGCCCGTCCAGATATCAGTCGCGCGATACTTGACTCCACCCTCCAACCGCGGCACCTCTGCAAAGCTTGCCGTCTTCGTTCTCGTGTCCTCAAAAGGATTGAACAACAGCACCAGCGTCCCATTACTCGACGCCCCGCTCCAGTATTCTGCCGGAAAGCTCGCATTGAACGTCCAATCTGGATTGGTGCCCCACTTATACGGTGTCGCTGGCTTGCCGTACACTTCGTCCTGGTTGAACGCTAGGAGGTATTTGTTCTTCAAGACGTCTACATTGTCTTGGTCTAGCGTCGCCAGATCCGTGCCAATGAGGAGAGGACTCTTCATGGCGGCCCACAGCGCAAAGTGCGTCCGCGCTTCTTGGATGGTTAGTCCGTTGCCTACCTCGAGCATGTCCTAAATTTCGGGGTACAAAGTTAGCATGGGCCAAGACAGGGTGGTGTATGTCTCCACTCGAGGGTTACACGTCCACTATGCATCTGGTGGTCTACTTACCGGGTCCGAGTGTCCCCAAAAGTCAACGTAGTTGAGGTAAAACGAGTTCTGGTTCAGGTACGCGAGGACAGACTTCCAAGTAGCGTCAATGTCGCCCGACATGCGCCACGAAGAGCCCGTTGTGTTGCCCCATGTCTGCACGCCAGCGTCACCCCACTCGCAGAGGGAGTAGAGGATTGTGCGATTCTGGGCGATAAGCGCGTCCCTCATTATACGGAAGCGCTCTGCCGTGTTGGAGGTGGAGAAATCGTAGCCTGGAGGACAGAGACCGTCGGTGTTCGTGCAGGTCCCGTTGACGAGGTCGTCGCGGTGCATAGAATCGGGCACGCAGTCTTTGCAGCTGTCGGTCCAGTTGGAGGGGACATTGCAATTGTCGTATTTCAGATAATCGATTCCCCATTCGGCCCATGTTGCTGCGTCAATGCTCTCGTAGCCGATGGAAGCTGGGTACCCCGCACAGGTTTGGGTTCCGGCGCTGCTGTAAATGCCTATTTTCAAGCCCAGCTCGTGGACCTTGTCTGCGGTTCCTTTGATACCGTCCGGGAACCGTGTCAGATTAGGTAGCAAGCGGCTCGTAGATTCGTCCCGGTTGTCTTTATCAGACCAACAGTCGTCGATGTTTACATATTCATAGCCGGCGTCCTTCCGGTTTACATATAAGTCGTAGCGCTCGGAACAAGACAGAGGGCACGGTCTTACCTTCAGTCCCAGCTCAATAAACTTATGCGCCGCAGTAAGGAACTGGTCTTCGGTGATATCGCAGTGGTACGCGTTCCACGAGTTCCACTGGTGTTTGTAAGTGCTGGATCGTTGCACGAGCGAAGGAACGTACACCCAGGGCTGGGAGCTTGCCCACGCTGTCCTTCAGGACAAGCGCTGCACCGCTAGTGATGAGAGCTAGATCTGCGAGGAGTCTGAGTAGCATGCTGAAAGGCCGTCTGCGGTGAGCATGTGGATCTGGAAGGCGAGGTACACGATTCGGCTCTCCTGCACCCAATGCATGCCGGAGAGCTACTCGTTATATGCCGTCGATCCAAAACAGAGCACTGCCATTATTGCTGGCCTGAGAGAGGCGCATTACGCCCGCTGCCCGTTACATTGACACAGACAATCGTTACTGGATCGACATGCGGGGTAGCGTCCGCCCGGCGGGAGCAACCGCATGTGATGCAGACTTTCGACTCCCGAGCGACTGTGAGGTCGCGTGCGCAGGCCACGGTACCTTTGGAGGTGCCATGTGTACGTGCGGGGGGCAGGGATGCGCGTACAGATGGTGTGGAGCTGTGGCACAGTCGGCCGTGGCCGTGTGCCGGGGCCGCAGACAGGCGCGAGAGGGGCACTGCTTCGGACTCTGCTACCGACGACAAGCTGGCGATGGGGCTCGCCCTGTGCCTGAGCAAGACGATGACGCGCGAGCAAAACGTGCACACGTGGGGGAATCAGGGCAGGAGTCGCGGCCGTACGCGGCCTAGTCCGCCGCGTGCCCAGGCGCGTCGCGACTCTCGGGCCAGGTCCCCGGCCAACAGTTGGAGCGCGCAGAGAAAAAGTCAAGCTAGACAAGCGCGCTTCAAGCTCCTGCCGTGCACTCGAGATCCACAGTGCACCCGCCCGTGGACCATGGCGTCCTTCCTCAGAAGCCTCCACGAGTACGTTGCTCCTCCTCCACCACCAGCCATGGAGGCCCTCCGCGAGAAGCTCCCCGTGTCGCCAAAGCACCCCTATTTCCCCTCCGAGTCTCCCATCGTGGGCTACCTGGCCAATGAGTACAACACGGTCGAGCTCGTCTCGCTGTTCGCGGCCGGGTGCGCGGTCATTTTCAGCTTGACCTACGTGACGGTGAAGAGGGTGCGCCCGAGCCTGCCCGTCTCAGACCTGTCAACCATTCTGTGGTTCGTTCTGTGCGGCTTCATCCATCTGTTCTTCGAGGGATACTACGCCTACAACTTCCGCACGATAGGGGGGCATCAGGATCTGTTTGGCCAGCTGTGGAAGGAATACGCCCTCTCCGACTCGCGGTACCTCACCGCCGACAGCGCCTTCGTGCTCTGCATGGAGAGCATCACTGCTGTAATTGCTGCCCACGCACCCTGCATGGACACTTGCTGACTAGCCAGGCTTTCTGGGGTCCGCTGTCGTTCGTTACGGCCGCGCTCATCGCCGTCGACCACCCGCTCCGCCACCCCTTCACCATCATCGTCTCGCTCGGCCAGTTCTACGGAGACGTCCTGTACTACGCAACGAGCTTGTTCGACGAGGGCATGCTGGGCCTCACCTACTCGAGGCCCGAGGCTGCGTACTACTGGGGGTACTTTGTTCTCATGAACGCCTTCTGGATTGTCATTCCCGCCATCCTCATCTGGCAGAGCGTGCGTGCCTCGTCGAGGGCATTCGCAGCGCTCAAGAGGGCCGAGAAGCTGCTCAACGGTGGTCTTCAGAATGGCCATGCGAAAAAGGCCCAGTAGAGCACCGCTCATTGCTGTCTGAATGCGCAGAAGGGAGCTTCATCGTGTCGGTCCGATGGCATGGGTTCGTGACGGGCACGGTCGCTTGTACGATAGCAAGGTAGAGAGGAGGCTGGGCGTCGGGCGTCGTGGTAGGCCACGGGCGTGACATTGTGATTGCGGAGAGAATAGTGATACCCACACTAGAGCGAGGAGCAGCTTAGACTAGACGCGCTACTGTTACTATTAATGTTACTATTAATGATATTGGCTCGGATTCGTCCAACGCTGCATGCGTGCGCGTGAGAATGATGGACATCCTAGACGTCGTCGCCGGCGGGTGGAGAGGCATGCAAGGGGGGGCGAACCATGATCGGAGCCACGCCCGCGTCTCACGAGCAGAAACCAGAGGCTGGGCGCGATGGCTAGGAGACGTCAAGCATCGGATCCTGTTGCTTGCTGGCGCACCTGCGCGAATCAATCGCTTGCTTGCCCCAACGCCTATCTCGTGCGGTGGCTGTCAGATCGATCTGCCGGTGCGACCAGGGTGTTGGTCGAATCCGTTCGCTTGTATCCGGTTTGTTTGGGGACGCATCTTGAATGCAGCCAACGAAGCGCATGCACGCCGAGCAAATCGGCCGACACTTCTGCTGCACCATTACACGTCTCTCGCTCTCCCGCCGACGCTCGCTCTTCTCGCAGTGTCTCCGGGACTTTGCGCATTCTTCTGGGAGGTGTACTGCGTGAAGTGCGGGGGTAAGTTCTCCATCTACCAGCCACTGTTGACGTCGCTGTCGAGCAGCTGTCATCCTACCAAAACAACAGACGCCCGCGCCCGCACGCCTTCACCGCGCACTCGCTGACTGTGCTGCGCGTCCAGCAAAACACTAGAAAAAGCCCACCGCCCTCTCCACAACGTACACATTTCCCGCGCCGCCCGAAGAACCATGTCACAGTCAACGGTTGCACACACAGCATTACGATGAAAGGTGCTGATTTCGGCAAGGCCATTGGTATCGACAGGCCCGCCAACGTAAAAGACAAGATCAAGAAATGGCAGACCGAGCTCAATGCAGAGCCCGAGAGCGCCCTCGACGCTGCGTCCCCCGCGGCGCAACCCAAACCTCCACCGTCGCCCAGGCCGCCCTCGACGCCCAAAGCAAAGCCCCTCGACGAGAAACCGAGTCCGAAGCCAGCCATCACAGCAGCCAAGCCGGCCGAAGCCACCCCGGAGCGTCCGAAGAGCGCGAAGAAGCCGCCGCCTGTGCACAACCCGCTCGACGAGGAAGTCCTCATCGCGACCGCGCCTAAGAAGCGCGTTGTGAGTGATTCCCATTGGCGCAACAAGAACTCACCGCCCAAAAACCCGACAAGCAAGCCCTCTCCCAAGCAGCTGCCCACCGCCTGGGTACGCCCGGCTGCGCGCAAGGCTTTGGAGAAGGCAGAAGAGGAGGCCAAGGACAAGGACAAGGACAAGGATGAGAAACAGAAAGCAAAACCCAAAAGCCCGCCACTAGCGCCCAACCCGCTTCTCATATTCACCCCGAGGATCACGCCACAAGCTCAACGCGCGCGAGCCCAGCGGCAGAGGAGGTTGTCGCGCCCCAACAGTGCTGGAAACGATGAGCGCCCGACCAGCAGCGGGTCTGGGAGCGGGAAGCATCCTAAAAGCGGGGACGAGGGAGCGGTGTCGCAGGCTTCTCCTTCGCCAGAGAAGGATAAGACTGAGATGATAAGAGTGCGAAGGCGGCCCCGCGCGCGGACATCGCCCCGGGGCTCGTTGTCCGCGAGTGAAGTCACACCCGTGAAGATACGTACATTCCACAAATCTGAGACGGCACTCAGTGAGGACCCAGCAAACTTGATCACGGTCGAATACGAACCGAGCGAGTCCGAGGCGGCGGTTCGCGATGCAATCCGGGAGAGAAGACGAAAGAGCAGGAGGGGCCGGCTCAGCGACGTCTCGGGGGAGTCTTCCCCTGATGTTAGGGCCGCCGAAGAGAAGCGTAAGCCACGGAGGAAATCATATCACAATGACGCGCAAGAAACTCCACCGAGACCAGCGGACCCAGTGGTACCTGCAACGCCCCCGCAGAAGCTAGGAAGCCGCCTTGAAATGTGGTTGCAAACGACCCCTGATCCATTTGATGATAAAGACTCCCAACGTCGGCGGAAGTCGAAAGAGTCCATCTCTACGTTGGAACTACCTTCGGCTGGTGAGAGATCGGATGTGAGCGCAAATACTGACACCAAGGAGCCTCCAGCTGAAGAAGAGCGACCCCGGACGACCGACAGTCGGCGCCGAAGGAAAAAGAGGAGCTCCCCAGTACCGATAGAGACACCTGAAAAGGAGGAATTATCAGTGGTGTCGTCAATCGACTCTACAGAGCCATCGACTGTTTTTAAGGACAGTGAATTGACACCTACGCCAACCCTCAAACGCCGCGGTGCGAGACGAACCCAACATTCGCCGACGAAGGAACGCGTCATGTCGCTTCCCGCTCGCGAACTATCAGAGAAAGACGAGGAAGCTGCGTCGGCTGCCCCGTCCTCTTCCGTAGACTCGCAGGCACTGGACCTTGATAAGGTCACCCTTGGTGCACCTTACGAAAGCCCAGCGATGCGACGACTATTCCCATCGACAGGGAAGCGTCTTTCCACAATTGTGTCCATGGACACGTTTGCGACAAACAATCAGCAAGCCCCAACCTCGGACGCTGCAGAATCTGAGCTTACAGAATCGGTAGTCGACGGAGGCATGAAAGATACAACTGCACCAGAAGTAGCATCACAGCTTCGCGCAGAGACTTCGACGATTGTCAGCCGCAAGAGCACAAAGCGCAGTAGGCTTGCGAGTCACGCGGACTTGATTTCGGTGTTGTCCATGCCCAAGGCAGGCACGAGGAGTATCGTGTCCGCGCGGAGCATCAGAACAAACAGGAGCCGCTTGGCTACTGCCACAATCGGTGATATCATGAACGAGCTTGCTTCGGACGAGAGCAAATACATGCGCGAGCTCCGCACCCTTGTTGATGGTGTCATTCCTGTCCTCCTCAGCTGTGTTTTGTCCAAATCTGACTCAGCCGTTGCTGCTGGACTTTTCAGCAAGTCATCAAGCACGGATCCAAGCGACGTTACGAAGCCCATCGTCGACATGGGGGTTTCTCTCGAGCGCCTGAAGACGCTACACAAACGGATCCCCAAGGAAGACTCTGATGCATTCCTGTCGTGGGCACAAAGTGCACAACGAGTGTACAGCGATTACATTGCCGCATGGCGTCTTGGATTCCAGGATGTAGTCATCAGTCTCGCTTCTGCTGACGAGGATCCATTCAAGCCAGCTAGGGTTGTGAAAGGACCTGAGGATGGAGCACCGTGGGATGAGGGTATGCCTCGCAACGCAGAAGGCTATGTGGTCAACGGTGACGGCGAGCGCGTCGACGTAGCATACATGCTCAAACGCCCCTTGGTTCGCTTGAAGTACCTCGCCAAGACCATCAAGGTCAGTGCCATTGAAGGATCGGTCTGCTTCGTTTGCTAACCTCTGATAGGGTCTCAACCATCTCAAGCCCACGGAACGATCGGAGAAGATGATGGCAGTCTTCCAAGAACTTGTCTCCACAGCTCGCAAGCGCTCCAACGATGAGCACGCACGCCTTGAAGACGAAGCTGCAGCGAATATCGATCCTACACGCTCGCGCGATCCCCGCAGTCTCGCCCCTCTCGCAGGCGTTCGTGTCGACCGGAACCGGTGTGTACGCGCTAGAGACCATTTCGATCTACACCTATATCATTCCAGTGGACAGGAGGTCAACTGCCGTGTCGAAGTGCTCCTCCGAGACGATGCCCCGGGACATGGCGACAGTGGAGATCTTCTGATCTGCGAAGTGGGTAACGCGGAACGCTGGCTACTGTTGCCACCTATTCAACTGAACCGTATATCCGCCCGGAATGGGGACCGAGAGGGTGAGATCATAGTGATGATCAGAGGTTATCACGCCGGCGGCAATGAGTGGAGTGAAGTGATGTCTCTGACGATAGACGACGAGCAAGCTGGATTTGAGTGGGTGCAGATGCTCGGCCTTACCCCAATTCCTCCTCAGCTGTCTGAGCTTGCGCGAGATATACTACCCCAGAAAACGCCACGTCCGACAAGCAGCAACGCCTCTTCCTCCCTGGTTTCGGCAGCAACTGGATCCACCCCGCCACACAAGAGCCGCACTCCTAGCCCCCATGAGATTGAAGTTCCCATTGGCGAGCAGGCTCTTGTTACATCAAAGCGTTGGAGTTTTGATACGCCAGATCGGCAGCGACACTCACGAACTGTCTCTCCGATTACTCCACCAAGCAGCGATGTCCTTACTGCCGCCCAACCGCGTCCCTTGTCCCCGTCGTCACCTCTGGGGGTTCAGAAACGTGGCGCGAAGGCCACATCTCCACGCCGAGAAGAGGAAGATCCAAGCCAACGTACGCCACGAAGTCTGAACGACGCTTTGCAACTCGCCTCGAGTGGCTCTCCGTCGAGTCTACGGCGCGCGAAAGCGCATAGGCGATCCAAGACCATATCTTCGCCCTCGGAATCTCGCCCTTCGAGACAGATTACGCTAGATGATCCCATTGAGGAGGAGCCGGTGCAGGAGATGAAGCCTCCCAGGAAGATGTCTAAGCGCCGACAATCTGAGCAGCCACATTCGACAACCTCGTCAATGCTGTCTCAGTCAAGCAAGGGCTTCAGCGTCTGGCTGCCTACGTCGTCCGAAATCGATCAAGATTATTCGGATGAATCTGAGGAAGACGATCACTCCGACCGTTCTGTAGACGACGACCATGAACCTCCCGTACGGCCTCTTGTGCATCGACGCGCATCTTCAGTGCCGACATTGGACATGCCGACCATTCCGAGATTACGCAAGTCTAGCGGGCCTTCCACTCCTGTAAAAGCCGACGAGCGGAGCAAAAGCCCGGAACCACCCGCGTCGGCACCTTCAAAATTCGATGAAGGGCGGAAAATAATTGATGAAGACCCTGCAGCTACAGCTGTGGACGATGAGCCGCCTCCACCTCCACCGCATCGGTCGAAAACCCCAACAACACCCATCACTCTGAAAGGATCCAACACTCCAGTGCTCACACCCACTCTTGGTGGTGTCAGGAACAAACGACGGTCGTCGTCCCCACTCAAACATGAATATGAGCCTTCGACTTGCTCAGAGACGTCAAGCGAAAGCGAAGAAGAGGTATCCGAGACGGAGGAATCAGCAACTTCGGAGTCCTCCGAGGATGAGCTCGAAGATGACGTTCCTACACCGTTGCTGCCGCTAGCTCAGCTGCCTCAACCAAAGCAATTCCCCAAGGTGTCACCTCCTGGCTCAATATACACGCTCCCTAATGGGACGATCACGCCTTCTCAGTCAGCATCAAACACTCCATATAGAACAGTACCTCAAGATTCTGTCCAAGCATCCAAAGCTATAGCGTCTATCTTCACGTGGTCGGATGCTGGTAGATGGGATAGCTTGCATCCCAATGAATGCAGCATTGTGGTGATGCCAGGGAAAATTGAGGTTCACGAGATCTCTGCAGCACACTCGAAGCCCTTCCTGACGGACGGCGATGAAATCATCCCGCCTACCACCAAAGCTCCCTTGATTGCGGTCGAGCTAACGCCGCTGGTTCCTCTCCGCAAATCGACAGCCATTGATATCTCCATTCGATCCCCGCCCACGGCCGAATCACGCATCAAGAGCGGGAATAACATTATGTTGCGGAGTCGCAATGCGCAGGAATGCGCGCAGCTCTATGCGATGATCAACCACTCACGCATCAACAATCCTACCTACATCGCTCTCCAGAATGCACGAGGTCCGTATGGCCAGTCAAGCTGGGCCGAGGTCATGGACCGCCAGAACGCATCTCGCCCGAATCCTGGCGACAAGACCAGCTTCTGGACTGGCACACTTGGTCGCCGTAGCTCGTACCGCAAGACAACCACTCGCGCAGCCTCCATCTCTGCAGCCACCGAATCCTCCGTGGGCACAATGAACACAGCGTTGCGCAGCGCGCTCGGCCGCTTCAGCTTCGCCAAAAATGGGCGCTTCAACATCAGAGGCTCGACCCTAGGGTCCCGCAGTCTCACCAGCTTCGACACCGGTTCGACCGGCTCCGGCCCAGGCTCAGGATCCAGCACGCCCAACCCCGGCCGCGCACCCGGCGCCCCGGCAGGCATAACAAACACTAAAGTGCGCCTCTACGAGCGCGAGACTCTAACTAAATGGCGTGACATGGGTGCCGCGCGCCTCACCATCATGCTGCCGTCTCTCGACCCGACCGCCTCGCCGTCGAACCCCCTCTCCCGCAGCCCCGGTACACGCAACCCCAGCCAGGAGAAGCGCATCGTCGTGACGGGCAAGAAGGACCAAAGTACGCTACTGGATGTGACGTTGAGTGAGAGCTGCTTTGAGCGCGTGGCGAGGAGCGGGATTGCGGTAAGTGTGTGGGAAGACATCATTGGTGCCGATGGGGTCGCGGGACGAGCGGCGCAGACGGGGGGTGTGATGGGGAGTCGCGCGCGGGTGTTCATGGTGCAGATGAAGAACGAGCGGGAGTGCGCGTTTTGCTTTTCTTTGCTGGGTAAGATGAGGTATTAGGAAGACGACGTCTGTGGTGACGTATGAGGATGAGGGGAAAGGAGCAAGGTGGGTTGGTTGCTGCGAAGAATCTTTTGGTGGATATACCTGCCTTCGGGCTTCTTTTTCTTATGTATGCATCATGGGGTGGGTTCGTCATGTTTAGGGGGTAGGTGCACGACCGAGCGAACGATGATTATGGGCATATATATTCTACTTGTTGCTGTGGATTTGTTCTAGAGGGGGAGGGGAGTAGCGTGCATAGGAGAGGAGGTGTAATGTCGGGAGAGGAAGGGAGGATGTGGATAGAGTAATGGATTAATGAGTTTATGTGGAGTCTCTCGGATTTCACGACCTCTTGAACGATGGGATCTTCTTGGGCGTGTTCAAACCGGTACACAAACCGGCCATGTGATTCGCTGCAGGCATGCCTTCCACGATGGACTGGTGCAGCTCGCCTCCTACACAATTCTGCATGACAAGAGGCTATGTGACGCCGGTGTCTGAGATGAAGACCTGAGTCTGCAATGTCATGGAGTTCTTGGGGTAGAGGCTTTTCGAGAAAGGGCTGACTACAAACAAATGAGGGCGACGACTCTCTTCTCTCCTCAAAACGACCATCAACAACGATATGAAGCCATCTCCTGGAGAAGAATTCAAGAAAACCTCACTGGAGAAAGGGTGCTAGAAGATTGGAGGTTCTTTTCACCACTTATATATGTGGCTGTTGGTCGCCCTCTCAAGGTCCAATCATTTTCTCGTCATAGATTTACCTCAGAAAACGAAATCCACATGAACGATTGGGAAGAGAATGTTTCTGAAGTGACTTGCGGGGCTCCAAAAATACTGCACCGTATGTAACATGAGTGTTTGGATCCCTCCTCCCAAAATTGTGGGGTGAAAATCATGGTGTCTCTTGAAAATGTTCGGACGATAATTCTCGGAGAAGAAACAATAGCCTATATCATCGGAGATCTTAATGCTCACACCTCCCAATTGCTCCTTGGGCGACGAAAATGTTATAAGCAATAATCTCATGTGCGTTCTGGATTCGTGTGGGCATGAGATAGGAGAGCGCCTCTCAAAGATAAACACCAGGCGGACTCCAGGAGCGGGTTCTGGGTTCCTAAAAAGGCTGTGAGAAAATTTCGATGGGGTGTCCGTTCTCTGTGTTGAAGACATCCTGGCTTGTCGTTTCGGCATTTCCAAAAAATAAGAATCGAAGCAAGCCATGATGAAGCTACCGCGAGTGCCTACAAAATGCAAAATGGAACTTGCATCGTTTTTCGACCGATCGAACACCGTACGGCCGAGGGCTCGCCAGACGTATGACAAGGCAGCTAAGACTCCATGTGGCAGGCTTTATGCGCAAAGGGAAGAGCGTAGCCAAGAGGACCCTACCTAGCCGGGTGGCCGAGAGCGCCCCCAAAATAGAATCAGTGACAGGCACTAAACCTATCGTCCCGCAGATGGGAAGAGGTCGCTCACCCAACGTGTAAATTACACTGATAAACAAGCGAACAGGCAGCGGGCTCTCGGCGTTTCACTGAAAACCGTCGTAATCTTGCGAAAAGGATGACCATAGAGTGGGCCTGGCTCGCGCATGGACCCCACAGCCCGGGAGCTGCACGTGATATTACGAGCGGACCAATCGCCATGCGGGATGGACGAGGAACGCTAACGCGAAGAGGAAATGTACGAGCATCGCCCAAAGGTACGAGCGGCGCTAACTGTTGCAACCATGCGGCTGTCTACCGGTCAGACACCAAATGGGCAGATTGAGGGGCTATTTGGCTGGCGGAGCATGCATTGCCATGGGGCCTAGGATACTGTATAAAGGACTGAGATGCCGTCCTTGTGGGCTGCGATTCTGTTCGGCTACTCGTCGTCCATCGAAAAAGAGACCATTTTTGCAGACCGACCGTTATTCACTCACTGATCTTCTTCGGCATCCTCCCATCTTCCAACAATTTCCCTTGGACACCATCGTACCGCGTATTCCTGGAAAGACTCGGCCAAATACCGTCTGCCCGATCCATCTCCGCCTCTTCTCTACACACCTATACGATGGCACCAATCGATCTCCTCGAGACAGTGCACTCGCTGGCCAAGCGATCTGACGACAACATCGCGGGGATTCCTAAAGGGCTTTTGGTCATTCTCATCATGATCAGCGGCGGCGCACTCGTCGTTGTCATCTACGGCCTCGCTCGTTTCATGTTCCCAGAGAAGGAAGGCATGAGAACAGTAGGGGCAGAACAAGCCGACTACATGCGCGAAGTCAGAGTGAGGAACTTGAACAATCTGATGGCAGACTATGCACCGAGAGGGCCTTATCGGCAACGGCAGTCAAACACTAGGTAGGACATCGAATCAAGCAACCACCCACTTGCAAAATCGAACGAATGGCTAATGCTTGCGGAAGCTATGCAGAGTCGTCAAATAGATGATTGCAGCCTCAACCATGAGCATACATACGAAGCGTTGACGGCGAATCGGCACGATCGAAACTGCACACGTTAGCGGTTACTGGGTAGAAGGATATACATGTGGCGTACTGGTTGTTTGGCAAGGAATACCCGCCATAAGGCGTGGCTTAGATCTATAATTTGAGCAGGATAAACACGGTCAGAAAAGACGACCAGCGGCTGGAGCACCCTAATTGGACATAGGCGAGTCGGAGATGAATCACCTTCAAGACAACTTGAGGACAACAGTGTGGTCCTATGTAACATCTGGTAGCTGGTTGTACGAATACTATGACGGTCACGAGCGCTTCTTTTGGAGTTTCAAAGCCTTGTTGGTCAAGTCTCAGTCCGATGTATTGAATAGAGTTGGTCTAAGTCAACGCCCACAGCTTGCGCAGGCCACTCGATTGAGTTGCGCTGCTGTTCCCCCAACACAAGAGCAGCCGTGGAGACGAGATTTGGCGCGAAGTCCTTAATCCAGAACACGAACTCGACTTGAGCAGGAAGTACGGCATAACTATACACACGGATACAAAGTCAGTTTGATCCAGAGATGTGAGGTTGGGTACGAGGTATCTGTGTCTAAGACACTGCGACCTTGTATCGGGGCATTACGCACTGCGCAAGAATGACCCAGGCTTCGGGCTGTCGTGCTTCCACGAGTTCCAAAAAGGCCAAAGGTAACTGGATGGGCCAGCTCATCACGGAAGTCCAATCGATAAGCTTTCCATACCGAGTTTTTGGTGCATTGTCGGAAACAGTGAGCTGTGAGACACGCGCGAAATCTTCCCGCAAGGTTTTCAATGCCTGCCTCAAGGCATCAAAACAGTACTCGTAGGGACGATCTGGCCTCATCCACATGCTTTCTATATCCTTGAGGCGTTTGTCATCCTCGATCGCATCGGATGTGGCAGGCATAGCATACGGCCACCAATCGCGCTTTGCGACGTCTTTAAACACTCCACTCACTATCAGATGCCAACAAGGCACCAATATGACAAGTACGCCTCGAAGAGTACGCAGGATCTTCGACGTAGTGGCCACGAGAGCCTTTACGGTCTGATCTCGATTCAGTCCTCGTCTCTTTTCGTTAGGATGCAGAAGAGCCTGAAAGTCGTCTGTTGTTGTGTAGAGGACCCACGCAGTAGCGGTGACGGAGAATGCTAACAGTGACTCCGCATTCGTCTCTGAAACCCTTGCAATGGCTTCGCGGTACTTGATAAGTCCCATGTTCATTTGGTAGGTTGCAATATCTCGGAAATGTTTCTTCTCGCTTTCTGTCTCTGCATGTTTGGAGACGTGGAGAGCTGAAATAGCAACTGTCCCCTGCAAGACAAAAATATGTTTCGCTGTAAGTTGGGGAACAGCTGCACACCAAGCTGCTCTAGCGGCGTCATTGTGAGTGATTGTGAAGCTGGTCTCCTCTGCGAAATGCTGCAACAGATGTCGAATTCGCGGACGTAAAGCATCTGGAAAGTGGACGATCAACTTGTCTTGAGGGAGGTAGTCCAAGAAAGTTGGAGATGAAATTGATGCAACAGACCCCTCGGGGCTACTTGAAGGTCCATTCGCTTGTGGAGCCCTTGCAAGGAAAGATCTGGGAACCGGGTCATAGGTACGAAAGCTGCACTCGGCTCTACGTCTGGCACAATTCTTACAGTCCGGACGACCTTCGTCACACTGCGGTTGTCAGACACGGCAGGATGGATGCGTGAGTTGAGCGCGCAGGTGTCGCCTTCCCAAAAGAAAATATGGGCTGACCTTGATACGACGCTTCCTACACTGAGCGCATCCGTGCTTGCTTTGTATGCGAGGCTTCCTCGTAGACATTGATCTGGCGGCTCTGTGTATCGGTTGTTGAAGTGACACGGGGATGACCAGCAGGGGGAAAACATGGGGGCCTGCAGCCTAGGCCGCAACAGGCAAGCGTGCCCTTTCTGGGAGGCTCACCTACCGTCTGCTTCGTGTTGATCTGCCTTCGTGATCAACTTGCATGGACATCATTTAGATCTGTCAATGTCTCGCTTTTTGCATGAAGAAGCCTGAGAACACGCGCCCATACACGACCAGCCGCCTCCATCTTCGTGCCCAAGCTAAGATCGACACACGCACGAGCTCCCCGCATTTGATCCTTGATTCCCCGTCCTGTGCCTCTCCAACTCCCTGCAACAATGCACGCGCCCCACTCACAGTCCTCTCCGCATGCGCCGGCTTCCCCAATTCTGTTTGGTCGGGTGAGCGCCGTTGTCGTTCGCTCCAAGCTCTATCCTCCAACTTCCCGTTTGGCACTGGTTTGCTGAGGCGGCCCTTGAATGACGTCGATCCAAAGCTGCCGCCGCGCTCAATTGCGGATCGTCTCACTCACCGTTACATTCGGTCGGTACCTTGACTTGGTACTCATGATCAATTGCGGGGTATAGTAATATCGCTTGGATGGCTAGCAAACGACCGTGCCAGGCACAAAAGCCTGAAATATCGTCATGCCGCGCTGATCGTCCATTTCCAAACATTCTGCTCCTGCTCTCCATACTGTGTGCGTGCCGGTGGCTCTCGATCAACATGCGCGGTCTCAACTTGCTTACCTCGATCGCGATACCACTACTCGCAGCTGCAGAATGTCCTGACTACTCGGATTACTCCAAGGTCGTTCATGAACCATTAAGCGCAGGGAAATACAAGCTTGCATACCAGAGGCCCTCGGAAGACTGCCGGACCTTCAAATCGCAGGGTGTCGAAGATACATTGACGCGTTTCGAGAGCATCATCAAAGATCCGGACCTCTATCGCCTCTTTCAGAACGCGTATCCGAACAGCTTGGACACGGCCGTCAAGTGGAAGGGCGTTGCCGCCGACAATGGGGAAGAAGAACTGACCTTCTTGATTACAGGCGATATCAATGCCATGTGGCTGCGTGACTCCTCTAATCAGATGCAAAGCTACCTCCCCTTACTGAACGCGAGCAGCGACCCCAATTCCCTCGCGAGTCTTTACAGGGGTGTGATCAATCTCCAGGCGAGATATTTGCTCACATCGCCCTACTGCAATTCCTTCCAGCCCCCAGTCGAGAGCAACATCGCACCGGCAAAAAACCCCTCGGCGAGCAACGACGTGGTTGTGCCGGCATACAACAACCAGTCGGTCTTTGAATGTAAATATGAACTCGACTCGCTGGCTGCCTTCCTGGAGGTATCGACCAACTATTACAATGCCACCGGCGACGCAGAATTCTTCGGCAAGTTCCATTGGGTGGAAGCTATCGAGGCAGTTCTCAAAGTAGCGCAGGAGATGACAACACCCACCTACGGCGAGGATGGAAGGGTTTTGGATAGTCCATACAAGTTCAACCGCGACACCGATCGAGCAACGGAAACATTCGCGAATGATGGTATCGGAAACCCTGTAGCAAACGGCACCGGTCTGATCAGGAGTGGATTCCGCCCTAGCGACGATTCGACAATCTACCAGCTGTATATCCCAGCCAACATGATGTTCAGCGCCTACCTGAAATCAGCCGCTGAAATAATGGGCAAAATCAACAACGATAAGTCGGCATCCCTAGCGACGCAGATGTCGGACCTCTCGAGGTCCATCCAGGAAGCCATCGAGACACACGCGACGGTGAACCACCCGAAATACGGAAAGGTCTATGCCTTTGAGATTGATGGCTTCGGCTCTCAGAACATCATGGACGATGCGAATATCCCATCGCTCCTCTCTGCTCCCTTCAACACGTACCCCGTGAACGAAGAGACATACGCCAACACACGCGAACTCGTGCTCAGCGCATCAAACCCATACTTTATGCGTGGACCCATAATCAACGCAGTAGGCGGCCCCCACCAAGGCCCCGGCATGGCTTGGCCTATGGCTAGCATTGTCAGGATATTGACGACCGACGATGACGACGAGATCAAAGGGGAGCTGAAGCAGATTGTCAGTAGCACGGATGGGCTTGGACTGGTACACGAGAGCATAAATAGCTTCAACGAGTCAGACTGGACACGCCAATGGTTCAGCTGGGCGAATGGCTTGTTTGGACAGATGATCTTGGATTTGGAGGAGAGAAAGCCGGACATCCTGAGCACGAGCTTCCAGTGAGGAGAGCGCGCGGAGTGATGTAGGGACCGTGATGGTCAAATCAGTAATGGTACACATGAATTCCTGTTTGCTTCTGGCTCTAGAGTTTCCTGGTTGTTGTTACAGATGGTGTACAACGCGAAGGAGCACATGTGATGTTGCTCAACACGTTAACTCCTTCCACGCGCACGGGCATGGTCAGCATAGGCTAGCAGCGCGGTCTTGGTGCCGCAGGGAACTGTTGTGTCCATAATTACTTCGGGAGCTGGCGTGAGATTCTGAGCGTTTGCGGTAGGGCACTTAGAAAGCGACCAGTAACGTAGATCGAGACGGCACGGCTCCTAGCTTAAACTTTCCACTCCCAACTCAAGACCAAATCTTGACGGACGTGATGGAGACGTGCGGTGCAGGAGCACGGGACGAACGAAAAGCTCCATATACGGACACATGCGACCTCGTGCTACCGTGTACTCGGTGAAACTCAGGACTTTAGCGGTGCGAGCTCTCCAGACGGTGCGCTAAGTCGCCGATGGCGACCGAGTTTGCGGCACCTCTTGCCATCAATAGATCATTGCCTGCTTGATATGGAGGGTCGCCGAGCGTACAAGTTGCCTGTTGAGGTGCTCATCTGCATGTTCTGTTATGCGTCTGCAAGCGGAATATATATCGGCCGCCGAGGAAGGTTTCTGCAACTACGGACGTTTGAGTGGGCTTCAGCAGAAAAGCCGTGCAACGATGACCAAGAGCCAGGCAGCCTATCTCCGATCCGCGGGCGGTGCGTCAGGTAAATGAAGGTCCAGGCGGAAAATTGATGTTCCTCCTGATTCAACGCGGTGGGGAGTGCATGAACAGGTTGCTGAAAAACACGTGCCTGTGCGTTTGACGAGGCAAGAGGGTCCGACAATAAGAACACGATGACGGCAGCGATCAAACGCAGCCGGACGATCTTGCAAGGGTGGGAAATTTGGTTTTCGATACGCTCCACAGCCCGAAATAACTGCGCCTTGTTGCACGGCGCGCGGCTGTCGAGCGTGTGCTGGAATGTTTCCTGGCGGCTCTCGAGAAACATCGTGGCCCTGTGGAACGGCGAGGGAGGAGGCACGCAACACGGGTCTGCAGCCGTGCACTGCATGCTGCGCCGCAAGCAGCGCTTACGGGCAACGAGTGGGCATGAGGGTTGACGGCGTGGGCAGGGAGCTGTTTCAGCTGGCACTTGCATTGACGCGATCTCATCGGCCGTCCAGCCCAGGCGTGCGGTGGAGCGGAGGGGCCGAATGTTTGCGTGTTTGTGTGTCTGCGCGCTCCCGCCGCGAGCGCACCGCACAAAGATTTGTTTCCGGCTGGGTGTAGCTACGGCAACTTGTCGAGGAACCGGCTGTCTGCCAGGTGGTAGTGTTGCGGACGCCTGTCTCCGGCGCGTGATGGCTGGCTGGGATGGCCTCCGATGCGCCCGCGCCTGTGCCTGCCTGATTAGCGAGGCAGGGGCTGCTGCACCCATGCAAGTCCTCCCGCAACCCAGGGATCCGTCTTCCTCACCCCTCGTGGACGACGCTGCCATGGCCGATGGTACGTCTCCAGCCCGCTCAGCTGGATGCCATGGATGCTATGGACCGGCCCCGCCGTCTTCACGCCGCCTGCCGGCTCTTGCGGAGCAGGACATGATGCCGGTGCCCTCTCCTGCGGCGACCGTGAGATGAAGCAGCGCTGAGCCTCCCTATCAGCGTCTGCGGTCGTCGGCCGTTCGCTCGTCTGTTGCTTCCCATCCAATAAATCTTCTCATGTCATGTCAAACCTACTTTTGCTTGGTGCTCAACTAGACATGAATGGCGCACGCCGTGGCTTCCCGATACACTAACAACTAGGGACACCGACGGCGCCTTCCTACCAAAACAGCCTTCGAACTGACAGGTGCACCACGACTTCATACCCAGCCATCCCCTCTCTCCTCACACCGCTCTACACGGCCTCTTCTGTTGTTGTTTTTGGACTGCCCAACGACTAGGTTTCGCATTCCCCAATTTCGACTACTCTACGCTCTGCATTAAGCGCTGAGGCTGCTTTCTCCTTTCATCCAACACTCTTCAGCGCCAACCCGGCCAATCCCCTCCTCGACTATTTGCGGCGTAGACCTTCCCATCCTGCAGTACGTCGCAGCCTCGTGCATCAAACAACTTTTCCTCTGGACAGTGCAATTCTCCGAGTGGGTCCAAATTGCAGCCTGCGTGAGCCTTATCGACAAGGCCCTCAAACTTGGCCCTGTTCGTTTCAAGTGGTTGAACCAAGCGCCCTTTGACCGCATCATCGTCCGGCAGATCACCTCTAATCGGCTCTTGCGCCTTTTGGTCCAATCGTTTTGCATTGTCGAGTTGCATAACGTCGTCGTTGATCAAGCTTCCGCGTAATTATTCGGTGTTTTTTTGGTCCATGCCAGCCGCGTGTATCTTTATTCTTCCCAGGTATGTCTGCCGCCACCGTTCATCCGCTTGCTTAACTAAAACGAATACAGCAGGGTCTCCAATATGACCTTCTAATTCGGACGCTTGTCACTGCAGTTTCATGACACCCGGTTAGCTTCTGGCATCCAAACGAGACACTGCCCCGTCCCGCATCCTGCTCGCTTTAAGGCCCCGGGCGTCCCAACATCATGGGTTCCACAACACTCTTCACCTTCCTGTTGTATGTTGATCCGATATCTGCCTTATATTCCATTACTCCGCTGACTTTTCATTTAGTGAGCATCCTACTCGGCTTCAAAGTGTGGAGCTGTTCGGCTCGTGGGACAATTTCTCCAAGCCATACCAGCTACAACGCGACCGAAGAAGAGGTCACGGGGTCTGGTCTGGTTGTTATACTTTCGACAACATCATCTGTGACGGCGACTTTGAGAACGTCGGGCAGCGTCGAAGTGGTGCTCTAAAAATGGGTGGAACCTATTGGTATTACGTACGAGCCTCCACTCTCATGTGTGCAAACACATGTCGTTTTACAGCGTCGCGACAGTTACTGATCCTACCCAGTACAGCGTGGATGGCATTGAGGAACGCTATAACCCTTCGGAACCATCGACAACTGCGTGCCCTTTACTCCCTGGGCAGCGACTGAACGTCCTGGATGTCCCTCGCGAGGCAGGGACCATCCACAACATGGGAGACGCAGACGTCTTCACCCGCAACCCCAAAGACAAGTTCCTCACGCCAGTCCCGCCTGTTCCACAGAAAGCCCTTCCATCCCCTCGCCTAGGAGATCTCTGCAGTGAATCGTATCGTGTCCCCACAGTCTCGCTCACTACTCCGCGATCCGCAACATACCCCTACACCACTCCAGCATACTCACCCGGTCCTGCACGACATGCACGGAGTGCATCTACTACACCGGCCTTAACCTCGACGGCCCTGTTCGCAGACTTCAAGTGTCTGAAAGAAAAGTTCGCACAGAAGAGGTCAGCTTCACATGCACGAGCAGGATCGAAAGGTATCCGGGATCTAGAGATAGGAGCACCTACCTTGATCAGCACCACCGCTGAAGAGGTCAATCTTGTACCTCTGTCGTCGCTCCACAGGACCCCACTCCCTTCGCCTTTACCGACTCCCCAGACCTTAAAGTCTCTGCCCCCTCCGCCTACGGCGCCCCATACGGCTCCTTCCTTGCCAGAATCTGTCAGGGAAAAGTTGCGGCAGTTCTCGCCTCTTGGCTCTCACCCAATAGAATCCAACGCAGATAGTGGACCATCGACGTTGGCGCCCAACGAATATTCGTATGGGGCGCGGCCGCGTTCTCGATCGGACGTTGCACCAACTACAGCAGGCTCATTTTGTGCGCCAGCCAGTGTTGTTCGAGCTAAATCGACCGACACGAGGCGCACGAAACTCTTCTGCAATGAGCCATGGATATCATCGCCGAGACTGCCACGGCAACATGAGATAGGCCCTGAGATACTGGCCGATGAGGCTCCTGTACTTGAAACACCGGCTTTAGCCCTCGAGCCACCATCCACGGACGCACGCCCAACTTCAAGCCACGGCGGTGATCGCAGCTCTGGCTTGCGGAACTCAGCACTTGACAAGGACAAGAGCCTGCCTCCGTTACCACGTTATCTTGTTCCCGCTCCGCTCTACGCATGCAGCAGTGCCGATTCCAGCCCACAGATCGACGATACGCCTGAGGAGAATGAGTATCAAGAGATCCAGGTGGAGGATGCACGGTTCCAAATTCTATCGGATCGCAAGGGCCATTTCTCAATCTGGAGTGCCGAGTCGGGCACGTTCAGCTCTCCAACATCCGACGAAGGCGAGCTTGAATCGCCGACTTTCAGCTGCCTTACCAGCGACTGTAGTGATACTGGCTCGCCACGACGGTTCTCTCTTTTCTCCATTAGCGAATACATACACAGCCCCAACCACGATTCTACATTTCCCGAGCAGGAGTACGAAAAGGAAGACCAGGATGAGTCACCCGCCCAAGAGGACGTCTCTACTTTGCCTCCAAAGTTAGAGGAGCTTCACTTATCATCATTTGGGCCCAGTCTCTTCGACCTCGACATTCAACACGCAGAATCTGCGCCACGTAGGCAAGCGGCATGCTTTGGGCTGGGCTTCCAAAGCTACAAGCTACCAGACAATGAAACTGTGTCCAAGACGACCGTCACCGAGAGCTCATTCCAGCCCCGGCCAGCGATACAGCATGCCCGTGGTGGCTCCATCGCTCGTTCCGAAGCGCTCGTCAACGATTTCGGCTTCCTTGGCGATGCCGTCAATTAGGAGTAATTCGGTCACCACCTTCGCTTCACAGTATATATTCGACGTTACATTTCCTCTGTTTAGATTTCTTGGTATACCCATCTTCGGCCCTTTAGCATTGTGGCCTGGTCGAGCCACACTTTTCTTGACTTTTAAGGCGAATTTTCTACCTACGCCGTATATGCAAGATTTTGGCCTTCGTTTCAACTTTCACCCTTTACACACTGCAGCGATGCTTCATTTAGCAATGGTGTTTGATCCTAGGGAGCAACCTCACTGCGATTTTCATGCCCCCCATGTCACGAGCATGAATTTGATCAGTCGGCGGTCGATGGCATGGCGGTATGGGCCATAGAGTGACATACTGTCATATGACGGGAGGATAGCAATGCGTCTGATGGTGGACAAAGCTCATGGAAATATCTTGCAGCTTAATGAGCAGTGCAACGAAATGACGAAAGTACCAAAACACATCCCAATATATCCAGAAGCATGACATAACAGGTGATGAGGCCAGACCTGCAAATATAGCCGAGCGTGGGTGCCTACGCCTGCGGTCGCCTAGTCTTCCACTGCAGCCTTACATTCTCTGCGCTGCTCGGGACGTACCCAACGACTTCGCTGTCCGACTACAAAAGTTCTTGGAACTGGCCCAAGCTTGTATCGGCACAGCTTTGTACAACGTAGCATTGTACTGCCGACAATCTTGATCATCTGGCCCATTCATCCAATTTCGAGACAGTACTTGTACCCACCAAGAATGAAGCACACCTTCCCCAATTTCGTCGCATGACTCGACCGCGAGAAGCGCAAAGCCGTGCCGCGAGGACGGCCGGAAGATTCGGATCGCTGGAACCACACAGAGTGTACCATTATAAGTACAGGGCACGCTGGACGCCAGACCTCCGGTGCGCTCGGAATGACACCATGGGCACGGCAAGCAAGTCATGAGGGAGAGGTGGCTAGCGCTGCACTAGAGAGGATCGGACGGGCTATCGCATTCATGAATGAGGGATTGCACCAGGGAGTTGTGGTGCAGAAAGGGATGGATGGACTGTCCTGGACAGTCCCGAAGACGCAGCGCTGTCGTCGGGGTCGTCGGGGTCGTCGGGGTCGTCGCTAACGGATGCAAATGTGGCAGTCTTTGGTGGCTTTTCCGGGAGTGGTGCACCTACGATACATCCAAACGAGCAGGCCCATGAAGCTGGCGTCGATAAAACCCCTGCACGCGCAGGCGAACATGTAGGAAGCGCAGATGAAGATGAAAGTGATTACTGGGACGAAAACTACGACGGCGTAGACACGGATTTCGAAGGCGTACCATTTTCAGCTGCGATGCTCTGTAAATGGCCAGACACCGAGCATACAGAGTGGACAGAGGAGATGTGGAGTGAGGCGCGGAGCGCGGAAGAAGCCGCGATGTCACCGTTGCCTGACGACGAGGATGAAGATGGGGAGGTGGGTGGCGGGAGAGACGGTGTAAAGTGGGTGTTTAAGAGGACGGGACAGGCGATTTGACTTGTTTTGTTTTGACAACACAAGACGCCCTGGTAAGACAGAGCAGTGTCAAACGTGGGGGATAGTTGTTTAACGCACGAGTCCTGCACTGACACATAACGAGGTCGCCAGCTCTCCAAGTCATCATAATTGCATCTTCAATGATTTTGCTTCGGTCCTGTCTATGCTAGTCCCGTGCACATTATATGCGAACACTCCACTAAGCCAGACGCACGCCGTTACAGGGCCAGGTGAGCTTATACAATCTCGTAGACATCCGCGACGGACTTGATATCCGTGGTGAAGTTGATGTCTTGGTTCATAGAGAGAAGCGTAACGGAGGCAACCTGTTCGCACAACTGTTAGTAAACTCTAGGCATGCTTAAAGCAGAGGAAATAGTATAGACTCACGCTGACGTCCACGAAGGGAGTCGCCTTGCTGAAGCGTACCCTCATGGGGAAAAACTCAGCCTCGCTCTCGGCCTGAGCCTCGAACTCAAAGCTGCCGGAGCTGTGCTCTTCGTCTACGGTACCGATGTTCCACTCCAGGCTATCGCCGCTGACTTCGTATACAGCGTCAAAGGACGACACATTTGGCTCGTCTGTCTGGAACGGTATGGTGACGGTGACGTCCTTCAACGCGTCACCGCCAGCCAGCTCATATTCTACAGTGATGTTGAACATCTTGCCCGAGTCCTCGACCCATACGCGGAACGTGATCGGTGGATCTGATACATCTTCTGCCTTGGGCGCGAGTTTCCATTTCATGACACCAATTCCCATGTTCGAGGGAAATCCCTTACTGGTATCCGCAAGCTGGATGACCTGGCTGTTGCGGAAAGCAGCCTTGTCGACCTTTGGATGTGTCATGAGCTGAGCGCCTCGGGTGTCGCCGGCTTGTAAGTCGAGCTTCACTTGCGTAAGGGCCGGGTCGGAGATCTTGAGTTGCATTTCTCCCTTGACCTCAAATGACTTGAGCAGACCTTCTCTGTCCAAGCGTGCGGAAATGGACTCGTTGGTGGTGATGTGCACAGCTTCGCGGTCGTTCGAGGTGGACTGACGAGCGCTCGCTGGCGCTGCGGCGGGGGCGGAGGTCTTGGGTGAGGCAACAAGGGGTTCGCTCTCAGGAGGCAGATCGCCTGCAACTTGGTCGAAGATGTTGGAGGTGGTTTTCTTCTTGCCGAGCTGCATGCCCTTCTTGCCCAGTGCTAGTGGCTTGCTAGTCTTCTTCTTCTCGGCTTCATACGAATCATAGGTATCGGGAACGGTGGCAGGGGTGCTGGGCGTGTACGAGGGGTACTGAGGTGTGCGAGGTGCGCTGCCCATGCCGCCCATGCTTCCCATGCCTCCGCCTCCTCCCATTGCGCGTGATGACCTTGACATTTCCTTGCGCTGCATTTCGAGCTGCTTGGCACGACGTTTGCGCTCCTCGGTGGCCTCGAGTTCCTTGTTCCGTGCAATAATCTCCTGAATCCTCTCCTCGTGACTCTCCATCTCTAAGAAAGTCTTAATTTGGGACAAGGTGAGGTTCTCCCGATAGCCCAGCGTGACGATCTCATCAAAAGCGCCCAGCAGCTCGAACGCATTCTTCAAGATCTCGCGTTCATCTAGCGACTTGCATATTGAGGATACGACCTGGGCGAAAAGATGCAGAGAGTTGATGTCTTGCAAGATGTTGGACTGGAGGTTGGTAATGAGCACCATGTACAGCTCGTCAAGCGGCTGGTACACGTAGCGCACATTGTCCTGCTCTACGGTGGTGTGTTGGGAGGCGCCGTCGGCGAGCTTGGGAAATGAGGCGAGGAGGGCTTCAATGCGCGAGCGCTGCATTTCGCGGAATTGGCGGGAGAGGACAGCCTTCCCGCCGCGGGTGCATATCGACGCTGCGAGGACAACCTGCGATTACCGTAAGACGTGATGAGCAGGCATGATGCAGCATTGGACCACTGTACCATGTTGACGCAACACTAGTAGCTCAAATGGATAACCTTCGAGCTTATATATGGGTTGTCCGGGGTGGTGGGCGCGCGTTCGATCGCAGCGTTTCGGCGGTCTGTGGGTATGGAGGGGATGCTGTCCACAGTGGAAATTGGGAGCCCCAAACTGATTGGCAATCGCGCGAGGATGTCTAGCTGGAGACGGACAAGCAGCGCAGAGGAAGTATGCTGTCCGAGTATCGTAGAAGAAGCAAGGCTACTGTGTCCCTTGCGTTCGAGTTGCTGGCTCGCTGGACCATTGTGGAGGTCCGCCATGTCCAGGTGTTAATTTGATCACGTGATTGTGCCTGCCTACGCTAAGCCGTTTTCACGGCCGAGCCTGCCACATAAAGTGCCCTTTGACCCAACCCTTTTTCTCTACTACAACCGCGCTCCTGCTCAGCTACCGCGACCTCCCATACGGACCTTCCGCAGCGGCTTCTATTGTCTTTTCACTTGCCTTTCACCCAATAAACAAAATCCGCGGCCCGACGGCGCGCTCCAAGAACTTCCGCTCGCGTTGGCTTCGATACCTGCAGCTCGTCCTTGGCGCGACCTTTGTCTTCCTCCGCCTACTGTGATAGAGCCCTACAACACTACCTCACAACCCGCGCCTTGCAGCAACGCCGATTACTCACGACGCGTACGGCGTGATGCTACCCTAAAACAAGCCTCACCTTCAGTCTCGCTTTACAAGTTCTCGTGCCACGCGCGTTCGCCCCTTCCGCCACGCCTGTGACTCGCGCCCGCCCGCTGCGACGCGCCCTTCACGCCACCCTCAATACTGTTTGCAATATCATCGGTCTCTTCTGACCAAAGTTTCCCTATGTCGACCGCTGCCTTGTCAGCTCCTCATCTGGAGGTCAGTGCACCCGATAATATGGACCTTCATTCCGAAGACGGCCTGGACTTCGATGATGACGATGTCGACATCGATCTGGACTTGCGTTCTGCAGGTGGCGTTGATGACGATGAATCGCTCCGCGATGCTGGGACAGATGCTGGCCAGGATATGCAGGCCGTGCCGGGTGACCTGGACGACTTCATGGCTGACAACGAGGATCTGATCGAAGAGGACATCGTTGACGAAGACATCGAGGTAGATCTCCACCCGCATTCAGCCGACCATACCACCGCGCTTGACCAGTCCCCACCAGCTGGCCCCGAAGAAGACTTGATTGATTACTCGGATGACGAAGACGCAGCCGTAGACGGAAATACAGTCGCGACAAACGCGCCCCAAACTGATACTCCCATTGAAACTGTAATTGCCCCAGAGAACGGAGACCAAGCGGGTGTCGACAACCTGTCTAGTCACGGAAGTCAAGCCGAAGAGAACGACGTTAAGTCACAATACACTACAAATGCGCATCAGGTGCAGACTGACTTGGACCCTGTGCAAGCACAGGACTTGCACACAACAAAGCAACCTGGTGCTGCTTCCGCACAGCCAGACGAGCGATCGCACTCTGTTGTGCATGATGACTACCAAACCTCGGGCCAGGAAACCCATAGCCCAGAGCGTGGGACGAGTGATCCTCTCATCTTCTCGACTGGTGCCGGCGTTGACAACTCTTCGACCGAGCACAGCGGGCAAGGTGACAAAGACACCAACTTCCACCCTGTCAATGTCAACTTCAACGGCCAGGACTACTGGCTGTTCCAGCATCATGACTATGAGGGCAGTGGGGATTACCTCCTCGAGGATGACTCCTTTCTGAAACAGCCTCTTAATTCCGTCATCAATGCTTGTCGGAAAGCTCTCCGCGCTCTTGACGTTGACGTCCCCGGTGATTTTGAGCTTGGCTTCCGTCTTGACAGTCTCCACCAGGTCGAGCTCTTCGAAGAGCATTCGACATGTGCTTTTTTCAGCTTGAATGACATACTCGGTGTATACCTGCAGCTCTATGCTCAAGATGGGATTACTGACCCCGAGTACTTTTGCATCTCGCTCGTGTCCCGCCCACGAGTCTCGTCTCTACTCGCCGAACTCTCCAGAGCCGCTACGGAAGGCATTGGCTACTCAGGCTTAGACAATGTTATTGCGTCTGGGCAGAGTCTCTTCTCTGTCCAAAAATCTCATAGTCCTACCGAACATAGTTCTGGGGAATGGGAGGAGGAGGAGGAGGATGATGATGTGCAAGAGGCGTCCGAGGTGCAGGACCACCCTGAAGTGGGGAACCCAGATGGACACGAGGGAGAACACCAGGGAACATATGAACTCGAGGATGTACATGGGTCGTATGAAGAGCAGGGCTCTGGCAATGAGGACTGGCAGCAAGAGAGCAACGACAAGCACGAGCCTGAACGTGAGCCTGAGACTACCGCTGACGTTTCGGAGGAAAAATCATCAGCAGCTATTACGGCAAGTGGAAGTGATGTTCCTCAGAATACGACAGCGAGCATAGCCGAGGATGTGGAGCAGCCCATTACCGACAATGATCTTTCAGAGCAACATCTTCAGGACCCTGAAGAGAACTTCATTGACTATAGTGACGACGAGGACGACGAGAACGCTCCTGGCCCCCAAGCCCAGACGAGCCGCGTCTCGTCGACCTCTGTAACGGTTCAGGGTGACGATCCTTCTCACTCTCAGGACTATGCGGAAACCGTAGCCCAAGCCGAGGAGCAGAGCGAGCACCCAATCGAGGGCCTGAATGATGCACAAGCAGCCTCTGGTGCTGACGCCCTTGCCGAGTTCGAAGGCAATGACTTCTCTTACGGAGAGCTTGATGGGCAAGCCTACGGAGAAACTTACGAAGAAGAGTACGAGCCAGAGGCCAACGATGACCAAGAAGCTGAGAGCTACCCTGGCTACGATATCGCTCAGGTGAACATCGAAGACACTAACCATCTTGGTGATCTCGAACAGCAATCAGCCGATGATGCTGATGACCTCAACTTGACTGGGGAATTACTTGTCGGCGAGTCTGACATTGTAGACGATGTTCTCGAAGGAGGAAACGCCTTCCTAGAGTTTGGCGACACAGTTGCGGTACCGGGACCAACAGTGAACCATGATGCCGCAGAAGACGAGTTAGATTACTCTGATGACGAGGAGGGCGGCGTGGTCAGTCAAGCTTTGGCCGCGGCATCTGCGGCTGCTGACACCGTTGTCACTTCGTCTACCGAACCTCGAAATCTGTCTCCACAGGGTCAGAAGAGAACAATTGACGAGGTTGGCAATGATGTGGTGGATGCAACCACTTCAACAGGTATGCCGTCACGTAAGCGCCCGAGATTGCAGCACAGGGCTGACTGGTTATTTCAGATGCAAAGCGGCCTCGAGTGTAGACTCCCGCCGTCCTCCTTGGCAGCGACTTCGATGTGAACGTGCACTAACCTGAAAAGATGGCGATATAACGCCTGGCTACGGCCGACCGAATCCCCTTTGACGTAGACAGACCTGGACACGGATCTCACTGCACTTTGACATCTCAACTGGATACTAATCGCAGGTGTATGCACCAATTGTAAGCTTCCTTAAATGGCGCGGGTGACCAGCTCCATATTGCTGCAGTTTCAATTGCAGAAGGTACGTAAAATACACTGCTAACCAAGGACGTACTTGCGGTTATTTCGCTCGCAGCGAAGACACTCCGGAAGGGCATACCAACAACGGGCATCGGATGGGTTTCTCCCTGGCGGTGGTGAGCAGGTGGCGGAGAGTGAACGATTTCGGGTAGTAAGATGGATTTCGGCATCCGGAGTTTGGCGCAACGGAAACATGGCACAAGACGGGACAGAGGATTGGTCGTCATACGGCGTTTGATACCCAATTTGTCCGCATGGGAATCTGGAATTGGGCGTTTACAACAATTCTTTTACTGCAACTGTATGCGCACCCCTTCGTCGAACGAAGCAAGGACAATATCGCGGTTGACGACGTGTCAGCCCCAGACGGTTGAATATTTGATAAGCTATAGCGGACGGAGTGGACACTGCTGCACTGGTTTGATTTGAGTCAGCTACTCAGCCCCAGACGCCACAATAGTTCTTCTCCACAATCAGTGTGTGCGTGCGAACTGTGATGCTACAATGCGTCTTGTGAGAAGAGCGCGACTGTTGAACCTGGCCGTTCCAAGCAGCCGCGTGACGTGTCGCAAGAGAGATCTGGCTCAATATGCTTGGCGTCTCAAGGTCGACGGGGTGGTAGTCAGAGCCGATGGTGGCAGGCCTGAGGCCGCGTGTTTCGCAGCCTGAAGCGGCGGGCTGGATGCTCCAGTGCTCCACGGTTCGAAAATAGCGAGCCCGCTAAGGGTGCCCCCTGCGCCTAGGACCGTGGGCCGTGAGAGGCCATAATCGACAGCTAGCCGTCCCAAAGCGTCGACATCCACGCCACCCAAGCCCTGCCGTTGAGCAGACCGCGCACGCCGCACAAAACAGCCATCGTCCTCCCTTACCTGCAACCCTTTCGCGCATCCTTCCTTCGCATCGCCGCCCTCCCGCCTGCCGCTCGCTCACACAGGCTCCCCTCGCCATTCGTTACCACCGGCCACACAGCGTTTGGTGAAACGCGCAGCGATTTGGGCCTGCAGTTTGCAGTCTGCCGAGTGCGCCATCGTTCCTGCCGAGACTCAGCCAGGAACAGAAGCCGCGCCATACGTGTGCCCTGGAGAACTGAACGTGCGCGTGCCTGTCGCATTCATCTTCACTTCTTCACCGTCCGCCGAGGCTCAGCGCCGTTGACCACCTGTACCTGTTCGCGCCTATCGATAGCCTTAGCCCTCGGGCTTCTCTCGCCGCCAACGCTTGCAGCACACCGCATCCGACAACATTCGCGTCTGATAGCTGAACACCAGAGCGACAGGGAACCCTGGTGCGCCATTATGGTCGAAGACAAGTATGTGTCGAAGCAGAAGCGCTGCGCGCGAAGCACGAGTGGTGCTCATTGTGTACAGATACGTTGGCCTGATATTGGCTGTGTCGTCTTCGCTTGCCATAGGTATATGCTATCCCACCACGTATTTGTCTCACGTTGCTGACATGTCGCGATCAGGCACGAGTTTTGTCATCACGAAGAAGGTCCGTCGCCCCGCGCTCTCCCTGCCCGACCGTCCCCCCTTCGTCTCCAAGTCGCGACTTGCAAGAGCTTCGGCTAATGATGTCTCTAGGGTCTAAACGCTTCCGCAGAGAAACATGGCTTTGACGGAGATGGTTTCTCATATTTGCGAAATCCCATTTGGTGGGCCGGAATAGTCACGAGTGAGTGGTACTGTGATGCCGCTGTGGAGCACGGTCTGACATTGCGCAGTGGTTTTAGGAGAGATATTCAACTTCGCCGCATACGCATTTGCACCTGCGATTCTGGTGACTCCGCTCGGAGCTCTATCAGTGCTAATCGGGTCCGTAGCTGACGCGCCCCATAAGAAAAGACCTTGCTAATATGAAGACAGTGCTGTCCTAGGGTCCTACTTTCTCCAGGAATACTTGGGCGTGCTTGGCAAGATTGGCTGCGCCATATGTCTGATAGGATCTGTCATCATCGTGCTCCATGCGCCGCCGGACGAGGAAGTTGAGTCCGTTGACAAAATTCTCGACTATGCGATACAGCCGGGTATGACATGGCGCTTCTTCACATATGGCACAGAAGCTGACGGACAGATGCAGGCTTCCTAATCTACTGTGTCTTCGTCGCCGCCTTTTCCATCTTCATGATCTACAACATAGCGCCCAAATACGGCAGAAGAAATCCGCTCATTTACCTCTCCATCTGCTCGACGACCGGATCCGTATCTATTATGGCGATCAAAGCATTCGGTATTGCGCTCAAGATGACTTTTGCTGGAAATAACCAATTTTCACACCCTTCCACATACGTCTTCGTAATCATAACGGTCGGCTGCATTTTGACGCAGATGAACTACTTCAACAAAGCGCTCAGCCAGTTCTCAACCAACATGTACGAAATTCAGAGTTAGGACGGTCGGGCTTTTGCTGATGAAAACAGTGTCAACCCGCTTTATTATGTCACATTCACGACATGCACACTTGTCGCTTCCTTTCTACTCTTCCGCGGTTTTAACACCACCTCCGCCGTGAACACCATCTCCCTCCTTTGCGGTTTCCTCGTCATATTCTCCGGCGTCTACCTCCTCAATCTCTCCCGCGACGACCCTGACGGCAGCCGTGCTCTGGGTAACAACTTCAGCGACGGTGTGCCGACGGACGGCATTTCGGGTTTCCCTACGAGGCGAAGCATGCAGTTGCGACGCAGTACCGAATCTAATTTCCGGAGCCCTGCGCTTCCATTTTTGGGCGGCCATGGCAACGGCAGCCGGCAAAGTTTTGGGGAGAGGAGGGCAATGATGCACGACTACGATATCGAGAATAATCAATTTGAGATGGGCGATCTGGCGGATGATAGCGATGAGGCAGAAGGCGGTATCAAGAGGACGAGCTTTGACGAAGCAGACGACGTGGGATTGAACGGACGTCGACCGAGTGGCAGTGTGAGAGTCTCGAAATCATCCGTACGACCGAACGCCAAGGGCTCAGGCCGATAATACTTGCGAAGACCAGATGCCAAATCACGCATAACGAACGAACCTCGCTGCGTCTCATCGAAAGAGATGCATGTATATATGGGATGACATGAGGTTCCGATTAGTATGCGGCGTGGAAAGGGACTTACCGCTTGGCTGGCTGCGCGGTTGCATCAACCAGCTTACTTTCTGTGCGGACCACGAATACATTTGCATGGATACTTTTGTATGGATTAATGGCGTTACGCATTCGGAGCATGGGCCGAGCTGGCACGGGGGGTTAGGCATGTTTTCAAGCTTGGCTTGTCTGTATTTTTACATTGGAATGGTATACCCCAGGACGGGTATCAGGTCTAGCAATGGCGCTTTCGTTTCGCGCTATCAGGAATGCTTAAATATTCTGTTGGTTGCAAGGATAGACGAGATGTGATGTGTGGTCGTCTTTGGATATCCTGTTTGTTTCTCCTGTCATTTTGGCCCAAGGGACAAGAAAGTCTGTTTGGCGAGCAGGCGATGATCAGGCTCCTGTCGCACAAACCGACACTTGAGGTCACGTTGATTTTAGTGCTCCAGCGTCGGAGCGTGACTTCGCGATCGCACTAGCCTACTTTGGCACATTCGCGCCTGCCTTAGACGCTGAACACACCAGCCCGAAAACACGACCTTGATCACGGCCGTTCAGGCCGAATTCCGGGCAAGACACTCACAGTGACCATCATGGACGCTCCGCCAGGACCTAAACTGCTACAGCAGGCAGAGAAGATTCTGCTTCACCCCATCCACCCGCAGTTGATTTCCTACTGCCCTTCTATGGATCTCATCGCACTCGTGACCGACGAAGAAAATTTGGATGTGTATCGCATCAATGGGCAGAGAGCTTTTGGACTCAAGCGCAAGAGCGAGTACGTTGTGGTTGAGGCGCTGAAATGGCAATGGAACGGCGCGGGGTTGGCGGTTGCGTGGAGCGACGGGTGCGTAGACGTGCTGGGCGTGGAAACGGGCAAGGTGGTGCACGGCAATATCAAGTTACCTCCGCCTAGAGATGGAGATGAAAGTACAGTCAGTTGCCTTGGATGGGGACTGAACTTCATCGATGCAGAGAGGGTCAAGAAGAGGACTGGGGAGTCTCAGAGCGGCAAAGGTTCGGCCAAGAAGGATCTCAGCAACCTTACGACCGAGGACTGGGACGCGTTCAAAGACGAAACCAATCTGGAGGACTTCTTGCAGCGCCAGCCGGACTTCGCAAGCTTGGATATTGCGCCAGATCTTCCTGATCGATTGGCCGTTATGGACACTGAAAGTCTGCTCCCAAAACTTCCTGTTATACCGCTTCCGCCTGCTAATCCGATGATGCGATTCATGCGCCAACCGGTAGATTCTGGTGCATTCAGTGCGCAAGCTGAAGTCGATGGCTTGTTACATTCCCAGCACTTGCGAGATCACAACAGTGTAGATATGTTTCTCAGATTTTCAGAAGAGGGCAGCGTGCATCCGAGCATCTACGACTCGATGGAGGCTGTGGACGTTAGACTCCCTCGGGGTTGGAATCTACAGAGCAAGGTGGTGATGCATGCGAGCCATCCGTATGCTTGCACGCATTCGCTTCTCATGGAAACCAGATCACCGGCGAATACTCAGAAGAAGATCGCATGGGTACCCCTAACGCTCGGATTCATACCCTCAGCGGGCATCTATCTCCACCTCATCGCGGCTAAAACCGCACAACTCCAGAACCTGCTATCATATCTCTCGCACACGCTAAACCGTATCCACACGTATTTCAAACAAGCCCAAGATCTGCCGGGCAAATTCATGATGAACATCAGCGAAACGCTCGAAGAGCATAAAGAAGGTAACCTCGTGCAGAACCTGTATCATCTCGCTTGCACCGGACACTGCCCTCCGCTCATCCACGAATGGCTGGTCGACGAACTGGGCGAGCAGGGCCACAAGCGCTGGGACAATGCCGTGACGTCTGGCCTTGCTATTGTCATCCAACTCCTACACGAGAACTTCCTACCCGCACTGGACCGCTGCTCAATTATTATCTCGCGGCTAAAGGGTCTTGCCGAATTTCGCGATCGGGACTGGATTTTCAGCGGCCCCTTGACAGACTTCACTGCTCTCCTTGACGTGCTGAAAACGATGAGACTCCTTGCGAATACGACGTTACTGTACGCTGCGGATGAAAAACGCTACTTCAACAGCTTCAGCAAGTGGCTAAAGTATAGCTTCGAGTTCGAGGCCACGGAGCCGGGAAGCCAGTCCCGAACGGAGATGGAGTCGCAGCCTGCTGGTGTCGATATCGGTATCGTTCTCGAGTACATCCAGTACGGCATGTCCAAATCCGATGTGCAACCCTACCTTACCAGCGCGAAAGAGATTCCTGGCGAGGCGACTGACTACGACGATACCCGTAAGGCGATCGAGCTCTTACGAGGGGGCGGCAAATACAAGGCGGAGGCGCTGTGCCTGGAGAAAGTGCTCTTGCAATTCGGCGGCGGCGTGCGGAATCTATTGAAACAAGTGAGCCAGTGGCAGGAAAACAACATCAGCATGGACAGTGGCATCGTGCTCGGCGAGGGCGACGTCGGCGCGCCGCTAGACATGCGCATGGTATCTGAGGTATGTTCCTCGTCACCCTTCCAACTTTCTGCTCTGGGTTCAATACTCACCAAAACACAGCCCAACATAGACGCGATATCGACGTACATTGCCCTTCCCACCGCTACTACACCGAGCCAATCCCTCACCATCCATCGCCACACCCACGACCCCCGCATATCCAGCCTCCCATCCTCCCTACGAGCCTCATTCACAACAGCTCTCAAAGCAGTATCTCATGGCATCCTCGACGCCAAGTTCGCAGACGATTCGACGCTCCTGCTCCTCCTACAATCTACCGATGCCGCCAAAACCTGCTCCATCGTATCGCTCGCATACACCCCTGCCGGCAACGAATCGCTCGCCACGAAAGCTGACCAAGTCGTCGCGTACTCGCCTATTCCTTCAAGTACTATCAAGTCTGCTATGCTACCTGCAGGTCATGCTCTATCTAGTTCGGCACACCACACCATCGAGCTTTCTGCTGAGATGGTTTCGAAACACACGCGGCACGTGTTCGAGGGGCGTTTCACGCCGTTGAGATTGGTGGTTAATGGGAGGAAGGGTAGGAGGGTGGTGGTCGTGCTGGGGAGCGATAAGAAGCATTATCGGGTTCTTGATTTGGACTTCACTGAGAAGAGAGGAGGGGAGAAAGGGGAGGGGGAGGAGGAGAGCAGCGACGAGGACAACGATGTTGAGATGGGTGGGGCGTAGTGAAGGCTGATGAACACGAAGGGACTACGGAGTTACGTGCTTAGGTTGGCGACAGTCATTCAAGGCTAAATAGTGCACCATGAGCTGCATTAGTTGAGCATCGTAGAAGTACATGATAGAATTCTTCGCTTTTGTGTACGATGTGAGGGCTATCCGCGCTGGCTGATGGACGTCACTTCCTCGTTGGGTGGCCGGTGTGAGAGACATTAAGTCGTAATGAGTATCACATTTCCAAGATACAGCCCATGCATTTTCGGATTCGCATTTCCCTAGGGTCCTATCATGCACGCAAGCAGGCAGAGGCCTAGCTTGCCCAGAAAGTTCATAACGCCCGGCCACCCGCATTTCGAATGGTGATGAGAATAACCGACCGCTTTCTTGAGCCACTCCGACGCCACCCCATTGTCATCAGCTTCTCTAATCCTTCGTCTTCTGGGTACCGCGGAGCAGACCCGTCCTCCTGGCGGCGATGAGACCGGCCTTTTGACCTTGTGCGGCCTCGCGGGAGATGGTAGAGGCTTTACCGATATGCTGGTGGTTACCACCACCGTGGGGATGGTCGACGGGGTTCATAGCAACACCACGAGTCTTGGGCCACGAGTTGCGCTTGGCAGCGAACTAAAACAAGTCAGCCGATTGTCAAAGTGCGCACAACACGCTGCAAAATACCTTGTGCTTAGCCCTGGAGGCCTTGAGGAGGGGCTTGTCTGTTCGGCCACCACCTGCAACGATACCGACCATACCACGGCACTGGCTGGAGAGGACCTTCTTGGCACCGGAGGGGAGCTTGACACGGGTCTTGCCATCGTCGGGGTTGTGGCCAATGACGGTCACGTAGTTGCCGGAGGTACGGCCGAGCGCACCGCGGTCAGCGGCCTTCTCCTCGACGTTGGTCAGGACAGTACCCTCGGGGACGGAGTAAAGCGGGAGGACGTTGCCGACGGTGAGGGCGGCGTGCTTTCCGGCGTAGATGAACTTCGCAATGTTAGCCCGAATATTCCCTGACCGCAGCATTCTTCCAACTGACCTGGCCAGTGTACATGCCCTCGTTGGCGATGAAAGTCTGGGTGTCGTGCTTGAACTTGTACGGCTACAATGCTGTCAGCGGATGGAGGCAGTGCGATTCGAGCGGTGGTTTCGTACGTTGCGGAAGGTGACCTTGGCGAGAGGAGCACCTGTGCAATTTCGTTAGCACACATTCAATGTTCTCCATGTCAGACCAGGTACTTACCACGGCCAGAGTCGTGGACAATCTCCTTCACGACACCCCGGATGTATCCATTGCGCTCAGCCTGTACCAATTAGCTACGGTCGTTGGGTCGTTGGGTATTCGCATCGCGCGGGCGGCGGCATGGACGTACGTAGTCGAGAGTGCGGAACTGGGCGGGAGCCTTGTTCAAGCGGGTGTTGGCGGTGAAAATAGAGCCGCGACCCTTACGCTGGTTCCTGATAACCCTACCCATGGCGACGGTGTTGTGTGGTAGAGGGAGTTGCTGTCGACAAGAGAGGTCGCTGCGCGAGACTTAGGTTTGGGTGTGCGCTTCTCGAAATTCTTCGCTTCTCCAGCCAATCAGGGCATTCGGCCTTGGCGCGCTAAAAGTCCGTCTCCACCACCTGACGAGCGACAACACCACTTGCATCTAGGAGGCGATATGTGCAGAAGTTGTCCTGTTAGTCAACGAGCGCGGGACTGCCGTGAGCTACAAGACATGCCGTTTAATGGAGGTCTTCTGAATTGCAGATACTGAAAATACGACTGCATGCCCTTATATTACCGCTTTACCGTGCAGCCACACGGCATGTTGCAGCTGCACAATAACAATGTGCGACAGCTATGGCCTTCGAGTGTAACAGTGGTTGAATTTCACTTGTGGAAGCCTCCCACAGAAGTGCTGATTGTGCCAAAATGAACGCACCAATGACCTCCCGCAATCCCGTACACGATATCATACAGATACAGAAGACCTCAAGTGACGGCGGATGCGCCTGCCAATAATTGTACACATTTCTAATGATGAATTGAACGAGTAAAAGTGAAACGTATATGACGCCGGCCGGGGTATGTATATCGAAACAAGGATCCAAAGACTTTTCCGCCGTGCCACGGACAATAGGAAAGATTGCAAAACGCGACCACCATCGCTACTTTGAGCGAGTCGATTTAGGGCTTTGTCTCATCACGATCAAAGACGCAGCCGTTTCAGCATTGTAGCGCAGCTGTCGACATCTGTACGATCAGTCAACACACCCTCACCAGACGCTTTAGGAAGCAGGGCCAACTACTAACTAGCAGTCGCCTCGTGAACAAGTCGGTCGTCTGCATGCACAACGCCCGTGAACCTACCCGTTCCACCAGGCAGCAGACCATCGTATTGTGGTGCTTTCGCTAAATCCTCATCTTTCCAGCCTGCTTCCAGATTCCAACCTGCATACAAGGTGGCGAGCTCTTCGGCGCTTGTCTCTTGCAAGATTTCGCCTAGCAGAGGCCACTTGGCACTCAGCATCGACGGCAGGAGCGTCTGAGCACGCTTGTTGAAGACAGGGTCGGGGCGCCGTCCACCGGCTCCAATCCTATCTTCGAGGATGCCTTGCTCGAAAGGCGAGTATGGGAGGCGAGCATATCCACAGGAAACAAAATCGATACTCTTCAAAGACGTCGTGCGCTCCTCGTCTGCTTGGGAATACTCAGAGCCGAAATCCTTGAGATTGAGTCCCGGTGTAATAGTGTCAATCACTTCTACCCATGAACCTTCCCGAGGCCGAGCTGTCAGGAGAGTCTGGCTGGCTGTAGCAGACGGTGCACCTGTAACGACGTTGGGTCCTTGCGGCACATGCTGCACTTGCCACTGACCGTGGTTCTGGAGAATCTGCTGTATGGTATTCAAGAGAGGTGCGTGAACTTGGAGCTGATTAGCGTTCCCATTAGTCCCATTGTTGACCTGTGCTGGACCACTTGTCGCGAGGTGCTGTAGTTGAGCCTGCAGTGCCTGCATTTGAACTTGATTACCGCCTGGTATATTTTGCAATTGTAGAAGCTGGATTTGCAGCAGCTGATGCTGGGCTTGGAACAGCTGTTGTGGGTTCAGAAGGTTGTGCTGATGATTGCCATGCAATGCCAAGGTATGCGCATGCAATACTTGAGCTTGTGCAAGTCCCGGTACCCAGGGGTTTCCGCCTATGTTGTTCGCTTGCTGGGCGGCTATAGCTACGTTTTGTTGAGGTCTCAATACACCAGTCAGGGAGACAGAGTCAAGTATTAAATGTTTCAACTTGAGATGGTCGTGTGCCTTGACAAACTCTTGCAGAAGAAGCGGTGTTATCCAGCAGTTCTTGAGAGTAAAATGCTCCACATAAGGAAACTGCAATAGTGCCATCTGCAGCGCTGCAGAACTTTGATTCGTGATCATATCGAGGGCAACCAACGGTGCAGGCTGAAGCAGCTTGTTTCTGGCATGCACACCCTCGGCATGCTCACCACCAGTCGCCCATCCAACGGTCAAGGTGTGGATCTTTGGTCGATCACTGATGATGCGCTTCAAAAGTGTGACTACAGAATTAATCTCGGAGGAAGGGTTGATCTTAGGGGTATCCACAATGCCTGCATCATCTTTGCATATGGTCCGCCAGCCAGGTAAGACCATCAATGTGACGTTGCTCAAATTTGGTAACGCGGACCAGAAGTCTTGCCGATTGAGCAAAGAAACGTAGCGGTCAGAGAGGCGTGAGATATTCAGAGTATGAACTTGATGAAATGTCTTGGGATTATCGATGACCGAAAGCATATACGACGAGATGAAGGCTTTCTGGGCCCACTCTGTTTCCATTAACCACTCTTTCTGCGCTTTCGTGAGGGTGGATGGAATAACTGGACTAATAAGTTGTCCAGCGTCGACTGGATGAATCTTTGAAGTGTAGAGGAAGCCAGCGCTCGAAGGGGTCTGAGGTGCCACAAATCGATCGAGAACTTCCGGATCATCGAACGACGCCGGCACCAGCAGGTCTGTGGTATCATGAGGGAGTGCCTCAGAGACCAAACGCGGGTCCACAAATGGCATCTCAGGCTGCGGATCCAGAGCTAGGTTGGCGATCTGAGCGTCAGATGGTGGTCGGTTTATCTCCAGCTTGTATAGTGTTGCTAAAGTCAGATCGCTCTCAGCCGATGCGTGGCAAGCTTCGATGTGGCTCCATAGTTCATGCTGTGCGTGCGTGCGACGATCAGGGATGTCTTTCAGAAGCCCGAATACTTCAGGGGGTCGTTCGAGGATGCGTGCGCGGATCGATCGATCAGGTCCATTGAGCCAGCCAAGACCGGCATCCACGGAAAGCGCCAGCTCTTTGACTTTAGCAAGCTCAGAGAAAGCAGTCTTCATGCGAGGGGTTTCATCGGCCTAACATTGGGAGGAATAAGATCAGTATATACGCGTGTCTTATATCCGGGCGTTACGTACCGCTGACTCCAAACCCGCAACGTCTTCGAAACGTCGATACTCTATGAAGGGCCAGTCGAAGGTACCCCAGAAGCTTTCATGGCGCTCGGTAAGGGTTTTGACAGGCGGCTTCGCAAGGGCAACCTCGCTGACCTCGAAACTCATACCATATTTGATGATGTGCGCACCAAAACCACGGAATACGTCTAGACCATGGCCGTTGTAAACATCGTCGCCTTTAGCATTCTTCCAGATGAAGTTGGATATGTCTGCCTTCTTCTTGCCTTTCACATCCAATCCTTGTTTCGGTCCTAACATGCCATAGATCTCTGTATTGAAAGGGACCACGACGGTCTTGAACAATGTTTGTGAAACAGTCTGGTTCAGTTCGCGGCTGACCAGGCGCAACGACTTGATGTCATCGCGATTTAGGTAGCCAGCTATCATCTCAACCAACTCGACAGGAAGTCCCCAGTGCGGTCGGCCGGGGGGTGGGTTCCACAGTTGTGGCGTAAACACATCGGAAGACGAATGTATCTTGGATAGTTTTGCCGGGCGCCGACGTACTGTAGGACATGCTTGTCTCTTCAGGCCTTTGTCGACACGGTAATACCTCGAGGGTAATTTGATCAAGTCTCGCAAATGAGGCCAGACATCGTTAGCCTGCGGGTCAGCACAAGCTGCATTTCGATACATGATGACAGCGACTGCCTCCTGATCACGAAGCGTGGTTGCCACATGTTTGGAGTCGACATTTTCGAATTTCTCATTCGCATGCTTTGGCTTTGTGGGTTCAAGTTTGCCTTTCTTCATGGTATCATCCACGGATGCGAGTGACGACCAGGCTCTGTGCAAGTCTATCCTTCGCCAGATGTTCGAAAAGGTGTCTCGGGCCTGGAACTGTGTAGCAAGAGTATTCTCTTCCCAGCCTTCGCTATCTGGGTCTCCCGCCCAGGCTTGTTGTACCTGCAGGTCGTAAAGGTCCGCTAGGTCCACGAAAGAAGGCTGGTGCTGAGGAGGGGGAGCGGCAATTGCAGGGTGGCTTTGCGGAGGGGCCAGCTGAGAGCTATTCGAGGGGCCGGCGTCGTCTTGATCGCTGGGATAGTCGATGGTATCAATGTCGGCAAAAAGTGAAGGCGGGTCGGTGTCAAGCTGGTCGCTGCTCGGGCGGAGTTGATTGTGGGGCACAGAGCTGGCGCGACCTCTGCGGCGATTGTTCCTATTGTTGCGGGGTCTCGGGGTGCGGTCGCGGAGGGCTGTGCTGCTGCTTCGGTTTGCTATTCCGCGGGGGAGAGGGAGCGCAGCGGGGACGCGAGAGCTGGCGGGGTCGGGAGCGTTGGTGCCGTCTTGCAGGTGAGTGTAAGGGGCGGAGAGTGCGCAGCTTGCCGTTGCGTACTGTTCATAACGGAGAGTCAGTGACAATAGCGGTATGGACCATGGACGGGGGACTGTATAAGAGACGGCAGGCAAGGCAGCCAGCCTTTACGTGGGAACCGCACGCACCGAGCTGGCGCTGGCCGAGGGGAAGCCATTGCCATGGCTTTCGGACGGCCCGCTGGGTTGTAGGCCGTGGCGGGCAGGCGAGTTCTCCATGTCTCGCTCTGCGGCGGGATAGCTGCTTCTCAGCGCGTCGCGCGACGAGTATCTCCAGCCGGCCGCATGGAGTGTCTCCGTGAACACGCCAGCGCGGATCGGAACATGGATCGAGCGAGCGGAAGAGCGACGGCGCTACGGTGTAGGAGCGCAGGCTGGCTATGGAGCTGCGTGTTTTCTTGAGCTGCAAACGACTCAGTGTCGGCCGGGCGTCATTCTTCCCCGCCAACACGCCAAAGCTGCAGGCGCGTTCCGCCCGCCCTGGGCGACCCTCCAGCCGCAACCCTGCTCGCTTGCATCTGCGCGGCGCCCAGTGCGCACCGCGCTTTGCCCTATTGTTCATGTATTGCTGAGATTTCGCTGTCCGTACCTGAATCACTGTCATGTTGCTCGCACTGCGCTTGCGTGCAACGCGTGCGGATTGCGCCAGTCGGCTGCGGCGCAACATGCCGTGATTACCAGTGAATGAGAATACATGTTGCTACGGGATGGTTTCCGAGACCACCTCCATTCTTCTCGTCGCAATCAAGCGTACCAAAAGCGGGGCATTGGCCTTCGGTCGCTGGCATTCCTCCACTCAGCGTGGCCGTTGATGCCATTTTGCAACATCTTCCACTTGTCGAAGAAGCCAAGATCGACTTACTCATCCACGATATCGACTATTGGAATTGGGGCTTGCCTGCAACGTGGTGGGAAGGTATACGTGACTGGCTTGACGGACCCGTCTTTCCCCTTCCTAAAGGACAGTCGAAGAGGATAGACTAAAGACTTATCGTGGTGTATCAAAGTCACGTTCGAGATTTAAGTACATTGCTACATCAGCGCGAGTCGACGCAGCAGGCCAACACGGTGATTTGAGTCGCAAGAGGCACTCGTAAAGTAAGTAGATCTGTCATTACCAGAAGTCTTTGCGATTTGCTGATGTTGACTGTTCGCAGTATGAAGACGATTGGGAGGAAACTCAACAAGAACTTTCTTTCGCAGACAGGTTGGAACGTGCCATCTGTCTGTCAAGCACCTAAGTTGATGTCATGGACGATTTGCGACATTGCATCCTGAATCATCCAGATCACTAAATCTCTCACGTATTGTATCTATACACTGCGTGGGTTAGTATAACCCATGTGACTGTGCGTTAACTCATGGTAGCTGTACCATATGTGCAAGCCAAGTCCACTACACGGACGTGTGGACCATCAACGACATTCCCTTACGGAACCCAGTCGCCATCAACACATCCATGACGTCCATTACAGCTCACACCAAGTGGAATTCAGCGCCTCTGGGCAGTGAAGGAGAGAACTAAGTGTCCCCACTTCATCGTCTAAATGCCTTTACCCGGACGTCAAGAGTTAGTAGATCGCTTTCAGAAGACAGAGCTCTTCTCGAACGACACATCAACAAGTTCATTGATTTAGTCTAATTCCAACAAGTTGAAAACTTATTCCATTTCTAGGCCCACTATCACTTTCGTATCACGACCAGATCCATCATGAGCGCAAACTACGCAGCAGTTGCCAACCAGGGCGAGGTCCGTTCCAGAAGACCTGCCGACCCGCCTATGCAGACTGGTGGAGTAAGCCTACAATTCCTATCATTCCCCACACTAGCCAAAAATCCGACGCGCCCCAGCATCAGCCTGGTAAACTTGTAGACAACGACGCTATCCCCGAGTTCAGTACACAAACACTGCCCGCCGGAATGGCTCCTGCCTTATCCACTTTTACTCCCAACCCTGTTCTCAATAACCAAAAGATGTACCGGGATGCATCCTCGACCCTTGGAGGCGCAACCTCTCCTGATGTGCGTACCGGTCTTGGTCACCCGGGGCTCAGGTCAGACGTCTCAGGAGTTGCCCGGGACCGGAAAGAGAGACAGGACAGGACTCACCGGTACGATTACAACGATGGAAACGAACAAGGTCACTGGGAAAGTTCCAAAGTTCGCCCACCAGAGAAACCTTAGGAGGATGTACGTGCTGTACAAAGGGGTAGGCGACACAGTTGAGAGCGAGAGTGCGTCCTAAAGCCGCGACATACGTGTGTAAAGATGAAATATGACGATTGTAAAAAGAGAAGGGGAAACAGCTTATGACTGAAATGACCACCATTGACAAAGATATCTCCATAGTCCCCTTGCTGCTCGGTTTCAACCCTTCCCGAATTGTTCAAATCCGCGAAGTGCTTGTATAAAGAAGCTGCTTTTGGATTGAACGGTCACAACGAAGCACAGAATAAGCTCGGTCTCGTGAGGTTGGTCCGAGGAGCTCAACATAGCTCGCAATGAAATTGTTGGGCACCCATGTACCTTGCCGAGGGTATGTGATATGCGTATGTAAAGATGGCGCCAAGTGCGGCGCCACATGTACCATCGGATATGCTGGCTAGAACTCGGATTACTCGCAGGCAAGCGGGACAGAAGACAACGCAAGCTGGGAGGGGTGTGAGGGGTTGGAGGGGCAGTCCAGCGCTGCGCGCACTAACCGAAGCTAGACTGGACGAGCCGCAGTGTTTTCTAGTGACGTATGCACGGCAGCTTCGCTTCCTGGCGAACCTCGACAAACAACAGTGAATGGCCGAGCTTGACGTGAACATGCGGAACAAATACGGCACTTGCAGGCGTCTTGGTTGCTTCCAATAGGTCTCCCTACAATATGCCACTCACACGGTGGCGTTGCGCCCGGTCCCACCGCGGGTAACCAGCCGAAGCAGCAGCAGCGTCTCCGGCGTCGAGTGATTGCTTCTTAGCAGCCGTCGAAAGCCTGCTAGCATATTAGACCACTTGTCTCGTCGAATTGTGGACTTGACCCCAGTCAAATTGTCGCTTCCGCGTTTATTGCCCTGGAAATATGCATCTGAAAGGCCTGCTAGTGCCCGCACGCCGGCCGCGATTGCTCGTCTGAGCCCTATTTGAACGTTGCTGACCCGCCGGCTTTGCTCCCTTGACGGCATCTCGATCTCTAACCTCTATTCTTTGCATTGTCTAATTGCTAGGCGGTACTCACTATGTCGAACAAACCAATCTTTTGCGCCACCCATCCGAGAGCTTGCTCTACGGCCTTTGAGCGCGTGCGTATACTTGACGTGGAATTGTTCGGTGTGGTGGCTAACATGCTTTAGGTGTTCATGACCCGTCGGGATACGCTTCAAACTGTTCATGAGCCCTTCGGCGACGCCTTCTACTTCGGCCCCGAGAGGCTTCACGATCGCTATGAAAATGACCCCGAAGAGAGGAAGACCAGTGGTTTCGGCGACAGCACCTACCGGACTATCTTCGATAACATTGCACGCGATGGCGCCGAGGTTCGCTGCTCCCCTTCTGCCCATTCCACGTTCATTCTGCAAATGTTTGCCTCTCGCCGTTTTCTTTCTTCCCGAGCTTGGTTTTCTATTCTTTTATCATCATTCGTCGCTTGGATCCCCCTAGGCGCTTTTGGTGGACGTATTCGCGAATTTTGTGGCTGTCTAACGTCAGATACGAGCCATTTGATTCGTAAAACAGGCGCAATTTTTACGTCTACACACCGTTGCCAAAGCATATTCCACCACCAATTCACCTTTTCATACGTCACACGATCACTTTCTCAATTCCTTTCTCCTGCCTAGTGCCACACTTTTACTTTTTATTTCTCCCTACTTTACTCTAGCTCCCAAACGTTATCAAGTTACGTATTCGGTTACCGTCGGAATCATTCGATCTGGCAACATACCTACCAGGCCCACCATTCACAATCCCCTCTTAGATTATCTACCCTCCAGAACCACCACATTTCCTTTTCCGCATATACATTGGAAAATGGCGCGTGCTCACGGATACTACAGGGTAAACGCGTCTTCATCAAGGACATGGCTTACTACTGGATGCCGCCTGACAACAAACCTCCAAGGATTGCACCTTCTCTTAATAACTACAAACCCGGAGTCGGAACGAACACTACCGAGCTCTCGCCTGTTACGACGAGGACCGAGAAAGATGCACCGCCGTACCCTTACCCGACCGAAGGCGAGCCTGGCAACCCCACCGTCCTGCCCAAGGCTCTGTTGTCTCAGTTCCACTTCACCTTCCTGATCCGGCATCCAAAGCACAGCATTCCAAGCTACCAACGCTGCACTACAGCGCCGCTAGACGACATAACAGGTTGGAACTACGTCGACACCAATGAAGCGGGTTATGCTGAACTCCGTCGCCTCTTCGACTATTTGCGCAAGGAAGGTCTTGTTGGGCCACGTGTCGCTGGACAGAGCACAAATGGCACAGATGGCGAGGACGGGAAAGACTCTGGCATTGAGATATGTGTCCTCGACGCAGATGATGTCCTTGATAACCCTTCGGCAATGATCGAGGCTTACTGCAAGAGTACCGGAATCAAGTACGAACCGGAAATGCTCAAATGGGAAGAAGAGTACCACCAGAAGTATGCCAAGGAGGTGTTCGAGAAATGGAGGGGTTGGCATGAGGATGCCATCAACAGCTCAGAGCTCAAGGCCAGGACGCACGTAAGTTTATATGATCGCGCTGAATGTGTAGCACTTAGTGACACTATAACAGAAGAAAACGCCGAAGACTGACGCGCAGCTGTATGCCGAATGGAAAGAGAAGTACGGCGAAAAGGCCGCCACTTGGATCAGAGACACTGTGAAGAAGAACGAGGCGGACTACGACTACTTGAAGCAATTTGCTATCAAGCCAGTGTCAAATTAGTTGCGTGCTTCGCTACCACAAAGCAAGGATCAACCAGGACACGAGATTATGGTAACAGCAGCCGGAAGGCGACTATATGAGGGGTAATTCGTGTCTATGATTCCTTGACGCATGCTTGAGTAAAGGAGTAGCTGAAAGTTGCTCTTTTGGGGGTTTTCCATTTGTGAGAGGAAGCTAAACCGCATCACTGGTATGCAGGTACAAAGGAAAGGTCCCAATGAACCGCACGACGTGTCGACGGCCGCCTTGCACCATCTTCTTCTTCTTTCCTCATAGGTCTCGTTTCGCAGTGTTGCCGCACAAACGTAAGCAGTTGTACCGGAAAAATCGGCAGCTTGTGGATCTCTAGGTTCTTGGTCACTCAATTTTCCATACAGGTAGTGAATACCCCAGGCGGAAGACACAGCCTCTACATAACGACGAGAACGAGCCCTGCGACATCCTTATGCTGCAGTCTTGATCACTTTCCAAGTTCCATGCCTGTCGTGCTGAAGGCCCAGCTCCCCTAGGTGCTTAAGGGGCGAAGGTTCGGGGCGGAGTGCGCTCATCAGTGGGAACGTTGGGGGCCAGTGGCGCGAAACGGACAAGCTGTTGTTCTGGAATCATCAGCTTCCGGTGAATGGCGGCGGCGTTTGTGCGGGTCGCAGCAATGGTTGGGGCCAAGTCCGTTTCATGAGGCAGCACCCGCATCTCCCTTTTTGTCGCAGCTGCGGCACGGCGCTTATCCAGGAACCACGCATTTGCGGTGTAGTATTTACCATTGATAGTGGCTACTCGAGCGATGCGGCGCACAGATGATATGTATGTTACTCTACGCCTACGCGACGCAACGCGCCGTTTTCAGGCACATAAAAACAGAGGACATCCAATGCATACACAGATGTAAAAAGGCCGTCCAGACATGGGCAACTTGGCCAAAGCCGGAAATCCGCCGCTCCAGAAATACACAACAAAGAAAATAGATGAGTGATCGATAGGATCTGAGCGAGTCGCTGTCGTGCGAGTCATGCCGCTTGCCGCAGAACGCCGGAAACCAACCCATCCTCCATGAACACCGTCGCTGCCGAAAATGCGTTGCAAAAGTTGCAAGTAAAATGGTAAGCTGAAAGTACGAGGAACGACGAGGGCACATCAGGCTATGCTGGGCCCAGTCCCATTTCGATCTCTCTTCTCCGTTCTTCGCGGCTCATTGCTCGTGAGTGATTACTTCGCGCGCCGATGCTGGCTGGTCGATCCGTGGTGCGCCCTCGGTCCTGCCATCGCTCCCAGGCTTGTGTCTCGCCTAGGCTGTCTGGCCTACTTTGTGATCTTGCGCGATTCCAGTCTGCGTGCGATACGGGCGGAGTGCCCACTAGTTCCTGGCTGTTGGCTATTCGATCCCTTTCCTCGTGGTCTTCTGGAAGGTCGATCCTGAAAGTCGCAGAGCTCGCGTCTGGGCTTGTTCCTTGGTCTTGCTTCATGAGCAGCAGAGCCATCTGTTGGTTTATCCTGTCTTCATCGGATAGAGGAATCTCGGGCGGGGCGGAGGGCGATCGCGCGGCAGCGGGGTACATGTTTTGGACGAAGTTGTTGTAATAACCTGGCTCATTATAGAGGTTGGAGCGGCTGGATCTCTGCTCTCGGAGTTTGACGATGCGGCGGTGTGTCCATAGGAGAAGCATGCCATAGAGGAAGGTCGAGGCAGTGGATATGACGGTGCCGGATATGGCAGCAGTGCCCCACACGTAGGCTTTGGATACGAGGAAGTTGTAGGCTATGGTCAAGAGGCCGACCGCAGACGAGGTGAGAGCAGGACTGTTGAGAGCGGTATTAGTGGCTTGGATACTGCTACGAGTTTCAGAAAGAGGCGTACAGGAAGATGGATTCGGCTTGGAAGAGCTCGTTACGGCATGCAAAGCAGAGCAGCGCAGTGAACGAGTAGCCGGCTGTGAGGAGTGCCACGACGAAGACATTGAGTACGGGCTGGCTTATTCGGAGCTGCGGGTCTTCTGCGTAGAGACCGGGGAGTATGAGGTATCTAGAAGGAATTGTTGGCTTGCATCCTCGCATGTTTCTACAGTTTGATCTGTCTTTCTTACCCGCACAAGATCATCCACGAGGCGGCAAGCGCGATGAAGCGCCAATACCAAGCTTCCTTCGCGCCATGTGCGTTGGTCTTGCTCTCGAGGTTTGTGTAGCGCTTCGAGCTGGAGCGGAAGCGCATTGGAGCGGCCGCGACGCGCGTCCGGGGCGTGGGGTGGTGGTCGAGGAGTGTTTGCGAACGGTGCTGTTCAGGCGCGAGGAGGCTGCGAACCCCAACCCCTCATGCACCGGTCGCGTGTAGTGGAATAAAACGAGTGTCGGGGAGCGGAGGCAGGCGCGGCGCTGGAAGCTGTCTACAGCCCTGTATATGGCGGGTTCGCCGCGCAATTCAGCCTGACGAGGGGAGGGCTCCCAGGGCTGCGGATCGCTTCGTTACGGGAGCGACGCAGCGGCGCAGCGGCACAGCAGCACAGCAGCACAGCAGCACAGCAGAACGGCGTGCGATTGCAAACAACAACGACGAACAAGTGGGCACCAGCGATCGGGGAAAGGGGAGAAGGCGAGGGTAGGGGCAGCCTGGCGAATATCAGGCAGCGGCTGCGTGGAGGACGGCGGCTGGTCACCATGAGACGAGGCGGAGAGACGCACATCCCGGCTCACAGCCACGAGCTTGGTGCTGAGCGGCGCTGCAACCATGACCTCCAGCCCCGACCAGCCTTGAATTCGATAGCCCAGCCATGCATGCAAGTCCGATGGGCGCTAGACTCCCGATCTGCCCCAGGGCTCGTCTCGCGGAAGCGCCTCCTGTCCTCTGTCCTCGCCACTCCAAGACACGCCCACTGCACATGTCCCATGATGTAACGTCGATGAGCGTTGTACCTTTCAGGCGGGCGTAGGGCTACCACAGACCAGCGTGCGGCTGCACTGCGAGCCGCCGCGGCCGCTACCTTAGTCCATCTCTACAGGACGCAGGTGGCCACGCTGCGAGCGAGTCGCGCATGTGCCTGGCCTCTGCGCCGCAACACACACCATACAAAGTCTCACCTCATGAGCCACCGCTCCTCCTGCTCCTATCCATTACGCCCTGCAGGTGTTGCGATAATCGTTGCTTCCGTCCGTTGCCAGCCCGCCATTTTCGTATCCATCAGTGTTCCGTGCCCCTTTGGGATGACGTACACTATTCGACCACCCTTTTCTTTCAACATCACCGGGACAGCATGAATTTCCGATGTGTTTCACGCCTAGATTATTTCGATGTCGCTAGTCCTGCTCCGATCCACTCTCATCCGAACTGCCGGCCTGAAGAAGATTGCGCCCCAAGCAGGAAACATTCGCCGCCATGGAGGCCAAAGGATTTAAACCCCATACGGCGCCCCGTCTCGCTCGCCTGTGCGCAATGTGCGGCCAGTGAGCCATGACTGGACACGACCCTTTTGCAGTTCAATGGCCGAAATAGCCCTGATGATACGTCCAACCAATATGAATGCACCGCGCCACATGTCCAAATACCTCAGGTATTCAACCTCGTAGGGAACCATGATCCCGCGACCATTGCAACTCTAGTTCTGCACCGCCACAATGCGCTCGATTATTGGTTTGTGTTGCTGAGACAAAGAGCTCGGGTACCTGGATTCTCCTTGGAGCAGATCGTATTCAGTCTCTCAAATCTCGACTGCGGTCCGTTCTACACGTGCGCACAGTGCACTGCCTCATCGAAGTCGTGGTGGGGCACTCATAGCACCCAAGAACGGTCCGAACATAATATGAACTGTGTTTGGTACAGGATGCGCATCTGCGCATCATCTAGATCGCCTGTCTATCCAGCCCTATGCCCAACTACCCATCGACGAACTTGGGGGGACGCTACACAAATCATAGCCAATCCTTGTGCTCGGCAATTAGGCTACTTTTAATGTGCTCAATGTTTTCTTCTTTGTTCTGTAGCGAACGAATTCGGGTATTCATCAAGAAAGATGCTCGATACGAGAGCGTGACGCGGCTACCAAGAGGTTGCGCAGAAGCCACAAACTTCCGCGTCCCCCCCCCTTTAACCCAGATTGCTCAAAGCAATCATAAAGTCGTTGCATATGCTAGTTCTTCGACTAACTCTCGTAAAATTGCGTTCTTGGGGACTACTATTAGCACCGTCTCATCATCTCATGAAAGAATTGGGAGGCCTGCGGGTCGATTAGTTTCAATCCTCACTCGTACGATACGAGTGCTCACTGTCAGCGCTCTCTCAACCTCATACCCTTCCCGTCCATCCGTGTTCTCTTGCCCTGACAGACCCACTGCTTCTACGGCTGTCGCCTGGTTTCTTGATGGGTTACAATTCATGCTAAAGTGCGGGTTCTCTAACCCACCTGGCCGGGTTGTGGCTTACACACGTGGCACCCAGGACGGATCTTGAGGAGGCCCTTGTTGCAACCTTACCTGCACTACGCGAAACACACCCTCCTTGTATATTCTTCGGCGTGTTCGAACGAGCTGCACATCGCCTTAAAGCAAGCCCTATTCATGGAGGTATCTGCTTTCGCGCCTTGGCAGTTAGTGTGGTCCAGTGGGCTGTACAACATTGAGGTATCGTGGTTAGGCTGGTTGCTTGTCATGCGTAAAGCTCTTGTAAAAAGATCAGCTTATGTGGTGCGTAGCGTTGCGGCAGAAAATTTTGTATACAGCGTCGCCATTGCAACAGCTGAGTTTCATCCATTGCTGGCCTTCATTTGGAACGATGTTTCAAATTGAATGGCGTATGATGCCGCCGGTACGAGTTTTTGCGCAAGGCGAAGCCTCTGCTCGTAACGTGATCGGAACACATTACACTGAAGTGACCTGGCAAGACTTGGTGCTTGGCTACGTGACTTAGTCACATTGGTTTTGCTCGTGAAAGAGGTACTAATGGAAAAGAGAAGGGTTAAAGATTAATTAGATTATGCCAAAAACCTCAGTGGCTGGGACCTGACAAAACAGTAAGCGACTACTGGTTGCGGTGACATTAAGAAAATGAATCGTTATCCGGGGAAGAGGATTACTGACTCCAGAAACTGGAGCATAGCAAGAAGTTCATATGAACACAATATTATGGGGTTTCAACCGGGTGAACATATCATGATCGTACTCCCCGTCGCCGGTATGCCTCGTGTTTGATATATAGCCGCAACGCGCGAGGCACGCCTTGAGAAAATGTCTCGCTTGATACCATCATTGGTTGGGGAATTTCGCCGACGATATCTGGTTCTCTGGCGCAGCATTCCCAGAAGAGCTTGTTCCGAGTGAAGTGCAGGACGCCTCGGGCAAGCTTTGTCCCAGGTATCCTTCTCGTAGCGAGGCAAGACAGTCCCATCCATCGCGGATGGCCATGTGCGTTTTCGGTATACCTGGAATGTATTCTTTAGCGGCGTGAGTTCGAAGTCTCGTCTGAATTGAAACAATCCGCCACGGGCGTCTTTGGCAGCATCAGCTGCTACACGGAGAGTCGCATGCTTGTAGATGTTGGCCACGTTACAGGTTCCATGTCTCCCGTCGGAATCGTCCCCTTCAATGATACACAAGGAGTCAATCCAGAGCCATTTTACTGGAAGCTGTTAGCACATAACGCCTACAGCTAATCGGAGGATTGAATCTTACCTCCGAGCCAATTTTCAACACAAAGTGCAGGGAGAGGAGTCGAGGAGATGTTTCCCCAATGTATTACTTTCTTAAAGCCTTCCTCAAGGTTGCTCGACTTCAGAGACGGCAAACCGGTCATACCCCATTGACCCTGATAGCGATTCAAAGCCACATGACTCACGTCACACTCGGAAAGGTCTAAGATTTCCGCCCCGAACACAAGTCGCAGCCTTTGCTCTCGCATGGCGGATTTAGCATCAAGAACTCGCTCTGGAATATATTCTTCGATCCCCTGGTTGCACTCCTCGTGCTTTCCATCTTGATTATTCAGGCAGTTATTGTACCACTGTATCGCCAGCTCTCAGGAACTAGAACGGCCGTTGCTCTCTTTGCCGGCAATAAAGTGCATCCTCGAAGAAAATTTACTGTTTTTCAAGAAGATTGGCCTGGGAGAGGGTTGATTCTGATCGTTCAACAGTCTAAAGACGCGTCCAGAAAAACCCCTGGTAGTTTGTCGTACCTCTCTCCATCTATGGGTTAGTCAAGGTGTATTCAATTTTGCAGCCGTATGCTTCATCCTCTTCTGTCCAGGCTACTTCGATAGTGGCCGTCTCAAGTACTTCCGTAATTCAACGAGGTAGTGTGATTGGTTGAGACTGCCGCAGCAAATTAATACACACATGGCAGCCCACCTTATTAGCAGACTTTGCCACAGAGTGCATGTTCTCGTAAAAAAACAGCGGCCGAATACATTTCAGGGCCCTTTACGTCGTCCGGTCTAGCCGTTCGCGCTGGGCCAATATAGTAGGCTATGTATTCGGAACCATCCCGGCATTTATCGAAAATTGTTCTATCCGTATCCACAGCAGCAATTTGGTGTTCAGGGCGTTCCCTAGGCGGAGTGTAAACCACGAATAGCCTAGAATCTGAGGGATCACCACCCTCAGTGTGAAGGTGTGCTATCAGAGGTTGGCGGTTTTCCGGTCCTCGAAAATCAACTTGACTTGTCATAGCTGAGAACTAACAAGTTTGAGGGTAGAAAAATGCACGATCATAAGAAGGATGAAGGCCTAAACCCGCGGGGCACGTGGCGGAGCCCATGGCGCTGAGCTGCATTGATGCGGTTTGGCCCCTGCTTTCTCAACCGGTATGTCCTGTGTATGGTTTCAGGCAGGGCTCATGAGACTTTTGCGATTCGGTGGCAGGTTGTTCTCAGGGTGGTGCCTGCCTGGAGCGAAATTGTGGAAGGCGCGAGGCCCCTCCGTATCTTTCCTCCGAGCCAAGGGCCAGAGTGGATGACAATAAAATTTGACTTTCTGTGACGTATGAGACATCAGGATAGGCTGTTAAGTTATATCTTTATGTCCTTATTGTAGGGTGAGTCCTTACAGGCTACGGTATTCGACAGTCTCATTTTGTGTGGCAGCCTCTGTGGTCTTGCCAGATTTGCATGCCTCAATGGGAGTTGCGAAGAGCTCTCAAAATGTGCTGTAGTCAAAGGATGGCAGCGCACATGTATCATTGTCTTTGCCCAGGTCTTCACCTCTTCCAGTTCATTTATTGAAGCATTACATTACTCTTATCATGTCATAAGTGCACCTCTCAGACTTGATCGCCAAAGACCAACGCTCACAACACCTCTAACGGCGCATGACTGACAAACCACGTCCCGTTGTTCGTGTCAATCGTAGCATTGGTCTGCACAGTCTTTCCACCCTTCAGACTTCCGCTTTCCACCACACCTCCACCGACAGGTCGCTGCAGCTTGTTTGCGCCCGCCTTCACCGTGAAGTTCGCGATCGGGATCTCCCAACCATTACGCTCAACGACCGTCGGTAAACCGAAAAAGTTTGCTACGACTTCTTCGCCGCTAATGTGTAGCTCGTAGTATCCACGGTAGTACAAGTCCTGCCATTGAAGTTCGTCGTTGGAGTTCTGGAGAATAGAGGAGTAGTTGTTGGCTGTAGCGAGTGAGATGTTGGCGCCGTAGGGGCAAGGAGATGTCACAGCCGTGCCTGCGAACTCAACGCCAATGGAGCCCTCGCCAGTCTCTTTATTGTAAGGCTTCTCATCCAGCCAGACGAGGTCTGAGACCCACGATGCGTGGCTGTCACCAGCAAGGAAGATGTTGTTACCGATGTTGTTGCTGTATAGATGACTCAACGTACGGTTCTTGTTAGACATGTAGCCATCCCAGGCATCGTAGTCGAGCGGATTAGCGTCGCCATAGGCGGCAGACTCATTCAGGCGGCTGAAAACTATCTGAGAGCCGATGATACGCCACGTTGCGCCCCGAGACGCCGACTCAGAGAGCTGCGAGTAGAACCAGTTTTCCTGGCGTGAACCCATGAGCGAGCGGCCTCCATCATTAGAGATGTCATGTACGTAATCTGTATTCCAGTACAAGTCGGTAATCGAACGGTCGTAGTTGCGCGTGTCTAGCATAACAAGATCAAGCAGCTTTCCGATCTTGAAATTGCGCCAAATACGAAGGTTGTCATCCATTTCCACCTGGCGGATCGGCATCCACTCGAAGTAAGCGCGAACGGCGTTCATCTTGCGCTGGTCAACGGAAACACCACCGTCCTTGACGAAGGATGACTCGGTGTTGTTGAGTTCGGAAGAGCCGTCTCGGTACACGTTATCAGCTACCTCATGGTCATCCCAGACAGGGATCCAAGGAAACTGTTGATGGCTAGCAACGAGATCAAGGTCGGTGCGGTACGTGGCGAGACGCTTTCTGTAGTCGTAAAGGGAGAAGATCTCCTTGTCCGGCTGTGGCACACGGCCAATGCTCTGGCCCCAGCCGTAATCGCCATTCTTGTACTCGTAGATGTAGTCGCCAAGATGTACAACGTAATCAACCGAGTCCTTACGCACGGGATTGCCGTAGGCATTGAAGAAACCGAAGGGGTAGTTTGAGCACGAGTAGATTGCTATGCCAACCTTGGTCACGTCATCGTCGGCATTGGGCGTAGTCTTAGTCCTGCCGATGGGGCTTTTGTTGTGGGAGTTGCACACGTTAAACTGGTAGTAGTAGTTTGTGTAGGCCTCGAGGTTCTTAGCTTCGACCTGATTTGGCATTAGCACGCTCCGATGTTTGATGTGGTTTCTCGTACCTTGACCGTGTAGTCGACATCGGAAGATGTGTAGACCTTGCCGCCATCTACAACGTCTTGGAGGTGCTTGTCCTTGGCAACCTTGTATTCTACGCATACTGGTGCCTTCGAGACGCGGACAAACTTTTCGTTATCGTGATCGTACAGCTGGACGAAGCCCGAGACGGTAACGTTGGACCTGTCGTTGTCGCTCGTAGGACTAACACGGGTCCAAAGGATAACGCTGTCCGGGTAGGGATCACCAGAAGCAACTCCATGGGTAAAATTCAATTGAGAGGGGTTCCAAGAGGTCTTGTAGTCGTTGCGCTTGACAACCTTGTTGATTGAAATGCCCAGCGAAGGGTGGTGCTCCGAAGGCGAGCGGTAGTTGATGTTTTTCGTCCAGCTTGCGCCGACGGCAGCCACGGCGAGCGAGCTTGCGAGCAATTGAAGCTTCATCTTGACAGTTGACTGGCGAGAGGCACAAATTCAACAGCTTGCAGAACTGGTGGGCTGCCCGGCCTTCGGGCCCTTTTGTACCTCGAGAACCCAGAGCGTCTTTTGCGAGCTCCCGCAGCTTCCAGAGCTCAGCATCCTTGCCTCTCCCCATGCCAGCGTCGTCATAGCCTGCAGGAACCGTCCCGTAAACTCTCAACTGTCCCAATCGCGAGAGCAGACCGGAGCATGCCCCGGTGAAGGTTGCAACGACCCGGTCGTTGGGGCTTCCGCGGCGCGGTGATGGGCCATGTTTGCGCGTGGGTGGTGCAGATCGAGCCATCATCAGCCGGATCATCGCAATCTTGATTCGCAGAATCGAAGCGTTTGCCGGTGGTGCTTCCGCGGTGCGTGCTCCAACGGCCTGATGCGATTGGCCGTCGTGGCTGCCGTCTTTGGTGGGGTCGAAGCTTGGTCGAGCTTATTTGCGCCGTCCCTCAGGATGGGAAGGTGCGAGCCCACATCAGATGGCGAGCCTTAGCGCAAGTGAAAAGCTCAATTCGCTCTGTCCAAGTCCATCTTCTCTTGTGTACCATAGCTGCCGTAGGACCACGCGTCCAAAATCTAGGCTCTCGTAATCGGTCCTACAAGCTCTCCGGAACCGACACTCCAAATTCCCTTCTACCTAATTCCATCCCGGGCGATTTATCTTTGCGAAAGACTAAAAACGACAATTGTGCCGTGATCGTCTGACAACCATAGAGTATTATCGAGGTTCAAGTTTGACCAGCACGTGCAATGGCACGCATGAAAACACTGCTCTTGAATACAGTCACAAGATGATCAAGGGTAATCAGCCTCGTGCTGTTGTCTCTCGCGGGGGGCTAGTACGGAAACAAACTTCCTGAAGATATCAAATGGACGAAGTGACGTTGGAAGCGAGCCAGGAACCGCTGAACAGCTTAGTCCTTACAGCTGAAGCTATTCTAGAAATTGCTGCCAACACGACCACCACCTTGTGCTGCACCCTTCACAATGATAACGACTCGGGCGACAGCTTGGATCGGAGCGCTTGTGCGTACAAACGCCTAAGACACTGAAGATGGTGTTCGCTTCTTTACCGGCTAAGCAGCCTTTGACTTCAAAAAGGCTCTCACCACCTTGTTATAATTAATCCCGTCATTCGAAAGACTCAATGTCACGAGACCAGAGGTTCAGAAGGGCGGACATTATATAGGGAACAATTAACGTCAATAGAGCATGGGACTACACACGCGATGTGGATGGGTACTTCTTCAAACTGCTGTTGGTGCTCGCGCCAAAGTGAAAGACCATCGCTTCTCTCGATGAGTTACACTGCATTGTTGCCCGATGAAAGACTTTTGGTTTTCTCGTGAGCCAATGCAATGCGGCGATGGATTGCATCGTTAGGAAAGTCCAGTTTGTGTGGTGTTGGCTCAAGCCAAGCAGGCCCGAACGCGGGGCGCGGCGGGGTAGCTTGCAGTTTCCAAACCGGCACTACCGGTACTATGACGCCACTAGCAAGCAAACTTCACCCCTCCTCATCTTGTAATAAAGTACGACACTCCCACCCAATTAAAGAACAACATTTACCGCAGTTCCACAACCACTTTCCACACCAGGTACTACCAAACGCGATTACCAGCAACAATGTCCGACTCGCGCATTCCCACGTCGACCTCGGTCAGCGAATCCGCCGTCATCGAAGCGCCCTTCAGCGCCGTCTGGCACCTTATCAAGCTGCAGGACTTCTCCAAGTTCTGGAGCAAGCTCGAGAAGAGCGAGGTCGTGAAGAGCTCCTCGCCCGAGACCGATGTCATCAAGTGGACCTTCAAGGATGGCACTGAGCTGGACGTGAAGCAGGAGGAACACTCGGTACGCTTGTCATCAGTTGCTCTTTTCAATTTTAGACCACAAGTTACTAACGACATGGAAACAGAGCATCGACCACTTCATCACCTACTCGGTCATCTCGAGCCAGCCCGCGCTGAGCTACACCAGCGTCGTGAGCACCATCCGCGCGTACCCTGTCACCTCCGGCAAGCACGAGGGACAAACCTTCATCACCTGGACAGGCAACTTCTCTAGCGACGCCGATGCCGGTAAGTTGACTCTCCGAAACATCGACAAGCAAATCTAACGAGTCAAAAGGCGTGATCGAGGACGCAAAGTTCAAGCGCCGCGAAGCTCTCGCTGACCTCGCCAAAGCCGCCGCTAAATAGAGAACTTGACAAAGCGCAAGTGGGTGAGTTGACTCCCACCATATCGTGTATCAGACTATGGGCTCATACAAGGATTGGGCTAGGACGAATATACTGTGGAGTGTAGTAGATGAAACGGAAACGATATGGCACGAGCACCCAAACAGAGGTGCGGAAACATGATCGGATTGGGATACTCATGGTATAACATGGCAGCTGTATGATACGACTTTTTGTGATGAGCTGATGCACATCGTAATATGAATGACTAGGTGTTGGCAGTACAAAACACACCTTTCGCCGCCACTGGTCATCGTGTGAAGAGAATTTGACTCTTACATAAATACTTGTCTTGGGCACAAAGTGCCTAAAAAAGTCCGGTCTCAGAATGGCGCCAAGTAGACCGTCCTTCGATCCAATTCCCACCCAGACCCGTGCGACGCACAAAGGGGTATCTACCACGTGCCCAAACGCCACGACCCTGAGCCATGCCGTGCAGTCAAAAGGTATATGGCTCGGCAGAAATCAGACAGGCAAGAAATACACAACAAGAATCCCAACTTCCGAATCGGATAAACATACGACGATTATCAAACACCGCTCCAGTTCATGTCCCCACCAGGCTGCTGTTGTTGACCCTGCTGCTGCATCGCAGCTCTCGCTTGTGCCTGTCGCATCATCATCATCTGCTGCATTTGTTGCTGATTCATCCCTTGCATGTTGCCCATGTTCATCCCCTGCATGCCTTGCATGCCTTGCATGCCCATATTACCCTGGTTCATTGCCTGTACGTTTGCCATGTTCAAGCCGTTCATGTTACCCATATTGCCCATGTTGTTAACATTGAAACCCGCCGGCATATTATTCATGTTCATCTGTCCACCCTGCTGCATCGCCTGCTGTCTCATTTGCATGATTTGGTTCTGTCGCTGTTGTTGAGCTCGCTGCTGCTGGAGCATTTGCTGGTATTGTTGCATTTGAACCGAGGCTTGTGGGTTGCCGCCACCTTGCATGTTAATGTGATTGGGCATGCCTTGCATGTTCATCTGGCCGGACTGAGTCATTGCCTGTTGCTGCTGTTGCTGCTGCTGTTGCTGCTGCTGTTGCTGCTGCTGCTGCTGCTGCTGCTGTTGTTGTTGTTGTTGTTGTACCTGAGCTTCCCTCTGCCTGATGGCTGCTTCCATTTGGTTCATTTGTACCAGATGCTGATGGGGCACGTTTTGACCAAAGGTCTGTAAGAGCTGCTGCTTGCGTGTAGTGTATTGCTGGCGTAGTTGCTGCAGGTTCAGATTAGCAAGCTGCGTTTGGCCAGCATTGGGAGTTCCAGCCTGGGGCATCCCCTGGGGTGACATGTTCGCTGCCATACGCTGCTGCTGTTGCTGCTGCAATTGCTGATAGAATCTTGACGCCAGCACTTGTCTGTATTGCTGAGGGTTCTGACCTTGAGGGACACCGTTTGCCTGGATATGCATGTTGGCTCGTTGGAAAGCCGCCTGTTGAAATTGCTGATGGTTGCTGGGAGATATATTTGCCTGCTGCATGCCTTGAGCGCGCAGCTGGTTCTGTACGTTTTGAGTCTGAAGAAATTGCATTTGTTCGGGAGTCATGTTCTGACCGGGCTGAGGGGTGTGCATCATGATTGGCGTAGCTCCTGGCACAGGCATATTCGGGCTTCCCTGGTTGTTCATCCGAGGCGTGGGTGTAGAAGAAATGTTTCGGGCTGGCATAGAAGGGTTCATAACTGGGGTTCCTTGCAGGATTTGTGGCGTTCCAGTACGACTCAAGTTCTGGTGCTGCTGCTGACTGACAGTACGCGCCATCGCGTTGGGATGATGAGATATAGCCGAAGGTGGTCGAGCAGGACTACCGGCCGCGTGGTTTGACGATGTAGCAACCATTGGCGTGCCACCCATTGGATGCGTGGCATGGACTTGGTTCAGAGGTGAGGCTGCAGCGGCCATGGGCGTTTGCTGGCGGACAACGGGAGAAGAAAATTGTGGCTGGGTTGCGGATAGTGGCTGCGACACCTGAGCATTCGCATTGGCCATCTGTATCGCGAGTGCTTGTTGCTGCTGCTGCTGCTGCTGCTGCTGTTGCTGCTGTCGTGCCATAGCTTCCTGTTTCTTCTGCAGCATAGCGGAGGCAGCATTCTGCTGCTCAGCTTGATGGCTGGCTTCCAGCTCACGGCGTTTAGCCACTTCCGCCGCGTCTTGCTGAGCCTGTCTCTTGACCTGGGCTTGTCGTGCCTCCTCTTCCTTCTTCCTCCGCTCAGCTTCCTCATGGTTAGTCTTGATAGCCGCCAGGGTCTTGAAGCGTGAGAAGGTCTGCTGATTGGCGCCCGCACGAACAGCATGCTGGCTCTCGTCTCCGCCTGCCGCTGCCGTGGTGTTGCTGGCTTGATGCTCGTCGCCTGCAAGCATGTAGCGCTGCATATCGGCAGCCTCAGCTTCGTCCGCGGCCAACTCGGCGGTGGTCCGTTTGCGTGTTTTCCGTGCCGGGGGCGAATGCTGGTTATTCGGGTGAGTATTGGCCTCCATGAGCGCAAGAGTGTCTCCGAAGCTCTTCGTTGGTTCCAGATACAGCTTCGGACAGGTCTCGCTGAGAACGGCCGATTCAAATTCATGGAGGTTGTTCTCATCCAAAATCATTTTCTGTCGTTTAGGACTCCGGCCCGGCGCTAGGGCACTAGGTGTGGGCGGGACAGCTGTTAGGGGGGTAGGCGGGTTGCCAGCGGCGCGCGCAGCCGCCTGGTTTCGGCGCAGGGTGGCTACATCTGGAAGCGGCGTATTGGCAAGCTGTGTGAGATCGGCGAGGTGAGACTGAGGTGTTGGGAACAGCACGGCGGTAGTGATCTTAGCCTTGTTGCCCTGCTTCTGCGACGCTGGCTGGCCAGGTGCCGGCATGTTCTCCTTGTCCACGTCCTTGTCCGCTTTCGCGTCGGCGCCGGGATTCTGTACGTCTGCGGGCTCAACTTTAGCGTTGGCCTTCAAAGCGGGATGCATAGCGTGCGGGGAAGGGGTGATGAAATTGTTGTTGTTGTGAATAGAGAAGGGGTCTGCGCCCGATCCCTCGGCGGAGCTGTTTGTGTCCTCCTTGGGCTTGATGCCCGAACTGCGGAAATTGTGCACCTCAACAATGAGGCAGCTGTCGTAGAACTGGACTCCCATGGCATGGAGATCTTCAAGCATGTTGTGCGGCACCGTCTTATGGCGGACATGGTCGAGGAGCTCGCGCATGGGGGAGGCGTACGAAAGCGTCTCTTGGGAGTCGTTGAGGCGGAAGTGGCTTTGGTAGAGATAGATGCGCAGCGAGGGCGGGCGACCATTGAACTTGGCGAGGATGTCCTCGGGGCGGGTGACATGGCGTTTGGTGTCCTCCTTGGGCGCGCCGTTCTCCATGCTTGCCTTTGCGACGACTCGGGGCCGCTGTGTTTCGCGGCGCTGGCGGAGCGCCTGCGAAGGGCGGGCGGCGGCGACTGTGGTCGACATGGCGCCGAGGGCGAGGATGAGGTGACGAGTGTTGCCAACGGGCAACGCGCTGGCAGGGACGTGCGGGAGTGAGCAGCGCGCGCGAGGCTAGAGCGGTGACGATGGCGCGAAGCGGAGGAACAAATGTGGGGTGCCGGCGCGACAGGATGGAGGCGTCTCGGACGCTCCTGCCGTGACTTGGAGGCAGGCGACGCAGTGAACTACAAGGTACGGACGCCGGTGGTCAATGGCTGGCGCAGCTGTGGACGCGCGAGGATGCTGGCGGCCTCTGCATGGTGCTGGGATATGCTGGGATGCTTGCGCAGAGCACTTGGACGGCCCTCGCGGCCAACGGTCGCGTCTCCCTCACAGTCTGCCCAGGCGCCTTGGCGGTCACGTGGGCGCTCTGCCACCTGGGCATCCGGCCTTGCTTCTCGCTTGAACTCCGGCATCCCGACTGTGTACAGCAGCATCCGGAGATCGTCCGCTTGCATGCGATGTGACTCCAGTCCCCAGGGGGCTGTAGCCTGCCAGTGGACGGTACCCCGCAGGCTGCTGTGCATCCGCCCTGCGTGCTCCCCCACAGGCAGCCAGCCATCATTACGCCATGCAAATAATGGCGCGTCGAGGGAGGAGTTACAAGTACCTCTGGAAGCCCGGAAGCTTGTCGTCTCGCTCCTCAGCCTGGCTATCTAAACATGTCACTGTCCTCTGTCCTCTTCCTGCTTCTTGCGGGAGCGCAGTCGAGTCTGTCACAAAATGCACCCTACATGGCTAGCACACCAGCGACAGCCTCTCAAACAAGCTCTGGCCCTTCGCCACTTGTCACTCAAGTCCAAGTCTCAGTCGATGGTACGTGCAGCACCACTATAGCAGGCCCATACTCAGATCTATTTCCACACATGAATCCTACCTACCTGGCCCAAACCTGTCGACTCAATTGTCATCCTTGTCTTCAGCCTCTACAGGACTCATCTAATTCATTGGCATCATCGACTGTCGATATTGAGTTCCGAACTGGTATGACATGTACTGATTGATCTAGATCTTTGGGATCTATACGTGGGCCCAGTCTCGACGTTTTCCATCAATACTACCGTCCAGCCAACTCCCATCCCGTCAAGTTCCTTGATTCCTCCACCTCCGTTGTATTACCCCTCGTTCCCTACGGGACAGCAGGTGCCGCTCCAAGTGAAGAACGAGAGCTGGAAGTTTCCTAAGAATTTCTGGTATGGCGTCGCTGGTGCCGCGTATCAAATTGAAGGTGCAGCCAAAGCAGAGGGCCGAGCCCCTAGCATATGGGACGTTCTGTCTCACCGAGTTCCGAACTATGTGGTCACTAACGAGACTGGGGACGTTGCAAACAACAACTACTATCAGTACAAAGAAGGTACGTTTGGACTGCAGTGCCTGAACAACGATTGAGTACTCTGGGTTTCCCTACAAGGAGCAATGCAGTGCCAAATCCATTAGCCTGGTACCGTAGCGCCATGATGGGGCCTTTCCAAATGTAGAGTACATCCACTAATCGTTTCCGAAGATATTGCACGCATAGCAGCCCTTGGACTAAACACGTACTCTTTCTCACTCTCCTGGAGCCGCATTCTACCTTTTGGCTCCGGGCCCATCAACGAACAAGCGCTGGCCCACTACGACGATGTAATCGACACTTGTATTGAATACGGCGTTATACCTCAGGCCACGCTATACCATTGGGACCTTCCTCTCGTCTTACAGAATACCTATGGTGGTTGGCTTAGTCCGGACATTGTCGAAGATTTCACCAACTACGCACGCATCGTCTTCGAACGATATCACACCAAGGTACACCATTGGTTCACAATCAATGAGCCAATCGTCTTCTGCGGGTTTTATCCTCTCCCAAAGAACTACTTCAAGCAGACTATCATTCCAGATGTTCGCCAAAAGTTCTATTGCGGACACCATGCTCTCCTTGCACACGCTGCGGCGTACCACGTGGGCAAGTCTTTGAACTCGTCACTGAGCATCTCGCTGAAGCACAATGGCGGGTATAAGATCCAGCGGACGAACAGCTCTGAAGACGCTCTTGCTGTGGATAGGGCCTGGGACTTTCAAGAAGGCTGGTTTTCTGATCCTGTTTTTCTAGGTGGCGACTACCCACGCTACTTGAAAGAGTACGTTGAGACGTTCCTAGACCCTTTCACGGACGAACAGAAAGCCCAGATCAACGGAACAGCCGACATCTACGCACATGATGCGTACACCAGTGATTTCATCTTCGCGCCGGATAGCGGAATATCGGCTTGCACGAAGAACGAGAGCCATCCATTGTTTCCGTCCTGCTACAATTCGACCAAGACGTATGCAAACGGTTACTGGCTCGTCGGTCCTGCCGCTGACCCTGGGTCGCCTTGGTTAAACAAAGCTACAGATTGGGTGCCGGCATTCTTGCACTACATGCAAAAAAGGTGGAACCCGCAGGTAAGCACGTCCTAGTCCTTGAGGGATTGAGGCATGGCTTGATTGAAAGTTGCCACTCGCATGACCGGTTCTTGCTCACAATTTGTAGGGCGGCATCGCTATAACAGAATTCGGCATAGCCGAACCTTACGAAGCCCTTCGAAAAGACCTGCCATCCATCGTCACGGATCCTCTCCGCTCTGCCTACTATCGTGACTACCTTGAGGCTATCTTGATAGCCATTTCTGAAGGTGTGAATGTTGTAGGTACCCTAGCCTGGAGCATCTACGATAACTTTGAATGGTCCCAGGGTTATTCTGTCAAATTTGGCATTCAGGCATGTTTTTCACCGAAAGCCAAAAATACGACCTTGCTGACAACGATAGTATGTCAATCTCACCACCCAAGAGCGCTTCTTCAAAGCTAGTGCTTTTGAATACGTCAACGCTTTCAACGTCTACTTGGAGAAATGATTGGCAAAGAATCGGGACTACATGGCGACGACACAGCCTTAACTAGCTAGGTATATGCACCGGTACACGATCTAATCAAGTGGCTAAAGCGCACACTCGTTAATGGTGTCCGATACATGGCAAGATAATTTGTAGACACTAGCGGGCGTGTCTTATACATGCTACGCTTGAGCTGGATTATACGACTTGTTCTTGGCTCACACCTCACATGTCCTACGTTCATCCTGTGATTTCTTAATCTTGCCTAGCCCACTGTAAGAGCTTCTCTCCGCATTCTTCACCAGCTCTTCGACCACTTCACCCATTCCACGCCTCTGCCTCCGTCATCGCCGTCGCCGTGGCGACTGATGGAATAACATCCACATATCTGTATCGCTAGACTGGCGTGCTGGAGTGATAGGAACAGAGGATGCTAGATGCTATCAAATCTCAGGCGAAAACAAAAGAAAGCGTCGTACTTGTGTCATCCTGCAGCCGCTAAGTATTTTCCTTGAAATATGATGGACTTCCACAGATATGTGAGAAAGTGTCAAACCTCTTATCGAAATCTTGTGAATGCGAAATTCTGCACTGCGGCATGCTTTTCGACCAGGCGGAAGACCCGCTGCGGTGAATTCACTTCCCGGAGGATTCCATCACAGGCCTGGTGACACATTGTGTCCACTTTGAGCGAGTTACCAAAATCTTTCTCTAGTGATACGCAACTCATCAAACGCTCATGCCGGCTTTGGTCGAAATGCAGGCTCTTCCGTCTTCAACTGCCGCCATCTCTTTCTCGAATTACTTTTCTTGGCCACCTCTCGCCAGTGGGTTTTCATGTGCATTGCGGAATCTCATCCAAAACCCGTTTGACCTCCCATACCTTCAAGCTACCATAGGTGCAGAAACCTTCAACCACATCCGCAACAAATATACATGTAAGGGCTACTATCAGAACCAGCATCGCAGCCTCGAGCAGCAGGAATATCCAGATCACTATGATGGGAAAATGCGGCATAGCCAACTCATCAATGCCGTCGTCTATGTCTTCGTCCCAAGCACTTAGCGATGCCACGGTGGTGGATGACGATGCCCTGGAAATCGATTTCGACGACAAGGGCGACAGTTCAAGCGGAGAGTATGTGGAGAGAGACGACTCGGATGCTGAGTGGTATAAGGCAGATGAGACGGCGCGTGGGGGTATCCGAATGTGAGGCTGCAGACTTTGATTGGGTATGGCGGCGGTGTACTTTTGATGTATCCGGGTCGCTTTGGGCAAGCTATCGGTGGAGGCGCTGGAGCTTTTGATGTGCGAAGTCTCGGTCCACGGTAATGCGCGGTAGCACTGGCATATGCATCGGGGCGGTGCGAGGGTCCGATCGGTTGGAGCAGATTCGAACACGTCTGCTAGAGCATAATCTTGTTCTTGATGTCGTGCCGTGCCGTACTCTGCCATCTTGAGTATACAGCTTGGTCCGAAACGCATGTTGTTGCAGGTGATGTCCGCTAATTATGCGAGGATTGCTCGCCGTTTCTCATCCTGAGGGATTGTCTCGGTGATTTCCGCTATCACGAAGCTGTCACAAGGTTTGCTGGCCTCTTATAGAAGTTGGGCGAACCCCCAAAGTTCGACCCAGACTTTGAAGCCCCAGCCCCGCGTTCTCCCCGCATTCCACGACATCACCTGTCGCTTCGCCACGCCGGTCTTACCATTCGGCGCTCATAACCTTTTGGTAGGGCCGCTCGTATGCTGGACATTGCAGATGCACCAAATTGTTAGGGGTGTGGTTGGGGGACTAGCCTCACAGTTGATGAAGTCGTTCCGCGGTGCAGGCACAAACGAACATCAAATTGCATAGCCAACAAAGTGCACTAGTTTGAAATCGCAGCAGGATTCGCTGTGGATGTTTCTAAACTCTCACGGTAGCTTTGCCGTGGTAAAAGGTCCGATGACCAATGAAAGTGAGTTGATTTGTTATGCGATATCATCGTGATCGAAATCCTACCAGAGGTGTTGGTGAAGGCGCCAAGAAGGTGCTCGTCTAGCTCGGCGCATCGTCATAGAGATTGCTCCTGATGAGTCGAATGGAATATGTACATTTAAAGTTGGTTTCATTCACTCCCAAATGCATCACATCTTGTTGAAAACACTGGTTCCGGTGAGGGTGTCTTCTGTGTCTTCCCTCCGTCTCATCTCCACCTCTAGGTCTTCATCATCATCGCGCAGACTCTCTAACAACACGCTGGCTTCAGCCTCGGCTCCGGCCATCAAATCGAAGCTCTCGCCGCTTTCACTACCATTCTTCTCAAACACGTCTACGCCGCCATCGTACCAGCGTGCCTGCTCGCCAACCCAGTCAACGCCACCTGTATGGCGTTGCCGCCTCACAACCTCCCTCTCTTCAAGCGGGAATGTGGCGAGTTCGGCCTTGGGTGGTAAGATGGTGCGGCGGTGCCAGGCGCCAAGGAACATGCCGTCGGGGTCGACTTCGTTGCGGACGCGGAGATAGTCGCCCAGATCGTCGCCGTAGGCCTTTGACAAGTAATTGTGATCCACGGATTGGAAGTTCTTTGCCCAGTGTGGGCGGCCATCGTATTCCTTCATGAGATGCTCGAAGGCTTGATAATAGCGCTCGCGACAAGGCGGGTCTTGGTTGTAGGGACGGTAGAGCGTAGCATTGAGATATAGGGATGGCTCGTCGGGACAAGATGTATCGAGGAAAGGGCGAGGATGTCGGCCAACGGTGTTGGCTACGCGAACTTCGATGGGAGAATGAACATAAAGGCCTTCGGGACTGAAGGGGATAGCGGAGCCGTGCTCGTCGCCGTGGAGCCATTTGGTCAAGCGGGTCAGGGCTTCGGGGCCCTTTGAGAGCGGGATGCTCCATTCGTTGACGAATTGCGAGTATAGACAGTTCATGAGCAGGCCAGTGCGCTGTTCTTCGACGGCGCGGATGGTGGCGCCATCCTTGAAGCCGTACTGCATGCCGAAGACGAACCACTCGACCCAGGGCAAGAAGCGGGGCACATATTGGGAGATCCAGAGGAGAATGTGGTATGTATGGAAGCCGACGCTGCCGCCGTACCAGTTGTAGGCGGGCTTCAGGTGGGGCTTGTCCGTCTTGTTCGCCTTCCACACGATAGCACGCTTCATGTAGGGAAGCCACCAGACACGCACGAACTCGTGCGAGGTCCACAGATCCTTGTCCCAGAGCGAGAGGACGTGGTCGATGGGCAGAATGGTCTGGGCCCACTCAATGTCGCTGTGGTCGGACAGCTCGTACTCCATCTCGACGATGATGCCCAGAGCGCCGAGGGAGACGAGGGCGGCGCGGAACAGGTCGGGCGACTGCGAGGCCGAGCACTTGACGGCCTGGCCGTTGGAGAGCACGATGCGCAGGCTGCGGACGTAGTCGGACAGCAGGCCGTGCTTCATGGAGCTGCCGTGGGTGGCGGTGCCGACGGCGCCGGCCAGCGACTGCACGTCGATGGAGCCCAGCGAGGGCATCGTCAGGCCATGCTCGCGCGCAGCCAGGTTCAGGGCATGCATGCGGATGCCGGCCTGCACCGTGATGGTCTTGCGCTCCTGGTCCACGTCCAGGACGCTGGCCAGGTCGTCGAGGTTGACCATCCAGGCCGAGGTGCACGTCAGGTCCGAGGGCGAGTGGCCGCAGCCGACCGTCACGACGCGGCGGCGCATGCGGCGGGCGAGCGTCACGATCTTCTGCACCTCGGCGACGCTCTGGGGGCGCAGGTACAGCTCCGGGCGCGCGTGGAAGGTGCGCGCCCAGGTGTGGTGGATGTGCGCCTGCGACGCGCGGAAGGGCACGTCGGGGTCGAGGCGGCCGAGCTCGACGAGGAAATTGGGCGGCATGCTGAGCGCGGCCAGCGGCGGGGGCGCCATGGGAGCGGCGCGCAGGGACGAGCCGGGCAGCGGCGAGGCAGGTGCTGCTGGCGGTGCAGGTGCGGGTGCGGGTGCGGGTGCGGGTGTCGTTGTGCTGGAGCAGCCGCAGCGCCAGTGTATGACGCTGCGAGTGCCCCGCGAGCCGCCCGCCGCATCACGAAGTCACGGGCACCCGGCACCTGACCCTCGCCGGCACCCGTCCACGTCGCACCCGTCCCGTCCCGCGCCGCCACCCGCTCGCTCCCCGACGTCTGCCACGCTTGCGTTCTTTGGGCGGACATGGCACAAGCTTGTGTTTCTCAGGTCGCCAGAGGCGCCTGGCTTGGAATGAGTGTCGTTACAATACATGCCCCAGCTGCAGACGCTCGCTCGTGCTCATCGCTACATAGACGTCCTCAGACCCAGGTCGGCCCGGAACGCGCGGGCTCAAACATCAAATGCAACGAGATCCACCACGGTCCACCCAAGCCGGCCCCGTGCTCTACCACAGCCAGATGTCGTCAGCGTCCTTTACGAGTTTGCTCTTCTTGTTCTTCTCGCTGGCTTCGCGCTTCTTCCACAGCCAGATGTCGTCCGAGTCCTTCTCCAGCTTTGCGGCCTCGCGCTTCTTCCACAGCCAGATGTCGTCGGAATCCTTTGCGAGCTTGGCGCGCTTGATAGTCGCTTCCTGTCCCCGTCTCCATAGCCAAACATCGTCAGAATCGTCGGCTCGCTTCCACAGCCACACGTCATCAGAATCCTTCTCAAGCTGGGCAGCTTCACGCTTCTTCCACAGCCAGATGTCGTCCGAGTCCTTCTCGAGCTGAGCCCGAGCAGCAACATCCGCAGCCTCAGGCTCTAGTCTTATCAACGTGCTGCGTTAGACCTTTCATGCTGTAGACTCACTTGGCTCCGCAACCGGAGAGGCGCTAGCAATCGCAAGCAGGGGCATAACAAAGGCAAGCTGTTTGAACTGCATCTTGGACAACAAAGGAGGTGATGGCTGGGACAGAGGAGAAGAGTCGGTTGATGTTATCAGCGCAAGAGTTAGGCTTGGGGTGTCCTCGTGGATATTGAAATAGTCATGGGTGGCCCTCAATAACCGAAACAACCAGACCAAGTTGTTGACAATTTACAACCCCGCATCTGAAGGATCAAGATACGGTGTGCCTGTGGCGAGACGAAGAACCATGCGCGATGGCTATTTCTTCTTACCTGCCTCAGTCAGCGTAGCTCGACGTCAGACCATCCTCTGGAACCAAGTGAGGGACACTCCGCCAGACAGTGATTTGTTGTTAACGATCCAGGATGAGGACTCGTACGGTAATGAAGCATGAACGACATAAGCGCAGAGCTTGATAAGCTCCAACTAATGCGACTCTAGCTTAGCCCAATTGCCCGATGGAGCAATTCCGCATCGACATCATCATTCTCTAGCCATCATAGGCAGGCCCCGCATACACATTACAAGACCAGCTCGACAAACATCACTCCGACACGCGGCCTCCCCGCTCCACCTGTATCGCGTTGTCAGCGCAATGATGTCGAGGTTGCAGATCCGGGTTGCCTGAAGCATTTTTTTAGGAAGGTTGCTCGGTTGTTGTCGGTTTCAGCAGGACATTTCAAGTATTATCGAGGAGCCTGCGGGGCAATCAAGCGTATGCTTACTTACTCTTGGCTTTCTTGTTTCTTCGAAAGGGAACCACCCGGCCAATCCCCGCAATCAGGCCACTTGCTGTGTCGCACTTTTTATGTTGCTTCTGTAGTTTCCCAAGTCTCACCATTTACTCCTGTCCTTGTTCAATTCCTGAGAGACTTCTGCCATGCCGTTATTAGAGAAGGATACCAGACCAGTGTACTCGCCCATCCATGACGACCAGTCTTCTGACTCTGCAAGGGAGTCAGATGAGCTCCTCCATGACGGTTATCCCACAGCACGTCCTCGTAGGACTTCGCGCAAAAGACAAGCTCTGATCCTCGTAACTGGCCTTGTTGCTCTACTCGCGTATTCACTTGTCATCACTACCGCCACTTCACTCTGGTGGAAGAGACAACGGATTCACGGCGCAAACGTGATCGATAGTAAGCTTCCCACACATCAGTCTCCCAAAGCATGCTTACCATAGCTCGTAGCTCCGATTCGTAAATATGTCGAGTACGAGCCGACCTACTTCAAGATGACAGAGACATCAAAAGACTATGGTCTAGTCGGACAGCCGAGCGAGGAACTCGACCGGAAGTGGAGCAGCATCATGCAGTACTTCTACGCGGAAATACCGAAGGAGTACATGGAGAAACTTGGACGCACTCAAGAGGGCATTCGATTGCCCAACGGGAACTACCTGGCCAACTACGCTTTCATCCATCAACTTCATTGTTTGGTGTGTTCCATGCCCTCCCTCTTTCATGACTCGGTGACAAGCTAACGCAAGTTCCAGAAACGTCTATACCAGTCGTATTTTCCCGATTATTATTGGCCTGATATGACAGAGGAAGAGACAGAGCTACAGCATGAGCATAGCCGTAAGTGACTCATGCTAAGTTACCCTCAAAGCGCTCCTGTCCCTGTGACTGACGCTCTGCGTAGTACACTGCCTGCAAATGCTCGTCGAGCAAGTGATGTGCAAGGCAGATGAGACACCTCTCACCATGTATTGGTTCAACGAAAGCATCCTCCCCGGCGGCAACCGGACTATTGCACACGAGTGCGTCAACTGGGATCGGCTCTTGGAAGGAATGGAGAAGAATAAGGTCGATCCTTTCACACCTGGCTTGCTTGTACATCCAAAATTCGGTCCCGTCCTGCCAAATGGCAGACAGACACAATTGGACAACAGGATCGGGTATGTCAAGCACGCTACCCCTCTAGATAGAACCCAGTGGCCGTAGAAGGATCACTAGGGGCATTTGAGGGCAGGATCAGATGAAGATAAAGAGACCTGGAATGTGGGTCTAGGTCGAACCTGCACGGCTCATACGTACGAGAGAATTTGGAAGCTTAGCTTGCTTATCTATATCAAGGATTTCTGTGGCTTGGTCTAGCATACAACAGGTATGGCCTATGATAAATCCTTCGCGCCAACAACCCAGATTGCGGTATACCCTGGACGGCAATGTGAATCATGTGTCCAAAGCTGAGACGAGACTGCACGAGTGGCAATCTGGCCTACGTCAGCTTGCAACATGACGTTGAAATGCTGCTGGGTACGATTCACTAACCAGTGATATGGTTGATCGTCTGTCAACGTATACTTCCGTCCGGGCCCCCTGTTCTAGACTGTCTTTGCATGTTCATCTACACGTGCAATCTCCACTTCACAGGCCCTGATCTTGTTCCGTCGTTTTCGGGTCTACAACGCAGTCATTTTGGCTGGAAGAGAGTGTAATGAAAACTAGCAGTACACGGATTATACGCCTCACATTGACATAGAGTATGTTCAGCGAGATTTCTCTACTTTGTAACACGAAATTATCTTGAAAAGCTGTTCTAGTGATACCATTATCACACAACGAAGATGTTGCCTTGATAAGCCCTAAATAACGATGTTAGAGCGCGGTGAGACTGGAACTTGTTTGGGAAAGTGCGCGTTGTGAGCTACGGGGTAAACCCTCAGAAGCACTTCGTGCAGTTCTATGTAGTTGTTCCAATTGGTGATTGTGATGCATTTCGGCACTAATATTGGTTTCTTGCCAGGTTTGCATCGCATCAACATGCAGCGGTGATTTGAGATGGGGAAGCTTTCAAGTCATTGGAACTAAATCAAAGGCTGTTTCATGCTGACTTGTGGTTACCGGAAAGTCTGCTGCAGAGCCTACGGTGGAGTAGTGGTCATTAACCCGGGGCCTGTGAGGGGATCTCCATGGTATGAGCAAAGATATCCGCAGCTTGCACACACTACTTCGCTAGAGAACAAATATACTTCCTGCTTCCCCGTAAGATATATGTATTCGATCGATATACTCATTGGATATGGAGCGTAGCTTTTTGGCCTTTGCCAAGTTTCTGCCAATTAAGATACGGCAGATTTTCGCAATTGCCCCTCGCCATGGCAAAAAGTAACCATCAATCACGCGATGGTCCGTGGAGACACATTGCAGCTCCGATTCCTTAGTGTGTCGTGTTTGCGGCGCGGTGACTGGAACGGGTCGCAGAACGCGACTGTGATCTCCAGTTCTTGGACCTCGCCACTAAGATCTTGCGGTCGGGGCGGAGTTTGTGCTCGCATTGGCAACGCATCACAATGGCCAACACAAGAATGAATGTCTGTCTGTACAGCCCTAGATGGCGAGGTAGGCTCATCACTGGTGGTAGCCACCAGACGGCTTCCAATAAAGTCCTTCAAGGACGTGAGTAATGATCCGGTGCATGCAGTAGGCGGCTCCTGTGTTGAGGCGGTTTCTGGAGATTGATAACAGGGGAACGACCTCGAACTCTGGTCAGGTGGCGCAAGTAGAGAAACGACATAGCCGTAGGGAAAGACTAACGCGTCTCGCCGTTTGAAGAGTAATGGACTGGAGCTCTCATGCCTTACTGGTATCGGTGCCACAGGCTGCGGTGTGTGCTCGGTAGAATTGGCACGCTCACGGCGCCTTGATGCCACCAACGGGTGCTTTAATTGAGCAGATGCAGCTCTCGGTCGCCGTAGAGGAAAGTAGTCATTGGGCGAGCTAGCTTCGTCTTCAGTACCATCAAACAGTTTGGCCACCGGATTGCGACTTCGCACCAGCTTTGACTTGCTGCTCTCCTTCGCGCGCAGGCCTATCGCTAGATCCAGATCCCGTATCGAGGGTGTATGGTGTAAGAGTACGCTGTATTCATCACCACTATCCTTACGATTTGATGTTCTAGCAGCTGAGATAGGGCTGTCCGATTCGTCCGTCACTACATGGCTGCGGATTGTTGAACGCTTTATGAGTGCCAAGTCGGCATTCGTAGGAAGGATAAGGTGAGGGAGTTCTTGATCGATCCAGGGCGCCACTTCTGTAATTGGCTGACGGCTCTTTGACGTACTTGCAATTGAAACTGTGCCCTTGGAGCCCGGTGGCGTGTGAAGCCGAAGCTGCTCACTGCGCTGTGTCTCAGCCCGTAGTGGGAATGGTATAGCGGCTGGAATTGATACAATAGTGGGTTGGCTGGGTGTAACGTATGCATACCCTTCAGTTGTTATGGTTGGCGAACCTCCAGATACATATTGTGACGCACCCGGGGGTTCCTTACCCGGAGTCCATGTGAATGTAGTTGATCGGGATACCACTGGGGAGACTTTGAAGGACAATACCTTACCTGACGGTGCAGGAGCAGGGGGAGGAATAGCCGGTGCTACCTTGACGGGTACAGGAAGCATGTTGGTCGCATCGACTGAGGCAGCATTCGCTTTATTGCGTAGGTCTCGGTGGACCTTGCGCAGCCGTTTGTACTCGGAATAGTCGTCAAGTTCGGACGCCGTGGGTGACTTGGCTACTTCGTGTACAGGAACAGGGTCGCCTGGAACATGATTTAGCAATGATCAAACGTGCTGTATACGTTTTCGGCCGCTTACATCTCTCAAGATGGACATCAAAATACACATCACCAAGACGAGTCTTCTGCCCAACATGGGAGGACGATGTCCTAGGTTGATGAACTGCCCACCCAGTAACGCGATACCTGTGGTTTGGTCAGATAACATTGCAAAGTGTTGCAGCGCACTGACAGTCCCTCATATCTCACACCGGCTTTAGGTCCCCACATGCTATTGACACTGTGGCTTCGTAAAACGCGAAGCGGTTCCCTACTTCTCGGTGTAGCGGCAGTCAAACGAAATCGGCCTCGGTCGTCCTTTCCACAGCGATATGTCAAAGTTGACTCGGTTGGTGCGTCAAGCTCTCCTCCTTCCAATATCACCATTGCATATGCTCCGTATTTGTCATAACAGACTCCGCCGTCGATCGTATCGACATCGATTATGCCAGCATGGCAAGCGAAGAGGGTGTTGATCCACCATCTGGTGAGAGAGTAAGCTTGAATTAAAGAGTGAAGGGTTCCTCATGCATACGAGCCCGGGTGAAACCCCAAACTGCCACGCCGACGGGCCCTTTTCGGTGAGATCCTGTCGGGACAACTGTTTTGCCATCGCTTGAGTAAAGCCTGAAAATAATGAGTAGGTAGGCCTCGTTTGATGATGCAGGTAGTGACTGACAATTTTCGAGGTCTCCTCAATCGAGGCAATGCCCTCAAGACGCCCACCTCTGCCGTAGAGAAAAGGATGCAGATCTTCGAGACGCCCAAATTTACCTCTCCACAGGTCGATGAGATCGTCGCAGTCGTCAGCCAACCGTCCAGGCCACCTGGTAGCTATCCCTGAAATCTCCATGACCGCTCTATGTATTCCGGTAGCACGCAAATCGAGAGCGGTCACACTGGACGATGTTTTAAGAGCCTGAAAGACGTCGTGTAAAGTCAACACGTCGTCAGCTCGAAGTAACCCTGGGCCCTCCCGAGCAACGAGCGGATCGAGCTCATCACGGATCCAATGCGAGGTTTGTCGCAATCTTGGACGAGAGAGGTCGAATGCAGGAATGGTGGCGGTCGCCATCGAATCGAGATAGGAGTTGCGTGCTAACTAGAAGCGTCCCACCATCAGGTGTTTCGGAAGATCGGGGTGATGATGTTGTTGTTGTTGTCGTCGTCAGACAATGTCTTGCGTGGGTGATGGCAGACAGACCGAGATAAGTCCTCGCTATGCCCTGATGCGGTTGTGCTTCCTCAAGTTGCTGCAAAGGGAAACGACCATAAGGGAAGGAACTCGCTTGTGAAGACTGGCATTCAATTTCCAGCCGCGTCACAGCGAATCCTTGATTGTATGCTCTTGTTGATATGCTGCTCATCATCCTTCACTACATTAATGCGTAAACAGAGTAGAGACTGCAGAGCTTACTCATGTTGCCGCTTTCCGTATTGACATATCTATCCTAGCCCTTCGACGCTGCCTGAACCCCCACTCTCACTCAATTACTGTTCCCGTGCGTCGCTATTTCCTCTTTCTCTTTGGGCTCTTCAGGGCGCCAGGTGATTCCTGCTGCATTGAGGTCGCCCCGATCGTCTCCCCGCCATCACTGAATCCGTTCCACTCCTCCTCCTCCTCCTCCTCCTCCTCCTCCTCAGCGACACCAGCGTGCGAAGAGGTGTCTCCAGACACAAACTCGGCATCCCGAACAAAAGCGGCGACAAAGAAACCCATCGTACCTTCCTCGGTACCTTTCTCGCAGCGTATGCAAGCGTTGCGTACCTCTTCTTTATGTAGCCGGTCCAAGCCGATAGCTATATCTAGGTCTTCGGTTTCCAAAACGCCTCTTCGGTTCCAATCTTTCATGCCCTGCACTTGGCGATCCCTAGGTAAGATCCTCCATCCTCTCGCTCTCGCAATCTTTGATGCCAGAGCTCGAAACACGACGCCTTCGTTCTCTTGGAAATGAATGGAGCATGTAGAATAGGTTATCTTCTTTGCCTTAGGGAAACGCATCGCATGCGTAAGAATGCGAAGTTGGAATGTCGAAAGAGCGGTAAGCCTCTCAGAGAGCTGTCCTTCAAGAGGCGTCTCTTCGGGCACTACGTCATCCAAGCTGATACTGAACGTTTTGCTGCCCTGAGTTGTCTCGTGGTCTCTCTTCCGCTTCCTATTGTTCTGGCTTGTGGCGACAAGAGCACCACCGACACCTGGAACTGGCAGATGCATCTTGACCGCATCGTCCCTCCCGACGATGCCACTCCCTGAGCAACTCGGGTCAAGCAAGATCGCACCGACACGCGCAAATTCTTCTGATTCTGGGTTCGCTGCAAGGAAATCTGCTCCAGGCTTGATCAGTACGACTGAGTCCGCAGAAGCGCGCTTGACCATTTTTTCTAATGTTACTGCCCTGGCTTTGTCTCTCTCATACGCAAACACCTTCGGTCGCTTGGCGTGTGAGTTCCTCTGAGACACCATCGCAGCCAAGTGTGTCGTCTTGTTCCCTGGTGCAGCGCAGCCATCTATAGCATCTCCATCATCCGGTCCTACATCCAGTAGGTAAGCTGGAAAGCAGGAGGCCTTGTCTTGGAGTATGATGGCTCCTCTTGCGTACGCCTCAGACTTGCTAAGATCGACTTTCGGAGGGAGGGCGAGCAAATTGGGAATGTGGGGATCTTCGAAGTACATCTTCGCCGACGCAGATGCCCGCTGAATCTCTTGAATATTACTGGCCTTTTCATAGCCTGCAAAGGTTGTGGCCATTTGCTGCTCTATGCTCGTCTGGAGCGTATTCACGCGCACCCATCGCGGGTGCCTGTAGAGGCTTTTAGACAGCTCATCGCTGCCCTCCAGCTCTCCCTGTTCAACAGCCTGGCGTAGCGCGTCAACTGTTGCATATCCGCGACGTATCCGGGCTTTCGTGAACTCTGCGTTCAGCCGAGCTTTGTGTCTTAACACAGCCAGCTTGAGGACATGGTTGGCGTGGGCAGCAACGCCGCTCTTAGCGAGAAGCAAGTCATGTGTAAGGAGAAGCGCGAGCGTTGGGGTAAGCTACACGCAGTCAGTTTGCTTCGACTCGATGGCGCATGCGCACTACTCACCTTCTTCTCCTCGGCCAGCAGCCTGCACCTCTCAATGACGTCCTTGAGCACCAGCGACCATTTCGATGCTTCGCTAATCAAGGCGAAGAGTTGCGCAGGCGATGTCTTCAAGTCCTTGTTCTTGTATATCCGCGATTTGAGGGAGCCGCCGGCGTTTTCCGAGTTGGCGAGGACAGCCGCAGCTTCGTAGTAGAGCGACATTGCACGCGCAAGTTGACAGTGGGTTTTCGATTGTTGACTTTTTGGACCTCGGCAAGTGTGGGGCCAGCCAAGCCGAACCCGTCTAGGCACTCTCAGAGCCTCAACACGCGTCTTACCACGCAGCAAATGGGCAGCATGCAGATATACAGGGAAATGCACAGATTTCGTCAATGTGCTGACAGTTGTTCTTCCAGAGGCCCTCCCTTTCATCCCACTTTTTGTGTAGATCTCAGCACCGGCCTTTGCAAGGTTGCGTACCTTTTCCGTGCCACATTTCACGTCAAATCATACTGTGTCTACGTGCAGCCTTTACGCAACTGTGAGAATCTTTCAATGCTCCAACAATCAGGGGTATATCGCCTCTCCATCGTGAACCTGTACCAGTTTCGCCCGCGTTCATCCCAGTCCAAATGCACCCTACCTCATGACGGGCGGCCTAGCTTCCTTGTTCCACTGCACTCTTGAACACAACCATTCCACCGCCTCTTTCACACCCGTACCAGTCAGCGCGCTGCATGGTAAAACCCTACTGTCCCTCACATTCCCACCTTTCTCCCCCTCGAAGACCTTCCTCACGAACCCCTCCTTGATCCTCACAACCTCAACACAATCCTCTCTATCCTGCTTATTCGCAAGCACTAGTATCGGTACACCGGATGTCTCATCGTTGGACAGGATCGACTCAAGCACTAACCGACATTCATCCAGGCGACCCTGATCGTCATTGATACCGCCACCACCCATCTCAGCAAGGCTGGCGTTGCCCACATCAGAGCTGTCTATTACGAAAACGATGGCATGGCACGAGCTGTAGTAGCTTTGCCAAAGACCGCGCAGACTGTGTTGCCCGCCAACATCCCATATTTTGAGGTAGATCGGAGGGCTAGGGGGAGGGAGGGAGATCGTCGCGACGTTCTGGCCTACGGTAGGCACCGTCTTAAGGTTCGGATTCAGCGATGTGTAGGTGCCCTTAATCTGTTCGAGGAGCGTGGTTTTCCCTGCATTGTCGAGCCCGAGAAGGAGGATCGAATACTCTACGATTGTGGTAAGTTTGAGCACGCCTGGACTCGGGTACGTTGTCGTGCTGAGCGCAAACGTACCTTCTTTACTAGTCGCGTGCAGGTAGATGGACTTGAATAGGTGGTACATTGTAGCGGCGAGGTCAAGGCGCGCGCTTCACACCTGGCGCACTATAAGATTGTGTCGTCCCTTAACCGGAGATAAATGAGTATCTCCATTACCGTGCCTTGGCAGTCAATGCACGCAACTTAGTGCACGACCCACTATGCAACACCTCAACTTTGACGCGCCGCATCTCCACTAATATAGGTCTAATTAGGGCTATAATAGTAGAATTATAAGAGCCTAGAGAATGTTTATTAGGATCTAGGAACCTATTATATGGAGGAGCACCCTTTTTACCTAGTATTATAAGGGGTCTATTAAATCCAGAAGGGTAGCTAGACCTAAAGGTGTTATAAGGGGTTTCCACGTACCTAACCATAGGTTCGGACCTTACGGGTATTTAGTGATTCGAGCGTAAGGGATGGCGGTACCAAAGAGGTTGGGTGAATATCCTACA